AGAAAGGGGAACAACCGGTTCAAACCGGCTCCAAACCGGTTCGACTGAAAACCGGACCGAAACCGAGCCGAACCGGACCGAAACCGAGTTGACCGTAAACTAGCGCTATATCTTCTCCCGTACACTGGACAGTACCGGTAGCTTGGTCACTCGTTCGCCTAACGGGCGCCGCACATGGACTGTACCGGTAGCTCGGTCACCAGCTCACCAAATGATCCCCGTGCACTGGACAGTACCGGCAGCTTGGGCTCTGTGCACTCGACAGAACCAAGAGCTAGGGTCACCCGCTGACCTAACGGGTCCCGCACGCTGGAGCACCGGTAGCTCGGTCACCAGCTCACCAAATGATCCCGGTGCACTGGACAGTACCGGCAGCTTGGGCTCTGTGTACTCGACAGAACCAAGAGCTAGGGTCACCCGCTCACCTAACGGGTCCTGCACGCTGGAGAACCGGTAGCTCGGTCACCAGCTCACCAAATGATCCCCGTGCACTGGACAGTACCGGCAGCTTGGGCTCTGTGTACTCGACAGAACCAAGAGCTAGGGTGACCCGCTCACCTAACGGGTCCCGCACGCTGGAGCACCGGTACTTAGGTCACTCGCTCACCTAATGATCCCCGTAGACTGGACAGTACCGGTAGCTTGGTCACTCGTTCCCCTAACGGGCGCCGCACATGGACTGTACCGGTAGCTCGGTCACCCGCTCACCTAATGATCCCCGTGCACTGGACAGTACTGGCAGCTTGGGCTTTGTGTACTCGACAGTACCAAGAGCTAGGGTCACCCGCTCACCTAACGGGTCCCGCACGCTGGAGCACCGGTAGCTCGGTCACCAGCTCACCAAATGATCCCCGTGCACTGGACGGTACCGGCAGCTTGAACTCTGTGTACTCGACAGTACCGAGAGCTAGGGTCACCTAATGATCCCGGTACGCTGGACAGCACCGGTAGCTTGGTCACTCGTTCGCCTAACGGGCGTCGCACATGGACTGTAACGGTAGCTCGGTCACCCGCTCACCTAATAATCCCCGTACACTGGACAGTACCGGTAGCTTGGTCACTCGTTCGCCTAACGTGCGCCGCACAATGGACTGTACCGGTAGCTCGGTCACCAGCTCACCAAATGATCACCGTGCACTGGACAGTACCGGTAGCTTGGTGACCAGCTCACCTAATGATCCCCGTACACTGGACAGTACCGGTAGCTTGGTCACTCGTTCGCCTAACGGGCGCCGCACATGGACTGTACCGGTAGCTCGGTCACCAGCTCACCAAATGATCCCCGTGCACTGGACAGTACCGGCAGCTTGGGCTCTGTACTCGACAGAACCAGAGCTAGGGTCACCCGCTGACCTAACGGGTCCCGCACGCTGGAGCACCGGTAGCTCGGTCACCAGCTCACCAAATGATCCCCGTGCACTGGACAGTACCGGCAGCTTGGGCTCTGTGTACTCGACAGAACCAAGAGCTAGGGTCACCCGCTCACCTAACGGGTCCTGCACGCTGGAGAACCGGTAGCTCGGTCACCAGCTTACCAAATGATCCCCGTGCACTGGACAGTACCGGCAGCTTGGGCTCTGTGTACTCGACAGAACCAAGAGCTAGGTTCACCCGCTCACCTAACGGGTCCCGCACGCTGGAGCACCGGTAGCTCGGTCACTAGCTCCTTAAATGATCCCCGTGCACTGGACAGTACCGGCAGCTTGGGCTCTGTGTACTCGACAGAACCAAGAGTTAGGGTCACCCGCTGACCTAACGGGTCCCGCACGCTGGAGCACCGGTAGCTCGGTCACCAGCTCACCAAATGATCCCCGTGCACTGGACAGTACCGGCAGCTTGGGCTCTGTGTACTCGACAGAACCAAGAGCTAGGGTCACCCGCTCACCTAACGGGTCTTGCACGCTGGAGAACCGGTAGCTCGGTCACCAGCTCACCAAATGATCCCCGTGCACTGGACAGTACCGGCAGCTTGGGCTCTGTGTACTCGACAGAACCAAGAGCTAGGGTCACCCGCTCACCTAACGGGTCCCGCACGCTGGAACACCGGTAGCTCGGTCACTAGCTCACCAAATGATCCCCGTGCACTGGACAGTACCGGCAGCTTGGGCTCTGTGTACTCGATAGTACCGAGAGCTAGGGTCACCTAATGATCCCGGTACACTGGACAGTAACGGTAGCTTGGTCACTCGTTCCCCTAACGGGCGCCGCACATGGACTGTACCGGTAGCTCGGTCACCCGCTCACCTAATGATCCCCGTGCACTGGACAGTACCGGCAGCTTGGGCTCTGTGTACTCGACAGTACCAAGAGCTAGGGTCACCCGCTCACCTAACGGGTCCCGCACGCTGGAGCACCGGTAGCTCGGTCACCAGCTCACCAAATGATCCCCGTGCACTGGACGGTACCGGCAGCTTGGGCTCTGTGTACTCGATAGTACCGAGAGCTAGGGTCACCTAATGATCCCGGTACGCTGGACAGCACCGGTAGCTAGGTCACTCGCTCATCTAATTATCCCGGTACACTGGACAGTACTGGTAGCTTGGTCACTCGTTCGCCTAACGGGCGCCGCACATGGACTGTACCGGTAGCTCGGTCACCAGCTCACCAAATGATCCCCGTGCACTGGACAGTACCGGCAGCTTGGGCTCTGTGTACTCGACAGAACCAAGAGCTAGGGTCACCCGCTGACCTAACGGGTCCCGCACGCTGGAACACCGGTAGCTAGGTCACTCGCTCACCTAACGATCCCCGTAGACTGGACAGTACCGGTAGCTTGGTCACACGTTCGCCTAACGTGCGCCGCACAATGGACTGTACCGGTAGCTCGGTCACCAGCTCACCAAATATTCACCGTGCACTGGACAGTACCGGCAGCTTGGGCTCTGTGTACTCGACAGTACGGTGAGCTAGGGTCACTCGCTCACCTAACGGGTCCCGCATGCTGGAGCACCGGTAGCTAGGTCACTCGCTCATCTAATGATCCCGGTACACTGGACAGTACCGGTAGGTTGGTCACTCGTTCGCCTAACGGGCGCCGCACATGGACTGTACCGGTAGCTCGGTCACCAGCTCACCAAATGATCCCCGTGCACTGGACAGTACCGGCAGCTTGGGCTCTGTGTACTCGACAGAACCAAGAGCTAGGGTCACCCGCTCACCTAACGGGTCCCGCACGCTGGAGAACCGGTAGCTCGGTCACCCGCTCACCTAATGATCCCCTTACACTGGACAGTACCGGTAGCTTGGTGACCAGCTCACCTAATGATCCCCGTACACTGGACAGTACCGGTAGCTTGGTCACTCGTTCGCCTAACGGGCGCCGCACATGGACTGTACCGGTAGCTCGGTCACCAGCTCACCAAATGATCCCCGTGCACTGGACAGTACCGGCAGCTTGGGCTCTGTGTACTCGACAGAACCAAGAGCTAGGGTCACCCGCTCACCTAACGGGTCCCGCACGCTGGAGAACCGGTAGCTCGGTCACCAGCTCACCAAATGATCCCCGTGCACTGGACAGTACCGGCAGCTTGGGCTCTGTGCACTCGACAGTACCGAGAGCTAGGGTCTCCCGCTCACCTAACGGGTCCCACACGCTGGACAGAACCGGTAGCTAGGTCACCCGCTCACCTAATGATCCCCGTACACTGGACAGTACCGGTAGCTTGGTCACTCGTTCGCCTACCGGGCGCCGCACAATGGACAGTACCGGTAGCTTGGTCACTCGTTTGCCTAATGGGCTCTGTGCACTGGACAGTACCGGTAACTTGGTCACCCGCTCTCCTAACGGTCCCGTAAACTGGACAGTACCGAGAGCTTGGTCACCCGCTCTCCTAACGGTCCCGTACACTGGACAGTACCGAGAGCTTGGTCACCCGCTTACTGCAATGGGGTCCCGCACACTAGACAGTAACGTCAGCTTGCTCACTCGTTCGCATAATGGGCTCTGTGCATCCGCTCGCTCGGTTTCTTGCTAGCTCGTTTGCCTAACGGGCTTTTGCGCTTTACAGTACCGGTTGCTCGGTCACCCGCTCACCTAACGGGTCCCGTACGCAGAACAGTGCCGGTAGCTTGGACTCTTGGTCGGCCGGCACTCGTGCAGAAATTGTCCTCGATGACAACGTTTCATATGTAGTTGTTCTTGTCGTAATGACGGTCTGCTAATTAAATTCATGTTGATAATTTAAAGTAGTAGAAATGACTTTAATTTTTTAGCTATATTTTAGTTGGTTTACGGGGCAACATTGCCTGGTTAATAAACCAGAAGATAATTATTATGATTACAATATGTTGCATTTGGTCAAGGTAGTCAAAATTCTTCCGCTTTGGCGTTCGAAGCGGGAGAGGTTTTGAAAGAAATGAATACTATCTGGCCGGGTTTTCGACTACGGGCTTTCGGAATATAATATTGGTTTTGGTCAGTCTTTTCTGGTTTTCCGGCTCTGGTGTATCCCATTCGTGGCAGTATAGATCTGAATTAGGATAGACTAAAAACGTAATAAAAATTGAGCCAAATGGAAACCCTGCAGTTAGTTTCGAGTAGATCCCGTGTTGAGTACAGCTGATCTGAACAATTCAAATAATACCATTTATACTTTTATAGTAGTTTTGTGATAATTTTGAATTTTACGAAGGTTTCTGGATTCTGCATGGAAAAATGAAAAATTGTACATCAGAACCATACCGTACTTTTGCTTTGCGTGTTTCGGTGTCGGCACGTAGTTATGACCTCAGAACTGTTATGACTTTCGATTTTCGAAGTTTGAAAGTTATTTTCAGGCAATGAACGCTTGTATCAGTCGTATATACAATCAAAATACTTGTTATACCAAAGAAAGAAAATTGTGGAAATTCTTTTTATGAGCATACTGTACAGGTTGAGAAGTACAGCTGGATACGTTTCCCTAATCCCTATATCATGGACATACAGAGCGAAAGCTTTGGAATTTGGATTAACGCCATTACATTTTTGTATTTTGCAGACCTAACTCTTTCCCAGTGTATTATAAAAGCCAGAGAAATTTAATTTAAACTGCTTGCTACCTGCTGACAATGAGCTGTAGCTGCTTTCCACTGTGCAGCCGTAAGCAATGTTCGCGCGGATATAAAAAGCCATTAAACTGGCAAAACACTTATAGTGATTAGTGGAGAGAATTTCAAATGAATCACCTCTGACAAAGCCAAGCGAAAATAAACAGTAAACACAAAAGATTAATATCACTGTTTTACTGCTTTACTGTTCTGGTAACAGATTCCGATTGGGAAACCGTTGTTCCGGCTGATTCTGTGTGTCCAACTGCAAAAGAAGTTAATTGGAACAATGCTATATAATTCTAACGCATCGAAAATCTAAAACTTGCCATCGAACTCGTAATTATATATATAAAATACAAACTGGCAATCTAAAATTTGTTTTCTTAAAAATCACAACATTTCTCTTGCAATTTAAAACAGTATGCGGTTTTAGAAGATCACATCAGTCTGATCGCTTACTTGCGCTGTCGAATTTGACCTCGATGTTGGTGGCCAGCTTGGACTTTTCAAGCGCTTCCTTTGCAAGCTCGGCTTCCCTTTCTAGTTCTTTCTTCGCCAGCCTAGCTTCCAGCTCAACTTCTTGTTTTTGCCTCTGCACAATAAAAAAGTTTATAAGACATTAACCATTATACAGAAATAACTATGTTCCAGTGCCTGAAGGATGCCATTTCGAGCAGTGAACGTTGTCCGCGCTGCACGTTGTGCACGTTGTCCGCATTTATTGCTTGTAATTTTTTCGTGGTGCTTACTTGAATCGAGGTATCAACAAGATCTTTCCTGAACTCCACATCACGCGCGTGCTGCTTCTCCAGCTCCTTGCGGATTTTTTCAGCTTCTGCTTCGGCTGTTTTACGGTAGGCTTCTGTTTTTCTTTCCAGATCCTTCTCATGCTGCATAGCGATAGCATCACGTTCCCTTTGATATCGTTCTTCATCTCTTCTGGCTGCTTCTTGTAATTGAGGACTAGGCGTTAACGATGCTTCCTGGCTGGTGCTGGTAATTCTGGCCGCCGATGCGGTGAAACCTTTCCCGACAACTTCCTCAGCTAATCCGGCTGTCAAATTTAAGCGGATAATTATACACATAACTGCTGCTTGCTTGATATATTCAGTTTGTATTCCAGAGGTTACACACAAATCTAATGAAACTGTTATATTAACATCTATAGAAACATGTCTAATAACCGATGATATACTCAGGTCATTCTCTTATAATCTGCCTTACCAACATTTGTGGCCACAATCGGTGGTGCTGGGGCAACCTAAACATTATTATTTGTTAAATTTCAAATGTTGCCTCTATAAATCTTCAATATGCTTATCGACGTCGTCGGAAGGTAATGCGGTCCATAACGTACCACCGGTGCGCGAACTTCCGTGTGGGTATATCCAGAGTGTACAGTCTCCTGATGACCATGAGATTCCATGCGGCATTTTTCGGTGTGGGTGTGCTTTTCTTGGCAGACAGTCGTTTTATGCTCCATGTCGCTGAATTTTTATAAAATTGGCTTAAAGATGAAGAATTTATTTCAAACTGCTGATCAGTAAGAAAGAGAGAATTATTGTGGATCAATAGGCCTGTTTTAATTTGCTTATATACGAAATTACGAAGTACGGTATCTACCGTGTTGTTGTGTCTAATTGTCGGTGGCCCCAGGGATCGGGTATATTCCATGTGCACAAAAACACTACCTGTATCGTTTAGTAAGGGTACTTACCAATAATTTTTGACAGTCAATAAGCTATCCTACCGAGTTTTGCATTATTTATTACACCAAGGTGAGCATATATAATGATTGGCAATTTTGAATTTTACTTCATTTGTCTGTAGCGCATTTATGTGCCGGCGTATTCAATGTATCATCCACATGCAGTACTTTAAGTATTGTACACTGCACAGAAAGCCTATAATTAAGCTGCACAAATACTGTACTCGTATTCCTTTTACCCGTCGCGCATGGTTTTGCTGGTTTTCGTTTTTGTAAGATTACACGTTGTGCTGTAAAAATAAGGTTACAGATTACGGAAACTGAGTAAACCGCTATCGCCCATTTAAAAAAATAAATAACACGAGCCTGCTTTTTATTGATATGTTCCGATGGCTACTAGTACTGTACTTTATTCTTGCACCCAAAGAGGTTTAGTTTTTGCTTTGTAAAAACTCATTGAGGAAAGTTTGACAGAGCTACAGTGGTTCACTGGATGCCATATAGTCTTGACTCCTCTCAACGAGAAAACATTTTTAGCTGTTGATATATAATTAGGGGTTATAGAATTTGCTTATTTAAATTAACTGTAATAACATATTTACGGGTTTCGTAAGTACATGTTGCACTTAGTATGACACAAATGTTGGGTTTAAGTTCAAGAATAACGTTTGCAAGGTGTACTTGAATTCCTAGCCATCTGTATTTGTGCATGTAGAACGCCTTTACGGCTGCCAAGCTCCACGACTCCTAAGAGTTTGCTGGAAGCATCATCTTTTTTCCACAATCTAGGAGGTGTTTTTTTCACTGTTCTTTGACCGCTGCGTTTTAAACGTATGATGTATGTCAAGGTTGCTTCTGCCTTCTTGTGCATAAATCGTAGTTATAACTGTAAAGTGCCTGGTGGCAGAAGAATGTTCCGTTTGCAAATTATATCAAAGCACTCGCGATTTTTTTTTTACGGCAGCGACGTATGTATACATATGGCACTATATTATGGTCGCTTGTATTTGTTCTTGATCAGTGAACTTCATGGTTCAGTTAGATAGGGGTGATGCATAATAATTTTTTCTAGCGCTAATATTCATTTGCAGTATTAATATAACGACTAGTCTTCCCAGCGTGTCATCGACATATTTGTGATGTAAAATCTGATCTTTTCACAGCACGGCTACGCTTTACTCATTTATTTTATTATTATAACTCGTGCAGCATATTATACGGAGATGTATTCAATAAAGAAGGCACCGCACAAGAAATTTAACATTTCTCTACTTATTGAATTCCCACATCATCGACGGGTAGTTACACAGGTTTTAGCGTCATATATAATCAGTAATACAAATATGATGGTCAGTGGTAGATTGTACCTGCAATACCAACGCATGTCTTTAATGGTTGATTGATTTATAATAATATAACAATGCAGACAGCGTAACTTTTGCAGTGATAGCACTAGTAAACAGTAAGATCACGGCCGTAGCGTAATGTCAGAGTAATCATTTAATAAAGATGTTGATATATATATGCACCTAACAGCGCTTAAGTGTCGCTTCCAAAAGGCAAAAGCTTTGTGTCATGCCGGCTTTATTGCCACATTCGCCGGTAAGAAAGAGCAGAAGCTTAAAAGTGTTCGACGTCTGCATACGAGTACTACAAAGTAGAACTGACCATCAGAACCTTTGTCCCACTAACCCTGAAAAATAGCGGAAGTAAAATAAAAAGATGATGACTCCGCTGTTATGATATTTAATAACAGTGCACAAATACAAGACAAGAAACGCAGTTTTAATACCAAGTAAGCAGTAGCGCGTAAAGCTTGATGCACGGTTCTGTTTCGATACTCTAGATTCAGAAATCTAGTTAGTTTTTTATTACTCGCATCCGCGTTGGCGGGCTTCTTTTGACTTTGGCATATGTAAATTTTGGCCTTGCGATCATTATCATATCATATCGTCGCGTGCAGAAGGCCAAGTGCAATATTGGAGCGAAATATCTTATTGCCTGTACCTTACTATATTTTATCCCAAATAATAGGCAAATGTTGGTAATAAATCTTGATTTCTAAATTACGATGACTTAATCACTCTAACAAAGTAAACGAACAATTCGGACTCCTCAGCGCGGATGTTTTGTTGCCGGCTATACCCGTCAATCACCCACCTTTTGATGAAATGGTCAGAAGTGGCCAACCAGAGCGCCCATCGAGATCGTTCCTTAAAATATGGCACCAAAAATCGGTAATTTCAACATTCTAGAAAGTGCAGAAAAGATTAATATCTTATTATATTTTATATGTTACTATATCAGCATAAATATGCTGTATCAGCACTGCATAATCCTGAGTATGTATACGAGTACACAGACTGCTTATACAGACTGTATATGTTCCAAGATCATGCTGTCGAAACAAAACATATATTGTGGCAAGGCTTCGATTTGAGCAGCTGCTAATTATAGTTGTAACTTGTGCGTATTGCATAATGAGGAAGTAGATGAATTTAAAGATAAATGCAAATCGGAAAAGTCACTTCAGATGTGGAAAAAGAAAATAAGGAAGCTATCTCTTAAAAAAAGCTTAAAAAAAGAAAAAGCGTCTTATGCGTTTTAAATGTTTATTCCTCCTGATAAACTTGGGGAAGTTTACTGGAAATTTGTATTTGCAGAGAACTTTACGGAGGATGCCAGTAGCGGATACAAATTCATCAGAACAGTGCAGATTGAGTTGCAGTACTTCAATAAGCGTAAACTCCGCGGGTCATGGCTTCCAGCAACTGTTCACAGCTTTGGACAACTCATTGTCACCTTGTACAACGTTGGTTACAAAAACCTGTCATCTCTTAATTCCAATACTTCTTCTTGTTCTTTCACCTGTCAGCTGCACAGAGAGACCGAGTTCTGGCGGCAAAATCGGCCCCCTTTGTTTGGCGGAAGTCGGCGATGTTGGCGTATGCATGTTTCTTCGCACCTGCTTAGAAAACCAAGGAAAGCCATCGGGTAAGTACAAAGCTGCTCTGCGCATCTGTAAATCAGATGAGTTAAAGATCGAGTGACCCTTTCGTTGTCTTTTCAGGAACATGTGCAAAGTCATTTTTTCTAGCGTCTTGTTGTGTTTTACCCAATGCTACTGCCCCCGCCAGCACCAATCAGAAACCCGGCAATAAATTACTTGGTCCTAGTCCTTTTGAGCAAATCCTTAAAGAGATCTCAGTATATAGAGCACAAGATTTAACACAGTTGAAAAATCGTCTTTCCTTTGCGCCAACAATTCATTCACCCTACTCTTCCAATTACTGGACAACTTCCGCTGCGATTATGACAGCCGCCCCAACCACTTCACGATGGCGACATCGTCCTCCTTCAACGTTGCAGACAACTACCGCGACTACTGTTCAAACGGCAACAAAAAAGGTCAGCCGTGCTGAAGTTATATATACACAGGAAGTCGAAGGAATTAAATTAATTTACAAGGAATAATGGATAAGCATTCTGTGTGCAGAAATAAATATTAAGAGCTAAAAACGTTTTTTTTTCAAGACTGTTCTGCATTCAAAACTTAATTTATTATAAAACGACTTGTGCGCGCACAAGCCTATCAGTATAATAGGCAGTTCTCATACGGCATATTGTATACAGTTCGACACAATATTATTTTATTATTAAGTACTCGTATGTAAACTTGGACAAAAATCGGTAAGTTCAATATTTAACAAGTGCAGAAAGGGTTATTATCTTATTATATTTTATTACATACATATTATTACATCGACCTACATATATTTCTAACAAGTAAGAGGACATCCCTATTTGAATTTTTTAAATCTGCAGCACCATGTTTTGGATAAGGCCATTTTTCCAGTCACTTCGACAACGGTATTGACAAAACGAAATAAAGTCTGGACGGCAAGTCCTTTAGAGCATATTCCTAATGCCACAGTTACAACTGCCACTTTATACCCTTCCACCACACCCCAAGTCTCCACCGTGCCATCGACACTACCAACTTGGTTTACTACCCGCAATACAACCAATATTCAATCGAATTCCAACGTGAATTCCACACCATCTGATGCGGAAAATCCCAAAGCACCTATTGACCCAGGAGATTTCCGTTTAAATGTTGATGTGCAGCTCAACCTTCAAGCCATGGATAAATTGAAGAACAGCATACCAAACGCTCAGGCTGAGTATTTGGAAATCGTTTCCAGCAACAACTACCCAGTGCCGGGTTTTTCGGGAGGTACGAGTGGACAGTCTACAAAAGTCAACTTTCCAGTTAATTCTGAAAATGTGTTACCGATATCTACCGCTACCATTGCAACCGATTTACCCATTTCCCGTCCGGCGACTACGACCACGATTAAAGCCACCACGACAGCAACGACAACAACAACACCGACTACTACGACAACGCCATTAACGACCACGACAACAGAGACCACCACTACAACGACTCCCTCCACCACACCCACCACGACGACTCCCACGACCACACCCACAACTACCACGACGACAACCGCGACCACAACTATTACCACAACAACAGCATCAACAACAGCATCCACCACTTCCTCAACCACACCTACCACGACGAGTACTACTACAACTTCAACCCGAACACCCATTCAAGAGCTGGTATGGAACAGTCTGACGACACATACCCCAGATGACAACAACGCTGCTGATGGGAACAGTGCGGCCACTAATGCTCCGGTTGTGGATGTTTTAGCGGCGGATAAGCTGAATCAAAAGGGTCAAATTGCAATTCAACTGAGCGAAAGTAAGTTGACCAGTTAGTAACTGTAGAAAAACCAATTTGTTGGATTCCGATTATCGAAAACTGGCATCTAGAAAAGCGAAGTACCGCTTATTTGGCTATCCTCTAGATCCGTTGTTTACAATACAGGCTTAAAACATGCTTTTTTCTGCTGAATGTTTTAGTCTGTGGAATAACACCTCTGTTGTGGAAGCGAATCGTTGGTGGCAGCCAAGCCAAATTCGGCCAGTTTCCGTGGGAAGTGTCGCTGCGTCGGATTGTCGGATTCGTTTCCTCTCACCGTTGCGGGGCGGTGCTAGTGCATCCTAACTGGATTTTGACGGCAGCTCATTGTGCTTCTGAGTAAGGCTCACAACAGAGCCCGCCTAAAATTTTCCGGCACCATATTTCGAACACCCTTGACAATGATGAATTTAACAATTGCAGCATCCCTACCGACAAGATGGTAGTACGAATAGGTGAATACGACCTTAGTGAGGTGAACACCGTTTTCCCTCATGTGGATTTCCGAGTGGCGGAGCGGATCATTCACGAAAAATTCAACTTCCTGACCTTTGAAAACGACATTGCTTTGTTACGACTTCCGGAACCAGTCACGCTAGCTCCGCATATTATACCTATTTGTCTGGGACCCTACAAAAATTATACCGGCTCCATGGGAACCATTGCCGGGTGGGGCAGAACCAGTCAGGGTACCGAGATTTTTCTATGTACATGTGTGCGAGATTTTTTTTGCAGGCTTTGCATATCATCATGTAAATAAAAAACAAGAACTGAAAATAAGAAAGCGCGAAAGCAAATTATTTTTTGACTGCGCCTTTATGTCGCGAGGTCAAAAACTGAAGCCATACATGAAGCCAGAATTTCCATACAAGAAAACACAAGCATTTGACTGATTTGTTTTCTCATAACTTCTCATCTTTCCTAGGAGGTGCGCTGCCACCCAGATTGCATCAAGTTTCCGTGCCATTTATAGCCAAAAAAGAATGTGAGAAATGGTTTGATACCGGTGATCGTCATCAGGATATTGAACCTTGCTTTATTTGCGCCGGTTACAAGAATGGTGGTCGTGATGCATGCCAGGTAATTTGGCTGTATCCGTTGCTATTAATCAAGCTAATGTGCACGAGGAGCGTGAGTTTCGATATATAATGCCCAAACGATCTGGAGACGTTGCTTCTATGATCTACCACAATAAAAACTAATAACATCTGTCATCAGTCAGCACAAGTGTTGACCTGCTGATAATAAAACTTCATTGTCGCATAACATCGCGAAAACAGACCCAGTGCGTAATTCGCCCTGTGATTTCCACAGGCACGTGAGTTTTGTTAACATGGACCGTGTACATATACGGAAAGGTCACAAACTGACAGTGTACTGTATTGTATGTTTGACGCAGCATGTACGTATGTTATGCTTTAACAGGGGGATTCGGGCGGGCCTGTTGTGCAGCAGATAAATGGCCGTTGGGGACTCGTCGGCATTGTCAGTTGGGGCATCGGATGTGCCGAGCCCAATCTGCCCGGAGTTAGCACGCTGGTGCCACTCTACGCTGATTGGATTCAAAAGAAAACTAAGGGAGATGTTTATATGCCGGAGTTTTACACTGAGAAATATGGCACACCACCAACAATTGCGGCATTAACTGCCAAGCCGGAACAGTGGAAAGATATGAACTAAACGTCCAACTGCAGGAAGGTTGCACAATTGTTTTGTTATTACGTCCGGACGGATATGCATACTATAAAATGGTCTGTACTATGCATTTAATTTATGCTTTGTTTATTTATTAAATAAACAGTTAAAATCGTACACGTACTAGGTAGCTGAAATGGTTTTATGATGATATGTACTTCTGGTGTCCCTGTTTCTGCGCCGCAGTTCGGAAAACAATCCGGCCGGGTGCACCATATTGGTTGACACGAGTTGGCACTATTAAGCCCTGGTTTTATTGGTCCCCTACGATATCGCCAAAAGTGTTTATAATGCCTTTGATGTTATCTGTTTTATGCAAAAAGTCCTATTACGCGTTTTAAAGGAAATTAAAGTTGATCTCCTTCAGAGTATATCAATTTCCCAAGAGCGCTTCGGCCCTATGAATATGTAAGTAGTAAATTTCCGTATTATACATAGTACCGGCCGACGGCCTGATGCGGTTGGACTACTCTTCTGTTCTAATTAAGTAATTATTAGTATGTATGCATTTTAATGCCACTTTTGGACGGCAACAATTGAGCGTAAAAACAAAAGCGTTAACAACAAATGCGTACCATAAAAACAGTTTCAGCCTCTTGTGCTTTAAAGTGAAATCAAATCGCGCGATTGCTGATTTGCGATGCAATCATGTAATTACATGATTGCATCGCAAATCAGCAATCGCGCGTCAAAAAGTATTTTCTAAACTATATCAAAATACTACAACATATCGGTAGTTTCTCACAACATAAATCGACGGCAAGATTTGGGCAGCCGATTAGATACCAGGTTTTATATCAGCACAAATTTGTATCAAAATTACATCCTTTTGTTGCCAAAGACAAAACTTTTGTAAAAGAAATTTATACGTTGTCACTTGTCAATGCAATCTGTGTTGTAACAAAATGTTTAAAACACTTAACTGGCAAGTGCATAAAAACGGGGGCTTTGCTGGTCGCTTGGCATAAATTGTCTTAACATAATAGTAATGCCAGGATATTTATTCAATTTATGTATCGCTATCACCACGCGCTAAACGTTCGTTCAGTACTCGTATTTTATAGCCGTGCGATACACTGAGTAACAAAAACATAGTTTTGGTGCAAAAACAAAACTGTCGGTCGACCGACATAAATAACCAAACACTGCAAAAAAATCGTATATAACTGCAATTGGTTGAAGACTGATAACTGTTAACATTAGTTCCAAATGCAGCTATTAAGAAAATTTTGAGTGCGCAAATGCAAATCGGCAGTAACACTTTTGCTGCAGAGCTTAATCAGTGAAAGCTGTTGTTACGCCTCTTCTGATTGGCTTAGCCGCAACATCAGTATTCACAGCACGTTCACGTTCAGCGCCGTTGTGCCGTTTTTTGCTCCCGAAAACTGACTGCAAAAACAAACAGTCTTTGACTTTCTAAAATCCACGTTTCTAATTTAAATTTTGCATCACCATCTCCAGTTTTTTATTATATGGCTGTCGACAGCCAGATTAATGTTCAGCATTAACGTGAACAGTGCAACTGTTTGCATTTCATGCCTTGAAGCTGCCAAGCGCAGCACTTTATGGAAATGTGCGCAAGACCTGGGCTCGTCTGCAATGCTGTGAAGATCTGAGGAGTTTTGTGCGGATTCTTCGGTAAGATCTTTAGTATCAGCCTCAAATGTCAAACACCAGATTGGTTGAAAAATTATTTGATTTTGTTTGATTTTGTGTCGATGGTTTGATTTGTAGGATTTTGGAAAATGTTGCCCAACAGGATAACTGTGCATGACGACATGCAGTAGGACAGCAGGTACGCATCTGATAAATCATCGTAAACAACCCGCATTTTAGTAGCAGTTTCATTTAAAATAAGATTATTTCCCAAAAACATTCTCATTCTATAGTGCTCCAGTAACACCTCGAAACGCTGTTTTAAATTGCTTTAGACGAATTTTCCGCTGAAATCGCAGTTTGTGTTGGTGCGTATCTACATGCAAGCGTTTAATAACAGGAAGTTTTAAATGTAAAGTTATTCTGATAAATAAAATGTTATTTGTTTGTGACGTTAACTTCCATGTTTTTATTTTGATTTTGAAAAAATTAAACTAGAGAATCTTATAGATTTTATGTCAGCAATTCGGCTGGCAATAACTTGTACCGTATACAGCAGAAAATCCTTCTCTTCAAATGACTTTATTAAATCAAAATTTTTTAATCTTGAAGTAATCTATTTATTTTTATTTGGTTTTCAGCTGCAACAGTGATTTTTATGCTGTATTTTTTCTAATGCAATTGCATGTCAACATGCATGCGTTGTACGGAATAAACCTAAATAATTTCGTCCAGTACAGGAAAACGTTTCGTGGCACCTAGCGCAGTGGAAGTATTTCCAGAAACGTTTGATTTATCAGTAGTTTAAATGCGCTGATGAAATATTTTGCAGGATCAATGAGTGATTGCGTCGGCTTCCCAAAAGCAGATTTGCCGTGCGATGCATGGATGTCGACATCCAAAACTGAATGCAGAATGCCTGGCTAGTGCTACCTTTTTTAGGATCTCATACTGAGCTGTTCAGGCTTTTTTATTCATAGAATATCGGGTTCTGCGTGATAACTGTGTTACGGATCGTGTTTTCATTGCTAATGGCATCGTCGCTGTGTTTTAGACAAGCTCGCTGTTATATACCTGAATAGATATATTTTACATCTAGTACTCATATCGAAATCGGTCATTTTCGTATAAATCTAAGTATTATTACATTACCTATAACATCTACATTTGATTCAAAAGCTATCAATAAACTATATCACAATTCTGACGAGGGTAAGTACTGTTCACAAAAGCTTTTCGTGCAAAAAAAATTAGCACATCTCGTCATCGTTCAATTACAGCCAACAAAATCGTCCGCAGCCAAAGATTCCTGCTGGCAATTATGGTAATGACATCTTGTTAAGGAAAATTAGGAGGCTTGGTAACACGGAAGCCAGGGAATATGCAATCTGGTCAATACTGCTTGCACAGGACGTTATTGACGTGATAGCGGCATGGTGTGAAGATTATGTCAAAGCAGTTCCGAAGTTCGTTGAAAATTTGTTGTCATTTAATACCACTGAAGTGCTCCGGCCGGTAGATCGACCGTGCCTTGTAAAATCGGGCTAAAAAGCCAACTGCGGGATCAGCTATTAGCGCCAGGCGCGAACCGCCTCCGGTGGAATCTGATCAACAGTAGCAGGATAATTCCTGCCTTGCGCTGACGACTGCTGCGACAAATAGCCGCAAAAAGTAACTGACTCGTCAAAAACGTAAATTTACTGATAGTTGCACTTCGAGGTCAATCAGGCATGTCGCTGAGTTTTTTCCTTCGTGTAAATTTTGTGGATTCTTCCGCGTATCAATAAACTGCCTCACTCGAGCCGCATTCACATCTACCATATCGATTACTCAACAGGAATTCTCAATTTCCAATTAGATCAATCAGTGTACAACCCCGTACAGTTGGATACGCACGGGTGCCCTAATGCAGGCTTCCGCTGGAATCCGGCATCACGTTTTGAGCGTATCCCGTCTGTTGTGTGACAAGCACATTTCAAAATCAATTAGTGGCCTGTTATCCAATCTAAGTTAATCCCATGAAACCTACTTTATGCGCCGGCTCAGTATTATCACTGTTATGGACTGTCTACGTGCGGTGCAATGGGCCGTAAATGGGCACTACACAATGCTTAGCCGACTAAATCACACTCTCTCGACCCAGATCGATATCCGTTTTTGGCAAACTCCAGTCAACAATAAACATGTACACACGCATCGCCACTTAAAAACACTGGGCTTCCCTTTCCCGTGCATGTGGTTTGGATTTCATCACACTGGTAATTTGAATCGATCACATTGGGGAAACAGTATATGACGGAACTCTTCCGCTTCCCATATCACAACCTCACCACGGCGTTCACATCTTCCCGACTGTTGACGATAGCCAGCGATATGCCGAAGATGTCTTTGCGCCGCTGAAACGGATTCATGGTGTGATAGTGTGGTCGATGGGGTCGAGTTTCCTCGGCGCCACCTTCTTCTTCCTGCACTTCACTATTGTGGCTAAATGTACTGCCGGCCGATCGACCGGGAGTACCAGCACCGCGACGCGACAACCGCGACCAGTTGGCCTGACACCGTACATACTTTCGTAAACTAAAAAATAAATAAATCCACGGATTTGTGCATGAATTCAGATTAGCCAGCAACAAGAGGATGGCAAATAGTTTTTCACTGGAACTCGTTAAATTGGACAATTCCGGGAAAAATGTGGTCCATAGAAGCGCAAATATGAACGGCGACCAGCATACAATGTAGCATACAATCACAACTGCCGTCAGCTTCACTACAACGATAATGAAAATACCCGTTATACACTGCTTTCATCGAACAACATAATGTGTGATTTCAACACAATCATTGATTATTGACTTCCAGTGACAACTGTAGTTTGCGGCAGTCGTAGTGACCAAATGTGCTACGAAGTTAAGGAATAAAAGCTCCGTTTTCCAATGAAAGATAGCAATTACGCTTGCACCACGCCGCAGCGCTTTCCTGATATAAACAAATATTACAATTATGTACCTTACAAATTACACTTTAAATTCGTCTTAAGTATCGCATTTCCTGCAGCTTAGTCGGTTGTTACACCGCAGTCGAATAAAAATTCAATTAATTAGTGCATCACACAAAATTGACAATTTAGAATTTGCATTAGCACCGGCAAAAATTTGTCTGGAACGTCTAGATACTCACTAGCTGGATTAATTTGCCATGCATCATTAAAAGGCATCATTAAAAGTGTACTCGTACGAATGCCTTGCGGGTCGACAGTCGTATGTTTCGAGGGTCGAAGCAATAGCTACAGTGCGCTTGGTTGACCATCTGCGTTGCATCTAACCATAAGGAGCTATCTCTTGACAAATCTTTTTCTATTCATTTTTAATTTCATAAATTTTCACAAATGTAAATTAGTTTTTGCTCTTAATGGATGTACAAAGTAGTTCCTTTGTCATTTCTTTGCTAAGTGGCTCTTCGCGTAACCGTTTTGTTCTATGCATATTGCATGCTTTTATTACTCGATAAAGAAGACGCATAAATCGATTAAGAAGGCGCACGCGTAATTTTCAATCTAATGCTTCCACGAAACAATTATTTAAGCTACAACTGCGCACAGCTTTAAAATTTAATGAATTATAAAATCTGTGGGAGTACGTTCCCATAAATAAAATAGCGGTACAGCCCTTTAACTGCCGGCTAAACTGGAGGCTGTTTGTTACCATTGATTACTGCGAAAATTACTGCACCTGTTAAGAGTTTAGTTCTGTTATACACTCTCCGATAAGTGGAATGAGTCGTCCGTCCGACAGATGAGCGCGCATTAAGAATCGGCAAGGAAGACTGGGAAACTGTACTTTTCCGTGAAAGCGAGTTACGTGACCTTTGCACCACTGACGCTTTACCGCCGGGTTTGATTTTTAAGGCACCGTTTTCCTTGAGGCGTATTACCTGTATATGAATAATTGATTAATATTGCCATATACTTGATCGTCAAAGGTGAATTATCGATCGCCTTCAAAGCCACATGATTACCTTCCATACTGTTTGGATAACTTTGGAATAGCTGAATATTTGCAAAATCAATGGAAAAAGGTAAATACTGAAGGCAAACCAGGCCACATACATTTTGGAGCCTGCAAAAAGCAGATAAGGAACAAGCATGAAGAATGTACACTAATTTATCTATAATGTAATTGTCATTAAAATGGAAATGGCCAACCAACCCCATGGTTCGATAAACGAGGCCCAACAGTCAAAAACGCCGGGGAGTATTTGCTGTTGGGAAAATACAAAAATCTGTGGTAATGAGCACAAAATCGAGATGATCCACGCCGTCAATATCATCACTTGACAACGCCGACCGCGCCAAGAATAACTGTTTAGCGGATAACAAATGGCCATCATTCGATCGTAACCTGCAATTTCACAGACCAATTGCGCATATTCCGTCATGTAGCGTTCGACTACATACAACTAGTAAAAATCGATCATTGTGTGTATACTTCTATCGCCGTAGCACTGGATAAATAATTTACTTTCATCCAATAAGCACAGTTTTTTTACGATTTGTTTTGTGACGACTGTACGATGAAAAGTTGTGCAAAAACAATTCGATAGATCTTTATCGATTAATATGTCGACATTTCTTGATTGCGTGATCAGTGAAATGTTTTGCTGTAATTTATTGATGAGTTATGCATGTTCAAGCAAAAAGCCGGTTAAAAATTGATTTTCTAAATGCCGTTAACCTTACATGCACTTTTTTCCAGTATGATTAGAATATTTTGTCGATCAGACAGTCTTCGATTGAACAGTTTCACTTACACATCATGACCAATATCCAAGCCGAAAGGTATATGGAGAACACTTGACAAAATTTAACAGTTTTACATAGGAAATCGTTGCCTTTGAAGCGCCATGTGATATCCCAGATCATTTGTGGAAGAACGTTGAGGAATGCCACAGAGAGATCAGCCAGGGAAAGATGTAATATAAAGTAGTACATCCTTGTGATTTTTTGTCGACGCAGCAGAAGCACAATAAGAACAGCCATGTTGCCAACAAAAGCTACACCAAAGCAGACTCCCATTAAGGCTATTTCCAGCTAAAAAAAATCAATATCAATTGAGAAACTCATTTAAACGTCTCGCTGTAAATTATAATGTATGTTCATATCAAAGTTTAATTCACGACGAAAGTAATTTGTGACGAAAATATTCTGTCACCATAATTCCTGCAAAATATTTTTTTACCATTGTAAAATTTTATGTAATTAGAGGACATATTCTGCATCCACAATAAGTGTGTAACTTTAAAACTGCTTCGTCAATGTTTAAAGGCGATGCATTTATGCATTATTTTTTTCGTAAAACAAAGGCAGGTGCCACGACAACTTTCATTTTAAAAACATCAGGTTCTTCGTCACCGCGACTAAGTTATAGGAGCATGAATGCACAAAGGAATAATCTCGCAGATAAAACCGAAGCTGCAACCAATTGCTTTGTGCAACAGGAAGATACCAAACCAACATACCAACATAGTATTGCACCATTGTTAATACTTACTGGTGTTTACGCAAAAGAAAGTAATTTTTACTGCGAAAAACTTTTGTGCATCAAACTTTCTACATAATTATACTCGCAAATATTCAATTAACGTAACTGTATCAAGGCGCCCGAGTAAGATTATAATAACTTAAAAGTTCAGATTAATGCAACACAGTATCCGTACTTGCATATTGGAGATTAGATCAAAAATTAATGAAGCACGGTTATGAAAACCGCTTTAAAAATCTCACAGACCGTGCGAGCTAAGCTTGCATGTTGTATGGTATTTTGATAAAACAATGTCATAATTATCAAACGGAGTACATGATGGCATTTTATAAAAGACCGCTAAACGACTGCTCGGAATTTATCTCTTACTATCGAGAGCTGTTTGCACCTAACCGGCGTCCGGCATAAGGTATTTTTTACGCAGTAGCGTTCACTACAGTATAGACATGTCAGATAATTATGCACGATACTAACAATTGTAAGGCTCGTCGTGCTGAAAAATACTGATTGCGACTTTTAAAAAATAAATACCTGCGCCAAATCTTCATCCCGAGTCCTGTACGCATTGTTATACGAGCTCGAATTGCCAGATGTGACATTGTATTCGTCCATACAATCACTGGATGTTGACATGACTGTTCTGTGGGTCAAAGTGAAATGGCACTCCAGCAGATCGTTTTTGCATCCCAAGGAAAAACAATGTTGACAACAGAGCCGATTTCATTTAGCCACATGTATCCCCAGCGAAACTCGATTTTAAAGATACGGATATAACCAACCTCTGAGGTATAATGCGGCAACTGTCAAGGTACACAGTAATGTATACGTATGCAAGCATGATAGGGATTTGATGTTCACACTAGCGAATCTGCCGAATCACACGTTCGTGACCTTCACGATCAGCTGGCGGCAGGGTTTCAAACACACCATCTCATCTGTCATCAACACTATCAGAATTGTTCCATGTATTGGGCGTACAAAAATGCGGTCTTTCGTAGCTCCGGCGCTGCTGGAGATGGAACAAATCTCGGGATAACACAGGATGGATTTGTTTTACCTCGTTGTTCTATTGTGCTGCCACTTGTATGGTTGCCGTATTCCTCACAGGTCTTACACTGTGCTTACATTATGTATTTTACAGCAACAGATACTCAAGACGGGAAAAGATTTAGTGGAACCGACATTATAAGTACCAAAACCCTGACAGTTCATAAGGAAACGCAGTTCGCAGCGCCAAGGTGGCATCGGCGCCAATCGGAGCCTGGAGGAGGCCGGATGGTGCAGGAGCATGTGCACGACGTGCACTTCCATCAGCTTCCGTGCACGCCGCTATTTCATTGGGAATTTGTGATGCACTGTATACAGTATATGCAAATGCACTGTACAGGGTTGTTACACAAACCATTGACTTGAAATATTATTTTTAGTTATAATTCTTGGCCTATGCCGCTCTTTTTTTACTGGCATCGAATTGGCCATGGCTCGTCGTTTATTAAATGTTATTTTAGTATTTTAATAACTGGAGACAGTAAGTGCAGGCAATATTCGCTTCGAGTATTAAACATTTTAAGCCATTACAAACTGATTACCTATATCTGGATGAGCAAGTCGTTGCACTTACAGTTAAAGTAAGACTTTTGGCACTATATATGTCGGAATTACCGGAGTAAAAGGTGATATAATGCCGCGGCCGTATGTTCGGTTTTACATAGTTTAAGTTGAAGTAAGCAAATTGAGTTGATTAAGTCAAATTTGCTTTTAAGCCAAAAGTAAAATAAAATTATAACATGGGTGTATCTAACAAATTTTTAGTTGCGGATGTGAATTATGCGCTTACTAACAAGATTTATTGAATATCCATAAACATGTGAATTAAAAACATGGGTTTAGTTTTCTTAAATAAACTTTACTTGTTAATGAATTACATGCATCTGCATGGAATGCGCTGTAATTGCGTCACAGGAAGTGCAACAAGATCGTCTCTGTTATTACCAACCCGGAGTTCACGAAAGGGCGTTGCGTATCGTGTTACGCTGATTACTATTAAATTGGCTATTTTGATCCAAACGAAATTTCACCAATCTTTGAAATACACTTGTTCAACAAATTACAGCCAATAAAACGTATCCTACAAAAAACGGCTACGTACAATACTTATTGTGGTACATGGCATAAGGGAAAAAGAACAGAAATGATTCTTCCAGTTTAAATTCGGTAGCACCGCGGCAAAAGGTCAGCAATTCGGTAACACCGCGGCAAAAGGTCAGCAAAACCTACTGTCGTTTGCACATGTTTGATCGAACTGTTGAAATTGAACTTATATATGATGCTTTTAATTAGTGTAAACCTGCGCAGGCGATTTATTATGTATGCTGGCCGAAGCCGAATAAAAGTTACACTTATTATACCCTGCACTTCGTATAGATTTTTTATCACCCTTTTGTTGCGTGAAATGGTGTGCTAGTCAGTTAGCCAAAAACCAAAAGTTAATTCGTAAATAAAAAAGCTGACAGTAGTTAACTTCAGACGATACGCACAACATTCGGTTCAAAAATTGTGTATTAGTACTTCTGTAGATGCTATGGTGTCTAACCGCAAAGTGCTAACACCTAACAGTTTACGCTTTGAGATACAAATTACTCGAATATATAATATTTGAGTATTAGTGAACGAGTACGTAGTTCTGCGCGGATTAATAATGTAGGCATACGAGTTATGACTGCGACAGACTGTCGACAAAATTTTCAATTGCAGAAATAAATTAAGTGATTTTTACCTTGAGAATGGGATGTTAATTTAATTACTTAATTTGTTATTATATTAGTTACTTATTACTCTTGGCAACTCTTCTTTAATTTGTTGCTGCTTTGTGTAAAAAGCTTGCTATTGTGTTCTGAAAACTATAATTTTATAACGAAAGATCACTCGGAAAAATTGTTACTGTATAAGTGTTTTAATTATAGGTTCATACGGTAGATCTGTTGCCTGTACCAAACGGAAGCTCGTTTATGAGAGCAGCTCTCGTAATACTGTATTGTCGAGTCAACTTGCCACCTTTTTTTACAGTGAGTCGTATCCGATTAGCATACAACTCGCTGTAAGAAAAGGTGGCAAGTTGACTCGACAATACAGTATCTGCAGTCCGTAATATCCTCACTTGCGGAAGCTGCTGCCGCCTTGAGTAGCAGCAGAAATGTACATAAGCAACCCAATGCTGCATACAGTTTGAACTTTCAAGCCTAGAGAGTAGAGACTAATCAAGCCTTAAAAATGAACTGTTACCGTAGTTTCATTTTTCAGATCGTATACGCCATACGGACACTTTCAAATTTATTTTTAAAAGCTTGTAATGCTTGTTTTCAAACTTTGTCTCTCATTACACCTGACGACTCCATGATATTCTGTTGTTTTGTATTTTATATCAGCAGAGTGTATATGACGTTTGAAACATCGTAACTCGTAACTGGTTGAGAAATTTTATCAAGCTGGATTTCGATCGCGAAATGGCCAAAGAGAACAATGCAGCTGGAAAAAGCCAGCCAAAACAGAACTCCAAAACGAATTTTTTTGACGACAATCAGGACGATGATTTCTCCTCTTATTTCCGAAGCAACAAAAAGGCTTCCTCTAATCCATTTGAAGATGAAGATTCTCCAGATGTCGCACCGCGGAGGAAGCCTGATCAGGGAGGCGCACCATACGGCGACGCTCACGAGAAGCTGTTGTCGCCGCGCGAACTGTACCAGCAGGAGGTGCAGACAATCCAGGATAGAACGCTACATATGACCGCTAAATCGTTGCTGGTAATCGACGAGTCCGAAGCAGTGGGGACAGCGGCAGCACAGGTATCTTGAAGTGAGATTCAAGAATTCATCTTTTGCAGCTTTGCTTAATATAATGTAACACTTTTAAAATAAGTTGTAATGGATGCAGACACAGAGATCCCATCTAAAGTCAGATGTGTCATGTAATCCAGCTCAAAAACTGAAAATTATTTTAATGGTAGAAGTTTTTAGATTTATTCGAAAGTTTTGGGATTTGCACTAATAATGATTCAGTTTTTCTGCTTCATTTTTGAACTTTTCTTTTGTATTTTGAAATTTTCGATTTGAGCACACCATACTATGCATGCATCGCCTGTTTTAATCAGTCTGACGAGTGACAAGATTAACTAAATTTTCAAGTTACAGATAAGTAACAGATCTATTAATATGTAACGCTGACTTCTGCAGGAACTTCTCGCCCAGCGAGAGCAGCTAGAACGTACAAATCGGAATTTAGACGAAATGAACACCACACTGGATCAGTCGCAGAAGCATCTCAATAACATCCGCAGTGTTTTCGGTGGAATCAAAAACTGGTGGACATCCAAACCCGCGGAACCAGCGAAAACAACAGTTTCCAGCAGCTCGAGCAGTCTTCGCAGTGTTGTCGAATCCTCTTCTGCACAAGCCGCCTCCGAGCCTGGTAAACCTCGGAGCAGCTCAGCTGATATCCCTCCTCAGCCAAGCAGGAATACTCCTCAGTCTGCTTATTCTGCGAGTAAGCAGTTTGACAAGGCGCTGGACTCCAATCTCGATCAAATGTCGTTAGGGCTTTCGCGTTTGAAGGGTTTGGCGGAAGGGCTGGGGACGGAGATTGAACAGCAGAACAAACTGCTGGATGATATGTCAACGAAAACCGACCGTGTTAGCAGTAAGATGGGCGACCAGCAGAAGAGTATCGACAAAATTCTCGGGAAGAAAAAGTAGACGTCCGCATTGTCAGACTCTTAGCTCATTCCGGTGTACAGACTTTTATGCTACATTTAGATTTCTTATTCTGTTTTGACTTCTCGGTGACATAAGACACTGTTCTGTTGATTATGAATTTCATTAGATTTATCATATTCCGGTAGATATACCGTATACGTATTCAATGGCAGTTAAATATCAAAACATTTCAAGAAGATAACGCACAAGGTTCACTCGTATTCTTTCAAGCGCACATCTAGTCGATCAATTTCACTGCAAGATTCTCCTAATTAAATTAAATAGCAAAGTTTTTATATTAGTACTTTACGATACGGGTAACAAATGTGATCACAAAAAAACTTGCCAACAAATGAACAATAGAAAAGGAACGGAGCTGAGAGTCTGAACTCTTGAGCAAAATCAGACCGCAGATAATTCGCCAGCGGAATTTAGTTGGCGAGTCAGGAGCAAGAGGCGAGACGAAAGATACGCATTGCGTTTCTTGAGATACAAGATTTCATCTGACTGCTTTTCAAGCAAATCCTCCTTGAAAGTGTGATCTCTGAAAAGAATTTGATGCGCCTTTATATAAAACGGCTTAAATAACAGACAAATATTGTAACATAGTTAAGAACGCATGCTGTTACGGGAAAGTCAGGTTAGTACTTAAAGCCAACTTGTGATCCATGGTTTATAGATGTCTGCAAGATTCTCTCGGTGCTCAAGTCTTCCTGGAGCACATCCGGTGTGTCTCGCGCTTTGTTGAACCGGTAACTGATAACTGTAATGAAAATTATGTAAGATTGTCCGACATTAGAAGTAACCACCGTCGCAGGCAACATAAATCTTACGTAAATAGAAAGCACAAATAGGAATTATTGCCGCCACTTCCAGACAACAAACCAGCTGTGCAGCGTTCGCACGTGTAAAATTCTTGACGCAGTGAATTTTATCCTGGCAAAGCTCATCCGTCAAGATGGTAACCAGCAAAAAGCTAGCCAGACCTACGAGAGAGAGATACTTTTAAGACATACGAGAAATACAGAGGTACTTTTAACTGATAAATATGGCTAACATAAATTTCAAAGATATCCAAAAGTTTTCCACTACCCGATCCATACTCTTACATTAAGTAGTAACTACAATTTCTTTACTGGAAAGACCTCGGTTGTAAAACTGTAAAACTTTAAATTATCTCTCAGATGTGCGATAAACCGAAGACTGAAAACCGAAAGTAAAATATCTGTATCGCAATTCCACTCACCCAAAGTTGTCGAGATAAACGGTAATCGACGAATCATTCGCGTTCTTCGGTAGAACTCCAAATATCCCCAATTTCTTGATGTCAGATGTACTTTTCGCAGCCAAATATCGATTCCCAACATCACAGCAAATACAGAAATTTGCAAATAAGCGATCATATCGAAGGCCGTGATTCCCCTGCACCTGTCGGAGCAGATTTCCGGGAATATAAACGAAAACATGGCATTTGCGATCTGCAAAACAAAGCGTTTCATATGTACCCAGTTGCATGGCAAAAGTCTATGGTTTCGAAAAATCTGCAATTTAATGATCATCAATATTAAAAACTTAACAAATCTTTTAAGAATTCTGAATTCACAGTCCAATGAACTAGCCAGGGACTAAACAGTGAGGAAATTACCACGCAGATTATTGCCGCAATAATCAGAGGTATATTTCGTATGGGGTGAAATCGGGTCTCGCCATCATCTCCCTGAATAAGACCCGATGAAAATCCATTGGAGCTACCAGCCATATCCCAGAACGCCACTTCGTCCGCTTCCGTGATTAACTGAGCAGTATCGACATCCGCCATTCTGTCAGCGGTTCGTTCAGTTAGATTCTGCAACGAGTATACCAGATGAACCCAACATGTAATTCATCCAAATTCAATGGTGATGCTTAGCAGGCAGAAAAGCAAAATCTGATGGTGAAAATCAGAGCGGCGTTCCCAGGGAATGCCATCATGACTTACACTGATATAAGTCGTGTCCCTTCCTAAGCTGACCATTATCCTCGTGGATGGATCGATTTTGCAGTGAAATCAGTAATCCAGAAACGTTTGGCGAACCATAGCCTTTAGAGAAACTACGATCCAGGAATACAGGATATCATGAAATCCTTCAGCCTTCACTTTTACTGGCCCGTCATTATTTACAGCCTCAGTGTTCTATGCCAAAGCAGGACTGTGGAGCTGAAGTAAACATCAAAGCTGCATTCTCAAAATCAAAACCAACCTTCCTTCGGCTACCTTCGTCCTGTTTTTATTAATCCCAGTTATTTAGTCAAAACAATCATAAAACAGCCAGTTATGTGCGATTTGGCGAGTACTGCAAGTGCATGCGCAAACACTTCAATAAGAACGAGGAAGCAACTGGAAAAAAGGCCTGCAATATCCAACTGTTCCAACAAAATGATTTTTTTCCGTAAAACCACGTATATTTACTCGTATATCTTATTAAGCAATTTTTATTTTTCAGTGATTAGATAGCCAAGTAACCGCCCCCGTTTACCGGGTGCACCAGCAGCGGTTGGTTTTGTCAGTTATCCACGGACTAGAAGTATGGCAAGAAACACTACGAGGACAGTAGTTCTTCGCGGTCGTTGTCTAAAACCAGTTGAGTACTTTTGCTGTTGTGCATATCGCTGACTGCTGTAAAAATTTTAAGTTATTAGTAGTTATTACTAGTAATAATTTTTTATTTGTATCGGCTACAGGTAGTGGTGGAACTAATCTCTGTATTTCTATTTCTATCTGATAAATGAAGTCTGGTATTGGAGGGTTATTTCTTCGGATGTAAGCTGTAATTCCTTGTGTATCATGGCAGCATCTCCAGGAGAAGGTAGGTTGTTAAACACCTCTAACTAAGGATTAGTTTTTTTACTGTTTGCAATTGGTTTTCTGGACTTGGATCGAGTTAAAGAAATTTTGAAGATTGTTGATGATGTGAACGTATTTTACAGTAATCGAAAATGCGACTGCCATCGAGTCTGACGATTTTGACATCCAAAGGCAGAATGCGTTATGGGCAACGGTGTTCTCTGGATTAGGGACCATCAAGGAAATCCTGCTCAGATCCCTGCATTCTGATCCATCCATTGTCAGCAATGCCGCTCAACGGCCAGTGGGCGAACGTTCGCATTTGGCAGCGGGTAGGTTTGGTAAAAGTCGAGGCAGTCTGCAGGTACGAAGTTTTACCTGACGGCCTTACCCAAAACATTCTGGCAGTCTTCGTTAAGTTTTGTTAAGTTGATAGCAAGATTTGAAATAAGTGTCTGTGTACAATCGGATTATGCTTGTTATATTCAGAATTTACTTGTGAAAAGTCAGTACAAAGTCACTACAAACATCTCTTCATGGTGATGTGATAAATTATCATTGCCGTTACTTTGTCTATTCGCCCGCTGGATCGCTGATTTTCGTTGCTTTTGTAGAGTTGATGGAACAAGAACTCCCAGTAACGAACAGCGAGCAAGTTTCGAAGACCAAGTACAGTTTTTTACTGGATGAATCTGACAGTTTGCGTAATACCAGTGACATATATGTGCTGGATGGATTGAAAGACGAGTTGGAAAAATCGACAGACAATCGCGGCAGCGCTAGCACAGATCGCGATGCCAAAATTATTGCTTTGGAAGTAGAAATCAATCAGCTCAACGCGGCTGTAGCACGATTTCAGACCGATCTCCAATATGAACGAAAAGAGAACATTGGTCTGCAGCAGCTAAACGACCAGTTATACTCTGAATTAGCCGAGTTGCGGGCGCTGATTTCTCGGTTGCAAGATCGCAGCCAGGTCAATAATGTTCAGTCGCAAACTGAACCGCAAGACAAACCCAGCATGTTATCAAAGGAGCCAAAGAAGGGCAAGGCTATTTTACGAACGGAATCGCTGGATCGAGGAAAGGATGTGGAACGGATACTGTCGGCGCAGGATGCGGAAATCCGGCGGCTGCGTGCCGCGGCGGTCAACAACTCAGAATTGATGGTGGTTATCTCTGATCTACGACGCCAGTTGAGCGATCGGTCAGCACAGGTGGAATTATTAAAGAAAGAGCGAGAAAGCGTTGGGTCTTTTATTACTTGTGGTGAGTTCCCAGACGCTGCTAAATTATTAACCTACGCGTAAGCATTTACTCGTTGCTGTTGGCGTTAAAGAGAACGCAATTCTGCATTTACACACGGACAAGAATTTTTCTGACGTGCAGCTGATAGCCAGCGAATCTTATTCCCGAGTTCCGGAAGCCCAAACATGGTAACGCATTTGTATTGTACATAGTGCCCACAAATGTCCTAATTTTCGTTTAATTTTTCGATTTTCTGTTGTTGGTGGGATTCGTAGCGGCTTACTTTGCTTCGTTACACTCCGTCTGCGTTTGTTAATTTGGGTTTCGATTTCCAGGACCGGCTCTCTTACATCTCTTCATTCCGATTCTTGTCGTTTTGATGAAGAAACGGCGTTTGATCATCGTTTATCTCGACGAGCTTCACAAAATTCAGTCTCGAGCCGAACAGAATCTTGTACGTACTACATTGCATGCGACTTAAAACAATAATTCGGTAACTTGGTCTAAATCTATTAATTCGTGCGAAACCGATTCAGGAACGAAACAGTAGGTGTAGCGAATACTGTTTGTTTGGTATAACTCAGTTTCCGCAGTCGAGTCTGCCGAATACTGACAAGAGAATTCGATCAAATCGCTGTATCATGTATGCATCCGCTCGCACCAACTGGTTATTGTGCCACATCCCTAAATCGTGATCATTTCCTTTGTAGATTCGTTTCGGTACAATGACAATACACCTTCGCGCATGGAAGAACTAGAACGCAGAAACAGAGCACAAAAGCCGCATCTGAAGTCATCCTATCCTGTGGAGTCCCGAGTGTCAGCCTGGCGTCAGGATCCAAATGTTTCGACTTCCGGTGCTGGAGAGGAACGTAACAAAGACGAAAATGTAGCGGCGGTGTGTCTGAAAATAAACAAAATGAATATCAATTAGGCATACTTATTAGCAGTGTTTAGTGTCACTCTACTAGTATTGTACATAGTACAAATGGTAAGACTGCTTACCTTACCATGGAACTTTTAGGCCGCTTTTCTTTCGGAAAAAGTCGAAAAACACGATGATGTTCCAAAGAAACATAAGGGTTTCTTCAAGAAGATACAGGACGCTCTTCATGTGAATGTGTCAACAACGAAGGAAAAGAACTTAAAGAACAGTTCGGAAAAATTTACGGTTGGCATTGTGCAATTCGTACCATTGCTATCAACATAAACAAGTACTAGTACAATAATTATATGCAGTTTGCAGGCACCGGTTGAAAAGTCGTTGGCGTTTACCATTCAGATTACTCCGGAAAAGAAAACAAAATCTGTTAAGGCGAAAAAAGCCTTGTGAAAAGGAAAACCTTAGTTTCTTGATTTTCTAGATGCTGCATTCGCGATGAGCGCCGTTGGCATGCCGAATGGCTTGGTATCATCAGATCGCGCGTTGCTGTTTAACAATTAATGGCTTGATTTTAATTGTAACATACAGTATACAGTAGAGTTACTGTGCAAGTGTTAAACATAATAACTTCTAACAATGTTTCCGGTACTTTTGAAGTAAAAGAGATGCGTTGCTTTATGGTCTCATTTCCGCTCTCTGTCGGTAAAAGTTTTTGGACGTAAGAAAAATCTTCATTTTATAGGATGTTTAAAGGGAGTTGATTCTCAGAAAACATTGTCGTAAAGATGTCCTGTGCTTCTTCAAATCTCCGAAAAGTTCATAAATTTTTAATAATACTAGTTTTGTGCTGTGGTTCTCTTGCGGTCTCGTAATTGGTATAATACGGGCATTTTTTTTATAATGATCTGAATGTCTGAATTCAGTGAAATTAGAAAAATAAATTATAATGTTGAAGTTGAACGATTAACCGTAATATAGATATGAGTATACGGTACATACTTCGCTTTCGCTGGTCCAAAGTACCATGCAGCGTACATGCCGTACACTGTACGTGCTGTATGTACATACTTTCAGGTCTTCGCAGTCGGTACTGTACTGTGCAGCCAACAGACATACAGTACACTTTGTGGTGTCTCGTTATTACAGTTAAATCCAGTTTGAAGTTATTGTAAATTCTTAATACAGTACTGTACTGATTTGATTGAGCTATTTTATTACAAACACGTAGTATTTTGTCTTCCAGTTTCATGCATGTTTTTAGGAATGAAAAAGGTTTCTCTTATTTGAAATCTAGAACCTACGAGTACAATCGTAATCGTGCATTATTAGTATACTTACTGTACTGCAGAAAAACTTCGGATGCACTGAATGTGTTACAGCGTCGGGATTTGGAAATTTAGTTTCTATAATGAATCGTTGAATTGTTCGAATTTTTATTTGGATGATTGTGATATTTGGGATTTGGGACCTGGGACCTGCCACCAGCCACACCAATATTTCATTCCGAATCAGGGAGCAAAATTTATTTAGAAATCACTGCAGACATTTCCATTTGAGATTTATTACGATTAGCATTTCAACTAACCACCATGGATACCGACGAACAAAGAAAGAGGATGGGACTGCTTGAATACCTGAAAAAAGTGAAAGAGCAAGTGGTAAGTTAAATAACCAATAGTTGGGACTGCTGTATCATTTTAAAGAATTCGGGCAACACCGGAATACCACGAAGAATTTTAGATGTTTCAGTTCGTATTTTGTAGTAACACACAATTTGTTATGTGTAAATCTGGGTGCGCTGGCGGCGTACCCTCCCGATTTCTTCTGTTTTTTCTTATTGTTCGCTTGATTTTTTATTTATGATTATGGGTTTCGAAATTTGCTTATGACAATTGTAAGAAGGAGCTGTTAGAGAAAGCATGTTAATTTCCGGTTTTGATTACGTTAGCGTTTCTCGGTTAGTTTTGGCAAAGCCTAAAATTACAGACGTTTTGTCCGGTTTTGCGTGTGGAATAATTTTTCTACCGCACTGGAAATTGGCTGCTGCCGTACGAGCATTGCGTAATTGCCGGCTGATTGTCGGTGTGGTTCGTGGAAGTTACGAAACTGTCACATCGGCACGTGTGCCGTGACTGCGATTATGGTTGGAAATAGCGCTTTAATCGATTCCGGTTAAAAGCGCACTCAGGCGGCTTACTTGTCAGTTTTTCGATTCTTCTGGGTTTCCTTGGCCTAATGTGAACTCATCACCCTTAAAAAAAAGCAGGATTGCTTAGCATTGAGCCGCTGTAGAATAAAGCAATTAATTGATGTTCTGATTAGAATAAAGCAATTAATTGCTCCTGTGGCCTCTGCAGACTGCAGGTGGTTTTCTCTGCTTTGTTAAAATGAAGAAATGTACTTACTTACAGAAATTAAATTTGCTCGAGCCATATTATTTCTCAGTGTGCTGTGGGGCTATGGTAAAATATTCCGAATTTCCGTTAACAATTTTTCGTTCGCGGATTCCGGTAAATTTTTAATGCCGCGCGCCATCGCGTGATCGTATGAATTAGTAGTGTTGGATAATCATTCTAATAACTGGTTCAGTGATAAAGGGAGTTACTGATATAATTGTACATACATATCACCGTATCAGTCTTTTTACTTGTGTTTATAATAAGAGGCCTTTAGAGTAATAATTAAAGACCATTCAGTCAGGTGGATGATGCGATATCATCAATACTGTGTATACGAGTTTTATCAATACTGCCTGTTTTTGTGCATCGTGTGTCTACTTGTGAACTATTTCTTTTTGTAGATTCTTCTTTTTGTAGTTTGATTCTTTGAGTAATTGAGTATTAAACGTTCTTTATCGTATGCGGGGAACCTTTACGCAAACCAACAAATGCTTTCCAAATTTGCACTCCTTAAAAAATGGGCTTTTACATGAGTAATAGCTTTCTGTATTTGTAAGTTGGAGGTGCACTCGGGCACGGTAAATTAATTATGTTTCCGAAAGTGGGAGTTCGATAACAATCAGGATTTGCTGTACCTGTCGCGATTTCATTTGCGGAAATAAAATTTAGTTTCTTAATATTAGCAGTACTTACTGCCGGCAAGTACCGCTTTGTCGGTTGTTTGATTGAACAGATTGAGATGGGATAAAAGAACAGTCCAAAATGACATTTGAAGAATCGAGACGATACGTTTTTGTTGACTGTGGTGACATTTAACCTAGTGGTTTGTGGAACTTTGTTGTAAAGTTTCTAGAACTTCGTTACGGAATTTGGAATTTGACCACCCATTAAGTAACGCCGAAAAGTACCACAGCAAATGAACCTCGTGCATCTCGCATGCAGATGGTCAGCCTGCGATGGCATACATAATAAGGCCGGTGCTTCGTGAAATTGTTACATAGTCAACTTAATTGTCGCCACTGCGTTCGCCGCATTGCAAGCCGAACACTTTTCGAAGCATTACACCATTGAAGTCCCAGCTCGTGTTTCTAAGAATGTTTGGAATATGTAATGTGAAATATTTTTCAGGCTCAGAAAAACTGGCTGGATTTATGGGAAGGTGTCCGTATTGTTGTTGGTAGCGAATCATGCGATTTGGATTCCGCGGTATCAACACTGGTGTATGCATTTCACGTTCACAAGGTTGACTGACCATTTTGACAAATTAGCATGCACTGACATTCATATTGTATGCGGTAAACTTTTAGACGAGCGACGCTAAGTGTCTCGTGCTTCCGGTACTTAATACTCCCGAGCAGGATTACATCCTGAAAACCGAAGTCGTCTTCGCGCTACAAGAGCAGGGCATTGATAGCAGTCAGCTGATATTTTTGGACCAAATTACCATTTCCAAATCCAAACACTGGACCAAAGTGCAGTTAATCCTCGTTGATCATTCCACTCCCGTGGGTAAACTGGCCGATTCCCGAGCCACTGTTGCTGAAATTGTTGATCATCGAGCGTTAGTTCCGGGGCAGGATTACCCCGAGTAGGTGATTTAGTGACGTATTACATACACAGCGGAGACTAACGAACCTAATCTAACGCATGATTTGATGCCTCGCAGAGACGCACTCCTGACAGTTGAACCTGTTGGCTCATGTGCTACCTTGGTGGCAGAACGTTTGCTCAATCATCCCGACTCGTGTGCCCTGACGGCTACAACTGCTTACCTGCTCTACGAAACAATTTTACTTGATACTATCAATTTTTCACCGGAAGCACGCAAGGCTACTGCGAAGGATCGCCGTGTGGCTGACGAATTAGTGAAAATGATTCCAGTTACCGCTGTTAAACCGCCCCAGCAGATTCTATCGAGACTGTTGGATGCCAAAGCGGATATTGCGAAATTGAGCATTTCCCAGTTACTGCAGAAGGATATGAAAATCATCACAACGGAAACACAGGAAGAGATGAAATTGGCTATTTGTTCTCTGCCTGCATTAATAAAGGTCAGTCAAGTTGCATAAGGTCAATACTGATTATATGGTGCATATTGTGTGCCCAACAGTTACTATACTCGTACACTGTGCAGTAGTTCGAAATGAATTACTCAGTTATGCAGTATGGTTTAATAAGCGTATAATATACTTGCTCTGAATTTTTGATTCTCCGCAAAACTGTTCGGCAGTCATCGTGTTTTCTTCTTGAGTACATGGCAGGCGTTTTTCGTTGAAAATTTTCCTTTAATTAACGACATTTTTCTCCTCTGTAAGATACAACCACATACTTTGATGCTATGATTCTGTGAATCTCTCGATACTGAAGTTCAATCGTTACTGCTTACTTAATGATATCAGCACAGCTTTATGCTTATGTCTACTTTTGTTTTCAGGAACGTTGTATTTCTGAGGCAGCTCAGACGGAGATCGAACAGTTTTGCGATCAGCGAGAATTGGTTGGTGCGGTGATTTTGGGTACTTCGATTTTGTGTGATGAGCAGTTACAGCGTGATATCTTGCTGTACGTCCCAGACCATTTGCTGCTTAATCGGGTAAGTGCGAGGTGCATAGTGCGAAGTACGGAAGCAGTCACACGACGGTCAATGCTGTATCGCAAATTCGACGCCATCGTCTGCTGTATCAGATCGAGCCTGTAGATTTTGTCCCTTTATCATGTTGGTACTCGTTTTATTGACTTAAATTATTTAGATTGTCAATGCGCTGCATGAGCGTCGTCGGAACTCGACGCTCCATCTCCAGGCTATTGACGATAACTTCCGCCCGAAGAACCTCTCCTTCCGCTACTTTAACCAAACCAACGTGACAGCATCAAGAAAGCAGATTCTACCGGTGCTGCAATCTGTGCTGGACACTGCCAGCGTGATGCTGCCACCGTTCCACGGTGAACAGGATGATGATGATGAGAACGAGTCCAATTTGGACAGTTATCCTACTAGTGTTCCACCCAATAGCTACGTGGGCGAGGGATTTGTTCATGATACGCAGTCGGTGATTGGACATGTGACGCAGCGTGTGCAACGCATGCAGACCGGAGGCAATCCGCTGTATTTTCCCACGAGTGGGGAGAAGCGATACCGGTCGGATAGTCCACTGGGAGAGCGGCTGTTTGATTACGATAATATTAAAGGAAGGAGCGAGCCGTTCACGCCCAGCAATACCTTTGTGGATGAATCGGTGCTGATGCAGGAAGGAGCGCATCTGGACACCCAGCATGTGGGCATTTTGCAGAACAAGATGACCTATCTGAAACGCAGACAGGAGAGTGATTATGCCCGGGAGCCTAATGAGCCGAAGGATAGTGAAATTGGCGTTTTTGAAATGGAAGACGATGAGAGCTTGTCGCGCGTGCCGAAGCAGTATGGAAAGGCACAGTTTCCGAAATGAGATCGGATACGTGTGATTACGATCGCGATTGTATATGATTTTTTAAAATTTTTACTCTTTGTCAACTGTTTGGCTCTTATTTTTTGGCTTTCTGCGAATTCTGGAATTATTGTTGGTATATCATACACTTTATGTTAGTGTAGTGGGATTTCATTGCAATTGGAATTTGCGTCTGTAAGAGAAATAATATTTTCGGGAAACCGGCTCTGTTTCGTGTATTTAGTACTGTGTGTACTGCAGAGTTGTTTGTGATTTTGAAAGGTTATCAGAGATAGTTACGACGAAACGTTTTCGCAGGTTATTACTGATAGATTTTGGCATAGATAAGTTGCCAGTATGTTAAGTTATCTACACTTTGTCCAGTGCACACAACGCTGGACAACTTCAGACTAGGAATTATTTCCACAAATGGAACACCGCAATAAAGAGCCGAGTCATTACCTTAATATGGAAATATAATCAAGTAAACCATAGCTATAGAAGTAGACGAAAAAACAGCGGTATGTACGCAGGACATTATCCTGTCCATGTAAACAAGAACAGGTGAAAGCGAAAGGTGGTGGAAACAGAGTCCTTACCGTTCCATTTGTCAAAACTCCTGCCATTTACATTCAAAATAATGCATGTTTACTGTGTTTGAGGACGTACTTGAACATGAGAGGTGAAACAGACTTTATTTGCCAATGTCGCTAATGCAAACAGTCCACTGGTAGTTCGAAGATAGCGTACCTCCGTATGATTTTTATCAGAGATTGTACTTTGTATAGTGGAATGGTTTGTAAAAATGAGTAAGATGGCACAAAAGTGACAGTCCGCCTTGTTTCCGAAATTGCATTATTGGCCTGTTTGTTTCATCTAGATACAATGGACCTTTCGAACATTCCTGAAAAACGTGTCCTTTCCAAGCAAACACCGTTTATAAAACCATGTATTCTTACTTATGGTTATTATCTATGGATGAATATTTTAGGGATTCCATTAAGGTTACGCGATTCAGAGTTAATTTCAAACCAGTATAAGAAGAAACCCAAAATCCTTGAACTAATCAAGCGCTTCTGGACTGTTGCTGTATTTGCCGGCGCTGCGTTGTACCTTGCAATAGATTTCAGCCAATATTTTGTTCAGCATTATTCTGCAAAATTGTATGCTGTTGATTTTTTTGCTTTAATTGTTTTGTTATTTCGATGGTGGTCAGTTATATTGCCGTTATTCGTCATTCTGGATTTATGGATTACCAGTAAAAATGTCAAGATAAGCGCTCTAGTGCTGGCTATAGCAGAGCGTGTGCTTATTTCCCAAACATCTTTATTCCAAGGTTGGAAGTTCATTTTGGTGGTTTTTGTTCTAAACCTCTCCTTAATAAGCTTCTGCACCGCTGGATATATGTGGACTTTTAGCAACACAAATGATACATATTTTGGGAATAATTACACTTGGTTCAGCCATGTTCCCGTTGTGATATACGGAAGACTACGAATACCGCAGTGGATATTTATGCTAGCCTCCTTTTCCGGATTATTCTACAGCACAATGGCTGTATTGGCTGTCGAGATATTTATTGTTTCTTTGAGTGGTGCCATCGGTGGGGGTTTCAAGAATGTCCAGATTGGCTTAAAATCTCTGGTGATGTCTTCGACGTCGAAAAATGCGCCACGAAATGTGGCCGTAACCCTGCGAAGGCTTAACTTGGAGCATTTTCAGTGGTGCGAAATGCTGGAACAGTTCAACTACGTGTTTTCGTCATTCATATTCTTGTTGATGGTGCGTGACCTTATGGGATTTCTGGCCGGTGTTGCCATTGCCTTTCGGTTCCCTTTGCAACGTGATAGTAGTGATGTTGAAGTGGTTGACATTGAACACATGCTAAAAATTATCCATAATCTTGCATGGGGTTGGTTCGGCGCTTGTATAATCAGCATAATGCTGCGAATTACCACCTTTATATGGATAAATGACCAGGCAAGTGCACTCTCTATACTGTGTAGACTTTAAACGGTGGTGCGTTTATAATCGCAGTTAGTAAAATAAGCAATGTTAAAACGTTTTAATGCTGCTTAATTAGGCAATTTCTTCGATAAAAACTCTGCGATCGATATCGTGTGCGCTTGAAGATCGGGGCATTCGCCAGGAGTGCAGCGATTTTGTACAGCGCATCCGACGGTCGGTCACAGCGGTTTCCGTCTATCACACCATCCCAACAAATCGCAGTTATGTTACAGCGGTAAGTTAGGTTAAGTTAAAAGTATCGCGCGGTTTTGCATGCAGTTTTTTTCAGTACTTTAGCAACTTTGGTATCTTTTGGACGTTAATATAATTGTAACAATTTTTGGATCCAAAGTACTCATGGTGTGCTGAACAAGTAATTCATTTTTCCATTTACTCACCCGGCCAGCTGTATCTGCAGCAATACAATTGAATACATCCTGGGAAAATAATATGTAATAAAAACTGCATGTTTTCTCAATTTTGTAGGTTTGTGGAGCGATGGTTACATATTTAATTGTAATTTATCAAGTTCGTGACCAGAAACAGGACGTGGACGACGTTGTAGACAGCCGTAATGCAAAAGAATGGATGGAGCACATCATAAAAATGCTTTGAATTAAATATCAACTTTGGGCATTCTATCTGACTATCGGATGCAAGGAAATTAGGACTTATTTTCGCAGATTCCGGATACGTTATGAGTTTATTTGTCAATTTTAAAAAAATTGACAAACATCAATTTAAGCCATACAGTTACCATTAATTCTTGTCATTAATACTGGTATAACTAATGTCTTTTTTCAAGTTACAATTAACAGCTTTTTTGTGATTAACGCCTGCTTACGTATACCAAATTTGAACATAATTCACGCAAAATTAAATAGTAACAACATTGCCGGAAAGAAAATTTTTCGTTTAGATCATTTGCCATGCAGTTTTTCTGTGATTAACAATTGTGACTATTATAATTACAGAACTATAGATACCTACTAGAATGCATATATTTGTTCATGTCTGCTCTTGTTTACAAATTTTAATAAGTGAATACGCGGATTATTTTGCAGTAAGCACGAGAAAATAATGACAAAACAGTAAGTAAATGCTACGAGTCAAGCGGGTTGAACACCTGCTGTTAAACCTTCCCAGTGTGCATGAAATGTAATTACGAGTGTCAAGTTCTAGCACAGTCCACGGAAACGTGTCCGGTACGATTGGATTTGGGGCGACAGGTTCTTTTGCACTGGCAGGATCAAAGGTTACATGGGAGTTTTCGGGCGTTTGCTGATCCATTCTTTAACACCTTGCAGATTATTGATTCGCTGCTCGTGAGCTTTCAAGAGCTCGTAGCCGTTGAGGGCATTGGGTTCCACCACTTGCAGTTGTCCCATTCCATGGGCAATAACGAAATCTGGAGCAGCGCATTCTCAATATAACATACTATGATATTTATATAAAGATGAATTATGTGCTCTTTCATTTTTGCGTACGCCAGTTTGTATAATGCCAGTGCTGTTATTATAATGTAATATTTATCTTTGTACATGGTACGCATTTTTTAAGAGTAGTTGGTCAGAGTTTTCCGTACGCATAATGCATGTGAATACAAAGCAAATTAAACTGATCGCCGCAGAACGCTGTGTAAGTGTTCTTACCTGCCCATGTGGGTCCACTGCCAACAAAAAACTGTCCGCCATTGCTTTTTAAATGCTGTTCGTAAGTCTTAAGAAATCCCGGCAGAGTTTCATTGAAGTATTTCTCTTTCATTGCCTTTTTGCGGGTTTCATCTTGCTCAAAAAACCACGCGCTTAAGGGAGAGCGCATATCTGAAAGAATAATTTCAAGGGATGACAAAAAATATATATTAATGACATATTTTATAAAATGTGCCAGAATCGTTTAATTAACCAGACATAATTAAGCGGTCAATTATACCGGTTGCATAGTCTGCTAAAGCATCTACTCGAGCCTGTTCGAATTCGTCCTTCCCTGCCAAATTCAGGCGCTTTCCAACGAAGCGAAGAATAGCGTTGCTTTGTCCGATGGTGTGGCCATCCACTTCCAGAAAGGGCAGCTGATGAAACGGGGATTCTTGTTTCTGCGAAGAGTTCGCCCAGTTTTCCCGATCTAAGCGAACGTCTTCATACGGCACATTGGCATAGGCAAACAATTGCCGAACGGGTTCAGCTATGCCGCGTAAATTAAAGTATGTTAATTTATAATGAGAGTCCTTGTGAGCCATCTTGGGAAATGGGCCTATAATTAAACTGTGCAGAAAGCAGCAGAATTTTTCAAAAGCTAAACCTTTTGCGAAATTATTGCACAGTTGCACCACCGAATAAATACTTTTGGAACTACTGTTCCGGCGCAATGAGGTAGAGGTTTTTGAAGAAGCAAGTTTGCTCATCGGATGACGATTAACGCCTGGGGTGCAAATCCAAAAAGGTCTTGTTTGTCTTGTGCTTCTGGCAATTGTGGAAAGCATCTGCTTCTCACCGTGATAGCATTATGTTACTGTACTTGCATTATACACACGTGCAGGTTTTGCTGAATGTCTTGCAACCCTTGCGGAATTTCGCAATTAAAACCTGTTTTCTGCTATATGTAGCTTTATTGGTCAAATCATACTTGGGGGCAAAGTAAAGAAAGAAACATGTATACTACAACAAGAAAATCTCATTTAATTTATCCAGCCCTTCCATCGTGCCAAGCACTGACGCCGCGTTACCCCGCTGAATCTCTATCGACAAGCGCTGTCTTAAAAATTCATGCGAGCGTGCTTCGCCAGTTTGCTGCTGAAGTCTCTTCCCCAGTTCTTTTCTGCTTGCTCGAGTCTCGAAAGAATAAGGCCTACATAATTCCAGACCAGCAGATTTTGTTTGTCGAATGCAGAAGGGAACTTGCTTGCGTAAAACTCTGTTGTACGCAAGCTAAATTAATGCAAATTAAATACTCGTTACCTATGTATGTGCCCATATCTGTACTTCCACACAGTATTGTCCGTGTTAAACATAATACAGCTATTAGAAAATCTGTGTAATAATTAAAAAAATCAGCTATGATTATACCGTGCGTAGCAAATATGTACGTAGTTAGTAAGTATACAATCAGTACAGCGTAAACTGTATTATATTTTCACTTCTCGAAGCACCACTAAAAATTTGTCGCAGTTTTTTCTCTTTTGAATTATGTTCACCGCAAAGGCATTTTTAGTGCGGTAGATTATTTGGCGTTAGGAAATATTAATACCTGCAGCAATCAAAGAATAGTCAGTCCAAAATTAACTAATCTCGTTGTACTATAAATACAAAGGTTTTAAGGTACTTCTACGATGTACCCTGTTTTCATCCTCACAGTGCGCGATGATATTGTATTAACATTTTATAGCATTCATGCTGCCTTGTTTTTTTTATATCGTATTCGTATGCCTCTTTGATTGGTGATTACGTCTAAGTAAGGGAACTAAAAATAAATTAAAAGTTGTTGAAGCTGTATTTTGAGGTATACTGATAAATCTGCTTACGAGCACGAAATTTCTGTAGGTCACTGGACTTTAGAATGATCCGATTTCGACAACTCATAACAGCGTAAGCTGACAGAGAATTTTTTGCGAATATCGGATGTGCTATCTGGTATAAGAAACTCTCAGGAATTCTTTTGGTTTTCTTCAGAATTTCCCAAGGCAACTTCACGACTGCATCAAGTAGTGTACGTACTAACAAAAGTACTAGAACTTTCGATTTCGATATGTACATACATAGAAATCGAAACCGCCTGAAAACTATAAATTAGGTTCAAAGGCTATTCAGTTTATCGCACCATTCACACAGGAAGTTTGTTTTAGTAAAATACAGCAGTTGCCGGTATTGACTTTTTCTATAAAAACCTTTTTTGATAATTGAACCAGATCATTATCAGCACAAGCTTCACGATTCACATGCGCAAACCTTTACATGAGGGTACTATAAAATAATGTGCGCTGCACGTTAAGGACGTCGTCCATTATTTCACGCTAGTTTCACATGAAATATATAAAGGTCACCGTCACAACGTTCAAAATTTTTGGAAATCTTGCTTGTGTATCTATGTATTAAATTTACTTTTTTTAATCATGAACTGCTTATCGGTGTATTGTATCATTTTCTCTGTATTATTAGTATTACTGCAGTCATCGTACATCTCCGGGTCCGATTTGGAAGATGCCACTCCGGCGCCATGTGACTCCGTGAACCTGTTGACGTGTTTCTTGCCGATTGTAGCATTCGCGCTGTCAGATGATGCTCAACGCCTGACTCCCGCCCAGTCAACCGGGAAGATAACTCAGGCCCAGTTCACTCAGCTTTGCGAGTAAGCACAAGTTATCGGAATCCAGGATAGGTTAAGCGGAAAACGTTAACGTGCTAATTTTGTGTTCCGATGAAAAATTTCAGGCTTGTGCAACCGGCAGCTCAGTGTTTCAAGACTTTTTCATCCCGCTGCGTTGCAAGGAACTTTACCGATGTCCACGTTGCGGCCGATGGCGCAGTAGAATTCCTTAAGTTTTGTCAAAAGCCGGATGCATTTAACAAAGCTGAACTGATTTTTGAATGTTCGCACAAACTGAAGCTAGAGCACAAACAGTGCAGCGACCGAATGAAATCTGCGGTGCCCACAGATTTGGATACCAGCAACCCAGGAAAGCTCTTAGAACGGCAAAACGCCATGCGGGATTTATGCTGGTAATTTGTTGTATACGTAGTTATTACAAAGTGCAAGGAATACCAGACAAGTAACGGCACTCTCTTTTCAGTCATATGAAGAAGTACGAAAACTGCTTCATGCCGGAAGTCAGCAATAAATGCAGCGCAGATGCAACAAGCGCTAATCAAGATTTTATCAACAACATTTATTCGTCGTTCAAGTGTTCTACCCATCTTGGGAATTGTCCGTCCAGTTAACTACTTAGCTGATATATTATCATAAAGCACATCATGCTGCCTAACAATAACGGTATTTGAATTTTACGTCGAGCCAAATGCGAAGTGCAAATAATTAAATTCTAAACATGAAGAATCAATGTGGAGTATTGGCAGTTTGTTGAAAATGCTAATTTATTTGTGTTAGTGCAGCTAAAAACAGTGTACCACTACCATCATTAATAATTTTGTCATCTAGTCTTCCTTCCGGTACATAACAACAAACGGACCTGAATCGAAATCTGCAACTCAGCAAAAAGAATTTCATGGGCATTTATGTCGCTGTATTTCTAGCTGTTGTGTTTGACTTACAGAACAATAGGATCTATAACTAAAACCTATTAAAACGCAAAGCTGCTGTTTTTATCTGCCAAATTAACAAAAACCTGATCGGGATCCGAATTTCCGTCACGAATGATCCTATGGCCTAGAGCAGTCGGATCAGGATGGTAAGGTAGCAAAACAATTTTCTAACGGTACTGTCTCGTGGTGGTGGTCACGCAGCCGAATCACGCTCCGCGGTCAGCTGGCAAATGTTGTGGTTTTATTAAAAACATGTTTTTGGCCTGTTTTCGGAGTAATCCTTGGTTGTCAAAACATTTTATTTACATTGATCTCTTAACCTCAACTGAATAAATCCTCTTTTATGTGCGCAAAATCGTTTTAACATAATATACACCATTGCGCAGCCAAAGTCAAAATACCGGATAATTTCAAATTGCTTTCATAAGTTTCATTCGGATTTCGTTCACTATGCAGGCCAGTCGTTCGGTCGAAGAACCTCTACGCGGTAATTCCACAGCATCTGGCATTCCTGAAACCGAAGAAACCCAAGATACATCCCACGAAACACCTCTAAGCGATCCTCCCGATCCCGACAGAACTCCCTGGATTACCACTGCAACATGGCCACGACATCAGCACTGGTTCCGCAAGGGTGATCTCGTGGAATTCCATCGTCAAGGGCAGTGGTTCAATCACTGGGGCCTGTATATGGACAACGGTCTGGTGGCCCATGTGACACGCCACGATATCCTCCAGGCTTCCATGTTCGCTCTGGGCGCATCCCGTACCGCATCCACCGTGTTGGCCAGTGAATCAGCCACGGCCAGTCAGTTGCTGTCCTCTGCGACCATGTTCGTCGCTTTCGGGGAGCGTATGCTGCTGCCGTCGCCTCCACCGACCCAGGAACAACGGGGACACTATTTTGTCAGGTTGGATAATATTCTCCTGGTGGCCGAAGGCGACAAGTTTCGGGTGAATAACTTTGTCAACGGGACTCGTTTCGTGCAGCGCAGTTGGCCAGAGATCTTCGATTTGGTTTCCAGTTTGGTCAATAATCCGTATGCTTATTCCGTCTTTACCAGCAACTGCGAACATTTTGCCACATTTCTGCGGTATCGCTGGAATTCCAATGGTTCACCCGCGGCGAATCCACAAAATTCCCATGGGATTAGTGGAAGATGAGGTAATGCGTTTGCTTTCCATTCTTGATTTGTTTACAGATTTACGTTTGTTTTGAAGCGAGTTACGATGTGAGTAAGAATTTTGGATTGTACGCACTGATAACAGATTGGAATACAAGCCTCGAAAAACCCCCTCTGATAATATCTGGCACAAGAAAATATGTATTATTTACGTGTGTTGTTAGCCTGCATTGTTGCAGTATGTTGCTGTAGAGAATACTTACTTTGATATTAGTGCGATATTTTTCTGCATCCTTGAGATGTTGTTTATCGGTAATTATTACATTTGTATTTATTATTGTGCTTCAGACTCGTACTTTTTGCAGCGGTCTTATCGGTGAATTGTGGATACTGAACAGCGGACTGTCTTCTCAGGGTTACCCCGTGATGCGAAAGGGTGATATCAATATGAATACTCGATTTGCTCGTTTCTTGACCAACACTCTCTTTCGGGATTTGGTTTTGGGCTTTCTGTTTCTTACGGCGTTAATAGATCTGTTTTTATGTGTTGGCGTTGTTCTTGCGGACCTTTTGCATGAAAACTCGGATTTTATAATTTTAAATTGTATATGTTTTTGTGTCTGCGTAATAATAAGCAGAATTATGAATTGTTTTGACGCTTCCGACAGACCATTTTTGGTTACATGGCTGTGTGCGCTAACGAAGCGTAGGATAAGGTTTCGAGCAATTAATAAAGCTGTCAAAGACGTTTATTACTGGGTTGTCAAAAAGTCACTGACGAGGAAAATCATCTTTTTCCCGCTTTCAAGTGTACGATTGTCATCGATCTCGCACTGTGAACTTAGCGTTAACCCAGCCCAGAGTAACGGAAAACTCCAGTAGTAATGATCCTGATTTTGGGTGGACATGTTCGGTATCGGGATTCACAACCACTGCCAAAAACAAGTTAGGCTACTTCCATAACTAACTTTCATGCTGTATTTAAGTTTTGTTACAGTAGTTATAATTAGATCGTTATTCTTGGCGCCGCATGAACGGCAGCACACGATACCATGTGCATCAGCAGCGTGGCCACGGCGACTTGAATTAGAAAAATGTCAAAGTTAAGTGCGGTCTTTATTCTGAATTTATTTGGATCAGTATTTTAATTGATTACAAACATCTTACTGATTTCAACAACTGGTTAATCCAATTTTCCAGTTTTGCGGTTGCGGTGACATTTACATATTGCCGCAAACGATGACCTCATCAGCAATACTTGCCATAACTGTATTGTACTACGACATTGCATGTGCGGCTTTTGATTAATTATTAATGCATCAAGAAGAAATCGTTTTGTCCCAGTTCCGTTGGGGCTGATGCCGATGGTCAGGTCCATGGCTTATCATTCCGTTGGATTCAAGGTGATTGCTTGTGCAAATTCCAAAACGTGTAAGAATCGTGATTTGTTGTGAAATCGCGACATACGTAAATCGGCCGGTGTGATGCGGGTTAGTGTACGTCTGTACGAACTTCATGATGTTGATATAATTAATATTTAATAGCATATGGTTAAATGTATTTTATACGGTATACGAATTTTGAATTAGACTAGCGCTATGATAATCAATTATTTGCCCGTCTTGTGCTGCCGAAGACTTTTGTTTGTTATTTTATCTGGAACCTGTCGTGCGACCGGCTGGAAACGATTATAACTAATCTAACGCGAAATATCGTACGCAAGTTTTTGTCGTGTGACTGATATTTTATCATGCACGATATCTGCCAGTTTGCATTGATAACCGATGCAAGAACCGGCTATCATCGAGCGATAAGATGTGATAATTTATCTTCCTGTGCAAAGTTACATTTTATTTTATTTTTCGAACGTGACTACAAGCATTTGTTAAAACGAAACGGCCTGCGATTACCGAAAACAAATTTACTTAATTTTTCCCTGCCTAATCGTGATGCGGTCATAATGATATACAAATACGCGGATAACAACGTGCTGACCACGTCGTCTGATTTGGATTATTCAAACCAAGAATGGGAGCTACTCAACATTGCTTCTGGGAATCTGACGGACAGCTTTAATACCTCGTATAATGCATCACCCCGCGGAAAGATTCCCGAAGAATTCGAGCGGTACAGACCGGTTGTGGAATTCTATGGGATTATGTTTACAGTGCTGTTCTTTTTCATTCTTTTTGGTAATCTCTTAGTTATTGCGTCATTCATAAAATTCCGCACAATTCGTAAAAAACTGCCGCATCATTGGCTGTTTCATCTGGCGTTAGCGGATCTGCTCCTGGGATTATCTCTTCCGTTTCATGTGTTTACATTCTTGGACGAGTACGACTTCAAAAAATATGTTCATATTCCGTACATGTGCTTAAGCCGTTACGGGACGGCGGAACTATGCATTGGAGCATCTTTGTGCTTCCTGGTTGGACTGGCCGTACACATACTGTTTTCAGTCAAATTCCCGTACAAGTATAACCTATGGATTTCTCCATTTCGTATACACGTCATCGCGATATCTATTTGGATCACGAATTTTGGCTATTTCTTGCTACCATTTTTAGGCCTGCATGAATATCAACCCGAACTTACCACTGATGGAAAAATATCGGCATATTGTGATCTTGTCAAGGTACGATAAAGTATGGATATGGTATGGTACGATAAAGTTGGACTACAAATAAATAGTGTTGTCTTAGGTAGTGAAATTAATTAATTAATTGTTGTCTTATTAATTTATCCTTAACCACCTTTAGTTTAATCGTATTCGGAAGGTGTATAACGATAAGATGTAAAACAATGGCGTCAAGCAAAATGCAGTTACTGTAATACCTTGGTTAGCACAGTCGCTACTGTGGTAGAGTGATTCATTAACTGACGTACCGCTAGTTAAAATTAATGGCTTTTACTAGTAAGTTTTTTTTCTTTTTTCTGGGCGTAAGACGGCACTGAAAGATGAATTTGATTCATGAAGCAATTACGTCGAGCAAAAATAAACAGAAGCGACACTCTCAAAGCACATATTTCACGTCCATTTTTAATTACTGTAGGTCTGGACACCCTGGTATACACGATTAATGATCTGGATGATGGTTGGGTTAGTCTTGGTGTTGTGCACCGCTTATACTATAATTTTTCGCGTGGCCTGGAAGAAGACACGACGCGATTCCCTGCCAACGGCCTTCTTCAACCAACCGCGAAATGCGAAACCTGTGATTACATTTTTGCTGGTGACTGTTTCCACGATGGTCTGCTTCGCGCCATTTGCCGTGTGCAGTTTGCTACAACTGCAGCACTGGAAAAAGCGGAACGACAAGGATTACAATTACCAAGGAGATAACAATGATCTGGAAGTCGCTGCAGCCATTGCCACATTCTTTCTCTTTCTTCACTCGGTTCTGAATCCAATTATTTATTCTTTTCGGCTTCCCGATTTTCAGATAGCGTTCAAAGCGCTGCTGTGTTGTCATTGCGGGAAATCCGCGCAGCTGCTTTTTGACTGACTTTTTTCTGTAAATAGGATGTCTAACGAAGTGTGTAAACATGGTGACCCGGTTCTATCGGTGTGACCACGATGCCATGCTGCTGACATTGCTCGCTGTGGAATGATTGATTGTGGTTTCGTATTTTACGAGTGCCTTTGTATAAATAGTTGATACCACAAGGAAAATTTTCCCGCAAAGATAAAAATTATAAATGTGACCTTATTTGTATAAACCATATGAAGGAAATAGGTATTTTCAGGAAGTTTAAAAATTAATGATATATTGCAGCGGAACCAGTGGACACCGGCTTCTTTAATTATGAGACATATATATGCTATATACCGTATACGCATATATACGGTTGCATTGCGGGACATTCAAAAGCCATGTGCAAGTACTTAAGTACACCGGCATCATATCTATATCACGAATGCGGCATCCATTCTTGGTACATTCTTGGAGCGGATAAGCTGACCCGTGAGGGAATTTTGTTTTTGAGATAGAGTATAACCAACCGATGTTTCATATGCATTGCTGTTAAGTTATAAGTATGTTTTCGGAAAGTCAATGAAGTAGTGTAGATACTCATATGGAACAGAGGGGTAGCAGCTGTGCAGCTGCTATTTACCTAATTACTGGCCTTTAGATGATAATTTATTTTGTATTGAAACGATACCGTATTATACTCTTAAACTAAACAAAATAAAAAAAAACGAAACTCAAAGCATGTACAATTGCAGCAATTCCGTACATTACTTCTACCTAACTTATAATTTTATGTAAACATCTTTAATTAGCATTCAGCATCGCCAAATGAAGTTAATTTTTATAAAAGAGCAAAACAGAGACGGATGAGCCCACACTTGGTTAGACGGATGAGCCCACGGACCTACTTCATGTATTTCCGGTTGGCGGAAATAGCCACTAGAGTAGTCTAACGTTGTAAACCGCGAAGCGAAGTGCGAGCTATGATTACTTAATAATAAGAACGACTGACACCGCAGGCACGTGATTGCCACTGATTCGGCAGGCTGGCAGCACAGCTCATGAATTCATGGCCTAAGAAATCCGCATTTCGTAATCGTGGTTAAAGCAGTCCATTAAAATTAAAAAACTAACGAATTTCACTCTCACTTTTCAGTCAGTTTACTCAACAGCATCATAAGTCACAACAGAAAGTATTTCCGACGCACGAACTGCTGGTTCTTTTTGAGTAGCAAATTCTCGTTTTTTTGCCCAGAAAAATTAATGAGATTTGTATTAAAAATGGATGAGCCTCTGAGAACAGCTGATAGCCTGATACGGTACAAACTATAAATGCTATCTTATGTGGATAGCCTGGGAGCCTCTGCTCGTAGTGTGGCAGTGAAATTCTGTTCCAATACTGGTGCGCGCATACGTAATAAGAATCTGTAGAAGATATTTTCAAGTGATCGCTTACAATATTATCATCTCGAGGTGGAGTTGTTGGATCGTTGTCACAGTTTGTTTTGATTTGTTTGTGGGAAATCACTGTTTTCTGAAAGACTGCTAACTGTGAAGCCATACATGATATGTTTCCAGTATCAGTAATGTGTATATGGTTATAAGTGGCACTGCCTGTTGTAACCTGAAGTTTTGTTGCTCGAAATTCTCGAATGGTTATGGAATGTGGATGGATGAGATGGGTTTCGAACATCTTGGAAGGCTCTGATGCACTGGGATGATAAGATGCTCTAGGTTCCTTTCAGTCTGTGGCCATATTGGGCGCTAGTAGGTTACTGTATCCTGCAGCCATGTTTAACCCGCGCTGGTGGTCTGGCAGCAAGGAGAAAAGGCCTTCGTCTCCCGGACGAGCGTCCCCTGGTGATCTCAGCCGAGCGGAGAAGATTATCAGTGCTTACCGATCCAGCCCCAGTGGCAAAGGCGAATCACCAACGGGAGATTCTCAGTTCTCCGCCGAACGATTGCGGTACGCTGAAAGGCATCCATGGCATGAATTTAACTGATTAATTTTTGTCCCTTATTGCTTAGGGTCCTGTACAATCAAGTAGCGGGCGAATCCTCAGTAACGGATACGAACTCAGCCGAGATTGTAGCTGCTTTACGGAGTATATCGGAAATTCTCATTTGGGGTGATAAAAATGATCCTTCCGTTTTCGAAGTATTCTTGGAGAAGCGCATGCTGGCGTACTTCGTTTGCATCTTGCAACAGTGTGCGGAAGTGTTTTCCGACCACCAGAACGGACAAGGTAAGGAATCTCGGAGGGTGCTGATAATGTAAATTTTGAAGAGGCGAATTGTTTTAATGCAGCAGCTGCAACAACAAGGCAAAAATGTATCTGCAGCAAAATAATACTTTGATAAAACTTTTGTTGTTAAGTTTCATTCTCTTTCGTGTGTCTGGTTGTGGATGAATGATACCGTAAAAATGGTAAGATATGTAGAAACATGGCTCGTGAGATTACGTTATTTTTTAATAATCATATTAATTTTGATCTAGGGAGTCGCAATAATTCGCCAGCACCTTCCATCATAAATACTACAAGTAAAGTACGGGGAATACTCACTTCTCGCAATACTGCCAGCGACCACGACAGCCGAAGCGTGGGCATGCTCAGCGTTAAATCCGCTCACCACGTCTGCACCCAAGTGATGCAAGTGCTCCATATTTTGTTTGAGAATATCTCCCAGGATACGTCGCTGTACTTTCTCCTGTCCAACAATTTTATTAACCAGATTATTGAGTGTGTTTATGATTTCACTGATGATGAGGCAAGTGATAAGTAACTTAATTGCCTTGAAAATTCGTTGTTAACTGCAAGTGAATTTGCAGATTCTAGCGCACTATGTTTCTCTTATGAAAATTTTATCGGCCAAGTTGAACGCGGATACTATCCATTTTTTCTACATGGAGGATTTGACAGCGGTGGACAAGAATGATTTTCCCCTCTTTGATAAAGCCCTGGCGCTGTTCACGCATTCCGAATCTATGGTTGGTGGTGATAGAAGAATATTCTAACAGCTCAATTTAATCTGATTACCTGAATCGCAAATAGGTACGAATCGCGGCAAGAACGGTAGTACTGAACGTCCTGAGGGTTAAAAGTCGAAAGGCAGCTGATAAGAGTTTTGTTGAAAACCCGGCGATTCCCGCGAAACTCATGACTCTTCTTTGTTCCCTTATGAAGTCTCAGGCTGAACAGATGCACTCCTGTTTAGCGCAGCGTCTTTTGGATGGGTTTCCAGATTTGCTTCCCCACCGTGATACAACCAGCGAAAACGTCGACGATTTATCATTGCTTCGACAAAAGATGATCAGCGCATGGCTGGACCACCAGAAAAGGTAATTAAGCGGACTAGAGAGGTTTAATACATACGTTTTTGTTATTGGGCGCTAACTTTTTGTTCTACCATCCAATACTGTGAGTATGCATTTCGTTTAAATTGAAAACGAGGTTTTGCGTCGGTTTAGTATTCATTCATTTCCTCATTTTCAGGTCGGATCGGTATAAGGATATTTATAGTGATCATGAAAGCTACCTGCAGTACATAAACGATCTTATGGATTTGAATGTGGAACCGCTAAAGTCATGCTTGACGCAGTCTTTCAGAGAAGGATACCTTCTGCCGTATGTTGTCAATCCAATCTGTAACAATGTCGCCCAGCTGGCCGCTTCCGACCCGGAACTGGATTCCAAGGAACTGTGTGCCTCCCTTCTGACTTCCTTGCTGCTGCTCAATGTGACTATTATAAATGTTTTGGATTTCGAATTGATATTTCCGGCCGTGCAGACGGATGATTTACTGCTCGCCCTCCTGCGTTGCTTGAGAGTGTTCGATAACGATGAGGCATTGCCGCAGGACGACCGAATCCCGCTGTTAGCCCTTTCTTTCTGCATCACGTTGCAGCAGCAGTTGAGCGCAGCACGAAGTCGTGTTGTTCCAGCCAAAGTCGAAGACTTCGTAAAACATCATCTCCTGAAAGCTGCGATGCAGCTCATTCACCACATCCCCCGTGCAGGTATTTATTGAGCGATATTTAAAATTGATTATCCAGAATGGCTGGACTGTGTTGTTGACTTTCTTTAATGATTTCGGGAAGGATTCGTTGTGTGTCGGGCTATTGTTATGCGATTGGCATGCAATCTGGTGGACAACATTATCAAGACTGATTCGATGGGCAGCTTGGACGATCACTATGTGGCAACTCTCTTGGACGCCAAAGAACAGACATGTTTATATTTGCAGCCGTTTAGTAAAGTAAGTTAGCCAAAGATAATTGACCGGGTTGTCTATGGTTTAATGTGTTTTGATACCGTTTCCGAAACACGAGAGAAGTTTTTCACATAATACGAAGAGAAGTGTGCGGTGCCTTTCATTAGGTGCGATAATCTAACTACTGTGCTATCGGATATATTATTTAAATTGCCTTAATTGACGCTTTGCAGCATTTCTGTTTAACATAGCCGCACTTTTGCGAAGCGTATGCCATAAGTATTTTTATGATTAAACCTTATAGGTATAAACACATATTAATCAGAATTTTCTAATTTTAGAACGATAACCAGTTCATACACCTCGTGGAGTTAGAATTTTACGCACAACAGCAGCAGAAGTCGATACAGGTTGATCGCTTCCTCGAGAGAGAATTCGTGGCCATTTTTGCCTTTTGTCCGAATCCAACACGACCATCAACTGTACAGACGCACTCAGTTGTCGTTGGAAATACTGGCACACCAAGAAACTCCAACGAGGAAAGGGGCTTCCCCGATCTGTGTAAACGTTGGCCGTTAAATGCTGATGAAGAAGGCCGATTTTATTTAAGACTGCACTTCCTCCTGCGTCGACTATGTAAAATGCAAAAATCGCTCTCCCAGTCTTCCCTGCCGAATGCGGAATCGGATCCAGATGTGAAGAATTCGTCTAGTAATAGCTCCTTGGGAATTCATTCAGAAATGCCGGTTCCTATGGGTTCTCTGCAAGTTGGTGATGTTGTTGATATAAGTAGCTGTGATACGATAATCGGATGCCAGATGATTCCCTTTCACACCCACTTGGCCAGTAAGCCGACCAGTAGGTCGCCTACATCCGCCGCGCCCACTTACCGGCCACCCCAGCAATTGCTATGTCCGTCGGATGAGGAGAAATGGGTGAAGCGATTCCTCATCATTCACCAATGGCAAATGCTGTTTGTGGAACCCGATAGCCGGAGAGTGGGATTTGCGGTTGTGAAGGAGACGTTTGTACTGCCGAATGTACAAATGTTAACGGAAAAGGAACAGCGCGAAAGAATCGTTTGCTGCTGTGCACTTGCCCTTAATACAAATCACAGGAATCACGATGTGAACGCACTTGTTGGCACTGATGCGAAGATCATGGTCAAGTCAATCTTTTTGCAAGTTCAGCAGCAAATACCACAACTCGTCAAAGCGGCTCCTAATGACGCCCCATGGAACATGGAGCCGCATTTAGAAGCCTGCGTTAGGTAAAGTAGTGCAGCAGATTGCATTCTTGGCCCCTAATGTGCAGGAATACGAATGCGAACATAACATTGGTGGCAAGTGGCAACTTAATTTTACGGGTTTAAACACACGCCATATTCGATGTTTTCGTTGTTAAAATTATTTATTTCTCCAGGATTATGTTTGATGATTCAATTCGGGCTTTGGCGGCCTCCACGCGAATAAAAAAGAATCAGGAACGCATTCGTGAGCTGAAGCTCGGTGCTATTACGACGCTTTTGGACATGGCTGTAGATGTTGGGCATCAGTCTAGCAATAATTCTGATGAAAAAAAGGTATGTCGTGACTCGTGAGCTGTACTGCAATTGGACAAAGACCAAATTTTCATTGATTGTGATAGTGTACATGTGTCATTTAATTGACCGGAGCCACTACGAAAACATACTGTAATTGCGTTCACGCGCACTACGTAAAACGATACAAGTGTAATACTCGAAAGTCGTCAAAATTTGAAATGATTTGTGATCCATATAATTTCAGGACCCTCCGAAAACTGTAATTTCGTCCCATCATCGCCAGGCTCATGCAGGGCAAGTAAGGCATTCCGGGAAACCCGGTGGAACGGCACGGAGACATCCCATTATGATTAATACGCCAGCCAGTGCAGCGTCCAGATCACATTCCCAAGAAGTCACCAGTTCCGTGCCGAAGACATCTTCTAAATCGGTTTCGCGGGAACGAACGGCGCCTAGATCCGGTCGAGAAGGGAAACCGGCTCCGGGAATAAGTATTCCCATGACTCGCTTAGATACCGTAACTCAGTCTGGTTTTATTGAAAGAGTGGAACCTCAGTAAAGGTTTTCCGTTGATATTTTTATGCTCTGTGAGACGTTGGGGAAGTTTTACCGGTGGTTGTTGATGAATTCTGTTGGTCGTGATTTATCGATTAGAGGTGATGGCTACATGGCATCTGACTTCGATTTTTTAGAAAGAAATATTTGGATGTAAAAAGGAATCTCGTTAGCAGATTGCATTTGATAGGTTACCGACTTACCTGATGGCTTACACGCTGAAAGTTGTAAGAGAGAAGATTACTTACTGTTATTTTGCCCTTATCCTGTGTTGTATGAAGTTTTTTTATCGTGATTTCATTGTAAAAAAACGACTTTGTGCCGTATTGACTACAGTTTGTGTAAGTACTGTAATACAGTTGTACGTTGTACTTTCCGTGTGCGCGACGAAAGTTTCTTGAGGAAAACAGCTACAGTACAGTACTTAGCTCGTAAACGTAATTGTAAGCAAAGTACCGGTACGGGGAGAAAGTGTTGGGCTTAACGCTTAACGTTATCTAGAGCAGTAGATGTACAGGTACAGTATCTATTTATACCAGCAATCATATCCACAATTTTACACGCATATTATGCGTGCAATATCTGCATTTATGATTTCATTTACTGTTCTACTTCTTGAAGTACATTAGTATTGCGCATATGTAACTCATCGTGCGTATTTATAGTGTGCAAAACAGTGAGGACATTGGCCGCAACGATTGTAGTGCTGCACTCGGCCATTAGCGGAAGTTGTGGAAATTTTTTCGTACTCGTATACGGTAAGTATATCTATAACATTATTCGCAGTAGACGGCACATTACTAGTACTTAATTAATTTTATCGACATCAGATTTCGCTTGCAGATAAGCATCCCTTTGATGAAGAGGATGCTTGTGCATCCAGGTACGGCAAATGTGACGTACAGTACTTCTGGTAATCACACCTACATTCTGCCTGCACCGTGCCTGCTGATCTTGAAAACCGGTGAGGAATTTCAAGGTCGTCAGTGCATGTAAAATCTGGAAGCGGAACGATAAGTTTTCCGAAATCATGTCTTTTATCCACTCACTCGAGTGACACTATAGGGTAAAATAATTTTTTTACGTAATTTTTGCCAGTTTAATTTAACTGTTTGTGGAAAATTGATCACAAAACCAAAATGGATGGTTTATATTGCGCTGTTATGCCCCGAGGAAATCCCGCAGCGGACGCAGAGGATGGATTATGGGATCAGCCAGAGGCGCCATCGCGGCCTCATCAGCTGCCTTATTCTCCTGCCTGGGAGAAGAAACGTGGCGTCGATCTGTATATTCTGCGGATGAACCGCGAAGTGAATCGGTTTGTGCTGCAAAGAGGACTGTTCCGTTTGTTCAAAGAACATATTTTGGTGAGGTCACATTGGCTCAGTTGTTGTGATGCAGCCACCAGGAAACTGATGGTTATCTCCACTGTTTTTACTGTAGATTATGCACCTATCCGTTGATGCTGATCTGTTTGGCAACATTTACGGACATCTTGTGTTATTGAATCATGCCGACATGAGGGCCATTGTCAAGCGTTTCCACAAGACAACGTTTTATGGGAAAAGCATCGAATTCTCAGAAGTCAGCCCAGTAATTCCTGTTCCTCTTGCGTACAAGTAAGCAGATTTGCGAATGCGAATTTGTTCCGATGGGCAAGTTCGTTTATGTTTGTGCAAAGACAAAATAAGTAAATTGCATTTGAACTTAAGATAGATTTTTTCTCTCCTTTTCACGACAATCACAATAGGTTAAATCTGTATACGAGTACAGTTGACATTTTGTCTGCTTATTCAGCATTTTTGCAGGCGCGCGGTTATTGGAATTTTTCAGGAGCAGAAGCGCTCCCACCTGTTGCTCGCGGAACTAATTGGACTTTTTGAAGAAAAGTATTTAAGGCAGTTGTTGAATGTGCAGTTAGGCTACTTTTCACAGTTCCCGTGCAATATGGAGGTTATCAAAATAAAATATGGCAGAGACAGATGTTAGTTTTCGGTAACATGTTTATCGATTTGATTTGTTTGATGTTTGCGCAGGTACGACCAACCCATGGGAATTTCTGACCTGTTGAAGATGCCGGATATTGTGGAGCGTTTTGCTGCTGGTGACATCCAGATGGTTCGCCTACTGCCGTATTCATTGGTTTGGCAGACAAATTTAGCTCGTCAGGTGAGTAGCATTTCAAGTATTTTATTCTGGCGTGGCATTCGTGTCTTGAGGACAGTGGATGCGTCATTGAACAAAATCTAAGTGGAGATCTGAAGTTTTTAATTTCGATTGTCGTTATTATAGCGCGCGTGCAGTAACTGTAGATTGTTCGTCATTGTTTAGGGATGCCTTGACACACTGCCGCTAGCTCAGTGCAGCAAGGATTGCGGCAATCAGCGGGGTTATCTTGCGCGGATCAGCGGAACCAAATCGTTGACATGTTACCGGGTTTCGCTGCGGGTTTTTATACCGCAGGTTCTTCAGCTGCTGGACTACCACGACAACTGCATGAATTTGAACACGTCAGTACTTTGAAGTTTGCTTGTGTTTTGATGTACATTAACTGCGATACCACCTTAATGCATTTCATACAAATGTTTAGTTTGTAATGCAGGTTCATCCCGTGTTACGAAGCCATGTTTGGACACTTACCGGAAGACGACGAGCACGGCGTTTTTCTGGACCACTTGTTGACTGCTGTGCCGGGAGTTAGCATTGTCCAACAACCATTTCGCAGTCGACAGTTGATTTTAGATCACGTGAATGCAGGCAAGAGTTTATGAAATTCTCAGTACTCATTGCATATTCATGAAACTGAAGAATTTCGTAGTTGAATTTCTTACAGTGAGTTTATTTATATTCTCCGTACGAAATTACTAATGGCTGCACACAAAAAGGATGGGCACAATGTCATATCGTGGTGCATGCGTATCGCGAAAGGTGGCTTTTTATTAATCAGTGGTATTTTTAGCAGCGGTTGCAAATTCATTCAGTCCAAACTTAAATCAATTCCACCGTGAAGTATTGGACATGTTAATGGTGCACCATCGAGCCACTGTCCCATTCGGCGAGTTCGTCCAGACGTACCGCGTCCATTACGGAAAAATGTGTCGTGTGGCGGATTTCGGTTGTACTCGGCTAGCCGAGTTGTTATTGCTGTTCTCCAGCGATATTCAGGTGAACTTTTACAAAGCAGTATTATATGAGCTGCATAATTCTGATTCATTTGTCTGTTTTTCTTAATGGTATTTATTGACCTTTACAGATCTTGGGGATCGGTAATAGTCGCATGATTACCTTGACTCATGAAGCTCAGATGCAACGCTTTCAGCGTATTCTTAAGCATGTCAAACTGACATGCGGAATTCAGCGCATCGACGCCCGCAATTTTATTTTGTTGTACCAGTTTGTATGCAAAAAGGTGTTTTGTGCCGCTGATTTTGGGATCTGCTATCTGGAAGATCTACTAGAACCGATGCCGCCATTACGCCATGGGAAAATGCATCTGATGGCTTCGACTTCGTTGCCGGTAGAGGTAAGTAAATAAATAAATAAATGATCGTGGAGGTTTTGCGAAAAAATTTAAAATGGTTGTACATACTTCATTTCTTTGGAGTTGTTTGTTTAGACGAAATGCGCATTGTTCAGCATTGGAAAGTTTCGTGATACACTGGCGGCAATTCGCGATACGAAGCATAAGGAAGAGCTGGATGATTCTGGTATTTTGAGTACTGCCGGTACCTGTGATCCGTACAAAGAAACTGCATCCTTGTCTCCCGGGCTGAGTTCTTTATCGGGTGAAATGCACAGCGTGGACAGCGAATTTGAGACCAGCAGCAATGTCAGCTGTGGCAGTGACAGTGAACCGGAAGTCGAGAAACAGCCGCTAATAATTTCTACCAGGCTTGCTTTGCGGTTTTATTAACGACACGTGCAACGTATTTTTGTTTGGTGTCTTTTAGCTTTGTTATCTGCTTATTTGTGCAAAAACATGCTTAACTGAGCCCGATTACGGTCGAAGTCAAGTAGTGTCGTTTCCATTCAAAGAAGAAGTCGCAGCATGACTTATAAGCAGTTACTTACTTGTTGTAATCCGTAAGGATCCCAACCAAAATATATCATTGTATCAGTGATATTTTCTTCAATTAATCTCGTTATTTCATTCCCCTGACAATACAGTTAATCGTGTACTTATAAAATTATGGTACAACTTGTAACTGCTCTCGTCAATTCAAAGAAAAATATAAATTTGTGCCTGTCTTCCACTCTTCCTGTTCAAAGTTCTCGTTGCACTTTTCGACAGCAGTTAGTATAAAAAATTACAGTATTGTAGTTGGAATTAATAACAATAAAATAGTAATAGTATTCACAATTCACAAATGGATTTATTTCCGCATGGAAATCTTTTGTTAAGGTGGTCCCTAGTTTGGATCACCTAGCTAGTCCGTGTTAACAGTGGAGTACGGAGGTGACTGTTTTCTGATGTTTGCTCGATCATTGGACTAGCTCACTAGCATAATTCTGAACTGTTTAGCCAAAGGCGGTGGCTCCTACTGGTTTGTGAGTATCCACAGTCATGCAATTAGAATTTGGTTTGTTTATAGTTTTGGTGTTGCTACTTGTTAGTTATTCGTGCAGTTACGAGTTTGAGAACGGTATTTGCTTTCTGATCATTCTCCCATCAAGGATTTAGCTAAACTTAGTAAGCCGTGATTTAACTGTTTATGTTCACATGCCACAACAGTGACAATATCCCAGGATTGATCTAATACCAGGGACTGCACCAACTGCTTACTTATAGTATGTATGTATCGTAATTGGTGTATGGAGGTGTGGACGACGTAATTGTCCTGCATGGGGAATCCAGAATACCATTTCGTGATTGCTGTAACTCTGGGAAAATGGATGTTTTATTTGATACTCTGCGAAAGTACAGTCATCCTGGAGAGCTCGTGACGGCTGTGCAGACTGTAATTACTTCGGACTCCTTCGGTGATCCTGCACAGCTGATTGAGTTATTCCAGCACAAACTCCGATTGGGCCAGCAGTGTGTACTTCATGGCAAGCATTTTTTGCGAGTCCTTCTGGTATGCTTCGTGCTTTTCTGAATGCTGCTGACTGCCTGCTGTAAACAGAAGCAGCACAAAAAATATAGAGTGGTATTAGATGCTGGTGAATCTGTTCTGACTCTCCTTTAAGTCTGCTATTGCGTAGCATTCATACATAATTTGAGTGTTTTTTGACATTTAAAGTCGTAACGTGTTTTCAGGTTTTATTCCAAAAATTATCGGAAGAGCAAGATGGTGCACAAGTCAGCAGCTTCTTACGGAGCAACGATTGGATACGAAATTTTGGAGCACTTGTGGTGCTGCTGTGCTGGGATGAAATTTCTTCCAATCCACCGGAAATTGCATTGCCAACATTGCAGTCCATTCTTTCTGCTACACCTTTCTTTGGAATTCCGGTAGTGTAAAAAGGCTCCCATATAATGTTTTTACTTTCAAAGTTACGCTGTTTGAGTAAATGATTAAGAGTCCAAAATCAGCGACAAAGGTGGTAGAGACTGAAAATCTTTATGGTATCGATCGTGAAATTAATGTACGATAAGTGTTTAGAAAATAAATAATATGTAATTTCTTTTTAAGCCTTTAGTTATGTTATTTGTGTAATCATAAAGTGCTTTTCGCCCAATGTATTGTGTATCTTTAGGTCATGGAGCGCATTTTGGGCAGTGCGCAGATACTTAGTTGTCAACTGAAAGTAGTGGAAGAGACATTTCGGCGGAATGGCAGATTCCAGACATTGACGGACACCGAATTCGGCGATTTGTTTAACAAAGCCTTTCCGGATCTGGAAGAGGCTTCCGTATTGCCAACCATCCTGTACTTCAGTACGCCAAATAGTGTGGATGAATCGTTTTTACGCTCTCTACCTGTGATACAGCACTTCCAAAGGCGACGCGATACCTCCTCCAAAAGGGTTCGCTTTTCAACGGATGAGAACGTCACCTGTCCCGAAAATCCGTCGGAAAGTGATATAAACAGACAGCGCGATATCGCTACATTCAGTGGTTATCGTATTTTAATGGATGTCATGATGGCGATATTTGAGGATGCAGCGCGACGGAAAATGTCGAATTCCAGTAAGCGAAGTTCGCGTTTGAGTTTGCAATTCGATCTCTCGACGGATGATACGGAACGCTTGGATTCCATGGATGTTGAAAATCGCCTGAAGAACATATATCCACTGACTTATCGCGTTGAGATCTTGGAGAATTTGTTTTCGCTGTTATTTCTTCGCAGCAGCGACGTGAACGAAAATTATTTCCTGGAGGAGAGCTTTATACCGGAGGAAACGGATTCAGAAAGTGTAAAAAGTTGGTCGTCGGCCGTGAAAAAAGTTCGCGATGGATTTTGTTGCTGTAGTGATAAACTTGTCGAAAAAATCCTGAGTACCATAAAAAATGTGGTGATTACAACGCATTCTCACCGCTCATCAGAAACCGCCTCCGCTTCACCAGCTCCGTTTTCTGTGCACACTTCAGTGCCGGATGACGAATTATCAAGGCGCTTGTCATCTCTGGAACAGAGATTAAATGATGCATCATGGCGTTTGGAAGTAATTGTTTATCCAAAAGACGTTCCACTTAGCGTTAATCTTGCCTACACCGATGATTTGATGCGGCCTAGTTTCTTGACTCGTAAATTAGAAGCTCGACGCTCGAGTAAACGTCGTCGTCCACGCAAGCGTCGGGTTTCGTCCATACTAAAGAAACACGTCGATACATCTGTGATCGAGAAGATGCTCTCTGGCCCTGGGTCGCTTCTGCGCATTTGCCTGCATGGAGGAAGTTTTCATTTGGCCGATCAGGTCTTGAAACTTTTTACCTTGGAGGATGCTGATTGGCAGGGTGAGATAGAGTTCGGCGAAGAATTTCACACCATTTTATCGTCGAGTGGCCAGAAAATGAGTGGGAAACAACTAAAGTCATCGGCTCAGCTGGCTGAACCGCATCCCGTATGCCCTGCAAGTGAAATGACCGAGCAGCAACGAAACCTGTTAATCGCGTCCGATTGTGCAATTATTCAACTAGCGACAGCTTCCAGAGGGAGTTCGCCCAATGTGAGGAATGTAACCGACATTCTGAATTCCCTGGATGGAAAATTTCCGAGATATGAATTTTTAAAATCGATGCGAATTCAACCGTATGAGGATTTTGTCCGAACCAATATGGAGACCGCGTGCTCTTTAAATCAGTGTTTATCATTTTTGATAGCGCTGCCGTTTAATCCTGTAGCCATGCAAAGTGTTGCTGCATTGGGGCACGAAATTCAGGTGCGCATTGACCGACTGGAGCAACTGCTTAATGAACCACCGAGACCTGGTGGAAATGGAGTGCCGCTGATCAAACAGATTATCAAAATCTTGCGTGGGACGGTACCCGCTTCTGGGTTGTTGTCGATGTTGAACGGTCAGGCAGCGGATCCGACGGTTTCTCGACTGGCATATTTAATGGCATGGCAGACATTTTCGAAAAATTATTCCACGTGTTTGAAGTTAAGCACCGAAGGGGATAATTTTAGTCTAATGTATCAAAGTCCATATTACCGCTTAAGAGGAATGCTCCAGAACCAGTCTCCGAGGGATGAAATTGAACATTTCATCAAGACGCTTTCTCTTGATTTGCCACGGATGTTACTCAGCCAGTCGACTCGGGTAAGAACTGCTTTAAATTTTTGAGTACCGGCAATAAAAGTTGAATCAAGCTTTTTTTATAATTTTTGTGTAGTACATGTATAAAGCTGCATCGCAAATTATTTTAGGCAAAACAATTGGACAGTGCTAGATCGATCGTGACAAACGAAGGAATCGTATTTTTGAACGACGGCTGCGCAGAACGGAGTGTTTCGTTGACGGATCCCAATAAATTTGTTGCGGGTATCCTTACGGGATTACTGAAGTTGTTCAGGGACGCACAGGAGTCGCCTTACTCGCCCAAGAAAATCTTGTTGACGTCGGTCTCTGATCTGCTGAATGGTCTCCAGGCTTTGCAGCACGCCAAATGTGATATTGTTTCTGACGACGAACGGCTAGTCTTTTATTTGAACGTTTATAATCTTCTGTTCATTCACGCTCTTCTGCATTCCGAATCTTTAAAGGCCAGTGGTTTTCGATCTTGGCAGGCAAACGAAATTGTGACCCGTATGCATTTTTGGAAATACCGCTATCATCTGGGAGAATATGGTATTGTCAGTCTGCAAGATCTGTATGATGCTTTGTCACCTTTGCGACAGCCACTTTCGTCGCAGAACTTACGGCTGCCTCGTCGAAAAGAAAATGGATTCCTAATGGCTAATTCTGAAAATGTTATCACCATCCAGGTGCTGCATGCGGATATGTTGAAAGCCCAGACGAACATGGCAATATCCGAATATACAAAGAATAATGGATTTTTTGACTCAGGTCGCAATATCTTTCAATTGCCGGGATGGATGTTTCGAATCTATCCCAGCGATCAATTATACCGTTTAGTGGAAGAGCATTGGGACCGAGATAGAGGTGCGTTGATTTTTAGCGTTTATTTATATTTTATAACATGGGACAGTTTCACTGGGGAGCTTGTTAGTTTAGGCATATTATGGTTTTTAGTTTTGTAGTACGTAGTAAATAATAGGTGGAATAGTGAAATTCGGTGTGATAAATTTTTAATTTTGCCTACGTTCATGGGGTTGTGTTATAGGAGACATTATATTCGATCAGCTCGTTATTGAGCCGAACCGCCGGGTTAGTCGAGAAAGAAAAATTCATCGCGATTTATCCGCCCCAAATGGGAAACATGCGGCTTTCTCTACAGCTAAAGTGCGCAGCTCTGAAGCAGAAGATAGCGCCGGGAATGCTCCATCTCTGTCAGACATGGAAGAGACGTCTTTTCCTTTGCCGGAACTGCTGCCGTACTTATCCAACGCTAATTCTCGATTAGCTAGCATGTTATCATTCGAGCCAAAAAACAGCATCCTTCCCGCCAACATGTCTGTCCGTAATGCTGTTAGCTGTTTGTTGTCGTTTCATGACAGATTGCACAGCTTAAGCATTATTTGCGAGGCTTTATGGGAAGCGGTGAGACATGGTTTGGACCCGTCAGCCATAATGGAATTTCCTTTGATCCGCTTGGAGTTAGCCGGATCATTAGGAGGAAAATTGTTACGAAATGTTGTCCTAGCGGTGGCGATTGAGAAAAACTTGGCGACGGAACCGTGGACTCTTTGTGGTCAAATTTGGGATGTGGAGTTGCGGCTGCGGACTGTTCTGCAGGTGTGGAAAAGTTGGCCCCTTGGGCAGCTAGTGGATTTCTTTGACATGTTATCGGTGGAGGATCCGAGGAGCACCGTTGTGGGGTTGCAAATTCGAATAAAGAATTTGGAGATGGTACGCCGTTAGTCTGTGCATTAACAGTACAAAAACCCGTGATGTAGTGGTTAATTTTGTGGAGTTTAATTCAGTTTTTTTCTTGAAACATCTAGCTTGTCAGGAATTTCGCATTTGACAAAGTTGGCTGGAAGGAAGTGTTTTCTAACTCGACACTGGAATACGTGATGACGCAAATGGCCTTCAAAGACTTGGAAAGCCGAATAGAGCATCATTTTAAGATTTTCAGTGCTTCAGTACTACGCTTGGATCAAACGGAAGCGCTAAATGCCTGGTTAAGTCAAAGTGAAATGCCGTCGTTGGAACTTTTCAAAGAAGACATCCAAATTAAAGGCTTGGTGCATATGTTGGATTCCAAGCCGCCTCAAATACTCGCAGCCTATCAGGTGCTGTAAACATTTAAACCTGAGCAAACATAATCAAGAACAAGAAAATTTAATGATTACCGTGTTTTCGGTAACAATAACGGTCGTTGTCTGCTGTTTATATTACAGTTACTGATACCGATGTTGAAAAATTGCACCTTCACGAAGATGGAAGAACTGCTTGCCAGCATAACAACAGCCGAAGGCCGTCTTCCGGTTATCCATATTGCCCTTCTTTCTGGTCGATTTGATGAGTACGAAGTTGGCAGATTGCGGGAAAGAGAAATCGAGAATTTAATTCTGCGACTACTGCCGGAATTTCTCCGTAAAGCCGTTCTTCACCTAAGCGGCCGACCATTGCTGATACTGGAGCAATTGATTATGTGGAACAAAGTGGACTATTTGGTTGACGTGGTGAAAATTGCGGGAATTTGGGATGTATTCAGCCAAAGAATGTTTGAACAGTTGCTGGTAGATTATGCTAAGAAGGCAATACAGGTTTTCTCGTCGCCCAGTGAACATAGTCGGTCCGGTAGCATAGCGTCGGGATTGGATGCGAGTGGCAGAAGAGAATCGACAGTGGATGTTAACCCTAAGAAATTTATCATGCCAATTGTGGCCCCCATGAAACACGAATGGGTGGAAGACGATAGCGTACAAAACTGTCCGGTTTGCGGGGAAAAGTTCACTTTGGTAAGTTGTTACAGTTTTCCAACTGTACATTCAAAACTCGGTTATTAAAATTTTAACGCTGGTTTGTAGTTTAACCGAAAGCATCACTGTCGTCGCTGTGGTCGTGTCGTGTGCTCTACTTGTTCCGGTCAGACAATCCACGTGGATTTGTACGGGGATAATCCCGTACGTGCTTGTGATGATTGTTTCGACCAAACAATTTCCCTGAGTTCGAGCGGGCGCTCGACGAAGTTTCACGGGATCGATTTCATTTCGCGGGTGCGTTCGCCAACAGCTACACAATCACCGGCCCGTACACTCAGTCCGAAGCCTCGCGAACGCTTAGTCGGCCTAAATGGGGCTTCCGATCAGCAGCAGTGGTTATTAACTACGGATGAGGATAATAACCATGCGGTGCGCAGTGAATTCTTTTTTGTCGAGGCCCCCGATGCCGCGCTTTGTATTGCGCTGTTGAAATTGCATTCGAGTCCGCTAATTGCTGGAAAAGAACTGTTAAAGATGGGGAATGAATTGTCGGAATGGATGGGCAAGCATAGCGATTGTGGACTGGAGCATGCCACGCTGCTGAATATCATGCGGACGTTGTTTTTCAAAGCGAAGATTTTTCTGTATGAGGATAAGGACAGTGCGAACTGGGTGCACGTTTGTGATAATTATCTAAATCAACTGCAAGTTGTCGAAATGTTGTTGGATGCTGGAGCAGCAAAGATCCCGTCGGTACAAGAGCTGGCCGACCTAAAGACACTCAGGTAGACTGAATTGCTGACTCGTTTGGTTTAATTATTTTGTTACTCTATTTAATGTTATGCTTGATTATCGTAAAAGTATTGCTGTACATGGTAAGTAATATCAAGTACATCCAGCCTGGATCTACTTGATATTAACAATTTTATTGGATGATCATCATGACCAGGAAAATTGTTACTTCGTCAATTTTAGCGGTATTGACCATGAGAGCCGTAACTGTTGCAGTTTTATGTGTGTATTGGTGCTTTTTGCTTGCACTTGACAATTGTATTGCACTGAGGTTTTTAATTTCCAGAAATGTCCGCGATCAGCTGATTCAACAGGAACGGTATGCTCTGGCTATCGAAATTTCCACCAAAGCTGGGCTGGATGCTGCGAATGTGTGGTTTAGTTGGGGTCGATGTTTATTGAAAGTCGGGAAATTTATCGAAGCTCAGGACAAGTTGTCAAAATGTCTTGAACTCCCGGTGGACAAAAATCAGATAAATCCACCATCGGCGGCGTTTCTGGAAGAGATTATGGAAATCATCCAAGAGGCTAAGATGCCCCGCCGCCGAGGGACACTGGGTGCGGATAGTATAATTAATCTAGTACTCCGTGGAGACATTCTGCAGCCGGAGACTGTGGATCCAGCCGTTTTGGAGAACGAGAACCGCCGGCGAATGACGGAATGCCTGCATTATCAGGAAGTTTATGGAACGAATTCGTCGCTTTTGCGCTTTTACATCAAAAAAGGGTTAATTCAGAAAGCACTGGAGTATTCTTTGCGCGAGGTACTACTGCATAATTGCATTGTAGAAGTGAAGACTGTAGTTAAGTTGCTAACAGCATTTTCATTTATACTTACGCTTTTGCAGACTGTCAATGTGGAAACGTTCTTCGAAACCATCATAATGCCGAATTTACGAAAGGGTCATCTCAGCGCGTTGGAGGATGAAATTATTATGTCGGATCCGACGTTAAGCAAATGGGTGGATTACCTGACGGGAGTTTGTAAAATTCTAATGAAACGAGGAATGACGAACGTGTTACTATCGTTTCAGTTGTTTATGAAGGTAATGTGCAATTATTCCTCATACTGTTAGATGAATAATTATTAATTTTGCAAGAGCGTTTCAGTGGTCTTTTTTCGTTTGTAGGATTATTTGCGAGCAGCAGCAACATGCGTAAAATTTTTCCAGTCGTCCTCCGCAGCAAATTCGTACCAAGTATATTTTGATCGTCTGCATTTTTTGGAAGATGCTCAGAAGCATGTCAACATGTATCTGGAGCGTTTTGCCTCAGCTACTAACGGTGAAGCGGTCAGCAAACTGCGTCTTAGTTTGCCGTTGGAGGAAGTGCGAAAATACCTGAAAACCATCCAGCTGCAAGTGTCCGTGACAAAAATCTTGGCAGGCAAGTTGTCCCGCGTGGACGAAAAACGATCGAATGGATCACCGCTACCAACGCTGTTCGGAAATCTCCAAGCGAAAATTGATGTCATCGGAATGTTGGTGGAGTTTCACAACACGCCTAAAGTGGACGAATATGTTTTGAATATAATCGAAGCACAAGCATTAAATGCCGAGGAAATCTTAACGAAAGTGGCGACGCAAGCCGGAAGGGAAGGGTTGAAAGGCGTACTGGGTGTCCTGTTAACGATGAGAAAGTTGCAGATGCTTAGGGATACTCAGTACGACGCCCTGGTGATTCGCATGATCGGACATTGTGACGCGAATTCATTGACAGCGAATACCAAAGAATGGGAAGCATTTATCAAACAGATCTCCAGTGATGAACAAAAGGTAGATCATTAAATGTGATTTCTCTGCTTTGCTCCAGCACCTTGTTTTTCAGGTGGAAGCGTTAACTAAAGCCCGGAAATTTAAGTCAGCCTACTTACTGGCTGTGCAGATGCAGCGTGCCGATTTGGTGGCGTTCGTGGGAACCGAAGCTGGCACGAATGGCGATATGTCTGTGCAAAACATTTGCAGTCGGTGGTTAGACTCAAACAAAAAGCGCAAACCGTAGCACTGGTTTTGAAGAGTTTTTATTTATTTTGAAATTTTCGCTCAAATACTTTTGTGATCGATTCTTTGTCAACATGCTGGTTTATTGCCTCGTTTTTTACTTTTGATGTTTAAGTGCCTACAAATGTGATTTGTACTCGGACAGACCAATCTTGACGATCTACTGTTAATATATTTTTCCAAATTTTATTTCCTTGATTTGTATATTTTATTTTGTTTTTGCTGATTGTATGTGAAGTGAAATTCTATATCTGAATGAATAGCAAGCAAACTGCAATCCATCTCCATAACGATTTTATTGAATGATCGGAGATTGCGAATTCGTAATTACTAATTGCTGATAATGAACGCGTCGTGGCGTAAATGGATCTACAATTTAGCCGCAACTTAAATAAGTAAAAAACGGATAAGTGCGAGTAGACGTAATAAAAGTACTGTCATCAAAACAATCCAATGTCCGAGTTGCTTGAATCACGATTATCGGGTAATTACGCGGTGCTCCAAACAACCTCGAAAACTGAACAGCTCCCGAAACAAACTAGTTCCCAGAGTTTTTCATTTCACTTTTCATTCCTCCCAAGCAAGGTGGGCTCTTCAGCGTCGCCGCATCCGTTTTAGCCCATTCTTCCGGCGTTTTCGCAGTTATGGTGATGGCATGGATGTAGTTGGCGATTTCCTCTTTGAGAATATCTTGCACGGATCTGTGCCGATTGATAAGCGACTGGCCTTTGAACTGATCGGATACCACAATCACTTTGAAATGGCTTTGAGCGCCTTTTGGCACATTATGCATGTAGCTCTCGTTGATCACTTGCAGGAATTCTGGAGATAACTGGCTCCGGAGTTTCGTAGTCAACAGTTCCTCCACGTTCACACCACTGGTATCCGCTAGCGAACACATTCTACTTATTCTCAAATTAGAGAGAGAAATCCGACCCAGCGAACCCAATACAGGACGGGCAATGCAGGCGAACACCATGAAAATATCTGCAAATGTTCAGCAATTTACACGAGCAGACAGAAGATAATCGTGGGAATTAGATAGTTGTGTGATGTCGTCAGTCTACGAAGTGTGATATTACTTATACAAGTCTGCGTCGTTAAATATCGTCAGGAGCAGACCTGGGCAGTTATGGAAATTTGACCCATAGTTAGAGTTGCGAGTTAACTGCAGCGCGCGAGTTACGCTACGAGTTACGCTATTCAAATTAACTGGAGTTATGAGTTATAACGCGAGTTACGCTACAATAAAAAATCTTTACTTTGTCAATAATTTTCAAGTAATCTCTTACCGGTATTACTATTATCAGATTTGCAACACAGATCGTAATTAATTCTGCAAAATAGCTGATTCTTAAAATTCCCATCCGTACAGCATATGCCCCTCTACATGCCAGGAAAGCTCTTTAGTATTTTTTAAAGTGAGTGTGCGAACTGAGAAGCAAATGCACGCTCGGGTGATATGAAGAAGTTCTCGTTAGTGCATTTCACCCACGGGTGCTGCGTCAGATTTGAAAATATTGCTTTTCGCTTCACTGTTTGCATATTTAACCGAAAGTTGTTTACTGTATTACATTATTTAAATAGCACTGAAACGTATGTGATACGTCCCTCTAGAAAGTCTTCAGTCACATTCAGTCTGTTCACACTATAGCTAAAAAGTGCAGAAAAGTTCTTCATTGTGGAAAATCGAAAGTTTGTAAATAAAAGTTTAAGGAGAAACGAGATATTACGCTTTTTCTGTTTGGCATACTCCTCTATGGGGCAGTTTGCCATAAGCTTGTATGCTAAGCGCAATCAGTTTATGAAAAGCAATTAATATCTGAGATCTCGTTCCTTCGAAATCTTTTTACTTGGAAACTTTCTGCTCTCTTCAAGATTTTGTTTTGCTTTTTTTTTATGCTATAGCCTGCACAGGTTGAACGAAAGTTACAAAACGTTTTTACAAAACGAAAGTTACAAAACGTTTTTACAAAACGAAAGTTACAAAACGTTTTTACAAAACGAAAGTTTTACAAAACGAAAGTTACAAAACGAAAGTTACAAGTTACAAAGTTACAAAACGGTTGAACGAAAGTTACAAAACAAAACGGCTTTCGAAAAATACCGAACCTGCAGGGGCTACCTAGTCCGCAGCACAGTTGACACACATATTTTTCGTAGCCGAAAGACTCGACTGGAATGCAGTGTACTGGCGGACGCCGCTAATATTCGATTAATGCACATCGCACAGACGTCAGTATAAAACCGATAAAAAACCATGGTGGCCAGTGCCTATGGCGGTCGTCGTGTACTACAACAGCTGGAACTGTTTTATTTGTGCCTGCTAGTAGAAGTACCGAAAGTCAGTGCAACCCAAGTCGAAAATAATTTCCATTTTAATACTCGTATTTTCTATACTTTTGAGCTAATGATTTTATTAGTAACTTGAAACGACAGAGTTACGCTACAGTTACGTTGCGTTAAATTGTTTTCGAGTTACGTTAGAGTTAAGTTTTCTTTCTAGCGAGTTACGCTTCAGAGTTACGTTATAACTCGATAACTCGAAAATTACTCGCGTTAAGTTATGAGTTAAGTTATAACTGCCCAGGTCTGGTCAGGAGTTTGCGGCAAACTGTTTGCCGAACACAAGTGACAAATGAGAATCGGAAAATCAAAAGCACACAGATGTACTTTGTATATTGTATGGATGAGATATATCATGAGTATAAAACGGCTTAGTTTAATAAATTCATCCCACTTTCTGGTCACCTGTTCGACGATAAAGACAAAGTTTAAAAATACTTCTGACGAAGTAGGTACGTACTACGTATGTAAGTAAATCGACGACAGATCTGTAGAACCTCATGATCCTTATAATATTACTAGTAGACCCCGCGCAAACTGCGCGGAACAAATCAGCTACAAATAATTTACGTTATATACAGGCTGCTCTAAGACTCAAATTATGATTGAGATACTGTACTAATAGGAAGAATACGGATCATAATTACAAATTCTATATTTTAAATTCGATTATGTGTTGCAACTTGCAAGTGTACTGGTAAAATTACCTATACTTCTACGGTAGTATGGCTGACACCGCGCAAAGTGCGCAGAGGAAATCGACTGCTGCCTGATGATAAATGCAGTTAAAATAAAAATTAGCGCATTTGCTAATACAGTTAACTTCGCTGACAAAAACTAAGTTATTACCGAATTACCGTAATTATCGAATTTGCACCTCCCCGCATAATAAGGCACTATCCGTAATAAGTAAGCCCCTCCCATAACCCGTTTGAAAAATAGCTCCTCCCGAATCTGCCTCCCATGGGGTGTTATTAAATGTTAAGCGCCACGAAATGATAGATATAAGGCCAATTGCTTCATAATAACTGCTATGATGTAATTAATAAACAGTAAACGGTCACAAAAATAATTCGGTGCTATGCTTCAGAATGCTGCTCGTAAGGTTCTGAAACTGCAAACACCGGTATCTACTGCGTTCATTTTCAATGGAACAGAATGCGCAGTTGTTTGAAAATAAACGTCCACTTCTGAAAAATACCGTTTGAAAAATAGTACCACCCCAGAAATAACGCCTCCTCTCCGAAATAAGATCCCCTACTCCAGGACGTTTGAACTTTTGCACCCCAGGGGTGCAAATTCGATAATTACGGTAAGTGATTTTTTTCCAGCGGCAAGTGGCAATCCCACACCAACTAACTACTTAATACTTAACTAACTATAAAAGGTTCAATTGTTGCAGTCTTGCAGAGCTGGCTGATAAACTGTAAGAAAAAAACTGCCAAACGATGTCTCACTTGATTGCTGCTCCTCCTGCTTAGCGAGCTCCGCTCGCGCAGCAGCTCCGTTTCGCCTTCTGTAAATATCCGTTTTTCATTACTAATTTTAAAAATACCGTCTTTCATCGGTATAATACGAAACTAAAGAAACAGTGTCAACAGAGAAATGATTAGGTTAAAACTACCGCAAAACACTGCCTTTTACCTAAGTATCAAGCAGCCACCGTCATCCCGCAGCTACTTGATAATTGGTACTGCCAGGCTGCCAGCAAGATTCGCGACGCATGCAGCTCTCACTTGGGACACTTCCCTAAGTTCCCTGGGTCGTTTGTGCGTTCGGTTGTCAAAATAACTTAAATCTTTCTTGTGCCTAAATTTTTATTATCCTTAAACCCACCGCTGTTAATATAATGTTTCTTAAAGCCATTGCAGACCAAATACATCAAAACAAACAAAATTTTTCGAATTTTGTTTCACGATATAACCCGCGCAAGCTCTGCAGCAAGGCAGTTACTTTAAGTCTTCGCTGATTGGTTGTGTTGGGGTTCCGTAGACTTTGTATGATAGGGTTTTTTACAGTTTTCTCTCAAACGATGTTTGTTTTTTGAAATCCGAAAGTTGCGGGCTCATCTACGAAATCAGCGCTATCGAATGATCCGTAAATGTTGAATATTGATCCACTCTGCGATTCTGGGGGATTTGACAGACACACTGATCACGCCCCCTCTTAATCTTTTATTATAAAGGATCCTTAAACCCACCGCTGTTAATATAATGTTTCTTAAAGCCATTGCAGACCAAATACATCAAAACAAACAAAATTTTTCGAATTTTGTTTCACGATATAACCCGCGCAAGCTCTGCAGCAAGGCAGTTACTTTAAGTCTTCGCTGATTGGTTGTGTTGGGGTTCCGTAGACTTTGTATGATAGGGTTTTTTACAGTTTTCTCTCAAACGATGTTTGTTTTTTGAAATCCGAAAGTTGCGGGCTCATCTACGAAATCAGCGCTATCGAATGATCCGTAAATGTTGAATATTGATCCACTCTGCGATTCTGGGGGATTTGACAGACACACTGATCACGCCCCCTCTTAATCTTTTATTATAAAGGATTGCACGAGTATAGTCATAGCACTGATATTATGACTGTGTAGTAAGTAGTGTATCGGCAAATGCAATCCATCCATCATGATGGCATCATCCATGTGCCTACGGGTAGCAATTTAAGCAAACGAGCATCGGTCATATCGAATATTTTTGCGAATCATCGTTTATTTATTTTCTCGTGTAATTTATAGAATTCAGATTAATTTAGTCAATCAAATTTTAGTTGGTTTGTCTCGTTAAAGGAACTTTAGCATAATAACATACTTGTGTCTCAGCCTTTATTGTCCTGTGGTTGGTACAATTGAAGATCGTCAATACATGTAGTTCACAATTTCACGAGAACAATCAAACAAAGTGCTACGTAACTGACAACAAGGCAACATTTTGGCGCCGCAAAAAGGGCAAGCCGACCTGCACATCACAAGGGGGCCTAAAAAAGAATGAAGTAGCAAAAAAAAGAATGAAGTACTTGTTGTTGTTGGTATACTTACCCGTTGATGTTGTATTTCTCTATTTTACCAAATACCAGTAGATGTAATAGTTCTTTGTTGTAATGCTAAATAATTTAAATGCCGCTGAAGAAACTCGGAATCGGACAAATTAGAACAACCGTCTCATGTTGTACATTTGCCGAAGTTTCCCAAGAATCGATCCAGTCGGAACCCATAGAGCTAATTTTTATGGACGATCGGGGTTTCAATATCTTTTAACAACTTTTAAGAGCGTATTTATTAATCCAGCTCCAATCACTCTCCTGGCACATAAGAAAACCAGATGTGTTTACGAAAAAACAGTACCGCGCAAAACGATCAGTGGACATAAAATTCCAGGAATCCAAAATACAAATCAGCGCATCATTGAAAAAACAGAAAACATTGTCTGTGCACAGCATGAACAAATTTAAAATAATATAAAGCGAATGTAACGGGTGTAAAATAAGCGATATTCCAATTTTATCAACTCTATTTAACCGAATCGTTAGTTGAGACGAGATTTTGTATTTGAGAATTCCGCATCTGACAAATTTTTAACACTCATCCGATTCCGGCAATTGCGGCAAAGCGTCAAACACATTGCGAGCACTCTTCAAACCGCGATCCTGGCACTGCTCTTCAAGCGGACGTTTGACACGATCAGGTTGCTTTTCATTGTACAAGAATGACGAAAAGTTCTGGCGCTCGCTGGCTTTTTGCGCATTTGATGGCAGAGCAGCCACTTGTTGACCGACCTGACTAACCGCCATCGACATCCGAAACGTCTTCGTTGAATCGTTATAAATTACGGCGCGGAAAGCGGTCCCTCCTTCTAAACCTTCGGGCCATTGAGCGACAGGCAATGCAGCGCTTGACTCTTCCACGTTGTCCGGGAAGAGAGGATTGTGCACCTCATCCTCCGACTTGGCTCGAACTGTCTGAGCCACCGCATTGTTGTACCAGTTGACGGTGCGTTTCTCTATCACTTTTTTAAGAACGACTCCTTTGGCACCATTCAGCCGCTTGACGTCTTTTCCTTTCGCATCAACAAAAAAAAATCTGTAACACCTGAAATCATCGTTAATAGCTGCCACCTAAACATACCTTTTCCACCTTTTCCAATCGGCACTTTAGTCCGCTTGGCCCACCCGAAAGTGCGTGACTCAGTTTGTTTAATGACAGAATTCCTTCCCAAGGCTTTGTTCATGGCTTCAACCGGCCCCAAGCTTCCTATTCAACAATACTCCCGATTAAATAACCCCACCATCCGTGACCCGTGATTAGGTCGACAATTTATAAGAAATATATCTGTAAAAGAGTCAGAAACAAAAAAGCAGGTGGTTTAAATCTGATAATAACATTACCAATTATGAATGATAAGATATTTTTGCATTACTTGACATTAAGGTAATTGATGCATAAAAAGTAAATTAGATACCACTGTGCGGCTTATTCCCAGAATCAGAGCCAGATGCAGCCTGTCGTAAGCTGTCCAATGTCGGCATTTCTGGTGGAAAAAAGGCAGCTTTAACATAAACATTCTCAAAAAATACGAAAATGTTACCCACAAAACGCCTGCTATAAACGAGTAAATACAGACTACAGTACTCGTACGATATCAATATTAATCCTATGATGACTGCTAACCAGTAAGAGTGCGGCGTACTGTGTACTCAATATCAAAATAATGACCTATTTGAAATATACATATGAAACTGTGGTACTGTACAAAGAAGCAGATACCAAACAAACAACAGAGCAAAATATATGAATTATAGAAAACCGAACAACAAATCTATCGCTAGAGCACAATATGATCCTTACTTATGAGAGCAATTTGTTGTTCCGATGACTGTTCGGTCTTTTTCGAAACCATTCCTAAACTTCGCAGCGAGCTTCCCAGTCGGCTTTCGCTCAACCGCTGTATAGAACAACAACAATTCGAAGCAAAATCCTGTGTACGGTGCAACATTTGTATGGTACAATTGCACCGTAAATGCTGCTGTACGAGTACAGAATGAAGAAATTCGCGCGATCCGAAGCCAGTGTCCATACCTTTCTGAGCAGGAACTTTTTGCACAACAACTTTTGTCATTACTCCCTTATTGCTGACGACTGGGATTTGCGGGCGAGGACGTAGGCGCTCCGAGAAGGGTGTGTTACGCACGGCTAAAAACGCATTCAAGATGATCATTACAGTACAAGATTGATGAGAGCTGGAATTGGATAAATGATTACCCGGATTCTTTGTGGTAATCTGCTTGGTGACGGGACGACCGGAAGCAGTCGCAACTGGTTGAAATGAACTCTCCAGTTCCCTTTTCGGGGCATGTTTCTTCGCCGCTGAGCCCAGTAAGTCGATTTTCTGAAGAAACCAGATTTCGTAAATCTTTAACGACGAATTGCTTTTAGCCGACGCACACCGATGGACGAACCAGTGCTATATAAGCTTCTCGACTTAAATAGTATTACTATATACCTGTCCAAAGTCAAACTTCTTGGCCGACCTAGTCTTGGCAAAATCCTGTCGGATAACATCTTCCCAGTTAGATGGAAATCCGTTTTCGAAAGCTCGGATGACTTGAACGGAGAATCCATTCGCCCGCATTGCTTCAGCGTTGATTTTCCCGCGCAACTCGTAAGCGGACCCAGTAATGGTAGTGACCAACGTTTCACTAACACGGGTGATAATGACGGAAGTCGTGAACTTCTGCAAAAACGCATAAGATAAACGAGTTTGTGGTGTCTGAAGCAAAATTCAGGTGTCTTTACGGCCGTGATGGAATTAAAATAATTCCTAATTATTACTAAAAAACACTTCACTTATGCGTATGAGTACTGCATAATTTTGATTGAGTTGAATGTTTCTTCGTTAATCAAAGCTTCAAGCTGTCAGTCAAAAAATCACAAGGTTAACTGGTTAACAATTAATGCTTTTGGTGGTCAGCAGTAGCACTTACGTAAAAGTGAAACTGAAGAACTTACTATTACTTACAGCGAATACAGTATTATAGTTATACATAAATGATAACGTCGTAATGACTGATAATCATCATAATAATTATCATTCTGATAATTACTATATCATAATTAATATGAAATGCAAATGCAGCAAATCTTACGCTTACCTGTTCAGTGAAGGAATGGATGCTGATATTCTGTCCGTCAAAACTTCCCACTAACTGGACTACAGAGGCAGCAGTGTGCTTTTTCAAATACCAGTCATGAAGAACTGCTCGGGGCTTAGCGGCATTCTGCACCGCAGGAACTCGAACGCACTTAATCGGAGCGTCTGGACGCGGCTGGGCTCGAGTGCTTCGAGCTCGTGCCATTTTCAGCAAACAACCACATCCAAGGGATCAAGAAGTTATGTATAACAAAATCCTTTTACCCGGAAAACAAGTTAGAGAAGTGGCAGACCGTGGAATTCACGCTTCACGCTTCGCAGTTCAAATTTATTCAGTTTTTTGACGGGAAGTCTGGAGTTCACCATTCACTTTTGGGTTTTTGGCTGGACTTGCCAGAACATTGAGAACAACAAAAATTTTCAACGGCCTTAGAGCTCAAACTGGGAATCATAAGCATCAACAGAATATTTTAGAATGTCCGTAGTTGTCTTTAAATAATTCAGCGCAAGCTGATAGTCCCTGTGCCTCTTCTAGTAACTCACGAAACGACCCCCTCCAAAGGATGACTTTAGAGTGAACTTCCGTTTTCACGTCTTGTTGTAATGTTTTTGTTTGAATCCGTTCGAAGTACTAGTAGTGTTTTTAATTTTTAAGATTTTATGAATTTTTATCGGTAGGAAACATTTTCCCTGAAAACGTAAAGCCCTTTGCTGATAAGTCAGTTTAGTCTTATTGTAGTTTTATGGCCTGTCTTCTAATGACTTGGGGGAAAATCCTGCATCGTAGTGGAGCAGCGGTTGCTTTCGTGAGGTGCAACCACGGACAAGTGCGATTTGCATCATCCAAATGCAATGCTCCGCGTTTACGGTTTGCTCCAAGTCCTACTGGACTCCTTCACCTAGGCGGCTTACGCACCGCATTGTACAACTATCTGATGTGCAGAAATACCGGAGGAACATTCGTCTTGCGCATAGAAGACACAGATCGTGCTCGAACTCTGCCTGGTAAGTTAATTCTCTCCTTAGGTATATTAATTTTAAATTCACAGTCACGAGTGACAAGGATACTGACAATGTCACAATGAGAAGTAGCACTTTAGCCTCAGCTCTCACGCATACCTTAACTAATTCTGTATTTCGTTCGCGGTTCTCTGCTTGCTGACATGTGGCATTTCTGATATGTGGCGGATTTGCAGGAGCCCTAGAAAACATCATACAGTCCCTTGAATGGATGGGTATCGCAGCGGACGAGGGCCCTCACTGTGGTGGTCCGTTTGCGCCGTATATTCAGTCAGAAAGAGCTCAGCTTTACCGTGATTATGCTGAAACATTAATAAAAGTAAGCGAGCGCCGATCTCGTGAATTTAGCTTTATTTTTCGCGCTTTTGCTATCAACATAAAAATTTTTGGCCGTTTTTTTGTGAATTTATTTTTTGTTGTCTTAGAACGATGCTGCGTATCGTTGTTTCTGTTCACCCGTGCGCTTGGAGATCGTTAGAAAGGAGGCTTTGAAATCCGGCACGGTTTCAGGGTACGACAACAAGTGTCGCAGTCTTAGCCATGAGGAGGTCGCAGAGCGAATGGCACAAGGCGTCCCTTCGGCAGTGCGCTTGAAGATGGACCAGCGAAGATACGAGTTTCACGATGAAATCCACGGATTAGTGTCCACTGAGGCTGGTCGTGAAGGCGATCCGGTAATCTTGAAGTCGGACGGCTTCCCTACCTACCATCTGGCGAACGTCGTAGACGATCACGCGATGGAGATAACCCATGTCCTCCGCGGTATAGAGTGGCAGATCTCAACGCCCAAACACTTGCAGTTGTATTCCGCACTTGGATGGCAACCGCCGAAATTTGCTCATTTACCTTTGCTCCTGAATCCCGACGGATCAAAGCTATCCAAGCGGCAGGGAGCGCTCGATATCATTGAATATAAACGACTAGGATACTATCCAGAAGCGCTGCTGACCATGTTAGCCCAGGTTGGCGGCGGCTTCCGGTCTCAGGTGGCGCAGAGTATGGATACCGTTACAAAGGACGACCTTATTCGTGATTTTGATCTCTCCAAAATTACCAAAAGCTCCTGTAAGGTGGCTTTGGAAAAATTGCCGGTTTTTAATAAGCATATCGTCGCGCAGATGGTTAGCGAGCCGCCGAAGTTGGATATATTCATTGCTGATGTTAAAGACTTGTTACTCAAAAAGTATGGCTTGACGCCTACGGACGAAACAATTAAAAGAGTGATTCAGTGGGCAGGAAGTAGGTTGTCATCGGTGAATGATTTGGCTTCGGATGACTTGGAGTTCGTATGGATCAGAAAGGCTCCAGCGCAGCCTTTCACTGAAGAACAGCTGAGATTACTGGACAACGTGAAGGTGCTTTTCACAGATCTACCGAACGGCTCTGCGAGAATGCCTTTCTCTCAGTTGTTGCAACATCATGCAAAAGAAAATGGGCTTGATCCGAAGGGTGTTATGCATGCTTTGCGATTAGCGCTTACTGGTTTGGCGAAGGGACCTAGTATTGTTGAGATAACCGATATTTTAGGAAGCGTCGAATGTCTTGATCGCATCCAAAGGATCGTTGAGCGACAGTCAAAATCGGGCGGTTCTCATTTTCAAAGACAAGAAGCGAATAAAGTACTGAACAAATGATACCCGTACACAGGACACTTAATTAAGGAAAAAAATATTAATGACTGAGGAGGTCTGGTACAGAAGTTTCACCGTCTTTTTCATTCATATTTTGGAAGTCATAAAATTATATGGAAGCGACACAAAACTTTAATAGTTCATCGTCTCTCTTCACAAAGCGAATTTTATTGAATTATTCTCTTGTATGAAAGGTCTCACGGAACTAGCATATCAAAGCGCATTTGTAGGGGACAAATGACAAGTAACAAATACAATGCAGTATTCATCCGAAGCAAAACTGTCGAAAAAAGCAATGATTTGAGGGGCATCCACTCAGCTACGTAAGCAAGAAATAAATCAAGCAAGACATCAGTTAATCAACTCACGTACTTAAATGACAGAGCCAGGTGAGTACCGTGCACATGAATTACAGTTGTCCGAGCTTGCAAAATTATCTTCCTGGATTAAGTTTGAAAACGACTCAAAACAGGTTGTGAAACCTGGACGTTCAATTATGAACTGAAATGAGGCGACTATCAAACCAGATCGATCGAATGCATCGTCGCACACCAACAGAATCGACAAAACAACAGAAGCAAACGCTATGAGATTTTGCATCAAGTATGGTAATAACGGTAAATCATATCAATAGAGCTCGCACGGAACTGGCACACATACTCGTAACTATGATAGAAAAGGTCCAGCTCAGTGACTATCCAATTCTAACTAAAATTCCTCGTTTATACTTCACTATATAGTATTCCGGTATATTTGTTTGATGGACGCATCATCCTTCTTCAACCACATGTTCCAATTCAAGTATTCTTCCACAAGCCATATATAATAATTGTGTCCCACAAAACAAGTAGCTAATGTTCGCAGCCACTGTCCAATAGACCCAAATCTATTCCAATTTGGTGCACTTTTGCACGGGCTCTCCACATCCTAATCTAGGGCAGTTCTTCAGTTTTTCTCCACAGTCTATACACGTCTCCGTATGACCACACCACAACAGCACACAATTCTGTGGATTCTTCTTGCAGACTATGCATGCCACGGTCTTCATGTTAGCTGATCCACTCGCTTTATCCGATTTCAAAGGTTCACTCACAGGAGATTTCCTTGCACTATCTGGTGCCTTCAGATCTTTAAGCTCTTCTAATCCAGTTAAGTCGGCCATAGATCCGGACAGGGAAGCATCATCATCTTCCGGTAATGGGCGGGTATTTGGCTTACAGTCCACCTATGCGCACATTCCTTGTTCACAGTCTTCAAACAACTAACCAAAACCAACATGGCTTTTAACTTTGATTCATAGCACTTCACCTCTTTGCCCAATATATACACTGGCTGCGCCTGGGAAATGAACCACTTCGCATCCTCATCGTTTTCCACATCGATAAACGCAAATCCACGGTGCACAGTTCTATCCTTAGCTCCACGAGGATATACCATTCTTACATCACGGATCGTTCCATACATACAGAAATTCTCTAACGCCCGTTTTATATCATCCGCTGCTGCTCTCACGGGTATTCCTCCGCAGAAAATTTGATATCGCTTTTGCTTCAACTGAATCATAGTCTTCATCCTAGGAGTTCCTTCTTTAGACTGTATAATAATGTGCAAAAATAAATTTTCCGCAGGATAACAAAAGCTAAGGACTTACAAAATACGGTCTGGCGTAGGTTTCGAACCCATCAATAACCAACTTTTGGGTCAGAATCTTCTGCACAACTAATGGGTTGTCGAAGCCAACTGCTGCTGAGTTTGCTCTTGCATCCGGATAAATAAACAGCTTCACATCCAAAACTCTGCCATACTCGGAAAAGTACTTGTACAATGATTCCTCCGTACTGTTCAAGCTAACTTTCTGCACATAAATTCGCCTAGAAAAGGTAATTTTGTTAATAAAAAATACTCACCAAAATTTTGAATTTTTCATTCAACAAGATCGCAAAATTGCCCAAGCATTCGCAGCAATCCTGTATGTGCCTGGACAATTTATCAATATTAATCAAGTAATAAGTCATTAATTATCTTCGCTACCATAATAGCGCTACGATAGACGTAAAGTTAGTCGTCCAGACACGGTATTAAACGTACTGAGTATCCGGAATATTTGGATTTTTGCGGAAAGTACTCCAACCATTATCCGAATGAGCAGCGGAATTGCTGAAAACTCTTGTCGCCTGCGCTTCCTTTGCTCGTTCAACGGCGCCCATGGATGTCGAAGGCTTCGCTGATGGAACCTGAGCAACAACCTTCGGCTGAGCCTTCGCCTGTTTATCCTGCTCAGTAGGCTGCACGCTGGCAGCTCCGGTAGCTGCATTTGCAGCAGTGCCATTTTGTTGCGAACCAGCCATCCTGATAAACGTAAAAGAAAATAATTATCCCGTCAAAACACAGCTTGCTCTGCTTCCACTCACCGTTTGTCTATGTCCCCTTTCACACTGTTAAGCAGTCTCTCCAATTTTGACTACAAACAAAAATAAGTAATGAACATCATGCAAAAAGCTGATGTACTATGAATAATAATTAATAACTTTCAATTAGCAACGAAGTTGCGAAAAGAACCTCAGCATACCACTGTGACGTTCAGCTTGACCAAGTCCTCCTTGGAGGCCGCCATGTTCAGGGCATTCTGGAAATGATTTTCCAGTTCATCTTTATGGAAAAATATGTCCTTCATACGCTCTCGAAAGCTGTCCGTCGATTGCGCCATGCTGTCACTATCAAACTGAATTCTAATGACAGCAATGGGAATAATATGCTGGCTTGTTGCTTAGAATTCTCCACAGGTGATTTGCCAGAACTTAACAAGACTCAAGGAATGGATACAGATCGTTGAATTGTCCCATCTGTTGGAACCTGTTGCGGAAATGCATTACCAAAAGAATAACTCCGAATATCGTTTTTCTAACAGCGGGGTTTAATGTCTGGCAGAAGAACGGGCTCTTGCAAATTTCACGATCTAGGTCATGTCACAGCGTTATCATGCATGACACGTCCGATTTGCCATTCAGCTCGCAAAAAAATGTGCTCGATCAAGGGATGCTATCGCAAACCGAGGTGTGGTAGTCTCTAGTCTCAGCCGATATGAACACTTTTCGCTGACGTACCATTCAGTACGAGTGTCACAAACATGCACTTCTGGTGAGTACTGCACACTTCAAGCGCTTACTACCAGTAACTACGAGTACAACTAAATAATACGGAACGAATATTTTGGAAGAACAGTTCAACAAAAAATAATTAGCATATTTAATTGTTTACGATGGCGAGTTTTATGCGCGGTCGACGGCAGCGTCTGAAAAAGTAAAAGATGTTGTTGCCGACTCGTACGTTTCAAGAGACTTCCTGTAACTAAGGTAGTCAAGCCCACCGTGGTCCAACCATACGCAATAGCGCCAGCGTATGTGGTCAATACCACAACCTTTAACAAAGTTTTTGTCAGGAAGGAATTCCCAGAAATGTTGAAGTTCTTTTGTGGTTGCTTTGTGTGTTTCGAAGTTTGTCCTCCTCCTTCGAAATATGTCATGATGTTATTATGAATTTCTGACATCGTTGATCGGAAACACCCATAACGCATTGCACAATAGACTCTCGATAATAATTCGTAAAAATATTATCGAGAGTATTTCGTACTACTCTAGTAGCAAATATTTAAAAGTTGCCACAGAAGTATTCATTCAACGTACTGTAGGTACATAATTGTAAGCAACAGGTGTGAAATCGTGATATTTATATACTCGTACCTGCAGCCGCAAAATCGATAACGAAGCATTTAAATAAAACACTGGATCCGAGTCCCGACTCTCGAATTAATATTGTGTGAAGGCTTGAAGGTACCGTACAATACATACAATGGTACAACTGCAATACCCAAAATGTAAACCCTCATCTCGTTACGATGCAGATGCATATAAATTTCGAATCTTTACTGCATGTGTACGGAGCTGTTTTATCTCTATAATTACTTAGTTCTAATCCGGGTGCTGTACTAACAGCATTGTTTTGCACAATTTGACTCTCACTCCACCTGTATAACGAGTAACATAAATTACACTATATAGTTTTCTGACAGTGCAAATCATCACATTTTATTTATTTTCATGTTAAACAAAAGCGCGGCAAGCAATACGCTGTGGTTTCTATTTGTAGTTAGTATTAAAACGTAAAAACCACACCAACTATACAATCAGTTTCAGTAACACACACACACAGTATAGTAGCAATAAAACTATGACGGCAGAATGAATTACAATAGCTTTTTTAACAATGCTGTGTTACCAAGAGCTCTAATTTAAAACAAACACTAATGACTAGAAATAATTAGAACAGACTGTCGTTTTACATGTTTAGTGGAAGCATTTTATGATTGTTTTGACTGGTCATATCGACTATCTTTGTTTCGTTGGCTGCTAACTGCACTGCCGATATCTTTTTTGGTCGCTCATCTGCATGCACTTTGACCTTTAGATCCCGGAGTGCACGTCGTTCTGCCCGTTCCACGGGGAGAGTCATCACAGAGAATTCGGGTCTCGGGCAAGACGAATTTGCCGCACTGCGGTACCCGCGCGTTGTTCCTGCAACACCGTACGTGTACAAAATACTATGTGCTCGTATAACATGATTTTGGTAAGGTGGATTTACTCTTCGGCTTTTTTGGTGGGCCTTGGCGGTGCACTGATAGTGGTTGTTGCCAGCCCGCATCCACTTGATGTTGCAACACTCCCCGCGCCCTCGAAACAGGTTTCGGCGGTCGGGTGCCATTTCCGGTAACAGCAACCGCACCGGTGCGGTATGTGTTAGAGACTCTTGAATGCGGTTCGGCATCGTTACCCCGTCTGGGTGGCTCTCGTACTGGTCGACTCAATTCGGTGCCCGGTTGACTTCTCCTGAAAACTTCTGTATCCAAGAAGAAAGATGCCTCGGAACTGAGACACGGACTGGTCTCGCTGTGCACGCCATCGTCGATAAAGTCCACATCGTTTGGATCATTTTCACTGCTCCCGTTTCCTAAAAACGGCGAGAAATGGGAGTCAAGTTTTAAGCTTTTCTTGGCATCAGATACAAAAGCGTACTCGGCACGAAGTCATTTCTTATATATCAGCCGATTCGAAATTAAACGCTTGACCCTTGTACATATGGGTTGTGACAGGTGAATGACGTACCCAGCTCGGTGTCTTCGTTGGCAATGCTCGATTCGAAACTCCTTGTCTTTGACAGACTATGCGGCATGAACTGGCGGAAAACGGAAGCGGTACGAGTATCTCTGTGTCCTAAACGCTGTGGTGCGTACACCAATGCCCTGTCCAGGCTGGCCTGGATCGGTGGAACCTTCCTAGCTTGCACAGGTGATCGCAATGCGGAAGCGGGTCTTTGGCGAGTCCTGTTCAACAAGTCACCGGTTTCGTCGAAGGGATAATCGCTCCGGAGATTATGGTTGTGTTCGCAGGGTGTAGTACGGAAAACATCGCCGCGGTATTTATGTTTATTGCACTTGTAATCTAATGCCGTAAAGTTATCATCGTTATCGTCGCAGTCGTTGGTGAATAAGCAGGAAGTTTGTGATTGATCTGGCGGCGGATGTTGTGGAGGCGGTGGTAGGAGGTCGGCCCAGTTTACGGGAATCACGGGCAAATGTGCCGCGGAATTATTACGCTTATTGGAGCGTTGGCTCTGTGGAGTGGAGCGCTGGCTATGCACGCTGACCGTTTCCGGATAGGACTGCGCTTTAGACGACGTACTGTGGTTACCTGTTTCGGTTCCACTACCGCTACTACCGGACACCAGCCGATTGTCATCTCTTTCCAGTTTTTCTACCCCATTGTTATCCATTGACGGTCGACGTTCGGCATGCCCCAAATCAACCGTATGACCATGTATCGGACATGTGCGTTTGCCGGTTCGCAGGAGGGAATTGGTCTCTTTATACACTGCACTGTCGGCCGCATTAGCCATAAACATCCCCTGATGCAATTTGCATTTGGTCCATTCGTTATCGGATCGTAACCAACTTGAATTCTCTGAGCAAGGATTATGATGAGCGGATGTGACATTGCCGCAGTTGGCGCAGCCTGGACCAGTTCCAAGTCCAACGATGGAATTCGGCAGAAGAGTGCCGTGCTCGGTTGTAATGAGATGGGCGCAAGGATGGAAAGGCAGACTGGGAGCGTGCGATGATGAATATTCTGATGTTTTATAATAACCGTCTTTTTCCTTTCTTCGCAAAATGAACATAAAGAATAGTGTGATGAGTAGTAACAAAATCACAACCCCGAGAACTGCCAAAAACCATGGTTGCTGCAGAAGATGGGCGGTGTCGGCAATATTTGGCTCTGAAAAATTATTGCTAGCGCAAGTGTTCATCAACCATCGAAGAAGTTTAATTGTCAGCAAACGCCACCGAAACTGATCACAAAACGAAACGTTGCTTCGGTCAATCTGGATTTGGGCAATTTTCAAACGGTGCCATTTTCTATCAAGCCTTATACAGTATTATGTTAGAACAGAAAGTATACAGAATGAATTTGATCATTAGACTTCGGTGATTAGAACATGGCATGCTATAATGCATAAAGTGCTGTATTTGCTGCGCGTATACTGTAATAATTTTACGGTATGTTTTAATTTCTACATATATTTTTATTATACTAATTCCCTTAAATACGGTATCAAAATTTGGTTTGTTCTTACCCATGCGGATGTATAAGGGTTTACTTAGCACTCCCAAGCCGGCGTCCGTTCTAGCCGCTAGTGTAATGCGGTAACGCATGCCGGTTGTTAAGTTTCCAATGACCTGCGTGGTCGCGTCACTTTGGTCAACACTGATGTTTCGCACTTGACTGATGACAAACGAGCTATTTCCGCCATGAACTGACGTGGTGGACGCACCGGTGGGTATAACAAAAATCCGATATCCCGCCAATTTTCCATTAAGTGACGCGACAGGTGGCGTCCAGTGGATTTGCAGAGCTGTCAAGTTGACCAGCTGAACTCGTATGTTTTGAGGAGGCTCATCGGGAACTGTCAAAACAAGTTTTTGTTATCATTAACTACCATGTTACATTTCTGCTAACAAATTTTTCTGTCATCTCGACGCCAGCGTTCATTTACCGTCCTGGAGCGTCATCGTTGTGACGGAGTTGCTGACTTTGCCCATAATGTCCTTGTAGAAGGGGGTTAACGAGATTTCGTACGTGGTAAATTTCTTTAAATTAAATAGAGTGTAATGCGGCGCTGAGCCTTTGCTGATTCTGATTGATGTCATGTTGTGCTGGGGTGATGACACATCATGGTAGGTAATTAAATATCCGGCAATGTATTTCTCATCACGGAGGATCGTCCAATGAATATTAACCGCGGTGGCCGAAACTGGTTTAATCGCATCAATTTTCACCACATCATGTCCCAGTCGTTCCTTAACCTCGGCTAATTCATAATCAAGCACCGGATGCGCAGTGCCCTCCGTTCTAACCAGCTCGGAAACTTTACTGGGCGGCGATATTCCGTATTGATTGACGGCACGCACCAGGAATATATACGAGGCATCCGGCTTTAGACCCGTAATAACGTAATGGTTCGTTAGCGCCGATTGCGTCACAATAATCCAGCTGGAGGGCTGATCGAAGCAGAAATACTCAATCCGATATACCAGCGCCGGACTGCCGGAATGGGTGAGATCGGCTGCGTTGTTTCCGCTGCGCCAGCTTATTTCTATACTGGTTTCCGTTACATTGAGAACGAAAGGCTGTGACGGTGCTGCCGGCAGATCGGTATCCGGCATACGGTGAAACATTACCTGCGGATTGGTGGGATCCTCCACCACTAATCCGGCCGACCACATTGTCTCACCACTTTCCGATGAGGCAATACAGGTGTAGATACCGGAGTCGGTGATGCGGAGATCAGATAACTGCAGTGTACCGGAATCTAATAGCTGTATCCGGGGATTATTTGCAAGCAACAACAGTACACCGTCTTTTAGCCAGTGCACCGACGGCACCGGCGGTCCCATGGCGTGACACGGCAGAATGGCAATGGAATTAACGGCTAATGTCTGGTTGGATGGGCCGGTGACAATGATCGGTGGCGGAGCGGAAACGGCCGGGATAATTTGCACATGGCCGCGTGCTAGCGCTGAACCGGCTACGGAGAGGGCGGAGCAGATGTAATAACCCGTATCGTCCATGGACGCCTTCTCAATGAGCAGTGTTCCGTCCGTGTGCACAACATATCGACCGTGCGGCTGACCAGGAAACATGAGGATTTGACTGCCCTCTTTGGACCAGAAGACAGCCGGTGGTGGATTGCCTGTGAATTATGTTAGCCACAATAGAATCACAATTACAAATACACATCCCGGAAGTGAGTGTGTATGTTATTAAACAGCTGCGTGTTAGCCTTGCCTGTGGTCACACATTCCATGCTGACCATGGAGTTGACCGACACGATCTGATCCCGGGGCGCGAAGAGGAAAGTGGGACGTGTATGGATTGTCAAGTGGGCAGTGGCTGTCGCTGATCCGTGCAGATTATCGGCTTGACACACGTAGGCGCCCTCATCGGAAGGACTAACATGTTCGATACGTAATCCGCCGTCTTCCTCCACTGCAAATCGTGTATCCTGTGTTACTGATCTCCCGTCCGTCTTTCGCCAAGCTATCGTTGGCTTGGGATCGCCGGTGGCTTGGCAGTCGAAGACAACGTTCAGCTCCGCAAGTGCTGCAACAAGAGCAATGCCCACATTAATAGTGGAAAACGCATCCAGATGTAATGATTAATTGTGATGCCGGTAATGGCAATTTCGGTAATTCTAAATTTAACACAAAAAAACGTGACCTTCTCACATTGTATGAAAGCAGCACATCATATTTTGGATTTTACAATGCATAACCAGTAAAAAATTATAATTATAGTTATTATAATTAATTTTATCAGTTGCCGACAGCAGTTTGAAATTTTTTTCTAACCGGAACTCTGTGGCCAGCAGTTTTTTTCAGTTTTAAATGGTACGAGAACTCATTAAATCGAGCCGGTAGCGGATTAGTGCAATGCAGTGCTAGCAGTACATACTTGTATATAAGGGGATAAACATGTACTAGCTGAATTCTGGTATTCCTGTACCAGTAACGTCAAGAGAAGTACTGCAAATTAAGCTTGACAAAGTTGGATCAAATATAATTTCCGGGAGTGTAATTACTGATGAATGTAATGGTTTCCCGGGTGTGACCAATCACACAACAATCAATAGTCCCCAGCTGCTGTACGGGCAAGACACACCGCGTGCGTCTTGTTGGTTTTTTCTTTCGAGCCACCAGTGCAAGGCCAATGTGTATAAAATTTAATAACGTATATCTTGTAGATAATTATTTCACTGAATGGTGCGAAGGTAAAAACACATGTTATGTCCCTCGTGAACGCGCATGATGACTCGTACGGTATAAGTGATTCCACTTTTACCTGTGACATCCTGTGGAGGCAAAGTGATCACTGGGCGTGAGAACACAACCAGCGCGCTCGGCGGTGATTCTCGGCTGCCGGCTACATTTTCAGCCAGGCATGTATAGCTTCCTGTGTCGGAAAGTTTTGTTCCGGTTATCAGCAGATTGCCATCATCCATCAAAACAAATCGACCAGTTAGTTTTAACTCTACACCATCGCGTTTCCACGTGATCTTCGGTTTCGGGATGCCTCTCGGGGGTTGACATTCAAGAAGTGCGTTATCAGCAGCTGCCACTCGGACACTGCTGTTGGGTGAGCGGCGAAATTCATCACGCAAAACTGTGAAATCGATACATATATTCGTACACATGCGATGAGGGGAAGCCGTATAGTTTACATTTCAGTATTATTGTATGCTGTTCAATTGATCAGCCGCGAAATAATGTGGAATACGATACCACTGCCAAACAACGGCAGCCAGTAAAGAAACGGAACTTACACGCTACTTGTAAGCTGGCATTATTGCTCCGTGCCTCTCCAAATTTATTTCGGGCTAAACAAAAGTAAACACCGCTGTCCGATTTGCCCTTTTTATTGTGTATGACGCGGGAGAAATGTAAGGCGCCCCCATTTGAGTGCTGTGTAATACGGGGCAATTCCAACTCCTGATCGGGATTATGATTAAGGAATGTTGATACCGCGGAAAGTGGAATGGACGCGGAGCTGCTAATCAATTCCCCATGATCTTTATACCATGAAATCTGGGGAACGGGCAGTCCATCCGCTTTGCATTGTAATACGGCCGGCTCATTTTTACGGACGATCACATCCGCTGGGTGCTCAATGATTTTTGGTGCTCGTCCGCCAATTGACCCAAATGATGGTCTATGAGTTGCTGCGGAAGTGTGCGTAACAACTGCAAAAAATAGTCTGCTTTCCATCGATCACTAATGCTACTACAGTAGTAACCGCAATAAGATGTAAATTATATTCCAGTATATTGCAAAGCGTACAGCCATACAGCTGTGACCGTTAATGTCGATTATAAATGCAAATGTTAGGTTTTATAAAACTACATGTACACACAGAATTTTAATCGGTGTACCTATTCATACAAACCTTGTCACTCAGTCACTGGAATTAGTGTAAAATTTTATTTCTAAAGAATTTTGTTTTAAATTAGTTCGCGTCAGAGCAAATAGCCCGTTTCCGGCTAGGGTGACAGCCTAGCATGGGTTTTTTAACCTGGATCCTTTCTAAAGCAGGCAGTCGAATTTCGTTATCATATAAATTTTACATACATATTACAGCAAAAAAAAACAGTAAGCCGTACGGAACGATTCACAGTTTTAAGCGAAAATTGTCAATTCGACTCGGGAGAAATGAATAACTGGCAACTTCGATGCAGAAAACTCATTTTCTAATAGTTTCCTATTTGCATTTCGCGATTTTGTCTAATATCCTGGCGTTCCTTTGATTGTTTGTGTTTGTATATTTTCTTGATCAAGTACTGTCTAACAGAATTAGCACAAATTCTAAAATTACGCAGTTGTTTACGAAACGCACGATACACCTTTGCGTGAGACATGCATGCATGATTTAACGGACTTCTGCATCTAACGCACAATCCTTATCCCAGCTGGTTTCACCTATATAAACCGTTTGTAAATATTTAAAGAATTCATTGAACACTTTAAGTGGTTGTGAGTTTTAAATATACGTAGCTATACCTCTTTCATGTATCATTTGCGATGAGTGAATGCCATTTGGAAATTAGAAACTCGTACTGCGATCGACGAGAAGTGAAATACACATTCTAGTTTTCAGTAGCCATTTGCAACTTCGTCTGTGCATATGTTATTGTATGCATTCGATTTGTAACACGTCGTAAGTTTATAACTGCACGAGAAGTTTTAATCACGTGGTCCGGTCATTTTGAGGAAATGGTAAAATGAGATCATAGCTCAAAAGTAACAGAAGTATAAAAAACAAATTATTTTTCTTATCGTATGGACTATGGAATCTGCAAAAGCATAAAATTTTGGAAATTGGATAGTATTCTGAAAATATGGATAGTATTTTGAACTACGGGTAGTTTGGAGGAGCGTTTACGCAACTTGCGCTTAAGCCTTCATACTTTTGTATTGCAGCATCGTTCAAGCATCTTACGTATAAAACCTATCAGATGTGTTTATGCTGATGTACGGAACAATTTTCAAAGACGAGTCGCCAAGTGCCTAATTATGTTTATGGTATTAAAAATCTGCTTGTTTTTAAATATTACAGGCGCCAGCTCACAGCTGCCTACTGTTAAGGGTTACCCTTTAGTTACAGATACACTATAAGGAAGGCGTAGCTGTTTGGTACCGTTTTTTCGCCACTGTTAGTTACATCGTATGTGTATGAAATCTTGACATTTTTCCTCTATACAGAAAGGTTACGTCCTGTTTCAAATGATTACTAAGCATGAGCATAGAATCTAAAATTTGAACAAGCAGATTACTGCTAATCTACAGGCGAAAATTATTAGGAAAAATATGGGGTACAAATAAACTTAATGAAATTGTTTGTTTATACTTTGCTGTAATAGTATGCTTCTGTGTTTATGCTGATTCTAGAGAACAAACCTACCGTAAAGCGGGAGTATTATTACTAGAAAAACCATCCATCCACAGTCCAAAGTTTGCTGTCTCCGTGACAGCATCCTTAAGATAACATCCTATTTGAAATGTCTTTGCCAATCAGCACGACGTTAGTTTGTTCCGTTCGATAACCGGCAAATTATTTTAAGCGTTTCCGATCCGTTTCGTAAAATTAATGACCCATCGTCGAAGGCACACTTTCTCCTAACTCAAATTAAACATAAAATTAGATATTTTAATTTTGCATTCTGGCGTAATTTTATCCGTTCAAATCTATACTTCTATAAGTATTATTAACAGCCGATACAGACCGTAAAAACTTACCAACAGCAACCGTATAGTTGTACGTGGAGTTTATTCCGTGCATAATTTAGCCATCCAGTCTTGTTCGTTTGCAACGAAGTTTTTTTACACCCGCTGCAACCAAACCGATTGCATCGTTAAAATTTGGAACAAGGGTCCAAGTATCGTATGTTTATGTTTAAAAAAAAATGCAGAGAGGAAACGAAAAGCTCGCACACCAAAGAAACTTAAGTAAGTAATTCGTATTTAAAAGCAAGAATAGCTGTTGACTTAAATATATGCGGATGTGAGGCAATGGCAAGTAGAAAACGAAAATTTGGGATAATTTCCGAACATCTCGTATCATACGTACATAAAATTGTTCATTAATCAGCTAAAATTCCATTGTAGCTCATGACCAATCAGCCAGAATGACAACGGTATCAAGACAAATGCACCACACTACCTCACTGCATGTGCCGGCTCATATGCAATATTCACACGAAAGTGCTGTTATAAGCGTTTCACACCAAAATTTTAGGATTGATTTTATCGCCGAGGAAGATGGACAAGATGTAATCCCATAGATATAACCGGCGTAAAACTCGATGGGATTTCACTGGCAAAGTTATCATCGGCTCGGCTGTTTCACTGTGGCTATAAAATTCCACGGCATTTTAATCATTCTTTTCAGTCACTAAGTCAGACTAATAGTGCGAAGATTCATGTATTGTAAAACGAACTTTCAGAAAGTGAGAGACAGCTGTCTTGTCTGTGGTTAGTCTAAAACGAAGCAGTACACACTTTATACTTGAGAATTTTCAAGCAACATATAAGTGTCTGTTGATTTGGTTTCAGCACATCCCTCGGTAGCCAGTTAGCTTTACATTAGTTACAGAAGTGTGGCAACGTCCTCCGCTCGATTCCGGCTTGCACTTCTTTGCTCAGCCCATACCAGTGTAGTTCGTCAAATATTCCTATATGTCAAAGACTTATTGATCATTTCTTGCAAGTCCTCTTTCTAATCAACCACTCTGGACCATCTTTTGTGATCATGAGGAAAGGGAGCCTCGCATATTTAGATTGTGCCGGGCGGCCCCGCCACCATCATCTTCCGCACAGATTCTTACATAAACATCATCAGGATTTCATGAGGTGATACTTTTTAGGGTCAAGAAAAATCATCAAGCCCGCAGTATTTCTATGTTTACTGCCATATATGCTCCAGACATGAAACTTTTATGATGGTTTTTTCACCGGCTGTAACGCAATTAAGAAAGTGAAGGCTATTCATGACAAAATCACGTAAAGGAGAGACTGCGACACAGCTTGTGACTTTAACTTGCTTAAACAATGCTACACTCGCCCGCGCCGTCGCATGTTGCCCTACTCAATTAATAAAATGCAGTGCATATTGTACAACATGGTTCAGGCAAAAGTACGCCACAAAAATACAGACCAATTTTCTAATACTCTGTATATAGATATAACATGATCATGTTATTGTTCGGATCATGATCCGAACAATTAGGCAAAGCCAGAGTAAAAATATTAAAGTAAGAATATTGCAAGCACTAAACATCTGTATTACGTAGCCGACAGTCGGACACACGGCTAAAATAGAAGCTGTTGCGGCCAGTTTATTTAACTGAGATACTCATAAATAAATAATAAAAAATTCATAATAAAAATTTAACACGACGCACATACCATATACCATGGCAGTACTATTGTATACTATTACTATAGTACTATTACTACACTATTACTATAGTATAGTACTGTCATGCAAATACATACATATACATAAAGTACAAATAAATTTATTTAAAATCGTTGTTAGTAACCATTGCAAAATACTGAAGCTACAAAACATCCTATAACTAATGTGTCTGATTTTTCAAATATTCGGTGAACGTTTTGGTCCAGGACCGCGAGATCAAATTCAGTTGGATTGCCAATGAAAACGAGTTAAACCGTAATAGACACATTAAATATCGCCTTCTGGTATAGAACGATTACAGCAATTATGTGTCCACAACCGCAATTAATTGGACACTATCGATGCCTACTCGTAGTTCGTTTTAAAAATGCCAAAATACATATGAGGTGTACTTTCGTGCCTTCACGACACGAAAAATTTTGTAATGTGCTTGCGATACCCTACGTTTACAGGTGGTTACCGAATAATAAACTAAAAATATCGAAAGTTTCCATCCTCTTTCTGTATTCACGAAGTTTTGGAAGGCTGTATCAATGTTTTGGTAAAGCCGTATGGGTTCAGCGCGAAACGTTTCGACACTTTGCCGGCACTGATACTGCACATGAAGTAATCTATCCATTTTTACAAAGCGATTTGATAAAACCATTGCAGGGTACAAACGGTGGCCCCAGGGGGTGATGATGTCGTTAGTACAAAGTTAAATATTTGCAGGATATTGTCCATTACACCAGGACTGCTATGTATGCCAGTTGGGTGAAGTGTGTTTTGTTGGTCCCGGATAAGTTCGGCATAGGGTGTAGCTAGGAGATTGACTCATCCAAGTGTGCGCTAAACCCGTCTCGCTCCGGGAGTGGAATCTGTCGCAGCAAACACATAATTGGCACTTGTGCTGGTAATCGTAAAGTATCGATTTGACAACTCCCCCTTCTATATTCAACGCCGACTACGATGAAAATAGCAAAAAGTTGTTAAATTTACGCCTGTCGGCTGCGCAGTGGGAAGCGCATAAAGTTTATTAATTATTAATTCAGGTCGCACTTGATGGCAAAGACTGTGACAGTTTCTATTCGGACTTGAAAGTAATTAGCCTAAATTTGGCGTTTAATAATTCTGTGCACGCCTTTTTGAATATCCGAGTCGGTACGTAGAAGTAGTTGTGCAACAGAATTTTCTGCTTTGTATACAATTGTACATGTCGGCTTGTCGCTATAATAATTATTATATCGCTCCGTTACGGTGTACGTTCCAATAAAAACTAAACGCACAAAATTAATGATAGCCAAAAGGGGTGCCAGCCGCCAGGGTAGTAGGAACAGCCATTTCGAGTAAATAAAGTATTAATTAACTGATACAAATAATTGGGTGCCGATGATGTGTAGTGAACAAGCTGTGATAAAATAACACATAACTTTTAGCACAATCAGAAAAAATAATCATGTTCCAGCGCGGTATATATATGAATATCTATAAAATTTTAGGCAGCTGCTAAGTCGTGCGGCAATTCGCGGTATGCTTTGTGCTGTTTAATGTAATGGCTACTGGCTAGTGATATCAAAAGGACAAAAATCTGCCAGTAGTTGGTCAATGTAGTAATCATATTATCTTGAATAGTTAAAATAGCTTTGCGACGGATGTAAAATAGGACAGCCCGTACTAGTTATTGTTATATACTGCTCACAAAAACTTCGAAGAATACGACGCTTTCACTTTCTATCAGTTGTATCAAGAGAATTCTGCATGGAATCTAATGCGTAGTTGGCATTTTTACAGTTGGTATCACGGAGCTACCAAAATTCGTACAAATGCAAGTGCCACTATGGCACTATATAAACCTTAATTGACCATGGGTGACGTGTATTATTCTATGTAGTAAATGTGACTCTTTTATTTTCAGTTTTCAGAAAAATAGTAGGCTTTCCTGTGAAGGTCTGATTAACGAAAGATACCGTAGGGTTTATCAGTGATTTGCCGAACCAAGAATTGATTCAAATCTCCTTTTCGAAAACGTAGAAGGCACTGATTAATGTGATATCTGCATGATGACTACTCAAACGATTATGATCGATTGCAAACCAGAACTTCAAAAGCAACTAAAAAACCGTGCATGTACGAAATTCATAGCTAATAACAGTCAATCAGAATAACCACGCGTGAGGTTAATTTAAATAGCACCTCAGAGCATCAAGGTTTTAGGAGAGCAAATATTAATTGCCGCATTCATCCAGTGACATGGACGCTTATTTTGTAACACCGGTAGCGGTGATTATTTTTGCGCTTCTTTGTGTATCGCAAGCAGGTAAGATACGCAACAATGATTATTGTCAATATTGCAGTAATTATTATTAATATTTTGTATGGCTGCATGCGTACATATACCAAATTAGTGCCTCTTAAACCAGTTGTACCAATCCTGGATTTCTCTCCACAGATAATAACCAGTCTGCCATTGGAAAGTGTCACTTTTTTGCTAATAATCGAGTAGAATGCATGGGACAGCTTCGATGTCGTCCATCAGAACACGCGAGGAATACCTTAGCGGATGTTGTACAAGCGTGTGTTGATCGAATTGAAAAGTCAAATGGAACATGGAATCAGAACCAAGGTAATTGGTGTATGTAGTCGCAGCATTTGAAAACTTGATGGATACAGTTGACAGTTACACACGTTGTTTAACCCGCGCCTTGATTATCATTATCATCATCATAACGTAAGTCTGTTTTTCAGCCTGGTAATACGTAACTACGATCTCTTTACTTTATTTTGACATTTAATTTTACATTGCGCAAAAAAAGGTATTGGTATTGATGCTTGTACAAGTGAATAATGTGCAGGAATTGTCCCGGCTGAATACGCCAGAATGCCATCTTCTAATGAGCTCGTAGCAATCTGCGAGTTTTTCCGCAGTGGACTGTTTTCCTGTGTCGCTGGATCCCGGTATGCGGGTAACTTTTGGAACGGAAATTTCAAGGGTTCTTTAAATTCGGCTTTCGACCTGGGTCAAGATCGCTGGTGGTTCCAGCAGCAAACCACCACAACCACAACTACCACGACGACCACCACTACCACTCCCGCCCCGGTGCCCAGTTACGTCCGACCGGAAGATGACAACACCGAGGACAATGTCGTAGTGCAGGAGACTGATGAAAACAGTACTGAACGGGAACGATTCCGTGAGCCTCTCAGTGGCACTGACACCGACCAAGTCGGCATTCGAGAAGGCGATGGTGACACGGGGCTGTCTGCAAGCGGGGATGGAAGCTACCGAAGTGTTATTTATACCGTCGTGCCTCGTAATGTCATCGTTTGTGAATATTTTACCAATGGTGAGGTCATATGTCGCAACTGTACGGAGCGCTTCCGAAGGGTTGTCACAGAGCAGGGAGTGGATGCTAATCGACGGGATTACAACTGCACCGAACCGAGAAATGGTCCCCCAGTAAAACGCTGGGAGGCAGACAATGGTATGAGTCTATTTTCTAAGCAAGGCCGTCAATTAGGGCAAAGTTTAGCCATTAAGTACTACGACAAACAGCACATCCTCAACTTCCACCTGCAGCCAAAAATAGTTTTGCTTGAATAGTTATGTTTTAGCACTTTTCAACAGGCGCATAAAATACATTATTACAATTTTAGGAATTCTGGATGCGGTCCCCGATGCGTCAGCGGAATCGCAGATTGTGGCGGCTACATGCATTTTTGACAAAGCGTCGCGCACATATGAATGCCATGGAACAAGTGCTTTGTGCCCCGACAATCAAAGTCAGAGGAGTCTAAGCAATAAATGTCTTAGCGGACGCCGGTGGACCGGAGATTTCAGCGGGGACTTCAGTTACATGCTCAAGCATTAATGTATTTTGTCCGACATTTGCTTATTAAGAGCACAATCCATAAGAGTCACCAGTTACTATAAAGATGTTTGTATAATAAATATATACAGTCCAATAAGGGCACCTTGCAAGACCAAGTTGCGAACTTGCGAACAAGTTTGATTGAGCCTCTAATTGTGTTTGCGATCATGCTACAGTATGCGTATAACTGTGACCTTTCCTGGATTAAAAGTATCAAATGCACTATTAAAGAATTTTTTTTATTTCTGAGCGCATGACCTTCAGTTTCAAAAATGTTATCAGTGATTATTGCCCAAAATAAAAATATTCTGCGGTTTTTCCATCAGCGCAATATACGAGTACAAGCTTACAAAACCCAGCCACTCAATAAAAAAGACGCGATAGGCGCGTGTACTACTCGTATATTACTGGCACGTCTACCTGACCCACTACCACAGAACGAATTAACGTCCCACATGTTAACATTAAACTGTAGCTCAAGCCTGAGGGCGCAGAGCAAATTCCAGTCCGTCGAATGGTGATTCCACCGGTCCCGACTGAGTTGTTGTGGCTGCTCGAGCGGCTACCGTTGTCCGTGCTGTGGACGTAGATGTCGTCGTAGCTCCAACAGTATTAGTGTTAGCAATCACGAGACCGCTACCGGATGCACCCGCAGCCGACTGCACAGCTTCCAAGATCGCCGAAGTACTCGTGGGTGCATTTCCAGAGGCAGGAGCGTTTGTGCTGGTCGAGGCAACGGAAGCAAGTGTGGCATTTGCGTAAGCTAAACATAAATATTTAGTTAACATCAGTAATACCAGTGAATATTTACGCATACGTACGTAGTAAATATGTTAAAAGTTACCTGGGTAAAGAATAATTGTTGCATATTGATATGTACTAGTGTTACTTACGGTTACGGCATGTTATGGAACTGCAGGTCGGGTACATCCGCCTCAGTGCATTACAGTCTCCGACACTTAGACGAGCCAGATTGCCCAGTGTTCTAGTGGCATCTCTTGGAGTGTACAGAACAGTGTTGGCTCGGGCGAAGCGGGATGCTGAAGGGATGGTTATGGATAAAAGGTCAAAGGCAGTTGAGCGGAACTCAATTTGGCTGGCATTGTAGATGCGCAACAAATTTAGAGACTGGAGATCTAAGAAAATGCAAAGCGCTTTATGTCAGAACTGTTAACTCTTAAAATTTCATATAAAAGTTATCCAGATTATTCTAGTTCATAATTGATCGTCACATTCACCTGGAAGAATATTGGACGGAAAAGTTTGCAGGAAATCATCTCGGTCTGGCCGCCTACAAAAAAACAGATTAAAGTCTCCGGATCATACAGGTAGTGAATGCAGCAAGCAGCTAATCAACATAACCACTAATTAATCAGGAAGAAGTTGTACTTGTGTTCGTTTCGCAAGCCCAGTGCCGACACCAGAACTGCCATAATATCCCGTTTCGCGCTCATACAACCGCCTGGGCCTGCTGTCATAATCATTTTCTGGCCCTGACCGTTTTGTCTGACCAATCTGCCCGGAAACGTCGAGCAGGAAGTAGCCAAAACCCTAAAGTCGAAGAGAGCCCGGTTAAAATTCGCAGTGTTACTACCTAAATAACAAGACCAAAAACATGTTCTCGTCAATGAAATTACGTAAACTGATAGTATCAATTCACTATTAGCGTGCTGATTAAAAAAATTATTAGTAAATCAAAATACCCAGAATTCAAGACAGGACTGATGAAAATATGATCCTCTCGCGAATCTGTGACAACGTTAAAGGGAGAGAAACGTATGCATGAGGACATGTCGGAAGAAATTTGGTTCATCGCATCATCTATATCCGCCGCCTCAGTTCCATCTAGTAGAAATCGTGGATCAGTTAGACGCAAAAGCGGTAGAAGTTTTTCACGGTGTCTTACTGTAATTAGTATCCAGTCGAAAAAGGATTCTTTGAGGGTTTGCCCACACATCGTACCGGGTATCCCGGTTTAATGCAGCCCGTTTTTCTAGCCTTGCTGAAGGAAGGGCGGAAACACCGGTCAAGCATACAAATGCAACAATAAGTTTAACTGCTTCCATGGCAGGAGCGAGGTCACTATTAATATGTGCTGGAATAACGAAATTTTTAGTAAAAGATAGCAAATTATTGTTAGTTGATAACGTACTGACGCGTTTGTGTGATTTTCCGGTGTCGGGCGAACAGCTTATATACCTGGTGCATGAGATGCTTAACTGTAACCATGCGTGTTTTGCATATAATCCGTATTACAATTATGCAAAAGCCGGCTATTCGGTTACATTTAATAAGAGCGGAACGATTAAAAAATCTATTTACCCAAGGAACAGACAATAATGTTAACAAGAGTGCATCATGCTTGCACGTTTACATTTGCACTGGCAGCTGTCGTGGCATTTCGTTACTAAAAATGGAGGACTCAGTGCATTTATGTGATTCCTACAGTACAATGCCAACAATTGGAAATACCGTAATACAGTATTTTATTAACACTGATGCCGCGGATTCGCAAATGATTTTACTGTGCTACTGACGCTGCAGAGTTAAGTAAGAAGATAATCTTGTCCAATTTAAGTAAATTACTCTTAATTCAAACTTCGATTTGATAGCATTAACGAGTTCGTTTTGCGTTTTGGCATTCAATCCTTTGCCAGTGCAACCTTACCATGTTTACGTAATGGTGGTATAAAATGACTGTACGCAAACAAATATATATTAATACCGGTATTGTTTATCAAAGACTTACAAGAGATTTTAACATATTTAATACTTGATAGAATCATGTTATTGTCGGTATCGTTTACGTATTGAAATGAACCGAATGATTATTACGCTTGTCTTTATCAAACCCCTAATTGAAAACTTACCTAACTGAAATATTAACCAGTGCACTTTATGTGTGTTTTAGTAAAGGTAAGGCGGCCAACAAAATGTAAATATTTATGATCTTATGCTAAACCCGTAAAGGAGGTCTAATTTTTTTAAAATGAAACGCCGCCGGGAGGCTCCAGCGGAGAAAGAGGATCAACTGGAGCCACAGTAGCCACAGTAGGCGGAGCTGTGGGAACAGTAGGAGCCACCGGAAGATTTGGATTCACAGTGTTTACTACTGGAACACCAGTGACAACATCTCCCACATTTATTGGCTGTAAAGGTGTTGCGGCAGTTGTTACCACGAGAGGACTGACGATGGGAATCACTGCTCCGGGGTAAGCTGCAACAAAATTGGCCGAAGGTAATTAAATAGGCGCTTATAGTAGTAGTAGCCTTATACAGACAAAGGAACATAACAATAGAATGCCAAACTATGTAAGCGTCGGTATTTTTATGTGTTTAAAAGCCTGCGATCAAAGTCGCAAAGCAAACTACGAATACAATTATTTATGGTATTACTGTAACCTAAAACTTTTTTTGGTTTTTTCATTATGCCGATGATAAAATAAATGTACATACGGTTTGCACAGGAAGCAGCGCTGCAGGTGGTATAAATACTAGCAAGTGCAGTGCAATCACTTTGGCTCAGTCTGGACAACGTCCCTATGGATGCGACGGTGCCCAGGGGCACGCCGGTTTGGGCGACGGAGTATAATGGCATTCCAGATGTTGTATATTTTGTGGTGCTAGGCATTGTGATACTGTTATAATCAAACGTGCCAACATTCTGGACTTGCGAAGCCTGCGTGTAAATGTTCAACAGTGACAGTCCTTGCAGATCTAAAAAGTATATCGCGGGCATATTGTTTGTTAACAATTTTTGACGAAGTTGCTGCGCAAACCGTATAATATAATGCTTGCTCAGTTTTACATTACCTGTCCGGATGTTTTGTGGAAACACCTGTAATTGGATTTGGATTGATCACATCATAAATTTTAACTTTAGTAACAAAAGGTCACCGTTGCAGCAGTGATATGTCTTGTTATTTACCGTAATGTAAGTGTCGCGGTCAGTTCTTAAGTACTCATTTCGTAGTCCAAGGGAATGCGCTAGAAATGTTCAAACAAATCCTTTGCAACGGGCGGAAACAATTCTTCAACTGGGTGTGTAAGGTGACGCACCTAAATATTTCATGGCCTCTCGTGTGCTCCCCAAACACCCATCAGTACCACTAACCATTCCCAGCTTTTGTCCACCTTTAACACCATTCGCTGTTGCTTGGTTAATTAGCCGTCCAGGAAACGAAAAGCATGTTTGGGTTAGCGATCTAGAATTTTTAGCATGACTGAATGTATTTTATAATAAATTACAGAATTTGTTAAAATGTATGCATGACTGACTTTTGAACACCGGACTTACCCGTTATTCAGTGAGGGAGAGATGAACAGACTATCCTTGGTCTGGTCAGTAGCATCATTATACGGTACAAACCGTATACACTGGCCCATATCGGTTGAAATCTGCGCCATTGCCGCCTGGATCTGCGATATCTCTTGCTGATCTAATTCGAAAGAGTGTAGACACATTATTATCACCATTCGCAATTAATCAGTTTGATTTTTAGCAGATCGGTTTTTATTTTACATTGCCACAAGATGCGATACTTTATATAACCATAAAGGACACTGCATAGTCCGTAATTAAAAGAAAAATGCGTACTGTAAGAGGTCGATAGTCTGTACGGGATCGCTGTAGGTTCTGTCCAAGGTCCATACCGTGAGTTAACTGATAGTACTGCTCGTTCTATAAGCGTGTCAGCGTTCTTTGGATTATCAAAAAATGTTACAACGGATCCTGCACAAAATTCAATAAAAATAAGGAAAGTTAAAGCAACGAAACATTTTGCTTTTGGAATAAATGACGGCATTGCATTCGCTCGGTTATTGCTGATGTTGTACAATTTTCTCCGGCCAGGTTCATGCAAATCTTTTCATTACGAGTTGGCCAGAAAGAGAAACACTTAGTGCTGATGAGTTCATATACATTCTTTTTTGTGTTAAGAAGCATTACTTGCCAAAATGTAAATTAACAAGCTGGTTTATTATAATTTTGTTTGTCTCTATAATGTATAGCAAAAAACATAGTTTATATGAATGATATTATGAATTGGGAACGTCATCTTGTACTTAGGTATTCAGCGCAAACCATCGTAAATTACGTACGGTATGATTAGCCATTCTCTGATGGATATTTTTTGCCCTATTCGCAAAATACATTCGAATTGCTATACAAAAACATTTCTTGAACTGTTATTTGGTGTCGGAACTGATTATTACATGTGGGAGATCTGCGATATGCACCCATAACAATGCTACTGCATAATGAAATAGTATTTTCTAAGAAAATGTCTCCGCACCGGTACTTCACTCCATTATAACTTAACTGCTATTTACAACAGCAGCTCATTCCTGAAATGCGCAAGAAAAATTTTAGCCGTTAAGCAAAACTTCCAAGATAACATACAACTTTCATCCCTGAAAAACGTAATCGTATGAATATTCGTTCTTCATCCCTGAGAAACGTCTCAGCAGATATGGTTTCAAAAGTGCCAAAGCTTTTCGCGACCAAGGGATAGCAGGGGCAAACAACCGTTTTCTCCAGGGCGAAATACTCGTACTTCCGGCATTTGCTATTCTCTACTAGCTATGCCATACCTTCTCTAACTAGTATTATGACAACAGGCTATGGTATCTCAGTACATGCAGTGCAGCGTGTCGTTGTCGTAAGGAATACAGTTCGTAACTTCATTCCTAATTAGTTCATAAAGAGAAAGATCATAAAGAATAAAGTTGTCGCTACAAGACAATCCTGGCGCTCCGTCGTTTTGCTCGACATGAATGACTATAAGACTTCCACCCCAGTTTCACTTCGACAGTTCCCAACCATTTGTTTTAAATCACACTAAGGCGAAAGAGAATGCTAAACCATAATAAAAATAAATTTTTACTTACTTACTTATATAATTATAGCTGCTTTTACACATGTACAATATAAAGTATAAACATGCAGTGAAGTATCACTTGGCTCTACAACATAAGCTGTCGTTTGTATTACTAGCTAGTACTGTACGTGTGTATTTCCGTGACCTATGTAAATCATCTAATTGACTTGGTAATTTGCATTAGATAAGCTTGGGGTAAATTCCAATTTTTGAAATTGTACAATGTTTTGGCGCAAGCAGATAAAAAATATTGATTTCGTTTCAGATTTGCGGTTATTTTATACTGCGGATTTTCTTATCCGTTGTTGAGAAATATGAACAGTTTATTGACTTTCGACATCCATCTTTAAAATTTTAATATACATAATATTCTATCCCGCGTGCCGCGCTGTAGCTTCAGTTCTAAATTAGGTGATTAGACGATCGTGATGCACCCATGACTCGGATTGTTACGGTAACTTTTTAACACTAGGAAAATGCACGTTGGCGTGCACTGGTAGACCGGAGCGGGGTAATACTAATGAATGTTACTGGTACTGGTAGTGTTACTGGTAGTGGTACTAGTACAATATAATGTTAGTGGTACTGGTAGTGGTAGTAAAAATGGTGCTGTTACTGGTAGTGGTACTGGGTGTGTTAGTGGTATCACGTAATGGTACATGATTACGGTCTGACGTTTTCGCCTTGACGTTCCGTTATTGCCGATTATGTTACCGGCAGTCGGCACAACACGACACCTTAACGGATGCTGAACCGCAAGGCTGGTACGCAATAACTTTAATAACGCGTTATTAATAACGAGCTATTATTACTAACGAAATATTGCTACAAGGCAATATCCGGTTTACCTAGAAGTATAACAGCAGAAAAGGTGCAGACTGTCATAATAATTATAAATTTTATCCGTCATTTATCCGACGTAAAGTCGTGATTTCACAAGTATAAACGCATAAGTGGTCATCTAACCAAAATGCTAAATATTTCTTAAATGGTTATCACATCAAAATGCCAGACCGTAGAGAAGTATTATAAGACCATAACAATTTTCTAAGCAAATGCGAGGTGCGTTAAAAAAATTATTAACAATTCTATTCGAAGCGGCAGCTCATAGGTCAGTTAGAAAGCGACTGAAGTGCTTTTATGTTCAAGAGACAACAAGAGTTACAGGCCTAATAACAGATATTTAAATGCAGTAAAATTAAATGCAATAATAACGCCAAAAATTCCGTACATTGGATAAGACGACCCATGTCTATTTCCACAACTTCCACAGCGCCTCTTCGTTTGCCGGCTGCAACTTGTTCTTAGTAGCCGCAGAAGTGCATTTTTTCGCCGAAGAAAGTTCCGCTACTTTCACCCGTCTTGAAACTTGTACGAGACAGCTTGAAACAGCGTGAACTTGCACATTTCCAGGTTTTCCCTTCTCAGAAGTGCTTCCAGACAATAGATAAGAGCGACGACCGACTGTTACAAACACTAGATCATTTGGCGGCAATGGTATATCATCAGTCTTTTGAACTTTCGTGTGCAGCCACATCATTTGGCGGTATTTTTATTACAGTCCTGAAGTAGCCACAGTTCGTATTCTCCAGGATCAGGTTGTGGTTTTTCCCCGAGTTGCTCTACACTAATCTCCTGAAAAATTGCGGCATAATGTTTTGTTTTACGATAGCCCGCATGCAGATCGATTTTCCGTTTGCTTATCGGATGAAATTGTTATGCAAGGCGTTTCGATCTCAGCACGCTTGCGCTTACGTGCGCACGAAGCAGCAGTCACCTGCGTAGTCAAAAATGAAGAACGACAGACTGTTGATACTCGAAGTACCGACGTCGGTGCAGCCGAACGAGTATTTGATCCCATTCTCCTGCTTGTACCTTGTGGTTTTCTACCGGCATTCGCTGGAGCTGCGGACTCTATCAAACTGGACATACCGCACCGACTGCAACTCTGCAGCGCTGGAGAGTTCAACCACGCCACCAATTCATCCACTGCTTTTTGATGAATAGCTACCGCCAAAACCTCAGGACACACTCCAAATGCCGCAAACGATTTACAGCTTTTGTCGCACTTTATTTTTTGTTTAACTGTATCGAGTTTCACCTGATGGGTTAATCCAGCTTTGTATCCCACGACCATAAAATTTGTCGCGACACCTCCCGGCGTACCGACCACAGGATTTGGCTTTGCCAAGATCGACTTGGCCTTACCTAAAAGTTCAGCGAGCAGCTCCACTGAAATCGACGTAATCATCATTAGAGCTGCGCCAAAATGATGATGTAAACTGACCAAAATGTAACTGCTTTAAAGAAGCGCTATAATTACATTTGGCTGAAGCTGATCTACAGTTTATAAGTGATTGTGTACATGTCAGGTAACAAAAGTGGCACATTAAAACATGAGAACTGCACTAAAACATTAAAAACTGCTCAAAATTGTTTAAACCTAAATTTGTAAAAGGTCAACGGGTGCTATACGGCAACGATGTTATATGAAGTTGTTCTCCAAAATTTAACAACATATCCTAATAATTTTGTTTTTCACATTACCAGTAACAGCACCAGTACCATAACGTGATGCCACTACCACAACCAGTACCACTACCAGTAACAGTACCATTTTTACTACCAGTACCAGTACCAGTACCATTCTATTGTACCACTACCAGTAACACTACCAGTACCAGTAACATTAATTAGTATTACCCGACCGGAGCGTGACTTAACCGTCAAAATCTCGTAATTTTCTTTATTTATTTCGTTATTAGATGACATACTGTTATTCGAACATAAGCAAGCGAGCGCCAGTTGTTTTAAAAAAAAACAACTGTAATGGCTTCAGTCGGTTTTCGTCCCGTATTCGCAGCATTGTGGTTTTCTTAGCCTTAGCCTTATTTTTTAACATCAACATCTGTAATTTTTTAACATCAACATGTGCGAACCTTTCTACAAAAGAGAGTACATGCAAATACAATTGCTTTAAAGCAAACTATGTTTCAGTTTAATATTCAGGAACATATTTTATAAAGCAGGCGAGAGACGCAGGAGAACGCGTATCGTGGCACTTTAAAAATTCAAATGCGAGCCGACTTATCCATAAGTAGGTAGTTCGAATCAGTGGACAGACAATGTAGGTAGTTAAAGCAAAGTAACCTATATCTGCTATATGCCTAATAAATTATGCGTGCCGTCAGCAACCTATCGTCAATATTTTTTGTCGTTTCCATCGGGTTTCTAATAGCCAAAAATTTGTTTACTGTGAAACCAATTTGTAAGCACATATTGCTGCATACGCAAGGCAAGCTAGATGTTGGACTATTGACTTACCATTATAGAGAATAGGCCATTTATTGAGTAGATGTACATAGCGGTTACTTCAGAGTAGCGTATTCTAGAAAAAGGTCACGGAAGCGTTTTTGATCACTAAAGTACTGATGTGTTTATTACTCACTTGGTGCGCTTACAAATATATGAATTTCGAATTGCCAAAGACTTGAGCTGGTCGTTAGAGTATAGTGTCAGTGCCGCATTTCATTTTGTTGCCGTTTTGCAGCTGGCTTTGTGTCCATATTTGCCATACGAAACCGGTAATAGCCAAATTTAAAAAATCGGCGTAAGTTAAAAAAAAAATAAAACTCCCCATTTAATTCAAATAAACGAATGAAAGTATTCCAGTAAAACCATTTTTTTCAAAGATGCTCGTATTTTGCTTTAAATATATTTCATGACTCATGTAGATATTTCTTGCAGACATCGACCGCACGCAACTAATCTACAAACCCGTTATTCAGCCAGGTATTACCTATCCACAGTATTCGCACCAGTATTTGTATTATCTATAGAATTCGCATCACCTGTAGAGCAGTGCCGCAGTGCCTGTAGAGCGTTTGACCTTAGTTTTTTTCTTTTAGTATAAACTTTCGACCAGCATATTCACGATGAGTCAATCTGGAGTAAAAAGTAGAAAATGCAACAGACACTTCAAAGAAGTATATTTGACCTTAGTAATTCGGTCTTCATTTTAAACGGACATACATGCATTACTAATTAGGTACATAATATCACAAAAAGCAGTTTCACGAATGATGGAATTCAAATCCTTTTATGAGTTATGAATCATTTCCTTCCGATTTCATGGCTAATCCAAAAATAACGCTTGAACCTCCTGCTCGGGACGCTGCAGCAATACTGTTTCTTGAACCGGAAGTGCGGAGGTATGCTGCCAAGTGAAAAGAAATACTGTATTCAAAGTGCTACGTACGCAAAGTTTAACTCGAAGTAGATAGCAGTTAACATTATATTAACATTTGCACTTACCATTAGATTTTGATTGAAGTACTGGTTTTTGCTAATTGAGAGAAGTAATTATTTTTTGCTAAATTGCTTACGATCGCTACACGTTGCGAAATTGCATTGGGTGTACTGGAGTCCGATTCCAATGCAGTCACTTTGGCTCAATCTTGGAAGATTTCCAAATCCTTGTCCTGAGCGGCTTGACGCAAAGATGACGCTTCCTGGGTTTGCATATTTTGTTGGGCTTGGCATTGTTATCTAGAAAATGTATGGATATTAGCATCATAGCATGTAAAATTTTGCACAATCTGTGTTCGCTATTATACTTGATATTAAATGAATTCTGTATTGTAAAAATTAAAATCCACGGATACGTAGCTGTACCGTTACAACCCACCTTTCACCTTTTAAAAATTGTTAGCTATCAAAACCTACTGACAACGGTCATAATTTTACTAACATAATGCACTGTACCTATCTAGATCTGAACATAATTATTATTTTTAAATATATGTTTTTTGCTCACACCGTCAGACGTACACTGTTATAATCGAATTCCGTATTGAGATAATCCACTTGATCCGGCGTATACTTCATGAATAAGTTTAGCGACCGCATTTCTGCAATATTTCAGATTCTTGACATGTTACGATTTACAAAAATTTGCATAGACAACTATAATATTTTAACCAAAATGTTTCTACTCGTACCTGATTTGATATTATTTGTGAACACGGTGATGTACTTGTCTCTGTCCGGCCTAAAACGCAATTAATATTTCTGCCACATGCAGGTTTACTTTCTGTAAAGTTTGAAATTATGATAAAAGGTACCATGTAATAGTACCTGTTATACTCGTTGCGAAGCCCAAGAGCATGTGCTAAAAATTTCATTACATCGCGTACGGAATCCATGCACCCGTTCCCGTTAGGACTGTTGAATAATGCCACCTTTTGCCCTGCACCGTCTTGTGATACCACCCTTCCTAATTATTGGCAACGTTGTATTTGGGTACTTGGAAAAGTGAGTACGTATAAATTGTCAAAGTAATGTCGATCATTAAAGGCACACGAATATCTCACCAGGGAAAGAGAAGCACGTCGGCATAGTACTCCTGGAACAAAACAAGGAAATTTAATTCATAAGACCGCAGCTATTAGGTATGTTCGGACCACCAGAACGTTCTCACATTGAACTTTCTTGACACATCTAATTTTGAATTTTCCCAAATTATCATTCAACCTGATTGTGCTAGTGGTGGTACTAATACTAAACAAGAAACGGCTGCACGGCTTCGACAACCAACGCGGCTCTGGAAGATGCATGGTACGAGGTAGCTTTCATGACAGTATGTGAACTGGTGGTCAGTTCCATCATTCGGCTGCCGTCCACGCTTTCGTTTTTTCTTGGGAGCTGCTGCTAGAAAAATTAACTTTACGAAAGGTAGTTTGAGGAATATACACTTACCCGGAGTTCAGCGTTCTGGAAATATAGAGAAAATCCATTCCATTGTTGATTTCCACCGAGTAAGGTTGAAACCGGATGCAACCTTTCATGTCTGACTAAACAATCCAAAGGTCAAGAATGACAGCAAATTATGCTACACTTTTGCTGCATTTTATTGTTGAAGCGTACATCTAAGTACTATATAAAATTCTGCATCAGGAAGGAAGCGATACTTACTGATATCTGAGTCATGGCCTGTTGAATAAGAGCAAGTTCTCCAGCGGCTATCAAAAACCTTCTTTAAAATACACATAAATGAAACTTGTTCAGCAAGTGCATAGGATAAAAGCTCCAACGCGTGCTGAACAGGACGCGTATTTTCAACTTACAATAAGCAGGATCAAGCCGGTATAATATGGCGGTAGAGTTTTCCCAAGGTACAAACCTGTACACATCGCATGAGGATTTGTAAAATGTAGCTGGATTAAATCATGACAAAATAAATCAAAAGCTGGAGCATTCCTAGGTTGGCTAATTAACTTTTATCTCGTAAAATCAAATAGGTTCTGTGTACCGAGTATCTCGTCCGATTGCTGATCGAATTGGAACCCCCAGGTTTGCAGAACGCTTAAATGCGGTTAGCGTAGTACAAACAACCACATAATTGTTTTGAAATAAAGTATACAGCAGGGTAGCATAAGTCACAATATCAGTAAAAGACTTTAAAAAATAAACGAAAGTAAACCTAACCATTTTGCTCCAATACAGCCTTATAAAATTCTTTATAATGTCACACGGCGCCGAATCCAAAAGCAAAAGTTTGACGTTTTAGAAGACGATCTCCCAAAACAAAAAATAATTATGCTAGGCAATCGTAGCGTGTATATAGCAACAGCTGTAAGGTCATATACTGCAGCTGCATATTTGCGGAATGTGCTGCTTTGAATTAACATAATACGGTACACGAAATAACGCTTTATTATCTGCCTTTTGCTTAATCTGCACCCAGGTTATTATTTCGCCAACTCATAGTCCACAGCAAAAACTGTGGTATACTGAATGTCTAATTTTAGTTACAACAAGATGGCTTGATTTACATAACAGAATCTAGCATTCCGCATCAAAACTTCAGCAAAGTAATTGTGGTTGATTAAGTGGTACTGTTGATGCAGAGATTTAGCATCCGGATGACAACCATAAATCTATGAAATGGCACAGTGCGTAAACTATGCGCACAGGGCCCATTTATTACTGCCGTTTACAATAAGCTACGTTCATCAGACGGTACTATGATTTAACATTTGTACAAAGCGCTTACTGACAAAGTTAAAGAAGAGCCGATTCAAACCAGGAAAACGCTGTCGTTGCGTTTATTAATTGTTCTACTAAAACAATTATGAGCAGCTGTAGCGTTATGCACGAGAAACCACGCAAAAGTACCCTATATTTTTCATGTGATGTCCTATACTATACTTTATCAGGTATAGAAAGTCTCAGTGTGCAGACAACTGCAACTGAAAAAAACAAACAAACAAGAAAATTCATATTTCTTAATTTTTCATACCATGAGACAACAGATATTTCAACATAAATTAAGTAGTATGCGTCATTGTAAGAGCGAATGTAGACTTTTTTCTAAGGGTCTTTGAGCACATTTTGCTCACTTCAATCTGGTCTCAAACATTTATTAACAATAGGCTTAGAAAAGACACTGCAACAGATACACACTGTATATGCAGCACACTGCTCAAAGTTATAACAAGTTGCAAACTCAGGAAATCGGGAAAGGCGTATCAAAAGAATCAATTCAGGAAAATTATAAAAAAAAATTACGGCAGGAAAAGCTAAGTTTGTCTCTTTTCACTGTATTAGAGGTTATGTTTATGCAGAATAACGCACGAAATTCATTCACAAATTAATTACAGGCAAACAATCGTGCGTTATCGTGCGGTTATCAAAAGCGGTGCAAATGCTTAGGAAGTGAAATATATATGTCCTCATATTTCCGAAAATATCAATTAAAGCGCACTTAATGCGAGTGGCTTGGTCTTTCTGTTCACAGCGCTTTAATTTTAGGGTGGTTCTTCATCATTCCCCTCCAGTTTATCATAGGAACGATGTTCCATTGGTTCCTGCAATTAAAACTTAAGTTAACAAATAAAATGGTGCTCTTACAGAAAATGTGATATCTATCTTTTCACTGATAAAATTATCAGCTCAACCTCCTTTGGACGTACCTCATCAATGGCTTCACGTGACATGTCATTGTTGAGAGGCCATTTGTCGCGCCCCTGTCGGCTGCCACTCGATAGGTCAGCGCTGAGAAACAGCAGACCGGCGTCCTCCTGGACTGGCGGAACTGCATCTTCCAGCGAGAGTGATTCCCGTCCTAGTCAGGATTTTGTATAGAGCACAATGATTCTGTCCGCCTCACGTTGTCCACTCTCCATTGCACCCGGCACGGTAGAGAACCACGTGGGATGGGTAGCTTCCCCAGCGAACAGCAAACCAGGAATCTGTGATATAAAGCTGAAATGCATATTTTTCCAAACGGAATAATTATGTGTCCACACTGGATACGTCACAGTGCTTGATTGTAAAAAGATTTCTGTTTCCATTGCTTAAAAGAGCTTTCATAATGCTATGGCGAGCCGGCATAAAATAAAAAGTCAATAGTTCTGGAATTTTAAAATCCCATAAAAGCGAAAAGCTCACCTGCTTCTCTAAAACACCTCTGGCAGAGCGGTAGAACCAAGTCGGCTCCGCTATAGCTTTGATGTGTTCGGTTTGACCTTTAGCCGCATGACTGTATGATCCAAGAATATATGGATTATGTGACCAGTTGGCTCTAAATGAATGAACAATGATAAGTCAAACTACAATTCGAGAAACTTAGGTAATTGTAAATCAGTACCTGATAATTTTGCTGGGTCGAGGCACTGTGCATTTTCGTAAAAATTTCTGCAACAGTTGCTGACAGCTGTCGGCCACTTCGTCGTCCGTCAGTGTTTCCATCATGCGATTCTGCTCAGATCCACCCAGCCAGCCAACCAGTGTGTTAGGAGCAGTTGGGCAAACGTCGAATCCGTGGATACTTCGATACCATGGAAGCTTAGCCTACAGAATTAAGAAATGTAAGTAATAAAACAGAGAGTACACGAACGCTTCCACATTCTACAACACTCGCGCAAAATCCAATGACAAAAAACAGAAGTTTAATGCAGGTAACTATGCAGTAAATGATTTCGAACAACCAGAGATTGTGCGTACCAAGTCGGCATCATTTTCGTTGCAATCATCAAAGTACAGCAACTGAAACCCGTCGGTTTTTCCATATTGATCCTCCCAGAAGGCTTCGTCAAAGCGGAGGAAAATCTTATTGCACGTTCCGAATCCCGCTTGAGCGATCGCGTCAGTCTTCTCATCAGACAAGCAGGGACTGAAGAAGGTATCGGCATTCTTCTTCAAAAATCCCAGAGACGCGGTGACGATACAGTGGTCAGCCAGGAGAACGTCTCCATCTTTACAAATAACCTCAACGGGATGGGGATTTTCCTGATTGAAATTGATTTGTTCCACTGCTTTGTTCAGCATAATTTTTTTTCGTGGTACACGCGCAGTGCAGAGGTCCAAAATGCTTTTCATTGGGGCCGAGAGCTGTGTATTCACCAGGTCACCGGCATATTCAGCATACTCAGAACAGGAAAGGTCACTGAGGCTTTTGCAGGCATTGTCAGCACGATGGACACTGTCGAACAGCTGATGCTTTTTAATCTTTTTATAATGCAAATTCTGGCGTGAAATATACCAAGTATCAAACGCGTATTACTGTTTTTCTCATTACGTCGTAATAGATTTGACAACTCCATAATTTTATTTTCAGAAAAAACAACATATTTTTCATAGTTAAAGATTACTGTAACTTACCGAACCAACCACCCGAAAATCGACATGCGGTAAGCCTTAACGTCATCCGTTTCGTTGTGTTTGGTGCTAACAAAGTGGCAGAATTTTGCTTTCACGAGATCCCCAAATGATAGTTTATCGTCATCGGTATGTGGTCCATCGTACTTGCACTGTTCCACAATCTCGTTGATAGTATTGTAGGTTTCAATAAAGACTTGTTCCAAGTGAGGAAACGCCTAGAAAAGTCCGGGAAAGTTTAAAGTAATAGTAATATGATATTAACAATGTCAAATCCGCAAAATTGTTTGTGTAATCGTACAAGTATCCATGCCGCTAATTTCCAACATTACAGCAGAGTGACCAGACAGCTCCCAGTCTCCCACTCACAATCAGCATACAGTATATACTTGATTGTTATTAATTTATGTTTAACCGCGAATTTTCCTGCAACTAACTTTCCCCATGGTTATCTGTACAAACTTATAACGCACACTGCACCAAGCACAATCACGCTGCACACCCAATTACATGTATTCGTAAGAACATGTACAAGTAGATCTCATAATCATTATAGAATTCCCGTATTAAACACATTGACACAATCCGCTGTATACGATAGAGCCAGTCTTGATTCAGTGATTATAATAGTTCTATAATATAAATATTGGTATTGTTATCGAGTGTACGTAGATTACATAGTTATCACTGCGCGCGCGATGGGTAGAAAGTACACCATCTACAAAGTATTTACGTGACCAACAATTAATGACTGTTATCTTCGGTCAGTTCTTTCCAGCAGGCGCTGGGTAGATACTTCAAAGGGCGCAGAAAGATCCAGTGTACTGGTATTAACGGAAGTGACGATAAAATTAAGTAAAAATTACCCGTATGTCATACCAGTTTAAAAAGTACGACTTATTCAGTCATACTGAATTACTGATCATACTCGTTGCTGCGGTTTTAGTGCATTGATACAGAGAATGTTACTGGTGCTTCCGGTATTACTGCGATTCTACTTAGAATTTCAAAGTTGTCAGGTATCGCTTGTCAGAAACCCAACCGGTTCATAGTCACTTGGTTGCGCCAAATAAGCGCATTCTTTCGTGACACCGACATGCAGATAATAAATTAATATCTATATCTTGTGACGACACGTAGTTTCCGATAGCATGATCTATTTTAAACTCATGTTTATTTTATTCATGATCTATAACTGTAGGAAGGTGACGATAGGTTTACTGAAGCATAAAATTACAATTATGGTACGTGGTGAACGGTTCGAATACATTAATAATTGCTGCTGAAATAGTGCACTCGTCGTATTGCAAATGCAATAATTACTTTCGTCGTATATGATTATACTGCATTATTATTATTATTATTACGGCACAATAGCAGACAACCCCAAAGGGACTTCAAGTCTCGACAGCAGTTCAACGTTCTATACTGTATACTTAAATTTTCAACTGTTCACACTTGTAGTTATCGTAGAATGAATTTCATGTAAAAAATATTGAGTTAATAAATAATTACAGAAATAGAATAAATATTGTTATAAGTTTTAAGAAAATCCCTACAGTGTCCAGTCGTACAGCAGGCAAGGTATGTATACGTCTGCATGTTTGTCCGCTTTCTGGCACACGGCCTATGATCTCGTGAATGTGCGTTGTGTGACAATTAATGTAGCCGCAAACGCATGCTGCACGTGCAGAAACCCAAATAAATTAGCTACCAAATAAATACATACATGACCTAACTACATGAAAATGCGATGCAACCTGCACGGTGGAAGCAGCATTTTTAATTTTGCTGACTAAATCTACCGAATATTGTTAACAGAACACAGTGAATCTGTGTACCTTGGCATCAATATCCATATCGAAAAGAAACTCTCCGCCACTTCCGTGGTCCGTTACAGGGTCGATGACTTTCTTTTTATGTGGCGTGATGACTTTAATCAGTTTATTCTGCTCCGCCACGTCATAGAGAATGTTTTTACCATGCAAAAATTGTGCTCCAAATTCAACGTGACCACTGTCTAACGAAACAGAAATAACACCTGTTAGAATTATATTTAATGATTTACGGCTGTATCTGTACAATATGCAGGTGATAACATATTTAAATATCTATATATATGTATGCCCCATATTATCGTTCGGTTTCATGGAGGTAAAATAAAAGTAGGCAAACAAACGTAGTGCGTTATAATAATCCTGGGCTGCCTAAGCAATGGGTAATAATATTAATTTACAGTTTAAGTTTAAATTAACATACCAATCTGTTCACTCCATATTCGTCCTCCAATTCGATCTTGTGCTTCAAGGATAACAATGTTCGTGAACTCGTTGTCCAGAAGACGTTGGGCACAGCTTAACCCTGCGGCACCAGCCCCGATTATAATGATCCTGGGCTGAGAAAGGGCACGAAACTTATGGTCAGTTTGTGGACCATTTTCGGTGCTGCTTTTCCGTTTCAGCTGATTATTAGCCGAAAGAAATCGCAGCTTCTGCTCATCGGACAAATTGGACGGGAAATTCTGCATCGCCTTAAATGTAGATCAAAACATCAACAAGAAACCTGCACAACCAAAACGACAATTAAAATGCAACTGAAATTAGCTTGATTCTACTTTAATCTGCCTTTAAATAGTTTATAAGAGGCGTCATTGCCACTCACCATATCAGAGTTGCGATAACGACGATTTGAGTTCGTACATATTTCATCTTCCGGTTATACACCCTACCCGTACCCGTAAGCGCTGTAACGAAACGACATTAAACCTGCACAGTTGTATACTAACAAGTAACAGGTGAATTTTGGCAGTAAGGGTACTGCCGTATGACATCTGTACAAGGTCGACGTAGAGGGATTTAGTGGAACTGTGCTTATTACAAATCATTATTGTAGGTAATTTTGTTCTGTAGGTTTTCAAAACAATCTACCATAAATTATGCAATTTGATTGCCATAATTATACTATTCCATTTAATGTACCATATTATATAGAATACTATTCGATTTAATGTACCATATGTAGATACTATTTGATTCGAAACAATATTTTTAACAAGTGTAAATAATTGTAAATAATTATTTGTACGCACTTCCTGCTGTAATCGATCGAAGAATTCGTATTATCGCATTCAGGCTGGTAAAACTATTGCTGGTTACACGACACATATAAAAATCTCATGCAAGAAAAAAAAAAGAACGGGAATATCTTGCAATTAGATAGCATATTTTTTAATTTTACCGTCCGTGTGGAGAGGGATAGATGCATTTCTATCTTAAGCAGGAAGTAGCGAGTATTGTAAAATCCCAATAACTTATTTCGTAATATTTATATTTTTATTGCCCAAGCAGTCACGAGCACGATGTATTGTACATGATGATGAACCTTGATTAAAACCTGTACACGAAATCGAAGTGTGACCTACGATCGCTTTCACTTCTTATCATGAAATTACTTTTGTACCCCTCGCGTATATTTTCCTTTCAAATCAATAAGACTGCACACCGACTTTGTCAATTTTATCAAGTTCATTTATTATAATTAATCTCTTGTTTTATTTTCCTTCCTTTGCCCATAAGATTTCAGATGCACCTCATCCGTCTACTCACGTTTCGTATAAGCTGTCACATTATTAACGCTAGAAGTACCTATTCTACAGTACCAATCTCATGCGTTATTAGCAGTAATAGTGATGTTATGTTTCATACTACTGTAGGATCCGAGGTACATAACACATATGACATCGTTTATCTTTGTCAGGCTGCGAAAAACTTCAAACAACAAACTCTATTTCGGAAGAAAACAAACCATTACTATAACAACAAATCTTCAGAAAACTTTTGAAAGTTACCGTTTACTCTTATTACTTTTCATCTTCAACCGTGTGACTTTTCCCGGCCTTTTTTGTGCAGGCTTCTTTCCTTTGCGGTTTCCTGGAGCCGAGCCGTGCTTTCTTCGATCAAATTTCCCATGAACGTCATCCGCACTGTCTTTGGTATTGTATTTTGATCGTTTCTTCTGGCCTCCAAATCCATATTTAGTGTCTTTATATTTCTGTTTTCCGGTTTTCCTGCAAACCAAACAATGTCATGAAAATAAAGTAAAAGCGATCAGCGACAGCGATCAGAACCAAATAAAAAAAAGTGAGTAACGAAAAAATATTGTTTAACTATGGCACATTCACAAATGTTTCGTAGTGATACTAGCACCGTGTAAACAGCTCATGCGCGCAGATTCGGTTTCCCGAAAGTCACCACCAGCTGGCACATATTGTCGCAGGCCGTTATTAGGGTGCGCTGCATAACTTTTTCGTTACACTGTAACCCCTTGGTACAGCTTCATGTCGTGCTTTGGTATAAGCAAGGTGGATAGGGTACCCTATCCACCTTGGTATATAAGTATTACAGCAACAATGAGTTGTAACTACAAAAATGAAACAATCGCTAGTTATTACTCACTTTATCGGTCCCTTTTGATTCTGTTGATGTCGGTTAGTGCCTTTACTGGTATTTTTCCGTGAATCTTCGAGTTCGGTAAGAAAGTCCAGCTCATCCTGTTCGCCCTTGGCCCCCTTCCGGAACTTTTTCACGGACTCCGCTATGCGCTTCTTCTCTTCCTGACGCTTCTTCATGACTTCCAGTTGCACTTGTTTGCCGTATTTCCTTTGCTCTCGCATCTTTTTGGCTTTTTCTGATAGCTCAATTTGTTGCTGCTTGCTGATGAGTTTCTCGCGAATCCTCTTCATCTGTTCATCAGATTTAGCCATTTCAGCAAAATAATCAGTAGGGCGTTTTGTAGGAATGCCGAGGGCATGCAGGCGAGGAACGGCTTCCAAAACAGCGCTTTGGGCCTGGCGATAACTACAGAAAAATCAAGGCCTTAAAAATATTACAGATTCACGAAGCCAAAGATTACAGAGTATTTCTAAATGCGCAAGCGAATTCACAAACAGCGCACAACGAAGTAAAGAGAAGCTATTAACGGTGTCCCACCTTCTGTTTTACAGAGACGATTACCGTGTACACATAAGTTTAGGTTGAAAATTTTGGGAAGTAACATTAAGGTAAAACGAACTAGATTTCTTGGAAAAAAATTTTATTCATTTTAAAAAAACAGAAGGCGTACAAAAATGCTAATTGCAAAATATTATGTTACGCTACGCCAAAAAAAGCTCCTCCAGAGAAAATAATTATCTCCGATCTGATTCATACTTAATTGAGAAACAACTAAAATATCCCGAAAAAAAGCTTTTAACTCACAATCGCAGTTCTCTTTTAAAATCGTCGTCCACATTATCCAGTTCCTCTTCTACAACTACATCATCATCCTCGTTCGTTTTCGTCTTCTTGGCTGCAGATTTGGTTTTTACCACCAGATTAGGATCAATGCCAATTTGTGCGGCAATCTCGGGAGCCAGTGGAGCTAGGCGACTCGTTAAGTCCAATCGTTCAATCCAGGGCAAGTCCAGCTTGATCTCTTCCAGCTTCTGGATTAAGCCTTCCTGTGTGCAGTAAAATTCTACGGTTTGCTGTCATTAAAAATCCATATCCCGCAGTAGAGCGTACCTTATTGTTGGCGCACGGTTTCCTCTGCTCCACACTATAGTTCAAACCAGGTTTCAGCTTTCCACTCGCGAAGGCTTCTTGCAGCTGCAAAGAAACCGGTAATTTGGGAAAACCGAGGCACACGAAGACCCTTGCTTACTTCTGTATCAGACCCTCCGTCGCTGTCATCTTCCCAATCCTCTCCACTGACATCGCTAGGAGATTCACTGCGATCTCGCAACCGCTTTTTCATTTTCATACTAGCCATGGTTCGGTAATTTGTGAGTACACACTCGCTCGCGCACCATACACCGTAATATGGGCAATCGGCCAGAATCCAACAAAATTCAACCTCAAATTTAAATCGCCCCCCGAAAGGTAGACCTCAAATCGTACACCCGCTCTTAGATACCGTATCTTATCACAAAATTAAAAAGGGTCACGGAAACAAATGGGAAACAAAAAACAATTACGCGTACCTTTCTGTTTCCAAATAAATCACAAGGTAATTAATGGTTCTGAAAATTTGTGAAAAATTTCAAAGCTGGTGGTTGTGCAATTGCGAAATCCGGATGCCAGAAGTCTGGACTTAGTTTTTACCGCATGCCTTTTTAACATCCGCACGTAACATCCGCACGGCTGTAGGCGCGACTTGCGTATGTAGTACTGCTATGTACATTTGTACGAGTACAATTGTACATTCAGCAATTATATTTTATGTACTCTATCGTAGAATAGGGGATGCGTTCATGTCATAATAAGTCGTTATTAAATATTTAAACACTTTACTGCTGGGTGGTAAAAAATTCTAGTACAGTGCATGTATAAGCAATTACAGCCCTGCTCAGCCAAGTTGGGGCAGTTTTTTCAAAAAATTAGCATGGGTCAGCCGTCATAAAATACTTTCTTATTTAATTTTTTCTTAGTTGCCGTGGCCCGTGGGTATCCGACGTCCTTTGCACTTAAGGGTTTTACTTTGAGAACGCTTGCCGAATTATAGTGAGGTCATAATCAGTGTAGGCCAGAGGAAAAAAGCGGCTCAACCCACCCAACTTGGTAGCAGTAGTCGTGTTTAAAATTTCTTTACAAATTTTGATGACGTCGTTTACCAAAGGCAATAACTGTGAGCTGTTGCTCATTCAATGCTCTTGCGGAGAATACCATACATCAGCCGATTTCGGCCAAGCCTGGGTGACCTTAGCAGAATGTCTGCAAGCACCTTTGAATTGGGGGTTGACCTCTGTTGCACGCTTGCCGTGCAGCCACGGGATGCTTTGGGTAACCATTTTCGGTGAAATCTTGTCGGGGAAGCCCTGAGCGTCAATAAAAACTTTACTGCTCGTACAATAAGCCCGAGACATTCCGTTACGAGACACTGTAAGGGCAACCATAAGTATTTTTTGCTACCGCTTTCCTGATCTTTTCTTCTGTTCATCCGGTCATCCTGTTTCTCCGTCCGGGCAATTTATGGCCGCCGTAACATAAAAATCCTTTAATATGATCCATGTTTCACCCATGGATAAAATCAACTTGAAGTTACCTAGGTCTGTGCGCTTGGCAACCGCATTCTTCAACAGGTACTTCTTAACATAGAAGTCTATGGGAGGTGCACCTTCTTTCGTGGACAGCTCGAGCACCGATTGCGCTAGACTTTTTTTGTTGCCTCATAGCTGACAGCCTTTGGTTTACTGAACAGTTTCCAGAAACCCCTCGTAAATATATCTGTTGGTGTGCCCTTCAGAGGGACAGTTATAAGCACCCTAATAGTGACCACTACCCCACCCCCTTAACCAGTGCTCGGCTCCCTACTGGCACACCGAAGGGTACCGCTTTTGAAATAATCGAATTCGCAGTAAAAAGTTACACTAGAAAACTGCAAACAAGAAACAAAACAGTGTATGCAGATAATTTATAAATTATTTAACAAAACTGCCCCAACTTGGCTGAGCAGGGCTGTATTAAGCACGCAGCGAAGCCCAGTAAAGCTTACGACCGACCGGGCGGGTTTTAATGACCGCTTCTTCCTAGAAAAGCTTTCCCGTCAAAAGCTGCTCTTTAACTGGGAAGTGACCCGGTACATGGCATGAAATCGTATACGTATACGAAAACATGCTTTCGCGCAGTACTCCGAAACGCTTTCTTTGCATTGTTTTGTGACATTATGTAGCCGAATGATTTATACACGTGTTGGCGTGAAAACCGTTTGTGCGCGCAACATCCGGTTGGATAGTAATCCCGGCGCTAAGCAAACTGGATGTGCGCCGGGACCATCCGGGCGCGAAGTATAGTAGCTGTGCGCCCCTAATTCCTGATTATCTACATATTATTTCACGTCACGGTCAATTCGTGACCAACAATTTATCCGGGGTGAAAAGGGGGTATTGTACGCACCCCTCTTCGCAACCTTTTTCTTATATGCACCTTTCGTAATAGCAGTACGTAGTAGTACTGTAATGAAGTCCAAAATACTACAGCTTCATTCCGATTTTTTTTTGAGACAGATTTTATAGCATGAAGCTTTCCAACCGACAATCGGGCGATTCCGCAGGTCTGGTACTTACTGCGTAGACTAAATCACTTAGCGAAATTCTGTCCGATTACCCCGTAGGCCTACCGTAGGGCTGCTTGAACCAGTACATTGTTTTTCGCCGGTACAGTATTTTAACACATATTTACCGGCATTTTCTAATGCGACTGTTTGACACTACAGTATTGTATACAGTATATAAATATATAATGACCTTTGTCCGCAGCAAGTGTGTTTACGACCGCAGTGACTTGCCAAAAATAATACTTGTAAGATATTTGAATACGTAAATAATATTACGTTCACATAATGCAACATTTCAAAATTATTGTAAAAGGGTTGCCCATAACGGTTTCTTGAATATATTCATGACCGTTTTCCAAACTGTTCGGGCGCAGCCATTTCGTAATATATACTATATTTACTTTGGCATCAAGATTCAAAAATAAATCACTAAACAACGGTCCCCACCAACTGCAAGATGTTGGTAACACAGTCAGAAACTCATAACAGTCTTTGTTGTAGCAGAACTACATTAAATTTACGAATTTTACTTATGCTACCAGCATCCATGCAACAGAACAAACACACCCCTCAACCCTACTCGCAAAGCTCAGTCCCCGTCCTCATATTCCTCATCCTCTGCGTCGGTCGGCAGCGGACACGCATCGTTGTTACCCGTTCTTCTTTCCGAAAACGGCCGCCCGCTTCGCCGGCTGTCACCCCGACTGGCTTCCGCCAGTTCCGCTTCCTGCAAATTGACTTCGGCCGCACATTCGGCCAACAAATCCATGGTTTTTGCTAGCTTAATTTGCAAAAGATTATTCTCTCCCTTGTATTCGTTGCATTTGATAATAAGCGCATCAATCTGCGACTGTTTTGCGTTCAACAGGGCTTCGTGTTCACGGCGCATTTTATCTTGAGTGTCCCAATGCCGACGTTCAGATTCTTCTAGTTTACTTTTGTAGTAATCTTCCACTTCCTGCCGGTCGGCCGCATACTGATCTTTAAAATTCTTATGAGATTGCACAATATTATTGGGTTTAGCTGAAAACTGATCTTGCACGAATTTCTTTGTGTGACGGGATTCGATAGGCTTCTTGCCACCTTTTCGGATTTTGCAGTGATAATTTCGTACCCAAGTTCCATCAACAAATGTAAAGTGATGACCATTCTGAAGGTTTAATGTAGGGCGGCTGATGGTAACACCAAATTCTAAGCAAGTAATTCACTGGTTTTAGCAATACATTTGCAGATGTAAATGACCAAACACATCCTGGATTTCCATTATTAAGATACAAATGTATTTTGCAATACTACTTTGCAACGTTATTTTGTAATGATAATTTTGTAATAACAATTTTGTAACGTTATTCATTTTGATTTTTATCGTTGTTAATACTATTATTCCTTTCAAAATGGATTTACAGATGATGGCTTTACTGTTCTATTAAGTACAGTACCTTCGTTATATTTTGCGGGGGTCAGCTGCGCAGATGAGAAGGCTGGCTTTTTACGGGGAGGAGCTAATTTCGGTTGGAAATTTCTTTTGAAGTTGTAATATTCAACTGGACGAAGAATCGATGGAAAGGTAGATCGAAAGCGTAGAACATCCATAACAGCTTTTCGTGCGAGTCATTATCAGCAGGATATAAAGTTTCATCAAAAATAATTTACCCAATAAATGCCATCCACAAACATAGCCGAAGTAAATATTTCTGTGAGCGCCCGCAACGCAGAAAACGGTATCTGAACCAATATTACATAAAACATGGTTTTCAAAAGATTTGGATTACTAAACCTCTTTCAATTAGAAGATGCAACACTTTTCAATCCACACATCAAAATTCCGAACTCCGGGTATTCATAGAAAATTAATAATTCATTAAACAATAACAGATTATGAGATCTAGCGTCCACACATGCTGGGTACATCACGCACACAGCGAGATCTGTTGTCGTACCGTAAGCGACAACTTCGTGCCTGTTACATACTGTACTTATATTCCTAAATAATAATAATAATTATTATGTTAGATTTGTTTTACAGATTATAAAAATAACCATAAAATAATAGCTACACCGTACATCGGCACTATTCTTGTAAACGTAAGCCATAATAAGGTTACAAAACCGGTTAACTACTAGTAATTATATTGTTTCTTTCGATTACAACAGTTTTCGCTTTTGCAACGTTTTGTTAGCCGCGAAACCAGTTGTGAAATTATAAAATTAAGTCCTTATTCTTTTGCTTGCTTCACCACTGTTTACCCGTCTCACTAAAGTAAGTTAGTACTCTTTTCGTGCGACCTCAGTTTATTTCATTTTAGAAACGAATTAAAAGATACAGAAGCATGCGAACTAACTTGCATTTACTTCTTATTATAATTCCAATGATATTATTATCCATCTTACATAAAGAGTATATTATTTAATTTGCATACGCCACATCCCTAACCGAAACAAGCGTTGCTATGGAAACTTCAGATTTTGATAAATAAACAACAGATTCATAAAAAAATATATTTTATTGCCTTACTGAATGAAATTCGGTAGTAGAAGATTAGTTATTGCATTCATGTTAGATCCAAAAAACGTTCTTTGGTGAGTAGTCTAAAGTCTAAACTGAGAACTAATTCTGAAACAAGTAACGTCAGCTGGCAAACAAAAATTGCAACACATCCGAGACCCACATAAGTAACTGAAAGTCAGAAAGAGAACACAAAATTCTCTATGTCGGCGTAATGTCAGAATTATTTAGAAAATCCAAATCCAAAATAAACGAAAACCAAAGGGCATAGAAAAAATAATCGTGTTATAATACTGGCATGATCCAGTTGCGGTAAGTCTCCGAATCACGTTTTGTATCGGTTTTCACTCATGCCATGGCTCCACTCAATGGTTTTCAACTGCCCAATCTGTAAGACAAGCGGCTCAAACGCGCTCACCACATCCTTCGTAAAGAATCCAATCTGTGGAACATCAGTTGCGTCGTTGTCCGTATACACCTGCACGGCCATGACATTGCCACGTGCCTCCATTTTCAAAAATCGCGTATAATTCCCACAGTCTCTTGTGATTATGCCGGTGAAGTCCTCCTCGCGATCAGCATTGACAACCACAATATGTAGTTCTTTTTCTCCGGCAATCAAGACCTTATTTACTGTCCCCATATGAGCAAGAGATCCTGTAAGTTTTCCCACAAAAAATCCTCTTGGCAAGGCGTACTTAGAACGCAACCCCCATGTGCCATCTCTGGCTTTGAACACTTGAAAGAACCCTAAGGAAGGGTTCTGCACTAAACGATTCCGGCATTCGGTAGGTGAGCAACGGCACAATCGACAACATTCGTACAAAGGCTCGCCTTGATAACGATCCACATCCAGGAGTCTGTCTTTAGTGTATAAACAACTAGAACCCGTTTCAGAATAACAGGAACACAGTCGAGTACAGTCATTTTCACACCTGCAAGACTTATCCGAATGCAAGCCTATGCTCCAGAATTTATCGTGAGCAACAGTGCGTTGAATAGAATAGAAAAACGGCACCGGCAAGGTCTGATCGAAGCGGTTGACCACCTCCACAGGATGCATTTCCCGACTGTCAGAAAGGTCACAAACGAGAACAGGATCGTCTGCCCCGTCGAAAAATTTCGATGCTCCTAAAGCAAATACGTATATAAAAATTGCATCAACGACAGTTTTTAGTTTCTCAATATTTTAAAAACGTTAATTTAAAAAAAAACTCTTACCAACAGCAGGCAAAGCACCACCGGTTGATGCCGCCAACATTTTTCTTCCAACCGGTCCATCGTCAAAAACGTCAGGAATACTGCTCAGAAGCCGAATGCTCAACTGATTAAGTGCTGCTACAGCAAATCGATGCCGCCAGTTTTTCATCAAAATTCCAACCACTTCCGATCCAAACGTTCCATAACGCAGCTGATCCACAATATGTGGGCATTCCAGCAGATTAGAGATAACAGCAATGTTTCCGCAAGAAAACAAGTTTTTCAGGGCTTCCTGCTGTTCGTCTCTGGTAAATGCGAATTCTCCAAAATCATACAATTCATAACGAAACAACAATGCAACGCAGTCGAAGCGCTTTTGCTGCAGGAATTTTCGCAACGATATTTCTCGTACAGCGCTTGGAGGTAATTCGACGTAGAACTTCTTCAAAACGTCCAAAGATACGAAGCTGTTGGCTAGCGCAGCTTGTTCGAACGGTAAATTCCCATCCTTATCGGGCAAAGTCAACGGAAAACCCAGCTGTAGTAAAATACTTAAAATGATCGGGTGGTTCCGCTGAATCGCAAGATGCACCGGTCCAGATAAAGGAAAATGATCCAACAGATCATTCCCGCTTTTTCGTCGCGATACGCATTCTTGGTAGAGCGTCTGCAGATTTGCCGGATTACACACGAAATGAAGCACTCCAGTGATATCCCCATCCTTAACCATTTGAAACAAATCAAGCCATTCCATTTCTTGTTGAACCTGAAAGGATAAAATTATTAGCGAATAAAAACGTGACTTATAAATCTGAGACTTACTCCCATATCAAACTGACTCAGCTTTTCTTTCAGTTCTTGAGCATAAGAAGGCGGTAAATACGCACAAGCTACACGGAAACCCAGAGGAAAATCTCTATAATAAGTATCTAAAGGAATTCCCACATAAGAAACCGGTGGGCGTCGAGCCATAAGAAGCAACTGCGGATCCAAGTCTTCTGCACAAAAGTTAACCGGCACCAAACCAGGATTTTTTATCGTCTTTTTAACATGACTGGATGGTTTTAGGCAATGAATACATCGGACCTTTCCAATTTTGTCCCTTTCTGTGCACGATTCATGGTACAAATGGCCGCTCTTGTGTGAACACGCCCGAAACTCTCCCACCTCACAGAACACTCCGCAACCAGGGCAGCAGTTATGATTTCGCAAGCCTGCACAATGTACTTCGCATAGTCCAATCAGTGGATGTGACGGGGAAGGGCGGTATAGATTTCCCACGAAACTACGCGCAATGGGGCGCATACACCCGTACAATTTATCATCCACACTCATTTTCGCTTGACAAACTGCTACAGTCGAGGCAGCTTCGGTTCCCTGAGGAGTCCAGGAGACTCTCGATGGGCCTTTGAAATCTGCCCAGGCCTTCGTCACATCCAGAGCGTACCGATCCACATTGCCTTTCGCTCCTAGTTTGATCACTTCTTCGCACAGACAGCTTAAACGCACAGAATTCAGCTGCTGTGTTATTTCCACTTGCTCCTTCTGAACGATTTTTGGTTTCTTTCGTGGACTCAGTGATGGCAACAGATCATTCACAATCCGACAGTCCAAATGGGAAATTCCTCGGACTTTAGCCTCCCAGTTTATGGAGTCATGACTAATGTCGGATGTGCCTTCTACGAAAAAAGATAAGAAAAGCCTAGTTACCCTTACTCACCGTAATGATGCTGAAACATATGAAGAAATATCCTTTTAATTATTTTTCAAACAATTCCTTTAAGCTATTTACAACGGACTGATCCACACCTTCTAAAGCGCTATTTGGTCGCTTTGCGCCAGCAACGACTTCAGCCGGTTTGTGCGCGCAAGGATATTCGTCCGCCCGTTCCACAATCATCTCGGTTGCAGTGGAGGCTCCAGATTGTTCTAGAATACCTTCACTTTCCACGCCCGCTTCCATTTCAATACCCGTGTTAAACATCTCGGCGGGTGGAGAGCATGTGCCGTTGCTTCCATGACCAATGGATTTCTTCGGAATGCCATTCTCGATGGATTTCTTTGGAAAACCATTCAATACACTTTCAGTATCGCTTTGCGTATCCATAGATTCAGTGGTCGATTCCATTAGGACGCTGGCCGCCACTTCCGAAACGGATATTTCCGGTTCAGGTTCTAAAACAGCAAGCACGGGTTCATGTAACAACTTCAGCCACCAATTTAAAAGGTTTACAGGCCGAAATCACGAACCCCGAAGGCTGCGCAGTCGGCTGGGACTGATCTTCCATTCCTTGTTAATGGCTGTGAAGAAAAGCTGAGCAACGTCCGTACTAACAAGACCAGTCGGGGCGCCATCTGCATTATAAGCTGCCGTCAACTTCCAAGTATAAGAGCAAAAAAAGAATAGGTACTGATGGAGTTAATAGGCTATGCCTATTCAGCGATTACTGAACGTGGCAGAAGCTCTCACCTAATGCATCTTTGACCAGATTGTCCTCAGCATCGGTTGGCTTCCTGGTTTCCGACCCAGACATTCCGCTGTCTTTCTCGAAGACACCAATCGGCCTTTCAGGGATCTCATATTCTACAGGTAACCATTATGTCAACATCAACTGACAGGACCAAAGAAATATAAGAACAGCAAAAACAAAGGAGCAAATTTATTTAGTTAGAAAAATACACGACACTCCGAAGCCTGTTATGCTACGCACCTGTACTTTCGGTCAGTGTCTTTCCCTTCGAATTTTGGGCGCCAAGCACTTTTTCTTCGCCCACACTCTCTCCATGAGCAGTACTATCCATTTTCAGAATGCGTCCATCATTTTCAGTTTTGTCAAACTCCAAACCAAGTTCCGGAAGTTCCGGGGAATTTTCTTGACGAAAGCCAGTGATCACTGGTCCGTCAAAGCGCTCGCTGTCTGGAGAATGCTGAAGATGCGCACTGCTTCCATTCGAAAGTGATGGTAGAGGTGGTTCCTGGCTATCATGCACCTCTACAGAAGAAGTTAATGCGTAACCGTTGAAGTCAGAAGGCTGCTCAGAGGGAGCTCCTGGCAGCTTCTCATCTACAGAAGGGGAAGTTTTGGCAAGCGCAGACTGCATGTGGCCCATTAACACCTGCGAAAAGTACGCATCACCATTTCCTAATCCGAACGACATTTTCTTATGCTAAGAAAAAGGCACACACTGCCTGTTTCCTAACCAGAAACTGCATAATATTTTGATGAAATCGAAATTGCCTTAACAAAATTCAAGTACAATATTCAACGTTTTCCGAAACAAGAATTTCCAAATACAGTTGATAATAAAAGGTTCACACTTTGACTTGTGCTTTACAGACGAAAATTACGAACTACGCACAACGTCAACATGACTGCACTTCTGGACTTGTTGCAATATGATCCCGCCCGGGGCGCTGTTGGTAAACTGTCTGAAATGGTTTGAAATCATACCGTACCCGTAGTTTTTCGATAACTGGAAAGAGCCAATCTTCTGATCGTGAAAACCGGAGTTCACTGTTTTATTAGGTATTAACGATAAATTATTCGTTAAAAAGCCAGATATCTTCGGAATTTTAGCAGCTATAATTACAGTGTATATTTACAACCAGTTTTGAAATATTTCTGGTGCTTCTACCGATTATAATACTTACTTTTGGACACAAGGCGGTCTTTCCTTAAATATGGAGCTGCTTGTCTTTGGAGAACTGCTGGAACGTCTGAAAAGTACAGACAACGCAGTTCGCAAAGATGCGGAGGTACTGAATGTGGCATACCTGACCGGCGATAACAATTTACAGCATCTTCCATCTCCTGTCATCGTTTATAACTTGGTTTAAAGAGTTATTGCTTTAGGGAATATACGGCCAACTGGAGCCGAAAGTGAGAGCGGTGAATTTGCTGCAGATCATTAGCGGAGCACGGCCCTCTGAACCGAAAGAACTCGAGGTACTTCCCGGTTCTTTGGTGCTCTTCTGGAGTATCTAACATATTCCCTGACTTTATCTCCATTTTAGATTGCTCTTTTTGCATCTGTACTGTTGAGACGACTGATTACCAGCGATTTCAAAGCCTTTTACAATCAGTTCAGCCCGGAAGACCAGAAAACGTTCCGCAACCAATTAGTTCACCTGCTCACTGCTGACATCAGTAGGGAGCCGACGGTGAAGCGGAAAATCTGCGATGCCATCTCAGAAGTTACACGAAGCATTTATTCCCAAGAAGAGGGTGATGCTACGTGGAAAGAGCTGGTGGAATTCACGTTCAACGCGCTAAGCGGACAAGAAAAGCATCTCAAACAATGCGCCTTGATGATCCTCGGGTAATTATTTTATTGTTACACAGTAACTATTTTACCATCGCATTTTTTCCATGTGTGCTACTTAGCTACTACTTCAGTAAAATTTTCGCTTACAGTAATTTGAACAGAATAGAAGTGTTTATAGTGTGACTTTAAATCCAGTTCTTAATACTTCGTTGTACGACATGTAACTGTAGTCATGACTCGTATGCACGTTGTGCTTGTCAGCCTGACAAGCGAGGCTGTGATTTTGCAGTAATTATAATTTCTTGATGACGAAATCATGGAAAGCGATAGAAACCGTAACAAATTCTCTTTGCAGCGACTATCCGGGTCTGTTTGGTGAGGAAGGCCGGAAGCGCTTAACCCAAATCAAAGCCACCATTATGCGCGCTACGATGGAGGAAACATACGAAATTCAGCAACTGGCTGTGATTACTCTGATACAGTTTATTATCGAGAATGCGAACGATGAGGACGACAAGCGCGTGATAAAGGTATTCCAAGATTGCATGCAGCATATTTACCGAGTGACAACAGAATCCGTCAAACAAGGAGACCCAGAGATTCTGAAAAATCTTATTGAGCTGGTAGAAGAGTTTCCAAAACTTCTCCGGCCGGATGTCCCGGCAGTGTTCGATTTTGCGACAGCGGTAAGCTGCTGCACACCGCTGATCACATGTGATTTGTTTTCTCATAAAATTAGGTTTTTAGACCGTCACAAATGCCGATATACAAGACGATATTCGGCAGCTGGCGATGGAATTGCTTGTTACCCTGTGTGAATCAGCTCCGCAGATTGTGCGCAAACATGCTGTGGCTAAAATTCCCCAGTTCGGTAAGCACATTTTTTTCGGTGCATCAGTTTTATCCGCGTTCGATGTTTAGGGCTTTTGGCAGACTGCCGAAGTGCATTCGATGTTATTTGCCATTTTTGGTTTACCTGCAGTTCATGCCATGCTGTTGTTGATGACTGAACTGGAGGATGACCCGGAATGGTTAACAGCGGATGAAAACAAGACTGAGGAAGAAGATTCTAATTCTTACGTGGCAGAGAGTTCCATTGATCGTGTGGCATGCGCATTAGGAGGCAAAGCTATGCTTCGTCCGCTCTTAAATGCTTGTCACGAATTATTATTAAAGAACGAAAAACCAGGTATGTTGAAATTTAGTGCAGTGCCGCAGAAGCTACCGGTTAAAGTCATGTAGTGATGTGTGTATCATAAAAAGAAAAGAGAGAAAAAGAAAATAACGATATAAGGCTCCTCGTGACAAAATAATGCCTTTGCAGAAGACTGGAAGTTTCGCCATGCGGCGTTAATGGCAATTTCGGCGACCGGAGAGGGTTTAACAAAGTCAATGGAGAAGCATTTGGATGAAATTGTGAATGTTCTTCAAAAGAGTATCGTTGATCCGGTAAGACATTGGTCAAGGCGATTCGGTTTTTAATAATGGTTTTTGTACTCTGAAGTGCACATTTATTCTGTTCTACAGAGCCCGCGAGTTCGTTATGCCGCGTGTAATTGCTTTGGACAATTGTCCACTGATTTTGCGCCAACCTTCCAAAAGAAGTTTAAGCAGGTTGTGATCGATAGTCTACTACACGCTGTTACCCGCGATACCGAACCGCGTGTGCAGTCTCATGCCATTGCGGCTATGATCAATTTTACCGAAGAATGCGACTTGAAAATTCTGTCAAAGTTTCTCGATCCGATTCTCAATGTTTTGTATACCACGATGGAAAGCAAATTTAAAGAGGTGCGTTGTACATGCATGCATTGCAATGAGATGAACCGATTGTGCAGTTTCTGCTTTCTTGTAGTTTCAAGTATCTGGACGGAAGTTGGTGCTGGAAAATGTAATTACGGAAATTGCGTCTTTGGCAGATAAAATTGAGGATAAATTTGCACCTTACTATGAAAGGTAAGTTAGACTCCGCCTTAAGAAGTTGTGGTTTGCTGAAGCCTTTTGCATCAAACTTTTGAATTATAGGTTCATGCCGTATCTGAAATTCATCGCTCAAAATATTCACCAAAAGGAATTCCGCTTGCTACGAGGAAAAGCTATCGAATGCATTTCTCTAATTGGCATGTGTGTACCACGGGAAAAGGTGAGATGTCACATGTGACATCGAATAATATCTAAAAATGTTGTAGTTTTGTTTACCTTTATGGCTTATATCTTTATGGCTTATTATATTATGCATTTTTGCCTTCATGAGTTGTGAACTTGTGATTTTGAAAACTCTTTGTTTGAATTTGCTCCATATGTACGGTGCTATCGCGATGGTAACTGACTACGTTGTTGTAGTTCTTTCAAGATGCCAACGAAGTTATGCAGATGTTGCTGAAGACTCAGACCGGTGAAGAGGAAGTGGCGGCTGACGACGTTTCGTATTCCTATTATATCAACGCTTGGGGACGAATTTGTCGCATTCTGGGCCGCGAATTCGCCGTTTATCTGCCGATGGTAATGGGTCCAGTTATGAAAGCTGCGGAACAGAAAGCGGAGATCTCGGTAGTGGATGAAGATGACGTAGAGGCGCACCAGGAGGATGGTGATTGGACATTTATGAACATCACCGGCGATAAGCAAAATGTTGGTATTAAAACGGCTGGATTGGATGAAAAAGCCGATGCTCTGGATATTTTGCGAGTTTACGCTCAGGAGCTCAAAGAAGAATTTGCTGGATATGTGGAACCAGTTGTTAAACTGATGGTAGACTCCTTGAATTTTTTCGTGCACGAAGGTAGAACAGTCTCGGTTAATTTGCTGTGGCTTTTATGTATATTAAATACATTTGTCTCCTTGTGTAGGTTGTCGGCAGAATGCTGCCGCTGCCATTCCACGAATGCTGGACGTGGCCAAAGTTGCTCGCAACCCTGACCCACGTTACATGTTCAACATGTGGCGATTTGTCTACCCTAAACTGATACAGTCTATCAATGATGAGCCTGACCCAGAAACACTGGGAGACAAATTGGGCTGCTTAGCCGATGTGAGTATCGTTAGTTATCGCGGCTGTCTTACCTAGTTTGAACGTTTTCCTTGATCTCCACACTTTTTTATGAAGTCCGTGGCAGTCGTGGGCCCGGAAGCGCTTACAGAGCAAGAAATGGATGACGTTTTCAAGGCATTAGAAACCAACCTGGAAGATTATTTCACCCGAGCTGAAGAACGGCTCAGTAAGGATGGTTGTGTTATTGTTCTGAAAGAGCTGCTAATTTTTTTGATTTGTATCCTGTAGAAGCCAGAACTGACGAAGACTATGACGAAGAAATGCAGGAGAATTTGGACGGTGATGCTAAGAGTGATTATTACCTGATATCCCGCATCAGTGATGTGGTCCATCACCTGTTCAAAGTCTACGGAGCAGCATTATGTCCTAGATTTGAAAAATTCTTGAACGTTTTAATGAAACTCGCGGTATGATAGCTTGCCTTTATAGTTATAGGTGTTAGGATTGTGGTTGTTAGGATTGTGGTAGTCAAAATATATCAGGAAAGCATTATTACAGGCCCCGAGTCGTCCTTTCCAAGAACTCCAGTGGGCCATTTGCACTTTTGATTCTCTTCTACAGTTTGCTGGAGAGGTAAGTTGATAGATCGGGTAGAAAAATTTTCACGACGAGAGAATTTTCGGAGTCGAGAATCACGCCATACTCGTACGTTTGTTTGCATCGGTTTTTTGCGATTTACCGAATGTGTTTTATATACTTATTATTTTGGCAGAAGTTTTGTCGGAATGCTTTGTGACCGCTTCGTACGGTAGACGCCGTTTGTACTTTACACAATGCTTGTTGCAGAAAGTAATTCACATGTAGCATAGATTGCGAGAGCGAGCTTCGCTTGAAAGGGTTTTTATTGTAATAAATATTGTAATTATGCCGTGACTTAGTGCATCGCATTAGTAATTGTTGTATGATTTCGCGTTTCAGAAAGCAGCACTTTATAAAGATCTGTTTATACCAATTTTTAAAACGGGTCTGCGACATCCGGAAGGACCTGTGCGCCAGGCTGCCGCATTTGGCTGGGGATTGATGGCGCAGTACACGGGTGATGCACTGGTTAGTCACTGTATCGAGATCGTGCCGGTGCTTTTGGAAACCATTAACCATCCGGATGCGCGAAATGAGGACAACGAAGGCCCCACGGAAAACTGTATCTCAGCCATTGTGCGCTTCCTGAAATACCGACCCATTATCCTCGAAAGCCACGGCAGTTTGGATCACGTGCGCATGCACTTGTTGCAGTGGCTGCCGGTGTACATTGATCCGGATGAAACACCCGTGATCTACGACTACTTTGCAGAGTTAATCGAGCAGAATAACCCTGTCCTGTTGGGACAGAATTTCACCAATCTGCCGAGAATCGTGCAGATCATTGCTGAAGCGTTGGAGAAAGATGCACTGGAAGATGACGAGGAAGGCGGGCCAGCAAACGCTGTATACAATCGTCTTTTGGATATTGTGCGCCATGTGCAGGTATGAAGCCGAACGCTTACTGTAATACGATGCACGTAAACCTCCATAGATTAATTTAGTTCTGCTGGGAGAATCTGGGATGTTCGTTCTGTTTTTCAAAGTGACATCTCAGTTAATATTTTTACTTACAATAATTATTACAAAGTTAATTGTGTCCAGGCGGTAAAAATTTTATATGGAGCTGATCATTCATGCATGCATCTTCAGGTTTCGACTTTTTTGTTTAGTATGTAGGCCATTCTATGGTATTATCTACCGGCTTCTGAATTTCTGACTTTAAGTGTTGTTGTAGCATGATGCGAACGTTTTCCAATCAATTGTGAGCGGTTTGACCCACGAACAGCAGGAAGCTCTTTCCAAAGCGCTGCACCAACCATTACGAAAAGTTGGACCAGTTTAACTAAGCATTCGATTAGAGCTTCGGCATTGGAAACATGTGGACTGTCAATCGCTGTGGATTTTTGTTAGTTGCCTCTAATCACTTACGGCTGATAATATGATTGTTGAATGAAGACGTACCGCTTGTGTTTATCAATAACCCTGCTGGTGTTTTTAACTGCTTCGTTTTTTAATTTGCTCTTACGCTATACCATCTGTGGTATCGTACGCCATATGACTAATTTATGAAACTGAAATGAAAGATAAATTCCGAACATTGAACTTGAATTTTCTCACGCCTCTGTGGATTTGGCAGGTGTTTTCGGGATGTCTTGGCTCTAGCAAGGAGTGAAAAATCAAATTTGTGCATAAGATAGGCGTCCTTTTGCGTTCGCTAAGAATGCGCGGTACGTCATTTAATTCGGAAACCTCCATTCAGTTCATAATAGACAGATTTTCGCCCGTTCCGATTCTTTGCTTAGACGGAGTTATTGCGATAGGTATTGGTGATCTCATTTAAGGCTGCAGATTTTGTTTTGGCGTTCTTATCAAATTACTTAGTGACAAAGATCGTTTGAGCTTTGCATTTGCTGGTCGCTAAAAAAGTACCAGCCACGAGACAACAGGGAACGACTATTGTAAATACCAGGTGTCTGCATATTCCCGTACGAAATGAAGTGCAAATGTCAGGCAAAATCATGCAGACTTACGGGTTTGACCTTTTAGTAAAATTAGCGTGCACAAAAGTACAGAACTATATGGCCACACAATTACAAAAATTTGATAATGCATTTGCAGCTGTACAGGAGTAGAATAAAAAAGGGCAAAAACGGGTGATAACGCGTGGACGTGGCTCCCGCTAGTATTTGCCAGTCCGTAATCTCTCCTGAGGCACCGCCGGCGGAGAAACAGCTCTCATTCTTCTGGGGAGGAACATGAAAATGGTGGGATTCACAAAAATACCGGCCAGTCGGATAGAACTGCTGCATCGGTATACCTTTGAACAAGGCTTTGCTGCATTTTTCCAAAATATTATCGCAGAAACCTTCGCAGAAGCTGAGCTTCTGGCTTTTGCTCGAGTAGAAAAGATGCTGACCTGCAAAGAGCAGCCGATGACCTTTTGTCATGCGAATAAAGCGCATTGTGATGCTGATAAGTCTCATTTACTTCGATTAATTTCGCCAAAAGATATCTTAGGTATATGGGACTCGTGACATTTGATTTGCCATTTTGCTGTGCCAAGCAGTGCATGCGTAGCAAGTCTGTTATGCACTACTGATAATAATAAACGCATATGAATAATAAACGCACTACTTAGAAGTCAGAAGTAATACATTTAAGAAAATTATATAAGAAGTTGCTTGGATTTCGCAGAATCCAAATTTTTTACTATTTTTGCCTATACAGACTGTTCCGTAACCAGGGTTTTCCATAAATTACTTCCTTACCAGGATCACAAACCCAACAAATCATGTAATTCAACAACTTCTGGCAGATAGCGTCCGCTCCTTGCAGTGCTCTGACATCTTTAAAAATTGAATCCAGCTCGGTCTGACGGCAGCAGCTTCTCTGCAATTAAACCCATTGTGTTCCTTTCGGCTTAACCAATAAATTCACGGCATGTCTTCATCGTGCATGTATCGGCAAGGATACCTCCTATATAGACTTATAGTTGTATGGACAGTATCCAGCTACATTGAGGACTGTTTCTTTTGGGTAATAGTTGCTAACAGTAAATGTGCAAGCAGTAATTCTTAATGGATGAAAAATTACTAAAAGCCAGTTCAAACTAATCTGCACTACATCTGCATTAAAGGTTTCATACGTACTTCATAGTCTTACGTAAAGGCAGGGACGTTATGATTAAGGTTACTGTACTATTGTGCAGGCATGACTCACCAATTTATACCACGAACAATTCCGTAGTTCTGGAGCTTCTATGGGCTCACGATTTGAGAAATAACTGCAATAGTCTCCAGAATTTGGCGCATTTATGTTGTAATCAAATGCTCTCGTCTGTTTTGGCAGCAAATCCATGATGCTCAGACTAATTAACGTGACAGAGATCCACAACTCCATAACTGCAGCGCATTATATACTGGACGAAAAAAATAGTAAGGAAATTCGAGATACGACGGCTGCATTAAATTTCTCTTTCCTTTGCTTCATGCCGGTGAAGTAAGCACACTTTTTAGATGCATCAATATCGATATCATTTTGTCCATCAATCTTCCTTCCTGTGGAGCATTCGCATAAGTGAATCACGAACGACTGGCAGAACAATCTGAAAAAGCTGTTAATTTTTTTACACGTTTCAGATGGTCATTGCCAGAAAGTATTAATTTATAATTGTCCTGTAACTGCAGTGCACTTTCAATACGAGTGCCGGTCTACATGGAAGTTACTAATAATACGTTACCGCACTAATGGAAATGCAGCTAAATATCCGTATTTGATTTTTTTAAATTCTAACTAATTGTGCACCTTCATAAATCCATTATGAGTCAGCAAAGTTAAATATGTTGTGGTTTAATCGTGTTTTAAGGAGATTATCTGTACGTACACATATGAGTAAAGCATCCTTTATTATCGCCAGAAAAATTTACATCTGCTCGTCTTGATTTTGCCATTTTAAATCGTGCACACGCATAGTGAAAAGCGTAAGAATTTTATCGGCATAGTATTTCTACATTAGAGACACAGCAAATAGTGTAGTTTCAGCAGTTGCCGGTTTCATCCATAACAAGAAATTCTCAAATTAAAAGCTACCACGAAACATTAACGACTGCATCGAACCACTGTGACTGAAAATCCATGAAATCATTAAGTTATGTCTTTCGACTATCCTAATCGATACAATAAACGCTATATCAGTTTTGTTCATAACAGTTTTCACTAAATTTCAGGACATCATAAAATAATTCGTTAGATCACTATCATCCTGAAAGCGAAACTGCTCATAAATGCGATAAATAAGCAATAGCCGCTACCATTTATAACAATCAAACGCCTTTTGATAAGGTTTGTGAACAACATAGGCACATAGGTTACAATACATTACATCAAGATGTGATTATAATTAGATGATGTGATATTCTATAACTTTCTTATATGTGAGTAAGAAAGTTATAGAATATTGCCTAACCTGACTGTGTCTTTCGAGTCGCGCTTTCGAAAAAATAAATTTATGAATATATTGCGTCCAAATAAAATCACAAGCGAATTGGCATAATTTTTGCTGCAAAAGGAAGGCCGTAGTTCGCGCACAGACCTTCAGGTAAGGACATCAGATTGCTACATATATGTAGTGGCCAATCCAAGTGCGTTGAGCATGTTTGTCAATCCGACGGTTGAAATTCGCATCCTTTCTTACAAAAACACAATGCGTTAACTGCACTATTGGCCAAATTAAAGGAACATCAATTAGTAGATAGACAGTTTTGCAAACACAGTACGGTTATGCTGACGGGAGTGCATGGAGTCCCGCTAGTGAACTGAATACTGCACAGGAAGCATTGAACGGCTCCATGGCAAGGCATGTGCGAAACACGACAATTAGTACTGCGACTAATCAATATGTCGATTTCCTTCAAGCACAGAAAATATGTAACTTACAAACCTTCTCACGGGGATGTTTTTATAAAGTCAGCCCAACGCACACACACTCTCCGATCCCGGCGCGGCCCGGCTGACGTGCGCCGAACGGCGGCAGTAATGTTGGGGAAATGCGTGTTATATATTTCATTCTTCTGTGTACGCGCACAGTCGGCTTTCGTTTGTATTTGTATATACAGGAGACCTTCTGTACAGCGGACAATGCACGAAGTTTGTATGGCTCCACTTTGTCATGGAAGCTATATCAACACTGCACGGAAAAACGCTCGGGAGCATCCATCCTTTCGTTCTCTGGCATCGGAGAGAATTCGACAAAAGAGAGTTAATCGATATACTGCGGCGGAATAAATGATAAAGCACATGTTTCCTTTTCCCGATGGTAATGTAAATATCCTTCCTGTGCCCGTTGCACTACCAGCATACAGTGGTTTATTTATCACGCCATCCAGCGCACCCAGTAGGCAGTACCGCCACTGCAGCATCACACGAAATTGTTAATTAAGCATGAAACGTACGTCTGGACACAGTATGTGGCTGCCGCGCACTAACACTTATATTTAAAGCAAAACAAAAAACACTGCGCCGCTAAGATCATCATGATGGAAAGAACTTGAGTGTTCGTTAACCATTTCTTTCCTAATAAATTATAAATTTATAAAACACTTATGACTATCGAAGTCTGCTTTTGTACTTGTACCAGCATTAATCGTGACTAAATCAAGTAATTTCGGCATCCGAACTGACTTCTGCATGTTTGTAAGCTCGCGCAACCTTTATGGCGAAAATGAGTTTGTTCCTTTCGGACGTGTCCTCCAAAGCTAAACTCTGTACCCATGCATACAAAGAAATAAAATTAATGGAGCACTAATTAAGTTGGTGGCGGAATCCGTGTACCAGCATGTATGTCCAGCCGCTTTTTAAAAACACCAAGATATTGTGGAGTAGCGATTCATCGATTCATCAAAACGCATTTGTAAAGTTTAAAATTGTTAGGTTAGAAAAGATAGGGACATACAATGAGCTGATAGTTTGTGCAGCATCAGATGAAACATATTTCGTACTGCGGCAATACTAAAACGAATAATTCTGCCTGCCCACCTTTCAGAAATTTCCCTACTTCAGCATTTCTAATGAATTTGATTGTTACTGTTTTGTTTTCGAATAGTCGGTTATCAGATTTAAATTTGTCGGATTATTTTATTTGTTTCCTATGTATTACTAAATTCCTGAATGCAACAGAGTGTTTTCTGCTTGTGCTGTTTCGTTGCGCGAAACTATATTACAGATCATCTTATCATGAAAATTCTTAGCATAGCTTCGTATACTAATTCGAAACATTAATGCTGCATGCTCGCTGAAACTTCTCACCCATTCGCGAGATGGGCATAAGTACTGCAGATTGATTGACACGTAAAAAATGTATAAATTAAGTACTCGTACTGTATTTCAGCAGTTACTGTACTGTTTTTCTACTCTAGTATCAGAATATATATACGTACTGTACCTACACTTTATTACAAGGGTTATACCATATTAAGAAAAAGGTCAATATTACAGTACGCGCGGCCTCCCCACAGTCTGGAGATCTCTCTAACCAAAAACTTTTAAAAAAATCTGATACCACAGTTAGATCGGCCGCGGTCCACAACTGCGTCACATGACTTTTGTTATTGAATAATACGTCCGATCAGAAGCGTGCGGGCACGATGCCGCAAACGAGCCAACAAGTTGCAAGGTGACCTAGAAACTTCGAAAAATTCTGCCTGGATACAATACGAAAGATAAATTATTAAATACAGTAAGCAAATTAAACAGCATAAATTGAACTTATTTTTGTACAACACCAACCACAAAATTAAGAAATCACAAGTTAACCTATCGATTTTCGTTGTCGGCACATTTGTAATATAATGATCTTACTATATAACATTTATTTGTAATTTAATGGTCTTAACCGTACGGACATCGGGCTGTTTGATTTTGGCAGGATCACTCTTCTAAACAAATGCTAAAAGCATAGAGCCGCATTTATTATTTTAAGGTGAGTGAGTGCCCGAGATACCTTCACCGACAAGCGAGCGAAATCCCTAATTGTCTAAGTGAGTTATGGCGCTACCATTGCCGTCTAGTGAGCAAAATCGCTAACTGAGTGAGTGAGTTACCGAGCTACCAATAGTGTCCAGTGAGCAAAATCGCTAATTGACTCAGTAATTGACCGAGCTACCACCACTATCTACCGAGTAGTGCTCGAAACGCTACGTGAATATGTAACCGAGCTATTCATTGATTCGGGCCGTGGATTAGAAGAAACGTGGAGGCGAAGACGCAGATGTTTCTTCTAAGCTAACGCTAACGCTAGCTAGCTTCTAAGACCAAGCTGACGCTGCTGTCCAGTGAACGGAGCCCGTTAGGTGAACAAGTGACCGAGCTACCACTACTGTCCAATGCACAGAGACTATTAGGTGAACGAGTGACCAAGCTACCACTACTGTCCAATGCACAGAGCCCGTCAGGTGAACAAGTGACCAAGCTACCACTACTGTCCAGTATACGGAGCCCTTTAGGTGAACGATTGACCGAGCTACCACAACAGTGCAGTGCACATAGCCCACAAGGTGAACTAGTTGCCGAGCTACCACTCCTTTCTAGTGGACAGAGCTAATTAGGTGATCGGGTGGCCAAGATACCGGAAATGTTCCGTGTACGGAGCCCGAAAGGTGAGCGGGTGACCGAGCTGCCATTACTGAGAAGCATCAGGTCCAGAGAATCATCAGGTTCAGAGAATCATGGATCCAGTGGAGAGATTTATTACTGATCTGAGAGAACTGTAATTATTACATAAAACCGGTGTTTTTGCGCTATTGCGATGTACCGATCATATTACGACGAAATATAGATGTGATACTAATAAATATTCAATCGAAATCAAGTACAGTGGCCGTGGATCACAAGAAACGCGGAGGCGAAGCCGAGGCTATTTCTTGTAATATATAAGATTAGTTCCTGATAATCGAATCAGAAAAATCTGCGATCATTGTTACGAAAAATTATTCCTAAAAAACTGAAAAGATTTAAAATTTCCGTGTGTACTATTAACATTAACTAAGTACTGTACCTTTGCCAATTTCTAATGCACGCAGCTAAAGCACAACTGCAAGAATCGTAATATTATAGAATGTTCCCAGCTGTCCGGATCGTAACGTTGCCGCACCCACAAAATGCAAATGGACAGTTAACCACCTTTCAAGTTTTCATAAAGGTTAGGTCAGGTTGTTTTTAATAAGCACCACGTACAATTACATACTGAGTACTAAAACAAAATTCATAAGGTCAGGTTGTGAAGTTGTGTGTACTATTTATTATATTCTTCTATCTGTAAATGCTTGATTCATAAATGGAAAATCGTTTACGTAAATCTGCTCGTAGTCTCTGACGCATGACCCGTCGTATTGACGCTATCTTGAAACAATTTGCTTCCATTGCAAATTATTGTGTCTTTGGTTGTAATTACAAAAATAAATTTGTAGGACACAACATATCTTGCTACTATCACAGATACGCAATAAAATTTGAAACTGCATTATGAAATTAGTGGTATCAGTTATCACGATACGTCTGAAGAAGTCCAAAAAATTATCGAAAGGTCACGAACCAGTAACCTACGAGTAATAAGTGAATGTGCCCTGTAGATGCCATGGAGCACTGCTCGTCATGCACAATTTGTTTAGCTCCGGAATTAGTATTACCAGAGTATTACTTGCTAAAGATAGCAAACCATTGTGTTGTATGGTGCAAACAGAATTCGAGCAAGTTCGCTGATGAAATACCTTTGCTGAGTTTAATGCGTACATCATCCAATCCAAAATTTGATTTGCTAATTGTAAGTGCGTTCCTGACGTTGGGCGACTTCAGACAATACTGATTTAACCACTAGATGCTCCCAGACTCCAACCAAAGCCCAAAAATTACAGCCAACGATCCCGATAATCCCGTCAACAAGCAGCAATTTACAAAAAAGCGGAAACCAGCAAAAATATGTAAAACCCATAACAAAATATTGAAACCAGGCAAGGTTTAAACAGCAACTGTCAGCGTCAGAAAATATGCATTAAAATCAACTGAGTAAAAACCATTCAAAACGTTTTCTAAAAAAACTACTTCCAACAAGGTGGACAGAATACACAAATCCGGGTAACAGCCAAACAGGCAATACACTACATCGGAGCCGTCTTCCATCCCAAAACCTGCCGATCAAACCCACACGTCAACAAATTTACATCCAACCCTCCACCGGCCGGCGATCCGGATGGCTGATCATCCAACCAGCTCGCGGAAGTCACCATTCTCTGGTGCCCCTGACGTTTCGCTCGCGGTAACCGGGTGAGCTTTCCCGTATTAATGGCATACAACGCGATATTGCGATTATCCAACGGACAACACACTACCATGCCATCCGACACCGACAGCCGATTCACTCCGCCTTCCATCCGCACCGAGGCCTTTGGCGCGCGCATATTCCTCAAATCCCACACCCGTAGAAATTTGTCGTCTCCACCTGAGACAATACTCTCTCCACTGGGCGTAAATACTGCACAGTTAACGGCATCTGAATGGCCCTGAAACACACTGACCGACTGTAGATTTGGCTCCCGCAAATCCCACAATCGGAACGTTGTGTCTTTCGAGCAAGTGACGAACAATTTCTGTGGACGCGAGACTGCAACATACGTCAACTCGTCATCATGTCCAGCAAAACTATTCAAATTGTCCCCGGTTTCAATGTCGAACACGATGGCCGAACGATCCCATGACGCAGTGATAACCTGATGGGCACCGGATACCCATTCGGCACAGCTGACAGCGCTGGTATGTGAGCGGAACACCATTAGGGGGTAGTTGACCAGCATTTTGGTAGGTTTGCTAGTCTGGTGAATCGTGGACGGATTATCGGTGTCCGTGGTCTTCTCTTCGTCGGACTCGCGTGATGATTCAGCTAATTGGGCGGATGTGATCTTCCAGACATGAGCTGTCTGATCACCAGATGCTGTCAGGACTAGCAGACTATCACCGGCACTGACGCGCACCGGCTGAAACCGGATGGAGTTCACTGAGCCATCATGACCTTGGTACTGCATTAGGCAGTGCCCACTTTTCGCATTCCATATACAGGCCGTGCGGTCCGCTGAAGCGCTCCCTGTAAGGATACTTATTTCGATTAGCCTTAATATGTAGTATCGCGTACCGTTTTAAACCAAACAAATTCAACTATATGAACTTTGTTCTGGGTTCGCCGCTTTTTATTTTCGAGTAGATACTAGTAGAGCAGTAATATCTTCAGAACACACGCACGCACAGAAAGGTTACAAAACAATATTTACAACAGGACCTGCAATATTAGACGTTAAACAAGTGTCATAGCACTAGCCACAATGTAAATTAACGCACATTTAATATTGATGCATACAAAAGGGTCAATTCTTGAGTAACAGTTATGTATGAGCCTATGAGGGCTATGACCACTTCATTCCTTAATAATTGTAATAAACATTTTATGTGCGATGGGGTGTTGTACAAAACCACAAAAGGCTACTGACAATTGTACGAGGATACCTATGCGAAATTCAAAAAACTGCAATTGCATTATTTTAGTATATACAACGCTCCCAACCAGGACAGTCGTCGTCTACTGCCACTGTTTTCAAGGCACAACCGCAAACACTTCTTAGATATCCGTATATGAAAGATGCAGTGAAAAGTGAAAACGATACTCACTAAGCAAATATCTGGTTGCAAAAAAATCGTTTGCTAAGGAAACCCAATCTCGAACGTTGAATTAAGATTTTGGCTGAGCATTCAAAATCGGCAACCAGTTCCATTTCTATTGTTGCCGTAAATAATCTTTTATGCGGACGATGGCGCGAATGCGTATCACGCAAGAAGCCAGAAAATAATGCAAAAATAAAAACTATCAGACTTTTAAAAATGGGGTCGGGCCTCTGCAGTGTATCCAAAGAAGTTAAACGTGAGTTATGTGGCCTGATGGATACAGGATAGATATTTCGTGGAAGAAACTTCTGCCTCTCAAAAAACACAGGAACAACCAAATGTAAGAAATACAATCCTGCAAATTTGCGATTTTAAGCATCCAAATTTCTAAGACACGTACGTACGTTATTATTATTCAACTTTGTAACTTATGCTACGCTATACTGTACTTTAACGAAATTAGTTTCTAAAAATTTCTCTAATTAGAAATTAGTCTCTTTAATGAAAATTATGAAATTAGTCTCTAAAATTATGGATTTGACAAAACATCATACCACAGCAACAAAAAAATGACATAATGTCATAAGAAAACGACGTATTTTATGTCGGCACGGACATGCAACGGAAAACATCTTATTTTCCCAGGATCATCGACAATGCCGCAAAAGCACGAACAGTGGTCACAATTAACCAAAATTGTCATCATAATGTACAGGCTTCCTACCTGGGTAACCACAACATATTTGAATCTCATGAAAATCAGCCCAAGCGTAAACTGCACCCAACTACGCCTATTTATTGACCTAATCAACAAGGTGACACTTAAAACCGCTTCGTTTTTCTCTAACCGCAATTACCCGTACTTCGTATATCATACGACAAACAATAATTCTGTTTCGAATTTCCAAAAACACGTGCATAAATATTAATTTCGTTTCCATTTATAGGCAATACTATTGCTAAATAACTGTCATAGGTGTCAGAACTGTTTTACACAGTCATCACTCTTAGCCCTTACTGTTAAGAGTAAAGGGCACTATCACTCCAGATTATTATACCGTTCCGCACTACCGACAGAACAAATCAGAAATTACTTGCTTAATCACATAAGTAAAAATCATGGAAGTAATCACATAAGTAAAAATCATGGAACCACCTTGATGGAACCATCCAATTGTGTTTTGGATGCACGCGCCAATGCGTGTGAAATAGCCCGGCGTAACCGGTTAAAAATTGGTAAACTGCTAATATTAATTTTACCGCTGATTAATGCCATTCAGAACCCTTGATATGCTCAAACTGTAATGCAGAGCACAATTTATACCGGCCTTACCAAAAACGGTGTAGGGACATGTGGAAAATTTGGGCGCCGCTATGTCCCAGACGCCATCATTATGGCGAGCATAACTGCGTACTATCTGCGCTTCCGTAGTTGGCACATTCCTCAGCCGTGATGTCGCCGATGCAATCTTGCGGCGCGAAGTGGTTTTAAATTTTTGTAATTGCTCCTCCTTGAGTATCTTTAGTTTGTGGAATGAATTATCCACTGAACTGGTTTGCGGTGGCGAATGAGTATCATCATTGGACACCATGTGAGAATGCACAAATTTTGACGAAGGCGTTAATCCGGTCGTCATAAGACGCGAAGGTTGCGGCTGCTGTTGCTGCTGCGTCTGATACGAGCCACTTAACACGCTACTCGATCCTTCGTTGCAGATTCCGGCTTGTTGCGTAAGTTGAGCAATTTGTAGTCTAAGTCGAGCATTTTCCTTAACAACTTTATCATATTCTTCAGCTACGGAACCCAATAGATGAATAAGACGATCCCGACAGATTTCCGACCCCGACGACGCAGCATGGGAATTGAAAGGCCCGGCTAATGATGGCTCAGGGGCTTGGTTGTTTATTGATACGCCATTGTTCGGCAAAAAGGAGTCGGGACGTGAAATTGAATTTTTCATCCCGCTGCCGGATTGCAAAGGGACACTTTGAACAGGTGGCTTACCCGAAATACCCTGAGATCGCCGCCTGACAGGAACAGGGTCCATCCTAGTCAAAAAGCAAAACTGAATGCATGCTGTTTCTTGGCAATCGGCAGAATGTTTATTTACGAGAATTAAAAGACGAAAACCTCATATGACCACATACAACTATCTGATCAGCCGTAAAATTACTCAAGTGTGTTGTAAAGTTATCAATCAGCAATAAAATCACTGAGGCAAATTTTTAATTAAAAAACCTTGTCACGCAAGAACAATTCACAGAAAAAGAAAATGGAACGTGCTGCCAATAATTTCACTTTGTCACGCATCCATAAATATTAACGTAGACCAATCCCTGTGTAATCCCTTTTACCAAAACAAAATAGTAAGGTATATAAATGTGTTCAAAATTCAGGTTGCTTTTAATTTCGTTCTGTTGAAAGCTCCATCTACTGTGTGTCTGTGAAATGCCAGCATCAACCATTACTAATAGCTACCAGATTGACAATTCGGAGAAAAACAACCTCCTAACTCAAATAAATCGATATCGGACTGATCATTAGACTTACGACTGTTCATCTTCATTATCTCTCTAAACAGCAGGTCGGCAGCAAAAATATTACTCTAACTGCAGCGTTAATCCAGACAACTAATCTTTGTTTTAATTAAATACTGACGTAAACGATAAATCCCGCTTGCAAAATTTCCCTTGTATGTGTTTCAGAAACAAATGAAAAACTAATAGTAATCAGAGAATTCTAACGCAAGCTGAGCATGCTAAGAATTACGCTTGATAACAGAAACACGGATTTATCATTAACTTCAAACCCATTTATATCGTATATCAAGCTCCTTAAAAATAAAATGCCTGAGAATGCATCCGAAAAAAGAACCAAACTGCCAGGGCTAGCCACCGCCTCTACCGGTATTTGTTATTTTCACCTGTATAATGTATTATGAGTGCAAAAATTGTGCACTCACGAGCAAAATTTAATACTGTAATATTATTCAACCCCTGTTCACTATCACAAATTATCCTTCTTTCTTTTGTTACTGGCAAGTTTCGCATTTAGATTTTTATAGTAGACCTGCTGATTACCCTAATAAATCTATCGTAACAGCATAGAGAATTACAGTACCAGTGGTCCAGTACATGGCAGTAGTACCATAATAAAACAGTTGGGAGCCTACTTATGAATATTTATTTTATTTGCTTATCGATAAGCAGAAATATCAGGACACAATCGTAAATCGCTCAGCTGTTTTAAAATTTCTGGCAAAGTAAGATAACAATCATGTCTTACTCACCTGGCAATCAAACTGCACTTTTCTGCACATCACCGTCATCACGATTCATATCGGAAGGTAAACAACAAAGCGTTTTTCCGAACATTCTATGCCGATTACCATCTGGTACGGTGGAAAGATACAGGAAATTGCAGTTCACAATATTGTGACAATAATAAGGAAATCAAACGGCAATCTTAATTCAGGAAAACGGTCGTAAACTCCTAATCTTTCTTCAAACAGTCAAACAGATGCATATATCCGCAAACGCATGAGGCAGGATTGTCGACAAGAAAGAAAGTCGATGTTTGTTGTTAAACAAAGGCCCGGCGGGATCAACACAGCAAAGTTTACTGAAGAATGTGTAATATTTTATGCATCAAATATCAGTCAATCACAATTGAAAATGAACAGCGCAGAAAATCACTTCTTGGTTCACGAGCTGTTGCAACATCTGCGTAATCGCACTTCGTCATATGAGCGAATACGAAGAGTCGTGCGTGAGATTCCCTCAAAAGGCCCGAAAGATCAATGAGACTGGGGCTAATGCTACACTGCACTAGTAGGAATATTTGAAATGAAGCACTAACAGGCAGAGCCACAGGAGAAGTAAAGGGGATACAGGAGAACAGCAACTAGCAAGTACTAGTATTGCGACGGCGCAGAACCACATAGAACCCACACTGACGATCGTGAATGAAGTGAGTTACGGATGCGCGATTCTGGTCATACGTACCGTGACGTGCGGTAGAAAATACGTTGCTATTTGAAATGCATAAAATTTAATGCTACCTGTATCTGACCGTGAGTAAAAACTTCAAGGAAAGGAAAAAAATTTTAACTTGATATCGAGATAGTTAAATTTCTGCATTTAATTTCAAACACTGTTATTTAAATTTTGATAGTTCAAGTCCCTTGTGAATTTAAAAAAAAGCGCTTTACGTCATTATTACATCGCGTATTACATAAGTAACAAAAACAAATATCCAGAACAGCTAATTTAAAGGCAAAATACTAGCTAGTACACATCTTCCTTCTCAACCACGTCACTAGTACTAAAGGTACCGAGAACAGATACTGCATTTCCTCTCTGAATCTCGATACAAATTCTCTGACGCAAAAACTCCCCTGAGCGAGGGTTGCCTGTACAGTCACAAATCTTTCGCGACAAATCTTTAAAGAACTTCTTCGTCAGCGGTTCAAATGTTCCCGTAGTTTCGAAGGCCAGCGGTTGAACAATGTAGCGGTCTGCCAGCCCGCTATACTTTCCTAACTTCCGGTTTTCACGTATTTCCGCTGCACTTCCCGGCACCCTGGACGTCTGGGCGATGTACGTTTGGGCAAATGTGTCTGCCACGGTAACATCCCACACTAGCGGCTTTCCATTCTTCCATGGGAAACCTGTCACTCCGTCGGGCCGCTTTCCATCGCCTCTGTCTAAGCCTACCGGCTCGAGTGACGAAGGTACTTTTGCCGAACGCAGCGCTCGCTTGGTTGCTTCGTTCAAGACGGCGTGAACACCGTGCCTTCCTTTCGCCAGTTTGCAAACCAGTCCATGGTGTCCAAAACTGTCTAGCTGTACGGTACTGCCGCACCGACACACATGCATCTGACATACTGGAGCTCCCAACCGTCGTGCCGCGGCAATTTGTAAGTGAGCATCCTCCAGTAAATTTCCGAATTTAAAAAAAAACAACCACACAAAACCCACTGTTTTAAGTAAAAATGGCTGTGATTGGAATTTCTTCGCTAAGTTTGCTTCAAGTCAGGGCGTCTGACTGACCGGAAACGCCGCACGGCTGCGCCCACGAAGAATGCAACCCGTTGCTCGAGTTACCGCAAAGTGCACTGCCTAGTGCAAAGCGACGCTTAGAAATTTTGATCGACATCCGTCAATTCCTAATTCCTCAGTACACTTCCCAAAAAAACAGAGCTGTGTTAAGGATTAAGGAAGCATACTGCTCCCTGTACTAAATGTGCTGTATACTGTACTCACATTATCAGAACTGCAATTCTGTGCCTAACACACAATATTAATAACAATAATTATTTATCTTTTACGAGTAGCAGAAATAAAACACCAGTATGCACTACTGCAGGCGGGCCGTGGCCCGTGGGTGCGTTCACATCATTACTCGTACTGAACATGTTAAAGAAACAAAAATTCTGTGAATGCAAATCACAGTGCAATGATCTTATCTGCAATGGATAGCGGAATGCACAGTGCATATAAAAAACCGATAAGGACGTCCACTGTCCAAATACCGTACAAAACTACCTACAAAAGAGCTTTCGACGGTATCCGCGATCCAGTTGCACCATCCCCTACAGTACTGTTCTTTCTTGCACTGAATACAATACAGTTTTAGCGTCCTTATTTACAATAGAATGGTGGCCAAACAATAAGCAGAATCGCACTATGCACACCAAATCACAGAAGAACCGGTACAAAGAAATAACCGCGCCAACCGACGCTTTTTGCCAAAAGTGCTAACCGTCAGGCCAGAAGGTTATCAAATTGTTAATGGGCCGAAAGAAATCCGCAGTTATATCTTGCTTTCGTTTTCGGGAGTAAAATAGTTTATATAATTGATGATCCATTCAGATTCGTCCAGATTAATACCTTTGCTGAAATTTCTCGAAAACCTGGAAGAAACGATAAGTAACAGCATCCAACAGCGCGACAAAAAGTCATGTACCGGTAAGTCACCTGAAATTCCCAAAAAGAAACCTGTCGGTGTTTTTTTGCAGATCCTGTACATCAATGTTTTGCTTTTGCAACTCACGGAATCCACGCAAAGTATGAAATACTGCCATAATTTCCACCCAGCGTTGTTCGGCTACAATAAAGCGTAATAACACTTACTATTACGCTTAATACTGTGAAGTACGTATAAATGCTGTAGTAAACTGCAAAAAAAAACGACTAAAACAATTTTTTGCTTGCACTCGAGCAACTTAGTGAACTTGCATCGATACCACTTAAATTTAATCATTTTTCCTATAAGTCCACTAAACCTACCGAAAAAAACTATGAGCAAAACTCAAAAGCCAACCTATTACGGCGACTTACACGTTTTTTCTGGCATTATAATCCCCACTTGGTAAATGAAACTGAGATATATATCGGATTCATCCAGTTTGAATTTTTGACGGTCTTCCGCAGTCCACGTCGCTGCAGCCTTTTTCAAACCATCCTGGACCTATAAAGGATAACGTTGACATGACATGTGGCATTTTGCTTTCTAACGGATTCAAGACGATAACCAACATTATCGCAAAGCGCTACACTGCTACAGTGAGCAAATTTTCGTAGGCACCTCGTCAGTCACCAAGCCTTTCAAAGACTCCGCATCCCCTTCGGAAAGCCGCTCAGATACGCTCAGAAATGCCTGCAAAAAACAGATACACCAGATAACTCCCACGACCGTGCTATTTAATAAGCCTACGCGAACATTTGCGTACCTGTCGTGCGCCTCGGTCAAAATTTTGCAAGGAAAACTCTCGATCGAAATGAGGACGAATAATGAACGCCGTCTGGACCCAGTTCCGCACACTGTTAAAGAACGAAGGCCAAACGATCTTCTTCGCTCCTGGCATAATTCGCGTGATAACCATTCTGCCTTATTTATAGGTAACACTTTCCACTGGGAAAGTGATGTCAACAATAAGAAACCAGAAAAATTGTAAGTTTCTGCCTTTTTGGATGCAGGCTAGAATTGAGCCATTATGGTGTGCGGTTTATTATGGTTTGCTTGAGCCTTGAGTGTGCTTCGAAACCCACGGAATGGCAACACTGGGCGGCGGTAGGCACTGTTGTCAAAAATGAAAACGGCCAGTGAGTGCCCAACTGCCCATTGCCTCAAACTGGGTTTCTTCAGATGGAAGTCACTTCAACAACAGACTCTTCGTAATGTTCTGTAACGTACAGAGCGTTTGCACCTCGTGGTTTGTGACAGCGTGCTAATTTATGAAAATTCTTCAAGGAACTCAATGGGTACTTTTGACCTCTAGAACACCTTAAACTTGGAATCTCCAAGACTTATCAGTTATCACTATTTATCGTATTTAGAAAACCGCAAAATGCGAAAGCGGCTTAGTGTGTGAAATCGCAAACGTTTTGTGGCAAGTATAACAAGTTCACTATTAACTGTAAGAAGTGTTCCCATTGTAAAGCATATCTCCATAGGAAATCCAACGGCTACTTATCGTAAGAGTACAGTACTACAGAAATACTGACGGTGAGTATGATACAGAAATAAATTTACTCCAAAGAACTGGTCAGTAACAATCAACAACTCATACCGACAGCGGTACTGCAGTACTGACACGTTACAGTTAAATATACAAATACATAAAACAACCCAATATAGTCAAAGATCAATAAATTCGAAAAAACACAATCGAAGTTTTAACTGGCGGTAACAATCAAATTAATGGAAAGCAATTCACCCACCGTCCCCAGCCAAATCGTGCCAGTAAAAATAATCATTAAATACTCGTAACCAAAAACACGGTTGTACCACAAAAACCAATACTATATCAACATAGCAGACTCCGCAAAGTGACCAGATTTTTAAAAAAGATCATACATATCTATCAGTTGCCGAGCGGAATGAAAACTGGTTTGTCATCATGTCATCACAGGTTGATCGTATGGAGCCATCCCCATAGCCCGACCTGGTCAACCTGTTCGAAATATTACTGAAAAACGAAAAAATATTATTCCTTTGTGGTAATGAGCGGGAGCGAATGTGCCGACTTCGGTTAATCGAAGACTTTGTGGAAGGAGGCGACAGCATATCGGAAGAAGAATAATCGGGAGAATCACGAATCTGAAGCAAATCAATATCTTTCTCATTGCAGAAAGTTTCCGCACGATCCCTTTGCTGTGATAATAATAATCTATCTCTGACATAGGAAGTGTGTTCGGAATCGGAAAACTGCACGGCACTCTTTGGCACAAGATCATCACTGCTAACCACAACAGGTGTCCCATAGACTTCCTCCATCGGGGTCTTAACTAGCTCAGCATGACCACCCCATTTCAGTCGATAAAAACCACTTTTCCATTGTATCCGGGGGTTGAGGATGGCCTTAGCAAACATTAAGAAGCATGTCGCTTCCCGGAAGATCCAGCTGATTATAAAATCCAGCTTGCTATACTTCAGTCGCCCATTCTACAAATTTTGCCACTGTATTTATGTCACACTGAATATGTTTTTACACCCTCTAGACCAAAACAGCAAAATACGAACCTGAACAACGTTGAGCAAAATCCAGTCAAGCAGAAACCATGTTATAACATGCACCAGAAAGACACCTAGGGCTGACAGGGCGAACAGGAAAGATACAGCGAATGATGCGATGAGTCCCAGTAATAAGCACTCCTGGAATGGTTCCAACAATGTGGCAACTGGCACCATTGCAAACCGCAACTTTGCCCACCTAATAACGTGGTCAACTTCGTAAATACGCAGAATGATGTTGAACAATTTCTAGCCGTCTGGGGAAACCTTTCTCAAGAAGCTAACCCAATGCGCCAGGGTGCAACAACAATATTTTCCCAGACAACTGGTTAAACATTTAACCGAAGTTTCTTTATAGCGGGGAATCACTAAGTTAGATATAAACTATAAAGTAATGATCAGAGAACACAGGTTCTTACCGCTCAAGGCGACCTTGAAAATGTGCAAGATGGCAAACAGCGGAATTCTGCCAAGCGGGCTGAGAAGAAATGCATACAACCCAACCCTGATCGGTCATGGCTTTAGCGAAAAAATAATCTTCTGCAAGGTACTGTCCAAACGCTCCCATTCCGCCTTTATTTTCCAAGAGGTTCTTGCGCATCAGAGCTGACATGCCCGTTGGGCAGTTTATGCCCACGCAATCCGCTGACAGGTAGATGCGGGCATGTGCAGTTCCAAAGTAAACCTGCAGTGTGGGATGACATTGCAATTATGTTGTAAACATCCACATTAATTCCAGCTTCAGTTATGACTCTTCAACGTATTAATGATGGCATCTGTTAGCATTAACTGTAAACTCGCAATCAGTATTACGATGCGAAAACGCAGCGATACCTAATCAATGTTATCAACATCTATTACCACACTAATATTAACAATATGATCCTGATTAAGCATAAGTTACTCGAAGTACAAATGACAAAAGTAGTTGCTTTATTTGCCTTTTCTAAACACGCGGGAAAGCCCAGCTCGTCTCGATCTAAGCAGAAAGGCATCTGATGCACTAATCCGACGCCATGAGAAGGTCCACGATTACGGAGCCAATTCCACAGGCGGCGCAAACGACTTTCTGGCTGATCCCGGTCCATTTCGGGTTTCAGCATCGTGTAAACCATATCCAGTAACGTATCATCGCGCACTGCGATAATTCATAAATCAGTTATGTAAAAAAGCGAACATCTGGTAGCTAACGCCGGTTATCAGAGCACTGCCTTGCACGAAGTACTGATGCTCTCCCAACCATACAATGCACTCGGTACACGTCATGCGGCAGCCAGTTTCAGGAAGCGTAAAGTAACTACCTGACACCTTTGACTGAAAACCGGATTCCACAACAAAAACCCACCTACTCGAAATTCCACTGTCGGAAACAAGAACCAGCTCGTATTTCGAAGCACGATATCCTGGCATCATGTTGTTGATTTTTGGATTGACACCAACATGTTCGCCACCTGTGAAGCCATTAATATGCAAGTTTCTGGTCAAATCAGTAAGTAGCAAATGCCTCCAACTTATGGTTAGGTATGTGATTGTTAGTAGAGACTAAACCAGCACTGTATCAATCTATCATGCTTTTAAACAGCATCACCCTTTTATTTTGAGACATGCAAATGTTGTATTAATTAAATTACAAGCGAACTTGATACCTTAGAATTACTGCTCGAATTATGTAGACGACGCTAACAACACTTACCAATAAATATTCGCGCATCCACACAGGGATACTTTTTCATTAGGCTTTGCACAATCATCACAGCAGGGTCCGATTCATCCGTCACACAAAACAGCAGCTCGAACTGGGGAAGAAAAAATATGCATAAAAATCAGAACAAAAAGAAACGAGAAATAAAGCGACAAATTAATTCAACAAAGAGATTTTTTAAATTATTTTTTTGAGAATTCGCAGCGTTGCGATTACAGTTATCCGTTCCACCATTAGTGCCTATTTTCGCTTGCATACCACTGCTACCAGAGCATATAGATTGTAATGTTTTCACGGTACAAATGGCAGTTTAAAGCTACTGTGCAAGCTAAAACAATACACACAATAATTATATTCTCACTCTCACAAGTCAGCTCATAAAAAGGCTTGATGAATATTATTAGTAATAGCAAAAATAAGAGTGAGTGAGACACTGATACGATATCAACTATCAAGTGTTGACATAAGCAGAGGAAATGACTAAAAGCACATAGCGATCAGCTAGTCTGTACTTGACATGGAATATATCCCTTGTCAAGCACGCACTAGATTTTCTTCCTAATCCTCCATTACGCACTAACCTTTGGATACGACATGACGAAAAACGACTCCAAATTATGCATTAAATACTGATCAATGCCAACCAGTGGTTTCAGGATAGATACACCGGGCAGCAGATCGCCACTAAACAGGGTATAAATGTTTTCCTTCTCCTGACCAGCGACTTCCACTTGAACGATAGTATGCGATGTTGCAGAGTGCTGTGCAGGTATTTGACTAGGATCACGTTTGGCTGAGTCGGTGCGGTTTTGACTGTTATCACTGGCATCCAACAAGGATGAACCAGAAAAACTGCCAACTGCATTATGGCCGACCTTGGCACTGGACGATTTTAAGCGCACTGGTTTTGCCGGTCGACCGGGAATCTGGAAAGCTGATGAGCGATGCAACCGCCATTTCCTACAACATGATAAAAATAACGTAGACTTACAAGAGATATCAATCAGTTTTTTGCACAATGTCCATAATGGCTTGCCGTCTACTGACTATTTGCATAGCTGCATGCCAGACATGCGACATAACATCGGCATGATACAGAATACAGATGTTATGCATCTGCGTTCGGTGGCTGTAGAAGTCATCAGGCGCACTTTGTTCAGCTTATTATTGGGATACGGTTGCGGCTTGCTATTAAAGCGCAGCATCAGGCAGTAGAGACTGCAACTCCCATTTCAGCCAGCTATCATCCCGAATCGCTCATGTGCAAAATGCGTCCGTGTGTTGATATCATGGAATATCACAAATAAACTATGCTCCACTAGCCATAAGCCCATAACTACTGTCAAGAAATGGCAAAAACGATGGAAGCTGAAATCACCGAGCTAGCAAATGGAAGCACACAAAAATAAACGCTAACTATAGATACTAATGGAAAACAACATTTAGACGAAAAATAATATTTCCCTCCCTAACAACTACGAAGACAAGAAGATATCCTGTCCAACTTTTATAAAGACTGTTGCAAAAAAAACTACCTATACTCGCATCAACTATTTTAGAATAATCATAAATAACACTAAGGATGTACTTAATTATACAGAACTTTAAATAAATTTTCAGAATTTCTTTGGCAGCGTACCAGACGTCAGACCACCATGGATGGACAATAATACCGGCATGGTGCACGTACTAGCAGTAGCCACTAAATAGGCGAAATGCATGAGCGATACGAGTAACAAATATTAATGTATAACTTGCGAACTCATAAACCAGGTCAATATTTACTTCTGTTTATATTTTCAGCAATGCAAGCGAACAGTGCATAAAATGTTAAGTTCAAAATTCAGCAGGGTTCTCCTGTTTTCTGTATAGGAGCATTAATGAACCAGACTCGTCGCGGCTATATCCTGCTTCAGCGGAAGCCGTTACTACAAAAATCGATACGAGTATACATGCCAACAGTTTCGAAGAAAAGTCGAATTTTTCAGTTCTCATTCATTCCTGCTGTGTGACTGTTTCAAAGCACGGCTCTTTTCAATGGCCTATATTGGCTACAAGCCTACACGAGACTCAAAGTAACAACTGGCACGACGATTGCATGCCGAAGCCGACAAGAAAAAAATAATCTATAACCTTCTCGTAGTGTATTCCCTGAGGCCACATTGCACGGTGCGCCCTGCGAGTCTGCTGCCAACACTGTACAGTACTTACCCATACATAATGCCGATCAGATGAAGATGCCAAACGCCAATCCAGAAAACAGTTATGATTATGGAAAGTACCAAGCCCACCACATCAATCAGGGACCCACTGTGATACATTCATATGATGAGAGAGATCTCCTCCCGCCTTCGATCCCGGCCCGGTCGTATTACCGTCCTGTGGCAGCTGCGGCTTGTGCGGCACAGCCTGCTGATCGGGGCACAATAAAATCCAAAGAATCTGCAATCAGGAAACAAACTGCAATAACGTTTCAGAATTCCTGAATGCTTCCGATCACGTTACATTTCACACAAAGCTCAAGCTAAATAATCCCAAATCGCATGCCTACAAAGGCTATTTTACGTATTGGAATCTTTGCTAAATGCGTACTTCCTGACACACGTCACATTTCAGCAGGAAACCAGATAAATGGAATTGTTAAGCAATGTTAACGTTACAAGTGATTCATTGTTTAGATATGCCAAAACGGAAAAAGTCAATAATGCTAAACAGCTAAAAGTAACGCACTACTTATCAACAGCTTACCGGGCGTTAACTGCCGCAGAAAAAAGACGCAGACTATACAAAAAATGGGAAAAACGGATATTTTTTATAAACCACCGGTAACAATTTACCACGAGCGCTGCAGCAAATTTTATTGCACGCTTAGCTATCTGTACACTAGCAAAAGTAATGGTTATTAAAATAAGTGTTTCATGGAACCAAGCCCTCATCGTAAGCGGAACGCTAATAGTACTTTCGGCCCATCATTATGACGCAAAAAGAGCGTAAATGTGAAATAAGGAGACTGTAAACTTTTCATCGAAACCTTCCTCGAATAAAGGGGCCACACCTGCACATAACGTGCCGAACAAGCTTCCAGCCTGGAATACAAATACTGTGTTCCCAACCAGCTAAGCACTTCCCGAATCCGTGGCTCAAAAGAAAACATCGACTGCATGTTCTCTTCAAGTGCCACAATTACGGTTTTAAAATTGGCTTAACGCACGCGATATTCATTATTAAATATATTTATCGACTACTTTCCTATTATGTAGAACAGTCCATTTATGGAAATAATACAATTTCCAGACGTGAAACGCCCAATTCACGAGTAAAACAGACTGCTGCAAACAGATTCGTCAACACGGAAATCGACTTAATGGACTCACCCTGGCACACGTGCGCAAAATAGACCATCAAAACAACCGCAATCAAGGTTGATCAAGCGGTAATTATCTGATCGACAAAGTGCAGAATCCTCCAGCTAACAGTCAATACGGCCAGAAACCAAGCGTACGGGCACAGAGGAAACCTGATCCTTGAGAGGGTGGAAACGCTGATCTACAGTAAATTCTCTATCTGGCACTGCTGGCAATCTATTTGGACTACACACTGCCACTGTCGCTTATCGGTTACTTGCGAGTTTACGATATCTCGCAGCCCCCTTTCTGTCTCTCGCTCTCCGACTAGTACTTAAAATCCTAGCTTATCGCAAAACTGAATGGTTTTTCATTTTTAAATTCTCCCGATAAGGATGCACGTAACAACTATTTATTAAATTCACCGTCTGCGTGCAAAGCACTTACTGACTTACACTGCGGCAGGCAAGGAGTGACGCAACCGAGACGTCCACTTGTGCGCTTTGATCCCTGTTGTTTCGGCCGTAGAAAGGCGATCGCGAAGGCAAACGCCACTCTACAATCAGATCATCCGACTCTTCACCGCAACCCACCACACCGCCGCACTCAGCAGAACAGGGAGAGCATGAACAAGAGGACACCGCAGTTGCTAATCCAGAAAAATGGGAATATTCGTTACAAGGGGAATGATCAGCAATAGTCATCCTTTAGATGAGTCAACGCTACACATCACGCATAATCCAGCATAATTTGGAGCTGAACCGTTGAACGGGATGCTGTCCAAAATTAAGAGGGGATCAACGACTGAGCAGGCCAACTAGAGCAGACCGGAACGCACGAGAAGCTCAGATGCCAATGCCAAGCGCTATCAACGTCCTGCATGCTGTTCCAATGCCACTCACCGTCAACTGATAGTGATTTGGTATACTCCTACACACTTCTGAATCCTAACAAGCTGTGGAAGAACTGAACATGCGGGGTGTAAATAAAGAAAAGAAGAACATAAGCAAAATTGTAAAAAGCTTATTCAGGACAAACCCAAAAAATGCGAACGAGTATGCTCAGCATGGGATCAGTTTTTTAACGGTAGTCTGCCAGCCGTCGACTGAGTCAAGTGCATGCCGTTTGAATGAACTTGAAGTTGACGCTTCCGAAAGTAGTAAATGCAGACAGCTGGCCGGTGTTTCCCCCCTGGCCATCACAATTAGGCAGTAGGCACTTACTGACTTAACATCTTGTCAGGAGTACTACTGATTTCTATGCCTCAATAATTATAGAAAGGAGCACTTTTGCAAAACCAAAATATCTATACTTTGTACCTGTTTTAACGCTGTGCAAATTTTATAAAACCGGTTTTACAAATTGGCCATGAGCAGCATGATGACAATTAATAAAGGATCTTGTGACACCACTGGCGTTTACCCTTCACATGAGGCTACTGCGTCACTGCATACTACTGCAGACAAAAAGAACGTACAAAACGACGACGCTGCAGGGCCGCAGGCTGGCGGCGGACTTTCCGGTCTAAACAATTAAAGGTCAGCTTTATACCTGCGTACATATTTCTTCGTTGTTGTAACTTTCATGTTTCTTCTTAGGTGTAACTTTTAATTTTATCTATATGGACATTCATGATTGAAATGATGGCATGCACGTGTATATTTGCCGTTTATGTTATTCAATGTTAATCGGTTACCTCTCTAACTGCTTTTAAAAAAGGGGCCATTTGGATTTTGGAGTAAGGGACACGTGTAGTGCCTAGTCTGCCGACATCCTGAGCACGCACGTTTCAGTATAAATGCAATTATTATTTATTATAAGTTAAGTATAACATAGTTATGCAGGAAATGCCAATTTAATGCATTATGGAATTAAAATATGGATGCCTTTATTTCGTCTAGTTTATAACCTCTGTTCAAGTCTGTTGTAGTGCATAGATTACACAATAACATATTAAACATTATAACTATGTGAAATTAAATTGTGTTAATGCTGTTTTCTATCCAGTTAGAGTAGTTTGTTATCCTTGTGTAAACACCGGGAACACCGACTTTGCCACAATCAACTCCCCAAGTCACCACTCCATAAAGCACAAAGATACTTCCCAATCCAGGTGAACTAGCGCCAGGACCGTCGCCGTTGGCGTTTAGCGGACAAACAAGTGGACCACCGCCATCATACTGCAATTATAAACCATTTTCCCGTCCTTTTTTCATCAGGCCAAATAGAAATAGGTACGTGTAAATGGTAAGTCATTCGGCTCCAAGAGTATTAATTCTAGCGGTTGAAGTGGACTTAAAATAGTCCGCAACGTATTTACTGTAAGATTTTTTTATTTTATAGCAAAGCGGTGGTGGCAGAAATAATTCTGCTTGTAGTTGTTACAAATTAAAGTAACGATAATTATCAATCGTAACAATACTTACTTCACATCCATCAGACAAGCCTTCCCCACCAGCACAAAAGAACGTATCAGGCAGCATAAATTTGTTTCCCAGCAGTCCTTGCAGAATGTTGCTGCACTGGTCATTACTGATTAAAGGAACCGGGACTTCTTTCATACGCATGATTGGGAATTCGTCTCTACTTTCCAACTTCCCATAGCCTGTTGTTACGCATCTTCCGTTCGGACTGCCTCGCGCAAACATACTTTCCATTTCAGTATGACTGTTGCTGGACATTAAGCATACACTGCAGATACGATCGCGATTCGTCGGGGCATCCGAATCCAGAGTTAGAATGGCTAAGTTATGCTAAAATTCATATGAAAAAGTTTTGCACAGCTGTCAGTTTTATAGCAAATTATTAAATTTCCTTACAAATTTTTAAAAATTCATGGTATCAATCACGATAGCAAACCCTTTACAATTAGTCATTCCTGTTGCTGTGTAAAACCGTAGGGACTGTGAATACAATAATACTAGTTACCGCTCCGGCGCCTGGTTGAACTGTATTTACCACTAATTATTCCAGTACCTGAAATGGGCTCTGTCCGGTATAGTCTGGATGTATCAAAATCTTGGAGACTTTGATATCGATTAAGTCTTCATTATCATCCTAAAAAAATTTGCATATAGTTTCGCCACATAAACTACATTGCTGAGCTCATTGCTAGTGTTGAAGTATGCAGTTATTTAAGTGGTGTTAACAAATTTCTGTACGGCTTTCTCTATTTTCTATTTCTCTATATGTACACGGCTTTTCTCTATTTATAATTAAAGTTTTTTCAGCACACGCAGTTTAGCATAGTCTGGGAAAGATCCTGAAATTTGCTAATCTTATGGCAACTCAACAAGAATTTCTCACCGATGACCGAAGGTTAGTGTCTCCCAATCGGATTAATAGTGTGGCCGGTGTGCTTTTTTGGACACAGTGAGCAACCGTTAATACGTGCCGATTGTTAAGCACTATCCCTCCACATTTGAAAGTCAAATTGTTATCCATCACAGCGGCCTGAATTAATAACGGAAAGATAAATGTTGCGTATGTTTTAGTTTATTAATTTGCGGTATAGGAAAGATTTCCTTGAACTGTAATACAGAGCACTTAAGCTTGGCTAAAAAATTACCACGCGCGCTGATAATGTAATTCAAATTATACATAACGTTTGTAGTTTGTACCATACGTTTTTTGTATACAATATTATGTATTTCCACTTCGACCTAATAATAATCTGATCTTTCGTAGTGACAACTGTATGATATTCTAGCCACACTGACCTGCCAACACCATTTGCCTGTCGGGGATAGTTGTGTATCTCTAGGACCCGTCCTGGTGATCTCCCGGAAATTTGTATTTATGCGTCCACAGCTGGCGAAATCCGCACTGGAGGAACGAATGGGTGGCGCCGCCAACGATGCCGGTTGCACTTGCACTGCGACATTATTAAGGGTCACCGGTCCCTGGGTTGTTGTCGTAGGAAGAACTTCCGTAATCGGCAGACTTTGAATTTTGCTGGGTATGGCTGTATTGCTCCCGGCACATGGCAAGGTGCAACATCCGTAATCACTTAACATTGTATGGCTGCAGCTTTTTGTCGGATTCGGATCGAGAATGGCACCACTGACCATATAAGAACAGTAGGGTTCTGGTAAACAAACTCCTAATGTTCCTGCCGAACTAATGCAGGTGTAGAAATCAAGAAATCCTGCAACAGCCGCTAATGAGTCATAACAGGCGATATTTTTATCATTCCCCGTACATATATACGACTGAATTAATTGAAGGCGTTGCTAGCTCATCTGGAAAACCATCAACTGGAAAAACTCAGGAACAGTTATCTACCTATATGCACAACAGAAAATTCTGACAGAATAAAAGCTTATAAGTTTAAAGAATTTTGCAGTAGACCCATTTTGAGTGCACTGGCAATTTCTGCCACATGTACAGTCTATCCTAACATGCAGGATTAAAAATACCTGGTTTATGTACTCTCAAGTAACATTTTAATTAAATCATAACGCTGCAATTATTTTAGGCCATCTTGCTTAATTTACAAGTTTAGGAACAATTTTAAGAAAGGAATATACCCTGACAATATTACTTACGTGGAATCCGCAGATTAGAGGGGTTCAGGCTGTGGGTAGGATGCAGAAAATCAAGATGGTCATTAAAATCCCCTTTTGCAAATATAGTGATAAACATATTACAAAATAACAGGCCAGCGAAAAAATACAGCATTGTCGCACCGTTTACGATGACCATCCCAGCGGTAACTGAGATGCGGCAGTAAGAATGAAATTTCTGCTGAATGTCGACTTGAATTTTAAAAGAAGTTTAAAAATTATGAAAAGGGCCAGGGGATGTCAACAATAGTTTAATGTATTGCCTACATTAAACACAGCACAGCAGCGTAACAGCAGAGCTTAAAGGGAAAAAACATACAGTAGTTAAATGCATACTCGGCAATCAATAAATATTTTACTATTGTAGGCTTGTCGTTGTAGTAAATGAAGCGGTGTAAAGGACACAATCTGCAATATTCGTTATTCAAACATACATAAACACCTAAAAAAGCGTTAAATGCAGCGCCACAAGGTTTTCTTGAAAGAAAAAGTTTCAAACGAAAATATAATACGCACGATATGCAGGTTGATCATATAAAGATCTTTGTCCGAAAGATTGTCATGGTGTGTAACTGGACTGCGTTAATATAAACCGTGTAGCAACTAGCAAGGTCATAAACCTCGAAGCTCTTTTCTAACTTGAACTTTCTTGCCATTCGTTTTCTTATGTAATTATGAAGACGTTAAACAGAACTGCTGTTTTTAATCAATATTCAGTGATGATCAAACTGTGTAAACGTATACAGTTGAACATAAACAAGCCGCTCATACACTTGTATATGATAGAATAGATTACATGGTGAAACTGGTGGCATGTGGCGTTGCATAGTGTTTAATCCGTGTTCCAATGTTTCAAAGGTGAGTTAGCGGAAAACCACAAATTAGCAGTGTACCTAAATTTTGTAGTTTCTGGAAAGAAGGATAATTCCTTTCCAGGTCGTTTTTACATTGCTGGTAAGTAGTAATTACAACTACAATCGTGCTGCTTTTAAAAGCAGCGGTCAAGTATTGTAACTGGTGATTATTAACGCCAAACATTGCATCGACTTATACAAACGGTACTTATCATTCTTCTTGTTCTTCTGTCGTACTTGGTTATGCGCTTTATGAACGACTTTTAGAAATTGTACCGTTTAAACCTATCATATCACACTGAACTATAGTTCACACGTACAATTAAAGTTTGGCGGAGCATTGCTACAATCTACAGAGTGTTTCAATTATTTTGTTATGTAAAATTAAAAGAATGTTTTAGTCTTCGAAATCGTCCTTATCATTTCCTGTTCTAAAGCTCAAAAATAAATCTCGAAGTGCAAATTAAAAATTAGTTATTAACATCATGTGAAAACACTATGGTGTTTCCAAGGCAATCAACAAATTTCGTAATACTTCTCCTCTGGAATGCACTCTCTTGCAGAATGCAAAATAATTCAAGTATAAAGCCAAATCGCACCATACAACTGTATTTACAAAATGGTTTTTGTGTAATAAGGAATTATTGATGTTTTTAAATTTTTTTAATTGTGCAATATCGAAACGTAAAAAAATACTGCAGAACTTATGCTTGCCGCTGTCAGTATACATATCTGTTGCCCGCGTTTTGCGTAATAATTTTGTGATATCTGTCTAAACACACAGTATTTGCAGTTTATGTAAATGACCTAGCCATACTATCTGATACCATCTGACATACTCCTACGAAATCTGAAGTATTTTCGCTAATCTCTCATACTGGATTTGTGGTATGGGAAATTCAAAGAAAGACGAACAATATGACTATCTTTTTAAAGGTGACAATTACTTAGTACTTGTTAGCAATTTACATGTGTCTGATTACATACCCAGCCCATGCATCAATAGGTACAAATAGCTGCGTTTGCAGCGTTTACTTTGTACTACAAAAAGGGGACATTACATTAACGTTCTATTTTTATGTAAATTTGAAAAAAGTAAATTTACTGTTTCTTCTTGTTTGTTATTGTACAGTACAATTGTACGCTCCCACGCCACGGTAAAACTACACGTTTCTATACATTTTTGATATGATCAGCTGTGCCGCTGTGTGAAACCGTTTGCTCCATTTTTTATTGTAGTTGTTCTGGTTGGAGATTCAGGGGTTGGTAAAACAAACTTGGTGTCTCGATTTGCCCGGAATGAATTTTCGTTGGAAAGCAAAAGTACCATTGGAGTGGAATTTGCTACCAAAAGCGTACAAATAGAAGGAAAGACCATTAAAGTCCAGTGCTGGGATACGGCTGGCCAAGAACGTTATCGGGCCATCGGTAGTGCGTAAGTTGTTGAGCATATATTGATCTCTTGGCATATACTTTCCTCATTTCAAAACGAAAAATTATTTTTCTGTAATCTAAAATGTGTATTAACTGAAATTATTGAATAATATGCTGCAGCAAATTTTACATGTTTTAACTACCGAAGATTCATTCGAAGGCTCTCGGTTGTCATACAGACAACAGTCCATATTTATTGCATATAATTTTTCAGGTACTATCGTGGAGCACTGGGGGCTCTTCTAGTATACGACATAACTAAAAGGCCCACTTTTACGAATATTCAGTCGTGGCTGAAGGATTTGCGAGATTCCGCGGATAATAATTTGGTTATTTTAATGGTGGGAAATAAGAGTGACCTTAAACACCTTCGAGCTGTCAATATCGAAGAAGGAAAGGCGCTTGCAGGTACAGGGAAAGGTCATTCGTTAGTATAGATGCGTTACAAATAAAACCCGTAAACAATAAATTTATTTTGGAGAATTTCTTATAATTACTGTACTTTTTCCGGGGATTTGATATTCACATTCCTTTTTCGTATTGGACTTTAGAAATTGTACATACGGTTGGTTTGTGGTACGTTACCGTACGTATAAGGTGGTATTTGCTGCATAAATGTGAGTATTACTATATTTTCATATTATGAGCTTTTTATACAATATACAATCATAATAATTTCATATATCTGATAGTTATACGGTATCTATAGAATTACATACGAGCGGCTATGCAGTAGGATGAGCAAGAGTCAAAACGTAAATCCGACCGTGGAAATTCCTTATTCTACTCTGTAGTTGCAGTTACTAGTAATTGTTTGAATTTGTTTTACAGAATCAAACAAGATGTTTTTTATTGAGACGTCAGCATTGGATGCGTCTAATGTGGAAAACGCGTTTCACACATTGCTCACGGAAATCTACCATAATATTATGACGAAAGATGCTGCTGGTCAGAATGTGCATACACATGCAGGTCGGATAGGCGCCGGTACACCTGTTTCGGATGCCACTCAGAAAAATGAAAGCACATCAACTAAAACATGTGCTTGTTAATATTTTTTATTGTTTTATGCTGTTGCAGTTGTTAGTGCAAAGAGGCACTGCTAGGAACGAGGATTTGTACATATGAGCATCAAAGAACATTTGTGTATCGTACTCGTATAAGTAAAACGTCGTTGCAATCGGCTTTACTTCGTAGTTCGTACTCGCAATTTCGGCACCGACAACCAGAATCTGAATATATAGCTATGCACAATAATGACGAAAACAACAGTCATCACTCTATAAATTTGAGTACGGTACTTATACCGCAACATTTTGATCGACTTTAAAACGATGGGAACGTGAACGCCGAAACATTTCGGGACATGGGCTTGGCCGTAGCGTTAATCCGAGTCTCCGAGAGATCACAGTTACCCGGGTAGATGCGTAATTACATATTTTAATTGGAACGAAAGAAACAGCAATCGGACACCGATAAGGGATTGCTGTAACTGCCCGATCGTAAGTACCAGTAAGTACTTGCATTTTGAAAGCGGTGATTTGTAAGGATCTCATGCATTTACACTGCACGATACCAGTGTTTACACCAGGAAACATGTGCATTATCGTAAACCTTTGACCGTTTGCATTGTTCGAGTCATGCCGGGTTGGTGTAATTTCTTGTGATAAAAGCCCGATAATACAGGTAGTAAATTATGATGTGCGCTACAAGGAGAAAGTGGCAGGTAACTATTCCACGCAATACACGACCCCATTTCTGCGATACACTACACTTTTCGTACACTTATCATACACCTGCAAAATTTGCGATAGTTTTACGGTTTGCGAGCGATTGAAACACGGGGACATTTGTAATCAGAAGGACAACTCATAAAAAATGGCCGATCCATTTTACATTAATCGCGGTGAAGTGAAACACCATTTGAGCCGTTTAGCCAGCGCCGTAGAGAAGTTTGACCGGCAAGCACAGCTGCCCACTTCACCGACACACAAGGAGAATGCGGATGATGATGTCGCCTTCGATAAGGGCGCCGTGCAGGATATCATCAAGATGATCAGTGAACTGGAGAACAACTTGAAAGAACTGAACGATACCTTCGCTATGCAGTCACAGAACGCCAAAGTGCTCGGTCTGAACATGGCCGAACTGGCCAAACGGAAGGATATTGTCGAAGTCCATCAGCGCGAGTTCGACGGTCTACGGGATAAATTCGCCTTCGCCATTACCGGTGATGCTTCGGTGGATTCCAAGACCGTCGTCGAGGGATTGTTTGCCGAGCGTGAGGGCAACGTCCGACGCCATCTGCTCACCGGGAACAAAGAAAATCTGGGCTATATGGGCGATAATGGATCGCAGAATTTCCATGTGGAGCCCAGTCGCACCAGTATGCACGAGATGAAACATAAACGAGAGTTTGCCGATGAGGACGATGATGATCTGGTGGAAGTGTACACCAAGAAGAACACCGCCACCATCGAGATGGAGGATACCGGTAAACCGTACTTAAAGAGAGCGGGCAACCGCGCCACACAGGGCCGCCCCGTGGCGGACTGGATGAACCGCAATTTCCCTTTATCCAGACGCAGGAATCGCATCATATTCTTCAGTTTCCCATTTGTGCTTGTGCTCCTCATTATCATCATCATTATCATAGTAAGATATTCTTAAGTCGGCACATATAGTCTTCGCTGACATTCCCCGCTGATATTACTTACAATACAAAGCTGGATATAAATTATAAATGTATTGGTTACCTGGTACCGTATTGGACTGCGTTACATTACATTGGTTATGACTATGTCTATGAGTACTCCTAATGAAGTTACCGGTGGACCTTCAAAATGCAAGTCATCTGTGAATAAACTTAAAAGGATTATTAAAGATCAGCAAAAGAGCTGCTAGGCTAAACATCCTAAACTGAGCTGCTAATTATAAGCTTATTGTAAGGGCTACAAATTTATTATAGCAGAACAAGCAATTTAGCAATATCCAACTTCAATATTATGTTCTATTACCTGAGTTACCTGACCGTTATTAGTACAGACTGTGCTTACGTTAGTACTGTACTTGTACACTGCAAAGTGCAAACGGTTTGGAGTTCGAATATAATTTTTTCAAGGCATTAGATAAATGAGATTAAGCGTCCGATCGAGTATAGGTTTTCGGTGACATTTTATGGAACAAAGAATGACTGTGGAAACCTGATAAGTACGTACTAAATAGTTCAACATAAATATCACTTCCTGTTTTCGTACAAAATTATAAGGATTTATGCTACCCAATCAAACGCGATCTTCAACAGTGTAAAACATCTCTTTATAAGAAAACCATCGAAATTCTGGTCATGTTGCTATAAAAACGACAAAACTGTATACACAAGTAACCGCAAAAATCACTTTCAAATTTCAGTTAGCAGCAATTAAAAAGGACCCTGTATATCACCAGGTGATCAACAAGATCTGTCCAGCCAAAAACAAACAAAACACTGAACCACCATGTTCATCCGGCCGAGCAAAAGCAGTGTTCCCAAGTCAACCTCTCATTAATCTGCTAAATAAAAATAAAATCCAACATAAGCATAGGAAATAATTAAAAAAATTTAATTCTAGTGTGCAGAAAAAGGCTGATCAAAGGTAAAGCAAACCGAAAACGTCTACAAACTTAGGTTTTCACATTAACCGTAATGCTGCTGTCGTTTGGGCGCAAACGATCCATCCACAGGGCTACTAGGACGTCCACTCCCTTCCGCAATGTGCATATCGTCCAGCAGGGGCAACATTCCACCCAGCTCCGTCTCCTCTTCATTGTCGGTTCGGGTAATATGGTGTAATCGATCCAAATTGTCGTAGCTCTGCAGGAGTGTCGGGGCGACTCCATTCCGACGACTATAACCTTGAGAGTTGTCCAGTCGTGTATTATACGACACCGGCCCCTGCACATTTAGTCCCATATAGCCGCGTCGAACGGGCACCCGACATCCGTCACCCAAATTCGTGGCAATACTGTCCGCGATGGTGGTGGCATCGTCAGCTGCGCTCCAATTATCGTTGTATTCGGCGGGATCGTAGCCGCTTGTAACTAGAGTCCCTGACACACCTTCAGAATCCGCTAATTTCGGCATTCCATCCAAATCCTGCTGATCAGCGCTGGCGTTAAATGAAATGGCTTCTTCCGTTTCTTCTTCATCGTCGCCTGGCGGACTCCCGGCTTGGTTATTCACCATCATTAAAGCATCCTGCAAAATTCGAAGGAAATATGGGATCCAACAACGTACATCAATTTTGAAGAAAACAATTATGCCTGAGAGCTCTACTGTGAAATAGACTATACCCACAGTCTACAGCTTAAACACACAATTCCAGTATAATAGTCTAAAAATTTAAAATGCTGAAATATTGCTGCGCTATGTACAACAGCATCCACAACGACAGTTACCTAATGCTTAACAGCCAATAGTACAAACAAATGTGGTGCGAGTATAGTGTTAAGCGAAGGTAAGTTTTACCTCGGGTAAAATTTCTTTGGTGTTTTCCAGCAATTCTCTAGCGGACATTGTCCGCTCAAAATACTGCCCATTTCCGGTTTCATTGCTGCTAATTATCTGATTATTCCAGCTGCTGTTATACGTCGAATAATAGGACGACGAGTGAGGATAATACTGACTGGAGCGTATATGCCCACTTTCCATTTCATTTTGAAGCCACTCGCACATCATGGTTACAGCGAGTTTTAGCTAGAAGTTGGCAATATGAAAAGTGTTAAACAAGATTAAAATGCGGTTTGTAAATGCGCCCGAAAACTTACTTCGCCATCCAAGGAAGTCTGCCATCGAGCTAACAAATCGGCAGCTAACACGGATTCCTGTGGCGTGCGTAGATGGGACGACAAAAAGCGCCATAAATTTTTGAAGTACAAATAAGCCCGGCGAGGATGCAAGTTGCGGTTCCGCAACATGATCGACAGAAACCCTTCAGATTGTTCTAGTAAAAAAAAATAGAGAACAGATTTACAATTTGTATCCAAAGCTCTTGCGCCAGATTTATAAAAATTAAAATACAAGATTCGCAAAAAAATTCGATCGGCTTGATACAGTAAATGTCAGCTTTGACAGAACGAAGAAACCATCTTGTCATATGGCCTGGGTATCACAGCGAACACCATAGAGCAATAAAATTTTAACACAGTGTAATTATTAAGACCACTATTTCTACTTCTTTTTGACAAATGGCCTATGCATTTCATATGCACATATGTACGCACTTACAAATTCCGTAACGCATTTGTATGAAAATTACTGCAGTATGAGTGATTTCGGCAAAAAAAACTCACCAATATGTCTTGATGTTAAAAACCCATCGACACGAATGATAATCCATGAGTCCTCCAAACTGATGAAAGCAAAACAGAAATCCAGTAAAGTACGCAGGTCTTGAATATACTGGGCACCCAAAGCGGCCAACAAGGTATACAGCAAGCGGGCAGTGAAGTTGGAGTTCTCCCATGACAAGAACTACAAGAAACCTGACAAAGTTATTCTAGCCATCGCAAAATCGTACTCAAAGGTATCCAGACCTTAATCATTTGGCGCACTTCTTCCATAGGGAGACATTCTTCAACAAGCTTCTTCAGAAAGACGTTGGTCATGTATAGTTGCTGTACGAGATCGTGGGAAGCCGTGTACGCGTACTGACCATCGACATACGGATTTGGTAAAGCCTGCAACCACAAAAACGATCGTAATATTAAATAAGAAACCATCGGTTCTCCAATCTACCTCCACGTCGTTGCAAGAAACGCTAAATTCCGAGAAATCAATGGAGCGCACTAAATGGGCAATAGTTGTATACAGTTTACTGTTTTCCCCATTGGTGAAATTATGTTTAAAGATGGAAACCGGCATATCGTCGACAGCCAATCGAATGAATATTTCCGGCACTCGTAATCGGAGCAGAACTTCTTTCTGCAAATTTGAAATGTTATACATTTTATCGCACTATTTTTTATGCCAGCAAATTACCTGTTCAGCCCCACTAGTTGCCAAATTATGGAACATCCCAAAATACTGCCCCAGCTGTCGCACGTTATCGCCCGTTTCCTTCCACTCCAGCAGGCTCACGCAGCACGAAAGAATCAAATCACCCAAAGAAGTAATCTCTTGTGGAAATTTATAGCCTGTAAACCACAAAACTATAAAAAGTACCTCGACAGCAATAAAAAGTAAGAAAAAGTCAAATCAAAATACGAGTTGCACTTACACAAGTGAGTGACTAAAATCTCTTTCAACAGCTGATGCAAAATTCTGCATATTTAAATATATACATATATATATCTGCATACACTTAGTCTACATACACTTAGTCTTAGTTTACTGACACTCACCGACATTATAAGCAGCTTGAAGTGTCGAAGGTGGGCAGGGACAATCCACTCGACTGTAAAAAATCAAGTGCCCCAGCAAGCGCATAACGGCAGATCTGATCTCTTGACTGGGACATTCCACCAAATACTCGAAAATCCTCTTGTGTTTTTTCAGCAAAACCTGCTCCGATAAATGCCACCGGCCGACAGCAGTCACTTGCAAGATTTTTATAAAGCTCTCCGTAAATTCGTGAACAGCTCCACGCAAATGCCGACGTGTACGGAACACGACGTCAAACAGGATCTTCCCCAAAAATTCTATCACAGTTACAGCAAATTCCTCTATTTCTTCGAAGCTTAAGCCCCACTTTGCTAATGGATGCTGCGCTCGATTCTGATCTGCCGGTACACTGACAACTGTCGCAGCATTTTGTAAGAACTTCCTGAGGAATGAAAAGTATTCCGGAAAAAACTGGCTCCGATTGTGGACAAACTTCAAATTTTCTTTCACTATCACACTACGCAGATTCGGTGGAATCATATGCACAACCTGGGAACCTAAGCAGTAAAGTACAGGTCGTCAGAAAGTTGTCAATCTGTTTCAGAAATTATTAATTTACCTATCGATTCAGACACAAGACGCATCCGCCCAGGATGCTCTTTCGGCATCGGCACACTCTGGTCGCAACGCTCGTAGAACAAGATATACGCGTTCCACCATCTCTTCTGCCTAAAATATTCAAACCGTCAAATATCAAACATAATATTCTGTCAACAAAATTCGTACGGGTGCTCTCCTCCGAAACACTGCACTTTCATCTCCTCATCATCGTCGATTTTGCATTCCGTCACGTCGCCATCGTCAAAACGATACCATTTGGAGAGCCCATCTCTGCAACAAGGAAGATTACATTATACATACCATTAAAGGTCTCAGGAAAATACCATCAAAAATTAGTACAAACTACTGAAAATTAAAGTCACACACCGGTCCAAAATATACGAGTAATAATGGCCTCCAGTTGCTTGACCAGAATGGACAACAATGCCGACCAGCCTGTATTTGGTAACAGCGGTGGACTGCGGTTTGGTGGGGGTTTTCGCGAGACTTTCTTCGATAGCCTGCATAACATCTTCATCGTCAGGGATTTCCTGTCCTTCGCTTTTGGCTAAACCGGCTGCCGTATAGGGCTCCATGTCGATTTCGCGTGGGAATTCAAAATAATCGTTAAATTTAATGGGCTGCTCGCGTTCCCAGTCATAATCAAATCGTTTTAGCTGGATGGTCAGGATAGGCGGTAGTTTTTTTATGCACATTCGCTTTACTGCATCTACTTTTCGCTGGCATTTTTCACATTCATAAGCGTTGGCGCCTTCCAAAAGATCTCCTTTTACATATAGTTCCAGTGCATCTTGCAGAGTATGGAAATTCCGAATGTCGACATTCAGCGCAGTAAATAAAACTTCACGAGAATAACGATGCGGACAATCTCGACAGATTTTCTGATCCGCAAACGTCCCGCCCAAAATCCGACTCATGAAAGGCATCTTTTTCATTGACTTTAGTCCCTCGTCCACGCTGTCCACAACGCTGTTGTAGAATTCCAAGGCATCATGCTGTTCTCTCAGATTCACCGGCTCATTACCCAACCGGAAGTGCTTCCAGAATCCACGGGGAATATAGAACTGCAGTTTACTGCAAGCCAAATGGCTAAAAATAATCTGCAAATGCTTAATCAGTCCGACATTGTAATCCTTTACAGACGCCGCTTTGGCCGGCACTAATGGACGTGATGCATCCCCACTCATCTCCATAATATCTCCTCCACTGAACGGTAACACGGGACCCAACTCCATAGGAACTGAATCCCCTTCTCCCCCTTTCTCGTCATTTTCTTCGTCAGCATACGTTGAGGTGATGCCATCAATTGTCAGCAAACCATTACGAACGTTGGGAATCATAAATAGTTGCTGCAGCACTGAATTCATGTAGCACGTAGCTCCCGCGTTCTTTAAACCGACAAAGCCATCCGTGCGCCGTGGCCCAACAGGGGGACTGTACTCCCATTCGGTAATGGGCTGAGCATCGGCATAAAACAAGGATGTCAACGTTTCATCCAACAGACGAACGTTGGCAGGCGAACCCATACATAATTCCTTAATTACATCAAAGGCTCCTGTAATGGCAATAGTTGTCTGGCAGATTGGACGAGCTTGGTGGGGTAACTCCAGTAGAGCGAAGGGATCAGAGTAGGCAGGGTCAAAAACCGTATCGCCGTGCGCCCAATTCGGAGATCCTTGATCGTCGACAAGAGCCCCTGGACAAGCTGCCTTAGCCAATACTCGTGCGGCCGGAAACAAAAAATCTTCAAGCAATTCCTGAAAATTGATGAACATTTAAATGAATGGGACGACTCACGTACTATATTCGAATTACTGTGCAATCCTAAAATCCGTACTCATCCCCAATCACGAAACAAGGTGCCAATTGCTACCTTTAGATTCCGTTAACATAAATTATAAAGCACCTTTAGAAGTGGCGGTCGACTGATATTTGTTCGAAGCAGCTTCCTGTTCTGCGGTTTCACAGTTCGGACTAATTCTTTCAACAATACCAAATGTCCTTCCAGCAACACATCATGAATGCACTGTCGCCCTTGCTCCATGCAAACACGACGGCACTCTGCAAACCACTGCAGTTCGCTGTTCAGCATTTCACCGGTGCTCTCTTGAAGCGATTGCGTGCTGTTTAGCTTATTCAGCAGACTGAAAAGGAGGTAGCTAACAAAAATGTTCAATACTCGAAGCTAAACACAAAACGTACTTTGCCACTAGCTGAAACGCTTCCCCACACATTTCCGGATGTTTTCTGGATACCCGCTGAATATTGCCAAAAACGGAGCTAAGCATGTACCGATCTAGAGGCCATTTTTCGATTCGCAAACTCAGCAAACGAAAATGAAAGAAAGCACTTTGTCGAACAACAGGATTGCGGCAAAGAAACAGCATGTCGTTAAAAAATCCAAACCACTGCGGATTAGGACCAGCTGCTGTAATCATGTCTTCGATGCATTTAGGGCATAAAGCAACACTTGGAAGCAGGCAATCCAATGCTTCCAGAGCTACTTCCTGGTCGGCAATATCCACAAAATCCGTTTTCTAAAACGTACAACCAGTTCAGTTTGTGCTGTTTCATGACACCTTAACGCTGCAACTACTGTAAACATATCGCAGAAATCGAACAAATTGCTATTAAATAATCATATGCTCGTGCAACAATTCGAATTTCGTACTACAGTCTTAAAAATATGTCAAAGCTGTTATGTTACTATTACGATCGATCCACACAGTATACAGAATCTAAATACTGCATAATAACAGAAACGAGTGAATCAGTAAAATACGGCAGTACACGAATACAAAAAATCGTTTCCGACTGCCTTTTAATGAGACAGAGTTTTAATGGATATATTCGAGTTAAAACCATGTAGCGGACAACTTCAGTTAACCAGTAATACAATAAACTTGCCTTATGTAATGCTGCGCTTGCATCTTCTTCTGGACACTCAAGCAAATTCAATGATCCGGATGCCGCTGTCCATACCAAATGTCGAAGAGCTTTGCACACATCCACTGACGGCAACTGCATGGAGCCTTCTTGCCACAGACGCTTTATTTTTTCACTCATACGACAGATGCCCCAATCGTTCATGTTATTCTTAAAGTTTTCACCAAAAGCTACAATCAGTGGGAGAGAATCTTCTGCAAAGCCTCGACTCATAAAATTTCCACTGGCTTTTTGTCGAGCGGGATTTTCCACATAATCCAGCCCAATCATACACATGACGCTAAGGAACAACTTCACCATTCGCAGTATACTGCGATAGCTACTCTGTTTGGTTAGCACATCAGCATTCTGAAGAAAGTTGTTTCTTTTCAACGAATCCAGGAGGTACTGAGCAAAATCCCGCTTGGTGATTAGTTCTTTGCAAAACCGAGCAGCGTCTTCCATTTGGGACTGCTTAGCCGGCAATAAGAGACTCTGGAACACTTGCAAATTATACAAAACTTCTGATGAGTAATCACAATGGAAAAAGGCATCAAACTGGATGGATGGATCCAACACCGACTTGTAGACTGCTTCAAGGATCTGATCACTGGCTGGAAGAATGCCAAGCAAGTCTCTGGCAATTTCTGTCAAATTCCGATTGCCCAAACGTATTCCCAGGTCAGCCAATCGGATGATAAAAGGAATAGTATCAGGACTTTTGGCGATATACAACCCAGGCAGCTGATTTTCCAGATCGGGGTGTGTCTCATCCGAATACGCTGTCTGGGGAGTGTCCGAAGGAGAAACATCAGTGCTGCTTTCAGGTGAAGACGGCACAATACTTTCCGATATCAAGTTATCTTGGAAAGCTACAACAGAAAATCTGGCAGTAATAACCGGCCTATCGCGACCGTGATCCACGATGCCGATCTCTGTAATAAGTCGCCTGTCCATGCTTGGAAGAATTTCATTATTATTAAAATATAAGTCCAATTTGGGAGCACCAGTCAGATGGCGGACCCTTCAAGAAAACAACAATGAAAACACATTATAGAAAATATGGACAGTCGGAAACGACAAACGTACTTCGAAGTAATAGCTCGTCGCAAACCACCCAGCGTCTCATTGGTGTGAGTGTGCAGCTCTTGATCATCGAACTGCCGAGGTGGATTTAAGAGTTTCACAGTCACGAAAAATCCCACTCCAGAAGTTGCTCTGTGAAATTAAATCGAAATTCGCGATACTGAATACTTCGAAAACCGATAATTTTGTACTCGATTCGTTTCAAATAGCTAAATTCTGATGACACAAAAGCTACCCTGAAGATCTGCTCACCTATGCGCGTTACTTATCAAGAAACAGTATAAAGATCACCGAGTTAAAGAGACACAGTAATAACTTGAGAAGAAAACGGCGAGAACAACAACATTGAAAGGTCGCCTAACATCACAGCAGCAAAAATTTAAATACAAATTGATGAAACAAAATTCAACTTGTAACAAAAAAAGCACGTAAATAATAAAAACAAACCAACCGAAGGCAATATGCATGACATACCTATTTAGCGGCAGTCGAGCACGCTCGAAATGATACTCTCGATCGTACTGGGTGACGTGCTCTTTGATGACCTTTAATATCCTGACGGCTTTGTTGGCGTCTTGTGTGATTTTGTTGTGATATTCTTTGTCATTCTTCAACTCATTCAGGTTATCGTAAATGGTACGCAGCCTCTCGATACATTCGGAAATCAATTCGCTGTGTAAACTAACCACGTTCAAGGCTAATTTCTGACTAGGAAAAGCGTATAAATCACGAAGGAGATCAATGCCAAAATTAGCAATTTCATCACGACTGCAAAAAAAACACTATTATTAGCAAATTCGACAATAAGTACATGACATTTATACAAGCCTTGCTTACCAGTGCAATATAATTTTCCACAAATATTCCATTCCAAGGATATCCGGCTGCAGGAGAAAGTAGTGGGATTTCCTCTTCAGCTCCAGTTTGCCCTCTTTCACGTTAACGAATCGCAGAAATTTACTGAAGCACAGAATACCTGCTTCGGTCAGGCTAGACGGAGATAACTAAAAACACAAACAACAAAACCGGATAAGGCAAACAGTAGGAGCAATAATTTAGAACTTCCATTCAACCTGTAAAATTTTGGATTCGTAGAAAGGCTTTATTGCGCTGGGTTCCAAATCAGGCTGATCGGCACTCATCAACCGATCAAACCATCCGAAACACAAATCACGATCCAGCTCCACTACCGGATTCTCGGCCAAACAACCCCATAGTCTTTCCGGTTTCGGCAGACAATAATGAGTGTTTTGCAGAATATAATGCAAAAGTTTCAGGCGACTTTCTACATGACAATAGTGAGAATATTTTGATTTTAAAGCATCCTGTGTTCGTGGATCGAAATTCGGAAGATGCTCGTTCTTAAACACAAAACGAACTTGGTCCAAATATTGCTCCAAACTGCTGATAACTGTATCGATGATGTTATGCTCATTAACCAAAAACATTATGGCATCCACTCGACTGGCACCATGAGGTCGCGATGTAATTCCACCGATATTATTCATGCTCTGAAAAGATATATCTGTATGAAATTCGAAGATCAAGCAGAAATCGAAGTCAAACCTCAAAAGTATTTACGCTCCTGTGCTTTTACTAATCAAGATATTTTAACCGCATAAAGTAGTAATGGAGAAGACAACATAAACTTATCGTACATATCTGCTGCGCGAAAAAAGAACAAATGAGCATACTCGAACATAACTAAATATGCAGAAATTGCAGAGTAGAGTATTATCCACTTGTAATGAACTAAAACGACGCCAAAAATTTCGAAAGATTAAATTTCATATCCTGACCCAAAATAACTAGGAATCGAATTTAAGGAGGAGATTCCCCTTCAATACCGTACCTCCGGAAACTGATCACAAATACTTTTAATATGTCCAAGCGCGGGCACTACCCATGTGTTTTCCTTGATCTCTTCCACGCATTTCTTCAACCATGCCATCTTGAGCTGATCCCTATCATGTGAGCAAACAAATTCCAAAATTTTCAAATGGGCGTTCAATGCAATCTCCATGATTTCCGCTGGCAACTCTTCATTGTGGCACAAACTCCACAGTAGCTCCAAAACTTTAATGGCCATAATTCCTTCCTTATCATCTTCGGCCAGTCGGCGTATCAGATCCAGCAATTTCTCACGCTGTCGACGAGATGCACTCACCCAGCTGCCTTGAAAGTGTTGAAAAAGATGGTCAAGCTGTTCTGGAGTGAAATCCCAAGCCAGTTTGGTTAACAAGTCGTGAACGTTTTTTACGATGGCTTCGTGCTTTCCGTTCTGTGCGTTCCACAGCTCATCCAAATCGTTCAACGACAAACTTTTCTCTTTTATCTGTAAAAACGACGGTTCTGCAATAAGCTAAACGGCAACGATTGTAACCGCAAAGGCTCGATAGGCGCAAGACAAACCCGATCTCAAACGACCCAGACAACCAAGGTACATTGGGCATATGATGCGCTCATAAATAGACATAAAATTAGCAACAAAATTAAAAAACCCGTACCAACGGAACTCGTTAAAAGATATAAAATTAGCAAACACTCGAGCTTACCATAAACCGAATGATTTTTTCCAGCTTCTCCACGTACTGGGGTTGATGCATGCTATCGGCCAGAATAATCGTAAGGACATGGTTTTCCTGTAGCCATTTGGCCACTTTTTCCGATCCCAGTGCCGACTCTTCTTCAGCGAACGGCCGGTGTGTATAGTTAAGGCTCTGCACGATACGATTAATCTCGTTCAAGGCATGCATCTTCCCATTATAAGTGGAAACTTTCAACAGTTTAAAAATGGCAGAAAGACGTGCGATTTCAATATGCTGATTAACAACAGCACTTTGCTCGTGCAGCACTTTGGCAAGAGATCGCAGGGAACGGAGAATCATGGTTACTGGATCATTTTTTCCATCCTGTTTGCCGGACTCTTTCTTAAATTCCTCATCCGACATAGACCGAAGGAAGTGTGGCACGATTTCCTGCAAGATATCATTCTCATTTTTTGATTCCATTGAAAACCATATTTTACTACTGAAACGCGCGCGGAGACCGGAGAGGCGATAAGTCACTTACGAAAATTTCCCAAAAGTACCGTTCCACCGTTCTCTTTGCTAAATAATCAGCACATGGCCCAAACGGGCGTAACCAAGCCACCAACAATGGGATGGTAAGAGGTCGCTCATTTTCCGTAATGCGTTTCTTCAAATTGTTAAATCCTCCCGCCTGACCAAAGATGTTAAGAAAATCAACAAGATACCCACGGGGTGACCGGCTGTCGAAAGATCGTGCGTAAATATTTGGAGGAATCACATCTTCTTCAGATTTCATTTCGTTTCCATCGGCTGTATCTCCAAGGTGTCGATGTGGAGCAAACACGAAGGTGCTTCGTCCGGGAGGAAAAATAATAGTAGGAAACTTTTCCGAAGCCCGTGTACTATTGCATTGGTGAAACCGGCATTGTGGATTTAGGATGATACCCAGGAGATCCAACAAACCCAAAATATCATCCGGAAACTTTATGGCAATCAGTTTTAAAGCTTGTTCGCATCGGCGGTAAATTTGTTTCTACAAGTAAGATTAAGTAAACGACTAGGTCCATTATTTAGGTCCTTATAAATATTCAGAAATTAACCAAAAAAAAAACAGGTATGCAACGTTTAATACGATTTACTAAACACGTTCAAGTTGTATGAAATTTTAGGGTTTGGCAAAAAAGTTAGATTATGATATTATGCAGTATGCACTGATGTTTTATCGTTACTAAGCTTCACAGCATTGCCAGTACTGTAGTACAAAATTCTGTTTGCAAACTAAAAATAGTTTTCCAGGAAAAGGAAAAATTATTTCAGTACATACGTGCGCTTCCGTTGACCAGCTACCCACGCTATCGTCCGCTAATATCTTCTGGAAAGCAGTTCCAATAAAATCCTGATAAAAAGCTACAAACTGAGGATATTCCGTATCCTTTCCTGAAAACACAACAACACCCCCACTGTAGCAAATATCCAGCACAAGCAGCAGCTGTCGTATCTCACCCGTTTCCGCCATGCGTACACAGAACTTCAAAAGCTGATGGAGCGAATGTCCCTCCGCCACCGCGAAGGGTGGACCGGAACGGTGGATAGTGTACGACAACTGCTGTTTGAAATCCTCCATGCGACCGAAATACAGCTGAATGGTGTCCTCCGTCAGTTCCTCCTCGTCCGCAGCATGACTCGGTGATGTGGAGGCAAACTCCGCCGACGCCGCCGGGGGTGCATGCAAGGGAATGGCCTGGCTGGGATTCGGCAGCGTCTGTTCCACGGCTTCATCGTCGCCGCGCTGAGTGTACACTGATTCCGTCTGGTCAAAGCGAGCAACGGAGCGTTCCGTCGGAGGGGAGGCGGGTTTAGGGGCGGGGGGCGCCAGGGGCGGTGGCGGAGCTAGGGGCACGGCAGCAGCGGACGGATCGGAGGCGGACTGTACTTCCGCTGCATCGCTGCTGGGAGTTGTCGCAGTCTCCGGGACCATGGTGTCGCCTGCTCCGCCAGCGGAGACCTCTTCGTGCTCATCTGTACTCTGAACTGGCATCCTGAACGGTAACAGTTCTGGCGCTACAAATTAAACAACTCTGAAAAGAAATTTAATTGCATAAATAAATAATGGGCCTAAGGGCTAAGGTAGAAAAAAAGTTCGCATTAATAAAAAAACACAAAATGTACGGTACGCAGTAGTCAGTACACTGTCCAGATAGCAAGACGTTTTGGCCTTTTCCTGTGAGTTAATAATGTATGCTCGCTACCAGAGCAAATCTTGCCGGAAACCAAGGATATTGTCAGAATTCTAGCAACAAATATAGCACAAGCAATACTGACTATGGAATCAAAACGCGACGGACGTACGATATGCAACGGAGGGTGCGATGCAGTGTTACTCTATTAGTCTATTAACTATTTGTGCAAAAGTCTAAAATTTAATAAACAGGGGGAAAAGAGATTATTCTGGCATAAAACAGCAATAATTGCAACGTTGCACACGTTTTCGCGCTGAAATTTCGGAGCTTATTTAATTTTAGTTCGCTGGAACTTGTCACTGTCGTTATGTCGTAGGTATCACTGAATCACAGATGGACCGAGAATAGATTATGGCACCAAAGAAGCTTGAAAGGAACAACAGTCGTTCTCGGTTTTATTTTTCACAGATTCATAACCGTGAGTCCGTAACCACCATTCTTAACCAAGTTCCAGTAGCAATGTACCAAATAAAGTATGTAAGTCTCTATATGTGAAGTTCGGAAACAAAACATTTTACAATTTTCACATTCACTGTTCACATACACAGTGTTTACCTGCGCTCTGTATTATCCAGCGTTTTCACGGTTTCTGCGACTTTAAGAAATCCAACAATCTCACTACATGATCATTATTCATTCGCAAAGCGATATACTGTAAAATAATATTATTATATACGATCAACTGATGAAGAAATGCTTCTTTATCCAGCCGAAATTAAATGAAATTGATCAACATGGTGTCCGCGACAAGACCTCGGAAGTTGGAACCAAAATTTTAAATCCAAAATGTGTTAACGATGAAATTGCTCCTTTCATAAACAGCAAAGCAGCCCGACAAAACTGATTTGAAAATCGACATTACGGCTGAGTCCTGTCGCTAACCTTTGTACCGTACTACCGCACCTACCGACGCTACCGTACGGGCTGAGAGCCGGCGTTCGGTCGGTTCTCGGTATCGCAAACGAAAGCAAATAATCATGTACTGGGCTTTTCGTTTTGCTTCCTTCAATTCCAACGGTAACTTTTTGAGTTGTGAAATTTTCTCCGGTACCGGAATACAACTTATTTAATGAATTAAGTAGATAAGTTTATTTAGTTATTAAATAGCAAAGTCAATTTTGACGATTTACGATAATTCGAAAACTCGTGTTCGATAGGAGGTACGCGTACGAAAAGAGGTGACTGTAAGCCGTGTCAGGTCTATTCCTCAGCATTACAACAGCCGGAAAATAAAATTAATTAACTTTCAGAGCGCAAAAATGTGATTTCTTCGTTATTATAAATGATATAAACTACAGTACAATCACCACAATGCTACGTATCTGTCATGAACGCAAAACCGGCCCTCACCAAACCATATCACTAACGCTAGCGTACTCGTACAGTTCTGTTTTTATTATGCACCAGCCGTGTCCATTTTTTCAAATTATTCAAACTCGAATAACTACTGTTAATAAACAAACCAGTAACACAAAACAACACATGGTAGACGGTGAAATCTAAAACCGGTAAACGAAAGAAAACGTGTTTTTACATCCAGAACCATAGAGTTTAATATCGTGCTCCGCGTCTATGAGGAAAAATTTGTTTTGAAAAATAAGGATGATTATTAATCACCTCCGCGTAAATAGGTCTATCTTGAGGATACAGCGAATCGGGCAAAATCGCTGTCGTTCCATCAGCGAGCATATTCTGCGCAAACTGACGAAATTTCCCTGGATCAAATGTTGGATTAACCCGGTGCCGATCCGTCTTAGCAGTCCATAAACTGTTCCATGGGATATACGCACATCCAAAGGGAGATACTTCCCAATATCGCGAGAAGTTCTTCTTGATATACTCGCTAGGATACCTGCAGATACGTAAATTTTTAGCACGATAAGCACACAGTCTGACATACTCGTACAAAAAAACTTAATAACGAGAATGATCGCCAAAAATACTGAATATTATGTACAATTATTGTATTCTCTACGCATTAACAAACAAGACTGGTACTTCTCGGAGTTTCATCACAAATCGAAACAGTGCTATCGTTAAGGTCACAACATAACGAAGCCCGAAAATTTTTTTCAGCTAATCGGCGAATGTATTAGCAATGGCTGTCCAGCCAGTTTAAATACCGCATCCATATGCTGGCCGCTGACCGTTAGAATCAATCTCCAAGCGGGCGGGCTGAACATAAGCTGCGCCACTTGACAATAATGGACAGATTCCCCTTTGAGAAATCTTTGACTATTAACTACCTCACCAATCTAACTGCATTCTTCCGCTTCGTATGGCCATCACAATGAATCGCTCACTTTCCTCCAGTTCAGCATCCCATTTGCGAGCTCCCTCCTGCTTGTTGCGGTTAACGTCCGGGTTGCCGAGTATTTCTCGCTTAGCTTGATGAGCTCGAGCTCGATTTTCCATCGTAATAACAGCAAAGTTGTTATAGGGATCCACCACAACATCCACCGGCTCATCGTTGACCACAAAGCGTGAAAACAATCGACACAGGATCGCCTTATTACGTGCAGCATCACAGTCTTTTGGCAAAACACGTACATGCAACGTTCGCGTCACCACTACAGAAACCGTCAGTAAATTGTCACGAAAACGTTACACCATGACCTGTCACAAAACAAATAAGAAACAGAAAGCAACTCACCTGAATAATGCATGCCTCGAGGTTTTGGGCCGAATCCACACCACCTCCTCCAGTCCGCCTCAGTTCCGACTGGATCGGGTACAGGTGGCAACAAAGCACGCCGTTGTGGCAAACTATTACCCACTTGAGGCACAGTGGCAGGCTTGCTGCTGCCTGTAAGCGGTACATTTCTCACTTCTCCCTGATCGTTCTTTGGTGCAGCAACCACTGTCCTAAAACAGGTGTCAGCTGAAACCAGATACTGCACTGCAGACGGATTAGTAGGTGCCTTGCTTACTTTATGTCATTATAAAATGCGGAGAGCTCATCTGCATTGGTGGCAGATGCCACTGGTGTGGTCAGTTGTGAATTATCCACAGCCACACCGACCGGAAGAGGAAGTAAACCTTGGGACTACAAAATGAGCCATTGAATAAACACTTAATACAAATTTCACCCCACATAAAACTATTGATATTTTTGCATCCTTCTAATATATTTCTGTGTGATATAACTTTAAACACATCACTTACAAGCATATTATAAACTGGCAAACCAGACCGCATACTCGCAAAAGGTACCACTGGAGGAGGCAAAGGTTGTAAAATGCCATTAGGAGGGGGCGGCACTGACATCAGCATGGCTGCAGGAAGCGGAAGTAAAGGAGGTTGAAAGTCCACAACCGCGGTTCGAGTTGTGGTCAATCCTTGGCCCGACAAAGCTTTTACGCGTGATTCAAGCGAGTCTACTTCTTGGTTCGACGCGTTCTTTAAAGGGGGTGGAGGAGGCACCGCAGTCAGGCCAGTTTTATTAACCACCATAACACTGAATGCGGGGGTATTCTGCATAGGTTTATTGAGAGCAGGAACTGGCAAAGGCAAGGCAGGGGGCAGTGGGACCGGACTGAGAGATCGCGGGGGCGACGGAGGTGATTCCGTAACTTCAAGTTCTTTTGGTATATTCAGTCGGAGCTTTTTAGTCTTTACTGAAAAGCTAGGGTGAAATTTGTCGGTTTTGGTAGCTGGAAATTGTGGCAACCATTTCTTTCGGAAACTAAGCAGCTGTCCTTCGAGGTCACGAAATGCTTTCTTTTCAAGCCAATTGTTGACGAGTCGCAGGGCTTCTTTCTACAGACGTAAGTTATGCACAGTTTAAATTAAATTCTTTCAACAGAAAAATCTAAACAACTGTTGGCGTCGGTCGTGCAACAGCGATGGTATTGTAGCATGCTTACAGTACCTTGATACGCTGCATTTCTATAGTTTTTTCTGCAATGAGATCCATGGCTTTTGTTGACAGGGATGGTGGCAGCTGCATTTCCATAGTGCGGTTTAGATGTTTCATTACAGTAGGCAATAGCCGGTCACTAAATTTTTCTTTACTTTTTCCGAATTCCTTTTTCGCTCGCGAAACTATGGCGTCTACCAAGTACAAACAGGCAATGACGCCTTCGAAGTTTCCTTCAACCATCTTGTCCATCTGTTTAGCTAGAATCTTCTCTGTGGATTTGTACAAATAAGCCTTTTTCGTTGCCACTTCGGCAAGGGTCAAAATGCGACTGCGCGAATGAGGCTTACTGCTGCGAAAGGCATCGACTATCTGCAAAAATTGTTATTCAGACGATCCCAGCGTATTTCCACGTACCATCCGATAAGACATGACAGACTACAAATTTAAGCACCTACAAATGGTAAATAGCACTGCCCAGTGCCCACTGCGCTTTCTATTACTGTAATTCTTCTGTCGAAAACAAACCAGCTGGTCTTTTCGACGCCTGCCGAGTGTTTATCGATGGTAAATTTACATGTACTGCAATTAACAATTTCTAAATAAACAAGCCCAATGCGCGCCAAACAATTGCATTTTAAATGTAAACAGCACCTGGCTTCAACAATTAACAAATTACTTCGTCTTCATAATATTTGTTTTTAATCTGAAAAGGCCAAAAAGTCTTTTACGTCTGGCTTACCTTTTTGGAAAATTCCTTTCGTAGTTGTTCATATTCCCCCGCGGGAATTGCATCAGTACTGCGCACTTTTTTGAGAGGAACCTTTCCGCGCAATCCAGCCACCGTATTCAATGCGAATGAAGAGGGCAGAGTTGATTTGGTCGCAGGCTTGACGTCGCTTCCTGGTGAACTGGGAGAATTAGGACTCGGCTCAGGAGGCGTGTGGCCCAGCGGCACCAGTGGCGCAACAACGCTCACTGCAACTTTCTCTTCACAAATATCCTCAGGAGGTTGCTTCGAAGCAACTGCACTGGTCGGCAGCTCCGCCTGTGCCGGCGGGGACGCAGGAGGTGTATCCTTCGGCGTCAAAGGAAGCTCGGAAGGGGCAGCAATGGGCGGTGCAGTCTTTGGCTGTGCTCGGCTGCGCTTCGACTTTTTGGAACTTTGCTTTTTGGATTTCTTTCGTTTAGCTTTGTCGCTTTTGGTCTTGTCACTTCTTTTACTCTTCGACTTCTTCTCAGAAGACGACTTGGACTGCACCAAAAGAGCCGAGGCTGGCGAAATGAAGGACAACAATTTCTTCTGGGATACTGGACTTCCAGATCGCGAGCGTTTTCGCGATTTCTTGTCCGACGTTTTGTCGGTCAGCGACGCAGTTCTAGGCTTCTGGAATAAGTTCTCGGTGTCCGCGCTTTTGACGTTTTCATTCGACGAGGAAAGTTTTGGGGTATCCATAATAACAGATCCTGTAGCCTACTGACTCAATACGTAACAAGCAAGTAGGGGTTCCACCATAATAATTATTCTCTTATCGTCTTACGGCGCACACTTGCACAAAGCAACGTTCACGAATTAAAATTCCCGAATTCAAGAGTTGTCACATAATCGACTTCAAATAATTATGTAAGTACAGCACTTTCTTACCAATCACATCCAGTCTTATAAATTCACAACTTACAATTAATATAAATTTATAAATAAAAATTGTAGCAAAAGTTCAGTGAACATAAGATTGATATGATAAGATTGATATGTCTGCATTTTTCGGTAAACTCGTACTGCTACTTCTATAACGAACGAACTGCTTGAAGATTTGCGTGATAAACCAAATCCGTGGAGGTTGCCCACTGCGCAGACCGTAGCAAATACGACACCACCAGAAGCATAGCCAGAAGCGGTTTTATTCTGCTTCTCTCATTGCGAAGTATAAGTTCTTTTCGAAAGTTCATTTTTTAAATTTTCCCCTTTGGTTCGTTTGTTTAAAAACGGGAAGTGTGGACATTTTGGAATTTGAAAACAGCTGCCTGGAAGTGCGATACTGCTAGAGCAGCTAGGAAATTATGCTAGTTCGAGCAGGCTTTACTTGGTCGCGTAATTCTCATATGTCCTGATCCACAAGGTTTTTGCAACAAACTACAGGCAAATACCAACGTTTTTGGTGGAAACGCATTTGGAGCTCCTGCTTCAACACCAGCCGTATCCGGGCAGCAGCCCACGTTTGGAGGAAGCACGGGATTCGCTTTCGGATCAACGGCTCCAAACGCTGCCCCAGGTTTCGGTGGGAGCGCTTTTGGTAAGGATTGGCAGGCAGTCTTATTTACAATTTTGTCTAACATTTGCAGGCACATAAGTACACTCAGGGGAATTACGATTCCAGTGATTCCACCTAGAAAATCCTCCATTCAAAAATAGTTAATATGTTACATTATCTGATTCAAGTACCCGACAATCGGCGCAGTCAGGCTAAGACAGCGTTTTCAAAAATAGGCAATTATAATTTGGTTAATCGTTAAATTGACAGGGGGATTCGGTGCACCTACCACAAGCAGTGGAACGTTCGGTGGTTTCGGTGCAACCGCTCAATCAGCGCAGCCGCAGTCGTCTTTTTTTTCTGGGCTTAGTCAGCCAGCCCAGCCATCGGGCGGCTTCTTCAGTGGTACCCAAACGACAGGAGGAACGTTCTTCGGAGCGCAACCAACTCAGCCAAATGTGTTTGGCGCTCAACCCGCCCCAGGTGGGCCCATGTCGGAAGCAGAGTATGCCGCTCGCTTGGCTACGTGCATCCAAAGTCCCTTTATCTTCGGAGATGACCGGGATCCGATCATAGCTAAATACAATTCCGTTTTGGCTACCATCGGCTGTGGGAAGGCTTTTCATAGTCAAGGGCAGACTCTGGAGATTGCGCCTGACAATGCGTTTTGCAAGTGGAAGGTTCGTAGTTTTTGAAGTCCGATGCATAGCGTTGCGCAAATAAAGCAGCCACTAAAACAATTCGAAATCGTGAACATATGGTACTTAATAATTACGGTGTTATTTATTACGTTTTGGTTGTTCACTTTTTAATGAATTTTATGGTACTTTCAGTGTGTTGTTTACATGCCTAAGCGGGATCCGGGAAGTAATGAAGGCGTCATCCGGATGATCTTTAACAAGACGGATACCGAAGTGTACGAAGTCAGAAGGGAATTGGCGGAGCTGTTACATAAGCTTTTAGGAGATCTGCCGAATGTTCAAGTGGAAATCGACGGCGTTGCTCCTCTTCCAGATAATAAGTAAGTTCACAAATTCATTAATCAGAAAAGTGTGATGTCGTTGCTACAAAACCTCGAATTTGTTTACAGCCTTTGGTAGACCTGAAATTAATTAGTCAGCGAAAATTCGCTGTTGCATCGTTAAGTGCTAACTACTAATGTACAGATGCGGGAGAAACGTGCAGTTGTGAAATCACCTTGACATAATTTGCTTTTGTAGATGTGAACTATTATTCCATGTCCTAGAACGACAAAATGACGGAAATATACGTCGCACCCCTGCTTCGGAATTGTTTTCATTCCTCATGCAGCCTGCACAAAGAGCACATTTGCAAAGTATGCTCGTAGAGGATGTTCAGGCCAAGGTCGCTCACACTAAAGAAATGGAAAAGCAGTATTTGGAAAAAGTTCCCCCTGGTCTCAGCTCATACATGTGGTACCAAGCACAAAAGGATAATCCTGATCCGGAGAATCTCTTTCCTGTGCCCATCGTCGGATTCAACGAGATGTACGACCAACTGAAGAAGGAACACGCGCTGGCTGCACTGTGCAAGGAAAAATCCACACTCATCGAAAATGATCTCCGACAGCTTGAGAGCAAAGCCGAGACAAACAAACAGTTGTCTTCCAGTTATCGTGATAAGTTGGATAAATTTGTATTGCGTCAATTGCGTGTAAGTTGCTGTGAGTAGTTGTTCATCCAGCCAGAGTTGTTGTTTTACATTTCCGCTGTCTTTTTAGATTGCGAGCAATCAGCCTACCATCGCGCGGATAGGTCAGCCTCTTTCCAAATTTGAAACCGATCTTTTCGATCAAGTGTCACAAATGAAGGCATCGATGGAAGCACCTGAAAGGAATTTGAAGGTGTGAAGAAGTGCATGCCAAAAATTGGCGATAAGCTTGAACGGATTTATCGTAACTTATTGCATCGTGGTTTTTGCGTATTACATGGTTGCATTTTGCATTGTTGTTTTGTTGCTACCTACCCTGTTTATTGTTAATATTCACTGAATGTTCGCAGAATCGAGCTCAAGAACTGGCAACCAATATTCAGCTGCACGATCGATATTTGACGGAGAGAGCAAAACGCCAGCCGCGCATCGACACCAGAAGCCTGAGCGAGACGGAGAAAGACGACATGGCTAAAGCCTGTGATTTGCTTTTTAATGTTCTAGATGCCTGTAAAGAAAGAATCAAGGAAGAAAAGGATATGTTACTCAAGCTCTTGTCGGAAGAAAGCGACTCCATGTCTGTTAACTGAAAACATTGCTTTTACGGATGAATATTGCTGCGACTTGTTTTACTGTGTTGAAACAGTTCTTCTTCAGATTAGGAACTTGTTTTGGGTTGATCGATAAATTTTTAATCTTTCGTTCTTCGAACGCTGCTTCTGAATCACCAAAAAAACGTTACCGATGGACAGTGGCCCTTGCAAATACGTGTTTTAAGAAAATAACAGCATTCAAAGACCAAACCGAGAAATGTCGAAATACTTATTTTACGAATGTTACTTATTCACCGGGCTCAAAACACTTGCATCACAATACACAATATAAGAGATAACTGGAAATAACAACGAATACAACCAATACACAGTAATCAATGTCCAAACGAAAGATGTCTGCAAGCACACCTAAATATCGGTCAAAACTGGTTGACTTTTTTCCTCAAGGACAGCTGCAAGGATTAACAATCAGTCAGAACCTTAAAGCCTAATGGCTAACTCTACGAGTAGCAAAAGAAGCAGCCACAGTACCGTTTATTATGGCTGACCACGGCAATGTAACATATGTCAAATGTCCGTTTAACGCAATGGACCCATTACGTCGGCGCTCCTTATACCAATGCCATCTGCAACAAAGCATGCCAAAAATCATTTCTTCAAACAATAAGTAAGCACACGTACGCTTGGTTCAATCCACGAAAACCCCACTGATTATAAAAACCCCCTTCTTCCACTTCTGCAAAAAAATATCGGTTTCTAGAAACAGCAAAAAACTAATCCGCTTTCACAAGCCGTACCATCTTGAAGCGGGGTAGCTTGCACTTCATTACTGAGCCGGCTATCGAATTCTGAGCGAAAGGATTCGGAATGTGATTTACGGAGAAAATTCGGCTGATTTGTTGAACGTAGCGGTACACCGATTTGTCTAAACGGGTCAGACTGGCGCCTGCTGTTCATCTGGAGCTGCTCCTCCTGAAATCGGTATCATTGTATATGCGAAAATAAAGAGAAAGGCAAGAAAGTTCACCAAATCAAACATACCACGTCTCCGAAATCAAACTCATCGGCCTCATCATGGCAAGGAGTGCTTGGTTTGGACCCTTGTACCTTCGAGACGGCCATTTCGGCATAGCCGCGTCCTTGTGGACCTTTCATACGGACGAACTCCGTTCGCCGGTTCATGTTCCACAAAGACATCCGCTCCGCCATTTTACTGGTCAAGCTAGCCTGCAAAAAGAAAGCTTGCAACCCGAACTGACAATGTGTGCAAAACATTTCTTAATATTATCGTAACGCATTTCGATTAGACCTACAAAATATTTCAAACATAATACAATACACTATGGAAATGCCACAGTCACAACTACTGCACTGCCGCACGCAAATCCCATTTTTTTCACCAAGCTGTAAGTAACTTACTCGGGCATCAAAGACTTGTTTCAACAATTCATAGCGCACCGATCCCAAGAATAAGACCGACTTAATGGATGATCCCATTGGATCTTTAGCAACCAGTTCCACACAAACCATTTCCCCATCGCGCACCACGATTTCGGAAAATATCTCCTCAAAATTGTCGATACAAAAGAATAAATTTGGGTAAGCCATTTCTTCTGATTCGCCTTTACTGTCCATACGTCGCTTACTGGGAGAAGCAAAAACCCTCTGCAAAAGGCAAAAGTTCAGCCATATAAGTCTCACCAAGAAAATCCATTCCATTTTACAGACAAGCATTGCAGTAACTACAAACGTACCGTAGTTTGGCGCCTAATTATTTGCAAATCTTTTGGCGTACTTCGGGAACATACAGCACACGTAACCAAATATTCCAGCTAAAAGAAAAAGTTATCCCTCGAACTCTGCCGCGAGATTTTTATAAACAGGAAAAGCATCTTACGTGATTTAATATTAAATTCAGATAAACTGTCTCTTCCCATTCTACTGTGCGATCGTTTGGAGCTGGCAGCTTCGCAATATTCTCTCTCCGAATGACATCCACCGAGACCTGCAAGTACGATGAAAAAATAAATTAATAGTAAAAAAATTATTAAAAACATTAACAAACAAGCAGCAAGGCTGAAAATGAGCTTACGCGTTCAAAAAGCGAAAAAGCATACATTTTTACCGTCATGACCAATCTTTCGCAAACTGCTGTATACTAATACAAAGGAAGTTTAAAAACGGAACTACGATTATTTACCTGCGGTATTCCAGTTTTGGAATCTTCCGGAACTGCACGCCGTACCAAAAACAACAAATCATCCTGCAGTTCGTGATTTTGATGGTTGATACTTGGCACAAAATTATCGAAAAACATATCGGCCCATTTGCTGTCATTAGTCTGCGCTGGATAAGGTGATACATGCAGCCCGGGATCCATGAATGCACTGCCATATGCCCATGTTTCTGTCCGTTGTTTGTCTGCGATGGCAAATTAAAAGGTTCGAAACAGGCAAAAGAGAAATTAAGAATGCAGTCATTTGGCGACTATTGTGATTAACTACTAAATAGGGAAGGAAACTCCAATACGACGTTGCTGGGATAGGAAAATTACTTCAACTTACGACGATTTTTCGAGCGCTCTTCGATGATAAAAGGGAACAAACGGTGAATTAATCCAGATTGAGGAAAGGCTGGAGACGGAGATCCTCTGGCAGCGAAACTGATCCCACGGTCCGAAGCACTGTCATCGTCCCAGTTCTCGCGCTCTGGTTGCAGACTCCTTCGTTGATCTATTTTTCGACGGGTGTAATTACTGGCAGCCATTTGTTATAGTACACAAACAGCAACTGCCAGCAATAAACGGTTAAACTAAACTCAGGACACGTCCTGGTGTTCCTAACTAGATTCCACAGTGCTCTTCCACTGACTGGCTCCCATACATCCCAATTCATGAAACATAGAATTACATATTGCAATCAAAGTTATCAAACCGAAAAAATTAAACTTGCGCTAATTCATCCAGCGCATAGCCCACAAATATTTGTTTCACAGGATACAGCAAACTATTGTTACTTAATCAAACTGCTGATTGATGAACGATAAGCCGCAAAACTTCGCAAGTACACCATAAGTAATAAGTTTTTACATAAATCATAAATGACAAAAAATCACAAAACATAAGAAAGCGAAAGCGGAAAGCAGCTATTAATTATTAAACAGGAAACTGTCTGTGATTCCAAAAGCGCCAAGATGCTGCACAACCGTATGCACCAAACCGAGGCGAAACTGCACAACCGTATTCACCATAATAATTAATAAGTAAACCCGGTAAATCACCGTAAATGTTGTAACTTTACAATATTTTGGAAAACCTTACCGATTTTGATTATTACTTAATGACAGTTACTGTAAATAACTGATATTACTATTAAAGTTCAGATATGGTGTCTTGATTTTAACTATGCCTATTTCGGCTTATTAATTTCCGGTTTTGCGTTTATATATTGTATTATCATTCTAATTATTTTAAGTTTGCAAGGATACGAGTATGGGGAAAGCATAAAGCAGTCGGCAGATAAATAATTAGCGGCCATTTCGCAGAGCTTTCCCGTAATATTCCCTTATGATAAATAGCACTGTATAAGTATTTAATATATGGCAGCACCGGCGTAATTAAATGTAAGCGCACTAAATAAAAATGTTAATAAAAAATAAATGTAGTCTATGGACATGACGAAAATCATTAAAATCCGGTGCGGTTTCACAACCAGAAGTCTGTCAGACAGTAAAGGTGTTGTATGTTGGATATCTATTGGTCGTTACGGAACTTACATTCAGTCAGAACTGATAAACTGTATCTTTTACCGTATATTTCACGTACATATTTTGCACAATTAGAACCTGAATCTTCGCAAAACCTTCCGATTGTTTTCATACTTTCATAAACTTTGTTTAAATTTCATGCAGTACAGTTTCCGATAATACAGTACAGTAATTTCCAGTAATATAGTTTAATAAGTACGCCCCCGGTTCTATGCGAGAAAAAAACGTTCATGCTTTCTTCAACCAAAAGATGTCCTTAGGATGGTTGTTTCTTGAGTTTCAAAAGCCATATATATACTTCCGTAGACTATGTATTTTAGACGTGAAAATGTATATAAAAACGGGCTCCATAAATGTACCGAAACATGCCGTTCTAAAGACGGCGTATTGTGCGCCGGCGATGTCTAAAGCACGTCAAAAAATTGTTGCCGTAGAACCGGGACTATACCGTTTTACGGTAGATTATAATGCACTGAAGTTGAATATTTCTGTGTATGGAACACAGAAGTAACAGAACTCGAGTAAATTTTGGAGAACTAAGTAAATGCCAAGGTGCAACACAGGGTGCCGACATTTTGTTCGCCTAAATTTGCTTCATCACTGGTCCTGCAAACGTTCCCATACAAAACTGTAACTGATGCATTGCTGCATATACATACAGCTTCAATAACTGCACAAGTACAACATAGGTTTATTTACTGTTAAAACAAACAAAATATTCAAACGTCATCAGATCGGCCGTCAATACAGTGTTTAATTTTGTACGACCGGAAGCTCAAACAACACCTAAACGAAATCAGTGTGACTACAACGCTAAGATTGTCACAACACAAAAGATAAAGACAATTTTGCAACCTTAGCTTAAATCACCAACCCAAAAATGCAAAATACTGTGCAGGCCAAGAGCAAGTCATTACTTCATCTGCCAAATTTTCTCACCATTGAATTGCTTGTTGGAACACTTCTGGTACGGTGTCGACCGGCAGAATTCGTTCCCTCCAACAATTCATGTTGTACCACACACGATGTGGCCCTGGTATTATGGCTTTGGCCTGGACTGCAGGATATATCTAACTTTCATGGGATGAACCTGGATAAACCTCCGTAAAAATGCAGCTTTATCATCTTAACAGCTGCCGCGCATTTCTGCGTAATTTATATTTAATTAACTCCTTCTTTCAATTTATTTTATATTATTTTCAAGGTGAGGTTAGGGGTCTGTGATTTTGCATGCTTTCTCGAGCTTTTTCCTTTAATTTATTTGTATGAGCGCAACCAACGCAAGGTATGCAAGAGTGTATAGCATACAGCAGTATTATAATATTACCGGCACTTTGGCATGTAGGAGAATATTCTAGAAGTATTAATAACAAAACCCTTGACAAACCTCTAAATTGAATTGTAGCTTTTGCACATATCGGTATTGTGGTACGGTAATCAGGGTGATTTTACAGTTGCTAATTTAATTAAAATACATTTGTAGAACTTTATTTATATTACGCACAATAAATTACTTACCAGTCTTGCCTAGAAAATTTTGTTTCCCAGGTAGTGCGTTTCCCATTTCACAGCAACGTATTAGAAATGTGACAAATCCAGAAGAATTCATTGAATCACAGCCACTGGAAGGGTTGAGTATCCTGGAAAATGATATCCTGATTCCGAAAAAACGTTTGTCCGTTCGCGAGGTCAACTCCGCTCGGCAGTGGCCAAGTCGCTTCATCCCATATGAAATTGATCCAGCAGCGGGATTTCGTAAGTAAGCTGTATGCTACGCGAGATAGCTAATTGCACGTACATAGTATGTTATGCAACGGTATAATGAATTATAGTATTTTTGGCTTTATAAAATATCCGAATAACGCCAAAATTATTAGACCACTTCAAACAGAGCACTTACTTTAGGTTTAATGTTTCTTCTAAAGTTATAATGCAGTATCATGCACATTTAAGTGATTGTTCCCACCGACATCAACGCAGTACCAAAGGTGACATAAAAGTATTTCGATGTCAAACGGTTTTAGTAATACAGTCATTCCAAGTTAATCCTATACATGTACTGCATAAAACATATTTTTTGCGGTCGTTACAAATGATTCTCGTATTATTCTCTCGATCACAGTGTACAATACTTTATGCAGTATTACAACCATAGTCATGACTAGTACCTACATCAAAGCCATCGTATTCGATCACCTAACAAATTAACAGTGTTTTCCTCTTAATTCTCGTGGATTTCTCCAGTTAAAATTTCAAGGGAATTTCATCTTTAAAATTCTAAAAATGCTGATTTTGCAGAAAGCAACGAAACTGAAATGTTAATGCTGGCATTCCGGGACTTTTCGGACAGTACCTGTGTCCAGTTTGTTCCGCGCACCGGTCAACGCGATTATGTTTTTATAACCACCGATCCAAAGCGCGGGTATGATTTTGTTACTAAGGTCGCAATTGTTTCTGTCATCCACTAACCAGTAAGCTACAAAAATGCTTACATAATACCTACAATAAATCGCCGTATTATAGTATCAAGCAGCGGCATCATAAAACGTGCGCGCGATCGTATCCACCGAAATTCGCCAAGTAACTTAAAGGCTGCGTAATGCAACGTGTTTAAATCTTAAAAGCTTTGCATTACACTCAGTATTTTAGTTTGGATACACAAAAATACATCTTTAAATTAGGCCACGTTGTCAGTTATTTTCATGCTTCTTGTTCTTGTGTAGGTGCCTTTCTTATATTGGATGGCAAGGTGGTCGACAGGAAGTCTTTTTATTACGGCCAAACTGTTTCTACCTAAAAGGAACGATCATCCATGAACTAATGCACACGTAAGTGTAAAACTGAATTACATTAATCCCCATCCTCACCGAACCCCATTAATTCTTTATGCGGACATTTTTAATGATATTTTGTGCTTCTATACACAATTTTTCACATTTTCAGGGTAGTAGTTTCTACCTAAATCTATTGTAGGACGGTAAAAGTAATTTTTTTCACAGCGAACAGTAATAAACTGCACACCAATATGTAAATAACCACTGCGTGCAAAGTTTAAAAGACAAAATTATTAAATTATGAATCTGCAAGTCATCATTGCTTTCGTAACGAATGTCTTCAAAATATAATAGTACATAATTAGCAATTAGCATCCTTCTAATTGTTAGACGATCTGGCTGTGACATTCATTTTTTCTAATAATTGAAGGATTGGATTTTATCACGAACACTCCAGACCCGATCGGTGAGTTCCGCCAATAGATTCTAATAGCTCTGGTGTACGCTTGTTTATAAAGCACCTGTTTTGTTGTGAACCGGACACGATGCACCATTTCAATTCCACTAGGGACGACCACGTTCAGGTCGTATGGAACAACATTCGTGCCGACAAACTCAGCAATTTTCAAATCGAACAATCTGGCAATACACTGGGTGTGCCATATGATTACTCGTCGGTTATGCATTATTCCGCGTTGACGTTTTCCAAAGATCCGGATGACAAAGAATACACTATGATACCGAAAAACATGGGCTTTCCTCCGGATCGCTTGGGTCAACGCCGCGGCTTCAGTGCAATTGACCTGCAGCAGATATTAGTATTTTACAACTGTCCGAAGCGGTTGATGCCGTTTATCGGCGGTTTCGTTGAGGATCATCCCGGTTTTCCTGATCCCAGCGAACATACCAATCCAGAAGACACTTCAAAGAACGGCAAACTCATACCGCTAGTTCGTCAAGCTCGAAACGAAGATATATCTACAGTTAACCACGAAAATGACGTCCAAGCGCCGCAGTTCATTGTAGCAGGCACACCTAGCACCATCAATGTGGATGTGCCGGTTCTGCCCGGAACACTGCACTCCATTGCGGATAATAACGCTCCACAGGAAATCATCCAGCCACCGACCACCTCGTCCGCTGTTTCCGTATGCTCGGGATTTTTTGCTCCAGATGCTGTACTAAACTTTTTAGGGTTTTTCTATTTGTTCAAAGGTGAGAGAGTCTAGTGTTTAATTCGTCAGTATATAAGCACACCCATTTGTTTAAACCATTGGCATACAGAGCAGCAAATCTGAAACTTACCGATTCAGTTACATCAAAGTGTTTTAATGTTGTCTTGTTTGTGGATTGCAGATGGATTATATTGGAAGTATTCGTATCTGGATGGTGCATTTACAAAACAACCCAACTTTCCAAAGGCTTATAAAGCAAATTTTAATGCAGACATTCCAAATAAACTTGACAGCGTTTTCAGTTACCTCACTTATATTTACTTTGTGAAGGTACGTGGGACATTTCTACTGATCAAAACTTACTGGGTTATAACAGCTATAAAATTTAATATGTATGTAAATATTTCACAGTTAAATTATTGCATAGAGTTAGAATTAAAATAATTATCCGTAGTCGTGCGTTTAAACTCATCCCCAACACTAAGCAAGGCCTGTGTAAGTATACTTCAAGTATATAACTGAACGAAACTGAATTTGTGCGTATATTGATTAGTTAGAATTATAATTCATTGTAGTGTTAAGCTTATATTATTACTAATTGAGTTCTGTGGAGTGTGAACGCACTGGCTTTGCCTGTATCTTTGTATCTGCCAGGTTAAGGTTGCCGTTGTTTGGTAATGCTTATTTTTATATTACAATTACAGGATACTATGGTATGGGTTGCGAAAAGTGATAGCGATATCCGTGGTCCTGTTGCTCTAAAAAAGCTTTTTCCCGGACTACCGGACATATCATGGGACAATATTTTTGTGAAGGGGACCATTATCCATTTCATATCTCGAGCTTCTACATGGCTGTACGACATCAGATCTGATAAAATTATGGGCCCGCTAATGAATTTCCAAAATCCTTTATTTTTGAGTGGACCGGTCACGGAATTACCTGACGGAAGGATGCTAGCTTTTCCAACAACTGAATCTATTGGAGACGGAACTCATTTGTATATGCTGGATAGACTTTCTGGCCAGGTAACAAAAAAATATAAATTTAGTTTTTCGGCGCATAATTATTGTTATTTTTAGTTAATGTTAACCATTGGAGTCCAGATATAATAGATTAAAGTATATTTGTACTGCTTACATTTACTTATACGACGTGGTTATGCGTTGTGGCATTGCCGCTCTAACAATAGTAAACAGTGAATTGTTAATTCAGTGTGCACTATATTGTAAAGCGGCAATAGTCGGGAACTTGGGATACGCGGTACGCGAATAAAATAGTGTAATGTCGCATAGGTATATTTCTACAGCTACTGGCATATCGCATGATTCTGTATGCAGTCTATTATTTAGTTAAAGTTAATAGCGAGCTACCAAATCACCCGGATTAATATTAATTTCAGACGCTCCCTGGATTTCCGAGATCGACGAAAGAGACTTTTTGTTGATAAAATAAAACTTATGTTGTTTTAATTGATTGTTGTTATAAGTGTTCTGCCACGTTCTTGCCATGGAGGTGTGGATTGTTCCGGCGGCTGACAATGAGGAAGTTCCTCACATTTATCGTCCCAAAGTTCATATCTCCAAACCAGCATTGCAGTAGCCGCAGCTTATTTTCATGTGTAGAAATTCAGTGCATTTCGTGTAGAAATTCGGTGCATTTCCATGTATTCACTGCTTTAAAAACTTGATGCTAAAGGTGAGAAAGAGATGACCACGTTATGGTTCGAAGCCGTTGTTCGAGATTACTACCAGCGCAGTAATAAGATGCAGCATACCGTACATATATGCGTCACAATGGGCGAGCCAGAATACAGCTGGGAAATGGTGTAAGTAAAAGATGCTATGCCGGCACATTATACCGATTATTGCGTCCAATTTGTCCAACAATAAGTCAATACGTGACGTATTCACAGTCAGGACCGTAATAATTAATAAACTACAAGTATCGGTCGCGCTAGCGCGCGACCAGTTGTGTTCGAGGTATGGAAAAATGAAAAAAATACAAACTATACTTCGTACAGGCGGTACAGCAATAAAAAATATTTTGAGAAATATTTCAAATATAAAACCCCAGCGAGGACAGCTACGAAAATATTTTAAACATGTGGAAATGCGGACAGTTTTCAAGCTTCCCAGTTAAATTCGACCAGTTTATAAAAACTGAAAGCCTCCGTAATTTTTCTTTTTGTTTGCCTTTTTCACGGTTCTTTTTCCCGTTTTTAATGTAACTTTATATTGCCAATTCTAACGAACTGAAAACCTGTATTTTTTGGTACGACAAATAATATTTAAACGGTGATAAAATGGATGGATGGGATCATTTACACGATGCCCATAAAAAACCGTTCAGCCGATATTTCAGCGCAGAATTAATGGAAACTTGTGGGAAACAATTAACTGTTGCCCAAGGTGACCTCGCAGGCTGCGTGTAAGACTGTAAGATTTTCAGCCAATCAGTCAAGCTCTTCAGTAATTATTAAAATAAAATAAATACATATATTATATTAGATTTCGAGCTTAGTGAATACCCAAGCTACCGCCAGTACTCTGTATTACAGAGCAACGTAGGTTAGTGAATGACCAAGCTACCACCAGAATTACAGAGCCGCTACGTGAGTGAATACGGTAAACGGGCCGCGGGCCGGCTTTTAGATATTTAAAGGCTTCGTCCCCTTTCTAAAGCGTATCTCGTTGCGATACAGCACCGTATCTAGTTTCGCTACAGTACAAAAATGGGACACTATTTGGTGCGCACCCCAAGATGCAGCACAGGCTACGCATATCGAAACTGGGCTCGCTCTCCGTTTCCTGTATCGAACCTTCAGCTTTGGCTCCGTGTCGCTGTATTTGCGTATTCTTGTGCTGTTTTTATGCCCTGATTCTAGTTATTTCCTAGTCTGAATTGCTAAATGTTGTTCCCTGGATTGAAAGTTTTTGGCATCATTGTCCTTACTTTTTAGCTGGTGATGAGTCAGATCAGTCGCAGCACCCGCGCAATTATTTATTTTGGCCAGCATGCTGCAGTATAGTAATAGCGCTAGAGCAGCTACATAAGTAGTACATACTGATCAAAATTTGCAAATTTAGATCTTCATTTTCCGAGCGCTCCTATTCAGTATTTTATGTGGTAAAGAATACAAACTAATTTCGTATTCGAAAACACACTCGGTCTGAATAATTGTTTTTCAAAACCATTTCGCTTCTCTGTAGCCGCATGATGTTGTAGTACTTAATTGTTGTTATCTGGTAGAATTTTTATTGTTTTGAGCTGGTCACATTTCCTGTTTCAGTTTTTTGTGCATTCAGTTGGGTTTTAAAATGATTAGAAATTTCATAAAACGTAAATAACTCACGAAAAGAAATCGTCACACAATGGCAATACTAAAAAATGCTCGCTCATCAACAAAAAGATACCAAGGAAAGCCACCTCTGGAGGTGGCTTCGCGTACCGTATCGTTTTTCTTTGAATTTCAGGGTATGCGTAAAAAGCGCTCGTAAAATTTTTGGTTGATGTGAGACGCGGGGTTGGTACGGGTTCTGAGATGCGGTTCGCAGGATACCGTATCTGAGAGTTGTGGAAACGGGACGCATTCGGATACGCAGCATACCCCCGTCCCGAATCTTTGCACTGATAACCAGATATGCGAAGCGAGAACCGACATACCGTATCGCGTAACTCCTATTATGGGACGGTGGTGTCCTGTACGGTAGCTAGATTCGCTACAGATTGGGGACGAGGCCTAATATTTAGAAATTACATATAAATTAGACAATTAAGGGATTTGCCCCGGCACATAGTACCAAATTCGGGTACATACACGGGAACTTTCGCTGTCGCGCAATCCTAGACACTTTTTTGCATGGCTAGATATGTACCTAATATTCATAACGGCTCTCATACTCATACTCATAACCCTACTCCTAATTCCAAATCCATACTCATAACGGCCCTCATACTCATAATCATACTTTGGTCCTACCGGTCATCATATTAAATTATTCATAATTATAGCTCATATCTTAACCATTACTCATGCTGGTGTGTCAAAAATGTAATATTCAATTAGTCAAAAATGTGTCACTTCTCGATCGCTGCTTGTGCTGGCTGGTCGAGACTTTGCTATGCATGTTACCCACAGGTAAAAGCATAGCGGTTTTCGAATTTAACTGGCGTTTTTAACTGTGAAAACTGCCGTATTCCATCATCCGAATTTGAATATCCCTTGTTAATTATCGACATCAGTCCTCCCAGTCACCATGGACGTTCAGAACTGGTACCGATTCACACGCTGCCAATCTGGACATGAAGAAGCATACCTTACCCGGTTTTTATATGAAATTATTTACCGTAAATTACCAATTAATATTTCCTCTGTAATTCTCGCTAATGCTTCTCGTCAGAAAATCCTTCCTCCTGCGTGGGACAACCTCCCCCATTCCGCACTGGTAAGATATCAATCGTTTCTTGGTGACTTCACTAATCAATTATCTTACGCATGTAAACATGACCTTTGGGCTGCGCATGAGATTGCTGAATTATTCACTTGGGGGTTGGCAGAATATGCTTTGTGTGTTTTACGTTGCACGTCTTCTAAAACTAAATTTTTTAACAAAAAGCGAGTTAGTGCCGTCCCTCCTGAACTGTTGTCCCACCTTTCTTCGGTAACTCGTGAAATTAATAAACTAAAGCGGACGAAGCGCCGCATCAGGGCCAATAACCGCGAACTGTCTCTCGATTATGCCAGTAATTTAAGTCATTTAAAACTATTAAAGAAAACCCTTTCCGAAAAAGTAGCACAGCTCCGATCTTCAGCAGAGCGTAAAGAAAACGATAGTTGGTTCCGGCGAAATATGTTCAGTTTCATTAATTCGAAACTCAAGCACGGTAATAATACTTCCAATAGCGCGCTGAAAACTGGTGATATTGAAGAATATTTTAAAAAGGTTTGTAACCCAACCCAGCTACCACCAGTCGATTGTGCTTGGATTAACAAACTCGAAAAGAAACCAGTGACTGTTAACTTTAATTCGTCAGATATCAAGCCATCCGATATCGAGTACATCTTGAAAGAAAAGAAGCTTTCATGTGGGTCTGGTCTCGATGGTTTAAACCAGACCTGGGCAGTTATGGAAAATGGACCAATAGTTAGAGTTAAGAGTTAGCCGGGGCGCGCGAGTTACGTTACGAGTTACGCTATTCCCAAAAACATGAGTTACGAGTTATAGCGCGAGTTACGCTACAGTAAAAAAATTTCATTTGCGCTCTTAATCAATTTAAGTTAGGACTAATTACTTACACTAGATTTTAAGCACATGCCGATGTGTTTTTCGAAATAATTAACTGATTCTCTAATTCCAAAAAATAGTAGTGGAACATCAGCTCTACATGTTTGCACAAGTACTGTATCTGTATTACAAAATACGCTGGAACTGCCGGACCGCCGCTAACAGTAAGCGTTTTGAAGTCTATTTCACAAGCCGTAAACTTAAGGATTTGCCAGAAAAAGCGCATTCCACCGATTTTTAAGACCGCTTTTTACCGCTGGTAGTGCCGTTGTTAATGGGTTAATAAAGGAAACGCTACAGCTGAGCGGAGCATTTTACCTTTTTATCTTTATTGGTAGCTACCTATTAGACGGTCTTTGGGTCTACCTTGGCCTTTCAATCTGAATTATATAATTAAAAATTACTTTCATAATACTGCTTTTAAGTCTAAGAAAACAATACTAGCCGTTTCCATTAAATACCTTATCCCTGCCGGATAAAGGGCATAAAACCGATGCCGCAATCCCTTTTCAAGAAGCCAAGCTGATTCGCTTTCTATTACATAAAAGTACGGTCTAGCTTAATAGTACTTGTGCAGGCGGCGTGAGCACTTGCTGCGATTTACGAGTACGTACAGAATACAGATATATGTACGGCATAACAGAATCCCATCCGTATTCACAATCAGCCGTATGGCCAGTTGACTCAGTTCCTAGGGCGGTTGTGGTGAACACCAGATCAAGCGATGTTCATTAATTAACTGTTTCGCGAATTTTCGGAAAGTAATGTGGCCTGAGTCAAACTTTCTTTTGTGTTTGTTTTCAATATGTTTACAGATAACTCGAAACCACAAAGTTACGCTATAGTTACGCTGCGCTATTTTACTTTCGAGTTACGTTAGAGTTAAGTTTTCTTCGTCGCGAGTTACGCTTCAGAGTTACGTTATAACTCGATAACTCGGAAATAACTCGCGTTAAGTTATGAGTTAAGTTATAACTGCCCAGGTCTGGTTTAAACTATGCTTTTTTAAAACCGTTTCCGGTAATTCACAGATTTTTGGCTTTTCTTTTTAATAAAATTTTGGCGTCAGGGAAACCGTGTAAGTCATGGCAGACAGGTAAGACTGTTCTTATACATAAGAAGGGCGATTTGAAATCGGTTGAAAATTATCGTCCCATCACATTAACCAGTTGTGTAGGGAAAATTTTCCACTCAGTTATTTCTAAACGGTTAATGTCTTTTTGCATATAAAACGGTATTATCGATACGGATGTACAAAAGGGGTTCATAGAAGAAATGAATGGGTGCGGCGAACATTCGTTAAAACTTTTGAAACTGATCGAGCAGCAACGTACTGAAAGACGTGCAATGCACGTCACCTGGCTCGATGTAGCCAATGCTTATGGCTCGGTAAGGAAAGAAGTCATGTTGGCTGCGTTAAAGCATTATGGCATTCCTGACGAAATTATTAATTACA